TCCAAAAAGTAACCATGAGCAGAGTGGAGTTCTATGTAATCAAAACCAGCAGCAACGGCATTCTTAGCAGCTTTAGTGTAGTCATCACGGATCAATTGTTCAAGTTCTTCAGTAGAAGGAGTGTGGATCTTAACTTCTTCGAATGGGAAAGCTTTTTCTTCATCAGTTAAGTAAACTTCAGAAGGAGCAATAAGAGGAAGTTTGGTAGCTTCACAGAATTTAGGGTCTGAAACACGGCCAAGAGCCCAGAATTGAATTGAAGTGAATGATTTATTGGCGTGAACCTTATCATTAATTTGTTTCCAAGCTTGAACTTGTTCATCATTGTAAATACCTGGAACACCAAAGTAACCACCAGTTTTTTCAGTTGGGAAGGTACCTTCAGTAACCAATAAAGAACCAGGGTATCTTGATCTTTCTTCGTAGTATTGAAGTTGTAAATCAGATGGAATACCTTCGCTGGTAGCTCTGAATCTAGTAGTTGGAGGGAAAACAATTTTGTGAGCTAATTCATTTTCACCAACCTTGATGGGAGCGAAGACTTTAGTATCTTTAAGAGGAGAAACTTTAACCATTTTCTATTGAATAATTGAGTAATGTTATAAAAATTCAGAAAATTATTCAGAATTTGGGGTTCTTTCATTTTCTCTTTATATAGTTTTCCAAAACATGTTGATTTGTAATACCATCACAGTACACAGCATCAAGCACTTCAACTTAAGCGTTTTTCCGGTTCAAACGCTTATGGAAAGTAAAAGAAAAAGAAAAGTCTTGACACAATTGCGAATCAATTAATAAGCAGATATCCGATTTAACTGTAAATTGAGGTGAGATGCAAATCACTACACCAAATGGGTTTGAGTTATGCTAAGAATAATCCAGCAAAGTGACACATACACTCTTGTTTGATATGAACCCGTGGTGGCCAACAACTGGTTAACACGTTTGTCTCTATAGTTGGTTTTTTCATCATCTTTTGGTTCCTTTAGTTTCTTTTTTCTTTTTTGACAGTTTTTTCACCGACTTCTTTGCATAACGCACTTTTTTCTTTTTCCATCGTTTTTCCGAGAGCGACCGGTTAAACGTCTTTGGTATGGACATGTTTCAGATAAGAGGGGACCCGTTGGTAGGAGAATGTGGAGATGGTTCCTTAAACTTTTTAGGGCTCTACAGTAGCTATGCAGTGTGTACTAAAAACGTTTATTGATACCTAGCAGTCTACAATAAATTATTCTAATACTTTAAAAATCACGAAGAATAGACTTGTTTTCTCAAGCTTGTTGAGCAATAGGCTTACCAAGCAAGGCATCAGCTTGTTCGTCATTCAAGGTTGATTTTTCATTTAAAGCAGGGAAAGTGTTATAACCCTTAGCTGATTTAGTGTAGAAAGTGCTTCTGTCATAAGGAGCCAACTCACTACCTTGGTACAATCTTTGGGGCAAGTCCGGGTTTGAAGTGAAAAACCTAGCGAAGGCAACCAAAGTACGGTCATCATCGACATCGCTCAACAATTGTTTGAAGTCTGGAGCATCATAAGTATAATTCCCAGCACGAATCAAGGTACCTTTCCAAATTTTTCTGATGAACTCATTATCACCAACTTGATCTCTCTTTTCCAAGTTTTCCGCACCGGAGACTCTTGGTTCAACAAGAGAGATATAAGCAAGTTGATTTCCGTTATCAGCACGTCTTTGTAATTCATTAACCACGTAACTAAATGTGGTATAAGGATGAACTTCTTCTTTAACGGTAATCATTGAGTTATAGCTTGACCACGGAGATAATCTAATTGCTACCTTGGAAGCACCAACAAGGCCAACCAAATGATCAACCACTTCAAGTAAGAATCTAGCCCTATTTTCAATCGAGCCACCGTATTTATCAGTTCTTTTATTGGTGGAAGGATGTAAGAAACTTTCAATCAAATAACCGTGAGCAGCATGGATTTCGATATAGTCGAAACCAGCAGCCATGGCATTCTTGGCTCCTTGGGTGTATTCGTTTTTAATCAAGGCTTCGACTTCGCTTGTTGATAAGCTTTTCAATTCGATTCCTAGTTCCTCAAACGATTGTTGGTGTTCTTTCCCGGTGTAAACAACAGAAGGAGCAACCACTGGTAGTTGATGATATTGAGCAAACTTGGGATCAGTGACTCGCCCACAAGCCCATAACTGTAAAGAGATAAACGAGTTATTATCATGAATTGTTTGAGTGATTTTTTTCCACCCTTGCACTTGGGAATGGTTATAGATTCCTGGAGCACCCCAAACCCCACCGGTTTTAGGAGAGAGAACAGTACCTTCGGCAATAACCAACGAGCCAGGGAACTGGGTTCTATCGTTGTAATGTTTCAATTGCAAATCACTAGGCTCTTCATTTAGAGCAGCTCTAGTTCTAGCACTTGGAGCCATGACAATCTTATGAGAAATTTCATTCTCACCGACCTTAATTGGAGAAAATACTTTGGTATCTTTCAAAGAAACTGCTTTAATCATGATGATTACTTGATCGAGCTAGCAATTTTATCAACTAGTCATAATTTCAACCAGTACTTATACACAATTGATGATTGACCAAAATTAGTAAGCTCCACCGAACAACAATCTTCCCAATGGTTAGATTAACCAACGAATAGAAAAATCAAACCAACGAGTAGAAAAATCAAACCACCGAATAGAAAGAACACCGAAATTAGTCAGCCCTACGACCGAACGACAAGTTTTTTTTTTCACAGCCAAACCAACTGCTGGGTTACAATTTTCCCTTTTGGTTAGCCTCGCTTAGTCATCGACTCGGTCCAAGGCCCCAGGACCGAGCAGACGCTCGGGGGGAAGTCGAGGGAGGAAAAGCGCAGTGATTGGGCGGGAAATAACTTCCGAACAGAACGAGAAACGGTTCGCACCCATCGCGTTAGATGATGGATTGACATGACAATAAGAGAGATATACAGTTGCTATAGGTGAAGTTGGTTTACGGAAAGGAGGGATTAACTAACTAGGGTTATTAATTCCATTATGGATTATATTGTATATTTCTGCTAAATATATACACTAGTAAAACATTATTACATCAAGCAATAATAGGAGGCAGCCCAAAAATGAAAAGCGAACATGGTGAAAAAAAAAAAAAAAATAACCGGTAGGACATTATTGATACACTGAGGGTGGGTGTATGGCTATGAGATGTAAGATGGGTATGTAGGTAAGATGGTGATTCGTTAAACATAAGACATTACAATCGAGATTAATCATCTCTTAATTCAACCTTCATTTCTTCCAAAATGTCGGTTGTTCTTAATTGTCTTTGATCAGCAATCATAGTAACTAAACCAAGAGCAATATCTTTTAATTCATTATATTTTTTCAATTGAGATATATGTTTTTTAACAATTGCTTCTGGGTTTGAGTTTGAATCCAATTCACTAATTAATTTCGAACATTGATTTTTAATATCTTCTAATCTTTGTTCTTTTAGTAGTATTCTTTGTTGATATAAATCTTCTGTTTCATTGCTAGTTGTTCTTGGGGTAGTATCATCATCATCATTATTATTATTATCAGTGGTAGCAAAATTTAAAGGTTGTTGAACATTCAAGTTGGGATTAGTCGATTTACTAGGTAAGTTATTCGTGGATGGACTAATTAATTGATTATCTCCATCATCTTCACTAATATGATTGGTATTTAAATTTAAAGACGGGTCATCTTCATTACTGGTCATATTCTTAGTAGTATGCGAGTATTGATAATGTGATGAATTGCTATTAATATCACTTGGAGGAACAGATTTAAACATTCCTTATTTAATGAATTCAAAAAAAAAAAGCAAGATTATTTCATCAAAGTCCACCAACAGCGAAACGAAAAAGACAAGAAATACTAAAAAAAATCTGTTGAAAAGAAAAGAACACGAAAACCACACGGAAACCACACGAAGACCACACCTAAATCAAGTTGAAAGTAGTAGAGTAAAGGAAGTAGATGAATAAACGAAGTGAACTAGTAAATTATTAGGGTTACTTAGGGAAGAGAAANAAAAAAAAAAAAAAAAAAACTTGTATAGATATTATTACAGAGAAAAAACCAACCAACCAAACAAAATAAAAAAAGTAGTTCATTTTTTTTTTTTTATAAAAACACTACAAGAAACCAAAAGAACTACAAAAACCATTAAAAGCTCAGGAGAAAAACAAAAAAACACTCAGAAAACAAAAAAAAACACTCAAAAAAAGAAAAAAACACAGAAAAACAGTAAGGAAAAAACCAAAAATTGCTTTCCAACACAATAAGCTTTCACTGACTCTCACTTAATCAGTCAGTTTCTTTAGTTAATTTGGTTTGTTTATCATTTTAATAAAGGAGCATAACAACAAACAATACGCATCATCCCCAACACTCCTATTGACACACCACTTGACCCGGTGACCATGACACCGTCAACATGCCATACACCATGCCACCTGAACTGCAACACCAGATATATGTTGTATGAATGAGTTAATGCTCATTGACATCTAAGTAAGAATTAAGTCCGACCAGGTAAGTACATTATGTCATAGCTTATTTAGCGAGTATTTTATGGGTGTGTGCAAACCAGCATTTTTAGTCAGATCGATTACGTAATTATTTTTTTTTCTGCTACATGGGGTGATTTTTATTTTTTTTTTCATTTTGGGGGGTGCGCTGTATGCACGGGTTTGTTTTATTTGGTGACTTTTATATAATATATATGTGTATATGCACGGGTGTTTTATTCTATAAGAACTGCTGACTGATTTGGTCGAGTTTGAGCTGGGTCAATTTGACAATCTCCTTCATTTCTTGCTTGGAGTACTCTTGGAGGTAATCTTCTTCTTCCTTGCCGTCGTCGGTGTTGTTGTCTACGTTGATTTTACCATCACTGCGGTCTCTTAACCAATCCCACATTTTAACCTCATTCTTGATTCGTTTTTCTTGATTATCCAAGTATGATTCACTGCTGGGAACAATGTAGTATTTGTGATTATTGATACTTATCTTCAGTAAAACCTGCTCTTGGGGTAATATTTCAATTTGATTCTTGTTGGGGCCTTTGCGTCTAATAATTAATGTATAAGTTAAGAATATCATAAATATCATTAAATAGCCTTTGATTAAGTCGCCAATAAAATTACCAATTGGTATTAGTTTGCCAATCAGTTCGACTAATTTATTCAATTGTTCATTTATACTTTCTGTTTTAACCGCCTCGGCACCAACACTCAGTTTACGAGGTTTCTTAGTAGGAACCTTCTTCTTCTTGGAAGATTTACCCTTCTTCTTTTTCCCATTGGATTTCAGTCTATTGGATCCCGCCAGCTCAATCATTTCATTCAAGCTATCAACCATCACTCTCATGGAATCCTTTTGGCCATCAATGGTTCCCTTTTCAATGGCTCCTTTGATCCAACTTTTCCCGCTCCATTCAATCAAGGTAACAACATAGATCCGGGTTTGGTTATTATCCCCCCAATACAAAAATACCTTCGTTTTAACTTGAAATGAGTTCCCGCTGGGAACATCGGGAGTACTGGTGATTTGTTCAACCAATACATACTTCTTCAATTCAAATTCAATCAATTTATCTGCAATTAGACATTTGGTTTGTTTGGGTCCAATGGGTGCGTTCAATGGTTTGATGTACGTATAATGACGCTCTCTTGTCTTGGTATTTAATTCGGTGATATCGTTTTCCAGTATTTCAAAATTCCCTTGATTGGTTAATATTTTAATATACCTTGATCGATCATTCCCAAATAATAGCTGATAAACCGTACCCAAGGGTGCTTTTATCACGTCTTCAATTATTAAATTCTCGTTGCTTTGTTTGGTGTATTCAATATCGGTGGGCGAATGGGTTAAGGGTCCACTGGTCGGTAATCCAAAATAGTTATCTCCATTTCCTCCATTAGTGCTGGGGGTTGAGCTATCTTTGGATTTGCTAGTACTGGTTTTCCTAGCTTGATTGTCATTGTCTAATATGTTATCTGGTTCTTCATCATTAAGTGACCCTTCTTCGGTAGAATAGCCGCCTTGGTCTTCGGCATTATTAGCTCCAGCTTTGAGACTTAATGAACTCAAACTTGGATCATCATCGTCCTCATCATCATCATCACTGACTAAATCATCATCCTCTTCTTCGCCACTATCTTGACTATCACCAGCAAAATCATCCAATACATTTATATCTTCACTGCTATCATCACCAGTTGAAAATGCTCTCAGACGTCCACTAACTCCACTGTCAGTTTCTTCATTCAAATGTGAACTATAATACGTAGATTTACTTGTACCACGTTCTCTTGAATTCTTCATATTAAGTATACGGTTTGGATCTTCACTCAAGACTTGTTTCCAAACACTTATTATTATATTAAAAGATGAATCTCTTGATAAAAAAGTTGCAAAAACATACTTATGATGTAAAGTACGAATAACCATCCCATTAGGAAATAATCCTGCAGTCGATTTTTTTTCAATCTGAATAACTTCTTGTAATGGGATTATTAAATTAGTAACCCAACCTAGAATATTCGAATTAAAACAAACATAATGTTCACTAATATACATTCTACCTTGAATTAATATATCTTTAGATAATGCACAACTAGCATCATGGATTAATTTTTCTCCATTTGATATTTTTTTGAATACTTGATGAAATTCTTTATTCTTTTTTTCATTTGCTAATTTTAGATCTTTAAAATCCATTACATGATCAACTTCTTCATTATTATTTTTATCTGATATAGTACTTCCACTTTCAATATCTTCTTCTTGATTGTTTGTATTATTATAAATATCATCCAGAGAGAAATTTTTGGATTTTAATTTTTCCAATCCTCCTATATTCGGAGTCCCATATGAAAATGACTTACGATGAACTCGTTTATTTTCATTATTCCCACTGGTGGCTAATTGATTAGCTGGTGTAGATTGTAGCTGATCTGATGGTGATACAATTTTATGAAGCGGTAATAAATCAGTAGACACATTAGGACTAATAATTGGTCTTTTCAATGAACCTGATCTACCACCTTTTAAATTATTTAATGCATTAATAGACATTCCTTGATTAGGATTAGTTAACCCGGTTGAATTTGGGCCCTGGGCAGGTACAATTCCAGCATTATCCATTGGTAACCCAGTCATGGATTGTGGTTGTGATTGTAGTTCTTGATCTCTTGGCTCGGGTATTGCATCGAAATTACTTAGTAATAAATCACCTTGACCAAGAGTATTTATGGGTGATTCTCTCACTGAAGAGAAATGAATATTATTTGGGGATAGCGTTGAATTATCTTGAGTTATTTGATCATCTTCATCTTTTGAAGATTTAGAATTTACCGAGGAACCCCCAGTGTTTTTAGATTTATTAACTTTCAATAATGAATCAAGTTTATTACCTCGATTACTACTAGTTTGAGGAGATAAAGATGCAGAAGTATTATTTGGGGAAGATCCAATCATTTTAAGATTTTTTTCATTATTTTCGTCAGTAGAACTCATCATATTAGCAGCAGCGTTATGGGCAACATTAAAAATTGAAGAAAGGAATCCAGCATCAGCATTTTTAGATTTATTATTCGTAGAGAAATTTTTTGAATTTGATATTTCACTATGCCCATCATCGTCTAGAGTAATTTCTGCATCATCAGGAGGAGATTCACCTAATTCTGGTTTAGGAGATGCCATTCTTCTTTGAGTATTAGTCAGAGTACTATTGAAAATCGTATTTAGACTAGTGGTTGATGCAACTTGGCGATCCGTATTAGATCTTTGAATAACCTTTGGCTCAGCTATAGCTGTTTTTGAATATGAATTTGATCTTGATCTACTTGAATTAGAACCTATGGAAGTATTGGATCGATTTCTTTTATTTTTCAAGATAGATAATGAATTCGAGCGATTGTTATCTTTTATTATAGGAGATGCCGAATCACTAGGAATAGTTGGAGTATTGGAAAAGAATGGAGGATCACGATCTCCAATAGGAGTAGTTGGAGCAGAGTTGGGAGTTAAATGCTTAATTGGTTTTGGTTGAGACAATTGTAAAGAAGGTAACAGTTTTTCCTTTAATTCAACTTCCGCTTCACCCAAAGATAATTGCGATTGTAGTTGAGCTTGTTGCTTAGTTTTCTTTGTAATCCTTGCCATTTTCTAGTGAATAAACTTCTTGTCCCCCCGCTACCGAAATTTCAAGGAGGTTCCGTACAGTGAATTAACAACAAAAGAAAAAATATAGAGCAAACACCTATTGAGAGCGAACAGAAAAAGGCCAGAGTATCCGCAAATACAAGAATTCACTATTCAATTAGTTCTCTGAACAATTGATAAATGAATAATTGTAGATGAAAGTGTATATGAATAAAAGTATAAGTGGATAGAAAGTATAACTTTTATATATGGTGGGTGTAAGGCGGGTTGCAAAGTTTTTAGCGATGGTTTCCAGCTAACAGCCTAGTAGGAACAATAATTGAGAAAATCTTCTATTAGGAGATGTTTACATATTAGTCGACAAATCACCGTTAAACTAGGATTAGCCGATATGAATTACTGAGGGCTAAAAGGGTTCATATATTAAACTTTTAATTGAAAAGAGAGATAAAACCGAAACAAAATAAAACGAAAGAATTAAAGAAAAAGGGGTATTGATCTAGAAAAGACCATTTAAAGCACCATGAATGGTTTCTTCTTGATCTTTACTAGCACTGTAATCAACTGAAAAGGCAGAAACGGAAGTTTTACAATTTTTATCGGCCAAAAGTTGGGATTCACCTTCTAAACTGCAATTACCAAAGACACAAGTGTATAAAGCTTCAGAACCAATTGAGGAAGATTCAAATAACCCTGATTCTTTATTATATTTAAGATCAGAAGTAGTTGAATCTTTACCACTAAATTTAGTAAATACCCATTCTGGATCTTTACAAGATTCATCGTCATAACCAACCGATGGGAAGTTAATATTGAGACCAGTAGTAATTGGTAATATAGAATCATCTTTAGCACCTTTGAATAATTGATCAACGAATTGAACAACTTTTTTAGCATAAATATTAGCAGCTAATAAAGTATCATTTTCATCATTTTCAAAATCTTTGAAAAATGAATTATTACCATTTGAACCACTAATTGCAATTCCTGGATAATTTCTATAAACGGCATTATAAGTAGCACCAATGGTACCACTAATGGTGTACATCCCATTACCAAGATTAGTACCTTCATTTGGACCGTTAACAACCAAATCAACTTTTGTATCGTTAAAATAATTTGGAATAACGTATTCTAATCCAAAGGCAACTGCTGCCCCTGGAGTACCGTCAAAATACCAAATTTTATTATTATCGGATTCGTGTCCCCATGATGGTGATCCTTTTGGTGGATAATTGAATTCTCCGGCTTCTTTTAATGTTTTTGAATCGGGTATTTGGAATTTTCCTGACCATCCCGATCTTTGTCTTGCTGGTGCTGAAAGAATAACATTATAACCAGCATTGGTTAATTCTCTGTAAGCGGCTCTAATATTTAATGCTGCCCATCCATCATCATTTGATAATAAAATGGTTTTTTCATTAGCAAGAACTGCAGCAATAATTGGAATAAGTGCAAAAATTTGTTTAAACATGTCAAAAGTACTGGTTTAAAAAATATATCAACTTAGGTAAAAAATAGAGAATTACCCTATTTATATTAACTGTTTATATGAACTATTTATATTTACTCCTCCAACATGTTGCTCATAATTCCCCTTTTGACTCGAGGACTAATTGCAATGGTAATTGTAATTTTGATAAATTGGTAACCGTGGGCAGTTTTCTTGGATCATTGAAAGACCAGGCCATGCCAATTGATGCAATTGGCATTCAACTACAGGCCATTCACTTTGGCAATGCCAATTGCCAATTGCTCCAATGGTCTTCTGATGGTAAACTCATACAATTAACCATGTGGGCTCAATGGGTTTGCATCCGTTCAATGCACGTAATTTGTCCTTTTGGGAGTAATGGTGTGTGGTGTACGGGGTGGCCCAACGTGGAATGGTCTCGTGGGTTGTTTCAGGAGCAATCCTTCTACTACTCACCATTACTATTGTATTACTTATTGTATTACTTATTATATTACTTATTATATTACTTATTATATTACTTATTATATAACTTATTGTGTGGAAGCTCTTACTATATTAGTTACTGCTTGTATTATTGTGTAGTACTATATGGCTCAATGTTAAGTTGGTAAGCGAAGGTGCCGGCTGCAAAAGGAGTCAAAGATAACCTTTTTTTTTCACTTGTTTCATGTTTGGTTGGCACTTAATGTTCACATGTAAATGAGTACCGGCTTCATGCACTATGGCCGGATTAACAATATCCGTATTCAAGATTTCCTCGAGGCTTCCTGTTTGAACTAAAAATTGCAAGTGCTGTTTACGAGTGGTCCACACCCCCAAACCCCATTACTATATAGGATTTGGTGTCGGACCTGGATCCCAGAGAACACGGGTTGTAGAAAGCACAGGTTTATTAACGAGCCTAGGTCGGTGCCTGAAAGGGATGTAGACTGGTTAAATTGGTGGGAATATTGAGAAGAAATTGCAAAACTGTAAATGGGTTGGTGTTAGCATGCTCAGAGCCGGGGGCTCTGTATGATCTTGAGAGATCCATGCCTATGACAAGCTAAGACGGTTCCACGATTCGTTTGATTTTGCTTATAAACTAACTACAGTAATAGTTTCCCTATTACTCATTTTACGGTACTCATTTCACAGTACTCATTTTACAGTACTCATTTCACAGTACTCATTTCACAGTACTCATTTCACTACTTGGTATTTCCAGCTTAGTCTTTCGGTTTTCTAAAAGTATCCGCTTTGGTGGTAGTACATTATATTCTCCTAGGTAAATGAAGCCGTTTCAGCGCACCCGTACATTTCTTTTGCAGCCTAAGCACAGTATTTACAATATTTTTTGCAATATTCAAGACTTACAACTAGAACCAATCCAACAACAAGACCCAGGGGATCCAATGCCCATTATGTCCTCACAGCACCACTTCTATTCCTTCACTACCTAAGGTCTTGAAAAGTCAAAGCCAGGCTGATGGAGTATGGATGCAACACCCTATTCCATCTAGAGACTGATTTAAAGGATTTTGTAACCACTACATCAGAAGCATCTATTATTGCCAATTAGTTGGGTTCATAAACGGGTGGATTAGGTATAAATATAAAATGCGGAAAACATTGAACTAGCCAGTATAATATCGGTATCCTTATGTAAACTGAAGTCAATCATACTATCAAAACCACTGGTAGAATAACAAATAGTAAGATTATTGACTAGAGTGAATAGCAATGACAAATAGATAGCAGACCAGCTTTTAAGGCAGCTACTAAAGATAACGGAAGACCAAGATAACGGAAGACTAAGATATCGGAAGGCACTACTAAACATACCGGAAGGCACTACTAAACATACCGGAAGGCACTACTAAAAATTACCGGAAAGCTACTCAAGAAACGGAAAGCTACTCAACAAAGCTACTAAAGACAACAGAAAACTGCTCAAGACAACGGAAACCAGTTGGACGTCGCTGAATTCAATTAATTGGAAATATGAAGCAGACCATGCCCATATAGTTGACGTTGGGGATGTTGGTCCCTGTCACGTGACTACCCCTCAAAAGAGCCTCGGCAGTAAGTTACAGGTTATCAACATGTAAACCGACTACACGAATTGGGGTCTTTTGAGAAATACTTCATTAGAAAACGATTAATTAAACCTTTATCACTATCAAGCAATGGCGATTTTTTCATCATTAGCGTCATTTTTCAGACGTCATAAGAGAAAGTTAATTATTACCACCACCTTAACTGTTAGTGCTTATTTTGTTATTAATCATTTTATATTTAAGAAATTAAGAGATTTCCAAAAATCATTAAAGCAAGAATTATTTATAAAAGAACAAATCAAGAGAAGGTTTATCCAAACACAAAATGATTGTCATTCAACCGTGCTTTCCTTATTACCAGTGTTAACCCAACCAATCACTGATTATCTACCAATTGAAAGCATAACTAATGCATTAAAATTAAGAAAATCTAATTCAAATAATAATCAAGAAATGAGTGATTCATTATTGACTGCTAATAATTTGTTACTTCATTCAAATGAAAATATGAATAATGAAACAAGCTATATCAATAAATCCAAGGTTGAATTATGGAATGATTTGAAAATCAAAACATTGACTCGTACTTTAACTTTAATTCATTCGATTAGTGGACTTTTATTATTAACTAGATTGCAATTGAATATTTTAGCAAGAAGATCTTATTTAGAACTGGCTATAGTAATGGCAGGAGGCAAAGTTGAAGCAAGTAATGATCAGTATAATGATTATCTCATAGAACAAGCATATTTATCATTAAGTTGGTGGTTATTAAATAATGGATGGATTAAATTAAGCGATAATATCGAAAGTTTAATCATTAAAAAATTTGAAAATTTAAATGCAAAATCTCAATTATCAATCTCACAATTTGAATTAATTTTGAATGAAATTAATCAGGAAGTATTGAATTCAAATATCTTGGGATTATTATTTCCTTTAAATTATGATCATTTAATTGAAACTTTATTAAATACAAATCCTCAACTCGTTAATGAATTAGATGACTCAAATTCAAATTTATTAAAACTTATTAATGAAACTAACCTATTAATTTCAAATGATTTCTTCCAGGAAATTTATTCAAAATTAATATCTTCTTCAACAAATACTTTAATTTCAAACTTATTCTTCAACTTAGATCATGATTCGTTTGTCTTACATCAACAAAATCAAGTAACCAACGATAAGAAGTTTAAATTAGCTAATTTTTTGGCTCAATTATCAATTCAATGTGGAATCATTTGTGATAATAATCATTTTGCCCAATATGACCACCACGAATTGACCGGGAATATCTACATCAATACCTTGAACGACTTAGACGACTTGGAAGAGTTCAGTGCTAGTATCTACTCCAACTTTGAATAATCTCTCTAGCTTATTCTGTATATTCTATACTCTGTATCTTATTCTGTATCTATAATAGACGTATTATACCTCGCGACACGCGACATTTTCTTCCCAAAGAAGACCACCGCCAAAAATAATGTCGCTCGCGCACCTTTAAGCTCAAGTTGACAAACACCTTTTAATGCTTTTTGCTACTTACTACTCTTACCCTCCAAGACCAATATGTCATCGCCAAAAGTCATTATCATCTCCTTGGATGATGAAAAGTTCCCAGTGGAACCCATAGTTGCAGAAAAATCAATCTTGATCAAAAATATGATCAACGATTTGAATCCTGATGGATTAACTGAAGATTTCGAAGTTCCAACTCCAAATGTCAGATCTTCAGTCTTAGCCAAAGTGTTGGAATGGTGTGAACATCACAAACATACCGTCTTTCCCGATGATGACGACGAAGATGCCAAAAAATCTGCTCCGGTGGATGAATGGGATCGTAACTTCTTAAAAGTTGATCAGGAAATGTTATACGAGATTATGTTGGCAGCCAACTACTTGAATATCAGACCTTTATTGGATGCTGGCTGTAAAACAGTTGCTGAAATGATCAGAAATAAGTCTCCCGAAGAATTAAGAAGAACCTTTAATATAGTCAATGACTTCAGTCCTGAAGAAGAAGCTGCCATCAGAAGAGAAAACGAATGGGCAGAAGATCGTTAGTTTATGTTTTATGAGTTATTCATTTCTACGTTATGTATACGTTACTAATATATGTGTTTTATTGTATTTAGTGTAGAGACCAGTATAAGACCAGGATAGTTGTGAAGGATGTCGTTTGTCGATTTTTTTTTATCGCAAAAAGTTACTCAACCACTGAAGGAAAAAAACCGAAAATACAGTTTTACAACCTTTTAAACTTACAAATATCTTCGTTTAACTTTGTCACCGAGGTGTTTGTTCTTTGAAGTTTCTAAATAGCTTTTCTTTTCAACAGTTTCTCAACTATTCATAGAGTTGGTAGTTATCTTTACTTTTGTTTTTTTCATTTAGTACCTGTTGGTGATAGTATGACTCTTGGCCTGACTAGAAGTAATTCCTCTAGAAGAGGGTCCCAAAATGAACCTAAAGCTTCTAGTGATAACCAGGAAACTTTGAATGGGAAATTCGAAGACGAAAATTTATCGTCACTACCCTTTTCTTCTGCTGAAGAACTTCAAAAACATGAAATACTTTTGCAAAAAGAGTTTGAACAATTATCAGAAGAATATATTGTTGCAAGAAAATCAAGAATTAATCATTTATTAACATCTTTAAATCATTATATAAAAATATTTAGCGAAAATGATAAAAACTGGACTAAAATATTTAATTTTGAATTAGAAACTATTAAAAGTATTAAAATTAATACTGAGAATTTAATTTTATCAAAATTAAAATTATCAAATCCGATCGATATAATTGAAAATTTAGATGAATATGAGTTAGAGTTGAATGAATTATTTAATAACATTCAGTCTCCTTTAGATTTTGATGATATTTTTAAAGTAAATTCTTCTAAATCAAAAGAAATTCCTTTTGAAAAAAATTTTAAAAATTTTTTTAAACCTTTTGAAAAACATTTAAAGTCAGTTTCTAATGAAAATAATTATCAGACTAATTTGATCAAATCAAATGTTCGTGGTAATCAAATGATTTTATGGAAACAGTATTACAATCATGCATTATCTCAAAAAGAAAAACTTATTAATGAAACTTATAATGAATTACATCAACTTTATAAAGAATTTAATCATATGGATGAATATCAGCAAATTGAAAAAGATTGGAAGGCTTATAATAAATCAATCGTCGGTATCAATAATTTAAAACCTTCTTCTGAATATCAATCAAATCATGATATTTATTACGATGTTGATAATCCTTATTTTAGAAAAAATAAAATAGAACTAACAAATATTAAACAAACAATTTTAAATGATCTCAATAAGTTTAACAATCAGCAACGGAATCATGGCTCAGATAATTCGACAATATTAAATTCTTGTTTTGGTTTAAGCTCGAATGAAATAGATCAAGATCTTTTATCAATAAGAAGTTTATCTAATAATAAAGATGTTGCAATTACTCAAGTAAATGCTGAAGAGGATGCAGAAGAAGAAATTTATGATGAAGATGAATATGACTATGACGATGATGACGATGAAGAAGAAGAAGAATCCGAGGATGATGATGAATATGAAGATGATGCTAGTCAATTAACTGAAAGAGAAGTTGCATTAGTCAGACAACTTGATAGAGAAGAAGAAGAAAAACTTGCTAAAGAACAATATGAAAAAGAATTGGATTCAAAACTTGATGAAGAATTAAGTCCAAATGATTTAATGGATCGTAAATATAAACAATTACTTTCTATTAATAAGACCCAATCAACTATAAGTACATCTCCTCCTTTTCTTCAAAATTCATATTCTTATGGTCATCAAAATAATCAATATAGCACTCCTCCTTCTACATCTTCTCAATACATCGAAGAAGGAAATACTAGAAAAAGAAGGTTTGTATTACCAGAAATACCACCTTTGGGTAAATTTCCAAGATTAGAGGCATGATTTTTAACATTATTTCATATATATCTTGTTTCACTAAGGGGTGTAGAATGCATTGAATTATTATCTATTTCTATATAAAATAAAAATAAAAGAAGAAAAAATTATTCTTTTTCCAATAGTATACTAGCGTTTTTCAAACCAACTTGACCAATTGATGAGTCTAGGGATTCGATTAATTTGAAAGATTTATTAGATACATTTGAAAGGTTGAACCTATCTTGAGAAGTTAAGCCATACTCATCATCATTATTTTGTAAGACATTTTTCAACCATTGATAAATGGTGATCACTTTATCATCATCGATATTAAATTTATGAATGAGTCTTTTCCCATTTGGAAATCTGATTTGTATACGAGTGACATTCCCGGAAGAAGGTTCTTCATGATTAACAGGTTTGATTGCATCAAAGGGATCTTCCAGGGTATCCGGTTCAGCATCATTAGTATCATCCTCATCGATATTAATAGCATCATCAGCAGAATTACCCATTGATTGTTTCAAAGCAAATTCAATTTGTTGTTCTTCAGTTAAGGCATCAGGATCAAATTTATGTTCATGTTCAATTATTGGATTTTTTGAATTTGGTAATAAACTAAATTTATTTAAAAATTTATCAATATCATCTATCCAACTTTCAATATCAGGTATTTCGCCATCTATCCACTTAAATACTCGTTCACCGGTTAAAGGATCCAAAATCGAAATATGGGGGAATGCATTAGTTGAGTAGAAATTCGTATAGCTCATCCCATTTGGAGAATCATTTTGATACTGTAGAAAGATAAAATTCTCTTTAACTTTATTTTTAACTGTTGAATTTGACCAAAAATCTCGATTCAAAACTTGACAACCGAATTCACTACTATCTTGAATATTAACCAAGATCCATTTCTTCTCTTCTCTACCTTTGATTTTAGCAGAATCAATATCTATTCTTTCCATCAAGTCAAAAGGTGGACGGAATAAGTTTGCTAATCTTCTTTGGGTTGAGGTTAATTCATTTATTCTATCATCTCTGGCAATTCTTCTTCTTGATCTTGGGGGTCTAGTGGTTTCAATGACTTCACCATCACTATCCAAAACCATCACATCGTCATCGTCTTCCTCCTCTTCATCTTCATCATTATAAGACTCATCCTCGCTATTATCATCCTGTAGTTCTTGAATTCGATTATTATAATAAGCATTTTCTTCGTCATCAAAACGTTGGTTGAAAATACCAACACGGCCCTGGCCAAATATATCCGTTGGTCTACTCATTTGTGGTTGTGGAGTGAATCCTCCTCCAAAAGAGTCTATCAAGGTTTCATGTCTATGAATATTAGCATCAGCTTCTCGTACATCATCGTTTGACCCATATGCTTCTTGCTGCAACCGTTGCGCCATGGCCTCGTCATCCTCACGTGCCCCTCCGTGGGTATCATTAGATGTTGGTGCTGCCCCCGGTGGATTGGATTCCATATACAAAGTCACTGCATAGTCCAAATCGTTATTGGTGATCTCTAAATATTGTTTGGCAACCGACTCGTCGCTGGCTCCAGTGACGGCAAGGAAGGTGGTAATCAAGCTATCGTCCATCGTAAAATTCTTCAATATCTAGTCGTTTGTTTCTCTGCAATTGACCTTAGTTTACTAGTCTATACTACTACCAGTGGAATCGCTCTTCACTTTTGAAATGGCAAAATGTCGTGGCCCGCCAGAAACCGCGACATTGTCACACACACACCCGTACCCACAAAAACCAAACACCCATACACCATTATCGTACGCCCATACACCATTATCGCACACCCATACACCAAACAAACAAAGAAAAACCGCTAAAACTTATCGTTGATCTGCAAAAACTTCTCTTTTGTTCGATTTTTATTGTGAGGAACCATTCCGGTTATTACTCACTACTTGTTCTTTATCACCCTCTTCTTCTACAGCATAATACATCACCAATTGTATCGATATTCAATAAATCTTTTGCCTTCCAGTGTGCGTGCGTGTGTCCTTTGGATCCTTATTCAACAGAATTAGATTCCATCTCTTTCTAGCGTTGTCTTTCCATTTGAATAGTCTCCATACTTTTTTTTATTTTTTTTTTGTTTTGTTTGGATAACCGCCCTTCCTTTTACAGTGGTCTTTGTTTTCTAAACTCCATAGATATCCTTTTTTCGGTTGTTTGTTTCCAATCCATACCTTAAGTCGGTTGTGTGAGCGTCCTATCCAGTCGCCAGTGGCCAATTGTCTTGCATTCATTTCCCTTTTTGACTCAAGTATAGCTGAAAGCGTAGTGATTCATAGCGCCGTCTTCTATACAACTGTTGAGTGCACATTATAGAAAAACCCGGAAAAAAAAAACAGAAAACTCATACCAAATAAAAAGAGAAAAAGAAAAAAAAAAATCAAATCTAAAAGCAAAAAAGAAAGAAAAAAAAAAAAACTAAATTGAATCCCTTGCTATAGAAGAGAAAAGAACTTTTTTCACTGAAAAGGATATATTTTGAAAGAGTACACTTAGATAAAGCTGTTTCGAAGAGATAGATTTATATCGTATTCTTCTGTGCGTATTCTTTTTTAGTTGGGATTTTCATTTACTTTTCTAAGTGACGATATACTTTGGACCAACTAAACAAATACTTGGTCTGGCTTTGTTTTTTTTAACAACCGCTTGCATTGCCAACTGGACCGGATATTCCTATTCGAATAGTTGTTGAACTTGATAGCATATTGGTCTTGCTTATTCCAGATAAGATCTACCAAAGATTTCTTGAAATCGCCATTAATTAATTGTCTTTTAAAAATTTAATATCCTATTAACAAAAGCTTTTATGTCCACTTAACGATTACTTCATTTCTTCACTTATTGCATCACATATATATAGTCTGCATTTACTTTTTTTCTTCCTTTTCTTCATTTGTTTGTTTGAAATCGCTTTGTTATTCCTAAACCAAAAACAAGATTGGTTTAAACTGGTATTTGACAAGAATTAGTTCTTGATTGGCTCATTTTATTTTCATCTAAAACTTCAAGTCCTTTTACATTTAAGTTTATTTTTTTCCCAAGGAAAATGATGGATGAATACGAAAAATATGACAGCGGCTCTTTACTTAATGATCGATACCTTAAAGTGGCAGATATAAGTGAAGGCTCGTATGGTCTTGTTTCAGTTGCTAAAGATACTTTATCTGATAATAAATTAGTTGCAGTTAAATTTATCTATCCAGTTGATTATAAAAAAAATGAAGCTCAAAATCCTCAAACAACAAGAGCTAAAACTTTAGATTCAAAAAGAGCCACCTCTTCTCCAGCAAAACTCAGATCAAATATCATATCTGTAAATGATCAAAAGGAGGAGAAAAAACAACAAATCCAAAGTAAATCTTCAATCTTGAGAGCCCTTTATGAAGAAGCCTCAAAAGAAATTAAAATCCATCAGATTTTGGGCCATCATCCAAATATTAGTTCTCTTTATGATCATTTTGATTCATGTTTGGTTTTAGAATATTGTGCTCGCGGGGATTTATACGAAGCCATTCAAAACGGTATCGGTCCCTCTTTATCGAAAGATATAAAAGAGGTTTTCTTTCAAATCTTGAATGCTTTAGAATACTGTCATTCTCATGGGGTTTATCATCGTGATTTGAAACCGGAAAATATCTTGATTTCTGAAGATTGGTCAATTAAACTTTGTGATTGGGGGTTGGCTACTACGTCTCGTACAATCACCAATAAAAGTGAATTTGATATCGGTTCGGAAAGATATATGGCTCCTGAATTATTTGATGTCAAATCTGAATTCTATGACGCTTCAAAAATTGATTTATGGTCCGTAGGTATTATCTTATTAACCTTGGTTTTCCATAAAAATCCTTTCCAAGTAGCTAACGATTCTGATAAGAGATTTTTACAATTTGCTGCTAATAGAGAGGCTTTATTTGATATTTTTTCTACTATGACTGGTGAGATGTTTTCAGTTTTACGTTATTGTTTAAATATTGATCCAAATAATCGTGATTTGTATAATCTTAAGTTCGAACTTAATAGTTTAAAATATTTCACTTTTGATGAGGAAGATTGGGCAAGTGATTATGATTATGATTTTGATGATGAAGCAATCGAAAATGATTCAGATGAACTTGAAAATCATTACAATGATTATAATGATCATTATAATGAAAACTACAATGACGAATTTGACTTGGAATTGAATCATGATGATGAGTTTCATTTCAATACCGGCTCAGATTCTTCCATCAATAAGAAAGATGATGATTCTGGTGATCGGGATGTTAGCTCCCCTTCACCCGAAGTGGATATTCCTAAAATCGAAGATAAACCATTACAAGAGTCAATTGCAGTTACGCCAAAATACATTCCTCCTAAACATCATCACCATCATCACCATCATCACCATCATCACCATCAATCTCCTGAACCAACACCAATCATAACTACCACTGATACCACCGAATCAGAGATTCAAGATAGCATTTCTGAATTGCAAGATATTAAAGCGAAAAAACCAAGACCCAAATCGGTTAGTCATCTTACTACAAATCCAAGAGCAGATCTTTTGTTGGATATTCATGATGATGATATTTCAAATCAAAGAATGCCTCATAATCCTCGTGCAGATGCTTTACTTTCTTCAAATGAAGACTTGAAGCCAATTCCAATGAATAATGGGGGTCTTAAGTTTATTAGGAACACTCGTAAACCATTTAATGTTCCATCTTATAGCCATTCTCGTAAGATCAATGGTTCCAGTAACCATAATAATCGTGATAAATTTGCGAGAGAAGATTTTTTCACTCCAAAGTCGATGTTCAGTCATTATATGGACAAGTACAATCGAAGCTCAAGTTATCGTGGTAATTACCTGAGCTATAATAATAATAATAATAATAATAATAAGTCCAATACCCGTCAACATCGCAGTGATTGGAAGAAAAATGGCCGTAAGCGCCAATCATGGAAATATAGAAATAATAATGGTCATTCAAATAATCATCATAATAAGAATCACCAATCAAATACTTCCAGATCCAAATCTCAACATAACAATAAATCACGTCCTAAATCATCTGGAAATTTCCGTTTGAACAACGAAGGTATTAGTGGACAAAAGAAGAAACAATCATCACTGTTTTCGAGTAGTAAATCAAGAAAACATGTGGTTCAAAGTTTGAATGGAAATGCTACAAGTACGAATAACCATAATCCATTATTAAATAACTTTCATACTTTGAATCATCCTAACAATACATCGAATCATGGCTCTCCAGGAACATCCGTTGCCAGTGCTAATGGGAAATATATCCCACCATATTTGAGATCACCTAATTATGCAAGATCACCAGTAATTGAACCAGTTACTGAAGAAATTGATAATCTTACTTTAGATTCGGGTAATAATAAGCCATCAACACTTGATGGATATGACGTGTTTCATTTGGAAGAAGATTTTGATTTAGCATTCAACCATAATAATAGTAACGAAACTAATAAATCATTATCACTGGTTAATACCAATTCTACCTCTGTGAATTCGTTCCCAACTGATAAAAGACCACCATCTTTTAAAGTTCCAACTTATTCATTAACAAGTTTAAGTTACGATTTACAGAAGATGCCCGGAGAAAATGCAATAGCTAATGGGAATACTCACCGTAATGCCAATGGCAGAAGACATTCTATCAATAGATTTAGTGACGTTCATTCTGCATTGTCTGGAATGGGAATATCCAGCTCACCAAGTGGTAAGTACATTCCACCATTCAGAAGAGGATCTCACTCAGCTGTCACCGGCAATTCAGCTGCCGCAATCAATATCAAGGGTAAGCCTACTGGGGAAAAACGCAGATCTGGCTATGATTACGATAAGACTCATGGATTTACATTGAGTGGAGGTCCCGATCATAGTGATAGTACCTTGAATGATTACAACACTGCCGACAATAATGACAATAAGCATTCCTACAAAGATGTTTACCAGTATAATGATCTTGATAACAATGATCGTCATGAACAAGATCATGGTTATCAATCCCATTTTAACCATCGTCAATTTTTAAATGATTTGAATGAAGGTATGTCAAGTGATGGTATCACTTCGTCACTGGTGCCTTCTTACAAGACTGACTGGTTCCCCGTAAAGAAAGACTGGATTGATTATGATGAATAGAGAGCAAGGCTTTTTTCCAGTTTTTCCCTTTTTTTTTTTTTTCTCTTTATACCTTTTTTTTTTTTTTTTTTTTTTTTTAAAGACCTTTCCCCCTTTTCCTTATATATTATACTACATATACAATATGTAGTAATTTTGTCAATAGTCTCTAGCATAGTTCTAGCATAGTACATAACAGACACGTAAAGACAAATTATATTAGGCAACAGCTAAAGTACAAAATACGAACCGGATGCAGCAACCCCTACGGGCTCAGCACTCCCTTGACACACGCATCACCCTTGACACCCACCTAGGCATTTCTGAGTAATTGCAAGATAAACGGAAGATAAACGGAAGAGAGGTTAAAAAAAGAAATAAAAATACACGAGATGAGGTTCGCATAATACTCTTTGGTGCGTTTTGATAATTTCCTAACTGGTTTAAATGGTCAAAACGGTCTAAATCAAGAATGCGAACAGCGCACAACAAATGCCGATGTAGCATGAGCTACAGCTCGAGAGTCCAGACCGGCAACTCTGGCAATTTAAAAGATTGCATGATGCTAAGTTTTGAAGAGCCCAGCTCAACTTTAATCCTTGTAACGTATATAATATTTCCCAATGGGTAATTTAGCGATGGTTGAACAAAGATGGCACTCGATTCACCAAACGCGATTTGGTCGAGGGCTCAGGAGCAAACCGATTAACCCAAGCTGATTTATGAATGAAGAACACTGCCTTGTAAATGGAGAAAAGAAAAGGGGGAAGTATTTATGAAGTAGATCATTTGGAAGATGCCGTGATTAGGTTATATTGATGGTTTCGGTGCTTGTCCAATGTTATTGTAGTATTCTTTCCTTGGTTTTATGCATTTTGTCCCAGCACCCGTTTTCAATTCTCGAGTACTTTTCTTTGCCGAATCTTGATTAGTTTCTAAATTTGAATTAATCTTAACTGTATGATTATAATTTGATAACTTACCCTTTTTTTTCTATTAAAAAAAAACTTATTGAAGTAAACCTTTTACAACTTATCAACGGTAAACAAAAGAAGGTTTAGGTTGTAATCTGAATCCTTTATTGGAGTTCATAGGAATTGAAATGTTATTTCCAAAGTTTTATAATAAGAGATTTAAACATATAACAGTTTTAATCTCTTTGGCAATTTGCACTTTAATAATCCTAAATGGATATTTGTCACACGATACTAACCAAGTGAAAATTGAAAATGAAGCTATAATTCAATTCAAAGCAAGTGCAAATAGGTATAACCCTAAGCAAATGACTTATGTTGTATTTCAGTATTTGACTGCTTTCAATAAGAAAAAACATACCAACCATCCATTGACTAGTAACATTGGAGGTGATTTTGGAATTTGGTTTCATTGGGATGATTGGGTTGATTTAAGTGCTGGGAATACAAAACTTAATCAAGTTAGAAAGCAGCATCCGAGTGGAGGATGTCCTAATAATATTCAAAGATATGGTGCTTTCAGTGGGTTCCCCTTTGAATCAATGAGAAGTAAAATCACTAGAAGTAAAGTCGATTTATATTGTAATCAAGAAGTCCCGAAAAGAATTGTGATAGCCACCGATAAATCATTTGTTGAATTACCAGTTGTTGGTGAAAAAAGGTTTGGTACTAATCATTTACCTCAGGGAGTTACTAAAGAATTATTATTAGAAGAAATGAAATTAGTTGAATCAAAACAATCCAAAAAAAACACTAAAAATTTAAGTCAAGAAGATAAAGATTCAAAAGAATTTCAAGATAGTGATGATTATCATATGATGTTTGGTTATAAGAATTTTAAGAAATTTGAAAAAGAAATTGATATTGAATATTCAGATTTTATTTTTAATATTAAAGATGAAATCGTTCGTTTAAAAGAAAAATGGAATAGAAGATACATTTGGGTACTGGAGAAGAAGTATCTTGATATGTTAGAATGGGCAAATCACTTAATTGATTTTAGTGGTTCTAATGAATACTTTAAAAATCCTTGGAAATTTAAGGACTCATTAACTTCTAAAATTCATGCTTATGCTTATCCATTTTATCAACGTTCTTTAACCGATGGTGAGCGTCAAAGTATTGCTCAACATATGATTCAGACTTGGTTTCAATTTGCTCAAGCAAATGGGTTGAAAAGTTGGCTTGGTGATTCTAGTTTATTAGGTTGGTCTTACAATGGTATTGATCTACCTTGGAGTCTGAATATTGACATTCATATGCCAATCCGTCAACTAGACCGTTTAGGTCGAGATTTTAATAAAACTCTTTTAATTGAAAATCCAAGATTCGGTAATGGGAAATATTATTTAGAAGTTTCTCCTACTTATGGCAAACAGGCAATTAAATCGGATTCCATCGAAGCAAGATTGGTTGATATCAATTCTGGTTATTCAATTGAAATAAAATCTTTAATGTTCCATTCTGATGTTCAACCACCCAAAAAATTTTGGAAGCATTTAGCCAACAGCGATGAAAAATATGAGGCCGTAGCTACTCATACAAAAGACTGGGAATGGCAAAATTTAAGAGATACCATTCCAATAAGACATACTTATTTTGAAGGGACTTCAGTTTATATTCCTCATAACGTCACTAGATATCTTAGTAACATTTATAAAGACAAGTTTATAAATGCTACTTATATTGGCGATTATAATTATCAAAGAGACCTTAGACTATGGGTTCCAAATGACGTCTGTAATACGTCTCCTAAGAATTTCCGTTTCATTAACAAAGATGATTATTCACAATTAAGTTTAAAAGGTGCTTGTAATAAAGAAAGTTTGAAAGATGAATATCAAATAACTGAAAAACTTACTACTCGCCATCGCGAACTTAATTCAAATATCGATAAAGCAAAAGACTATGACCCAAATCAATTAAAAGACTTACCGATTATGCGTAAAGATGTGTGGGAATATTTTAATGATATTGTCCATCGTACCGTTGATCATACAAACTGGTATAATGGTGTATCATCCAATTGATACCGAACTTCTTCTTTCTTTCTACATTGTATTATTAATATATATATATGTATATATATATATGTATATAGTTTTATTGCATATTTTTCAAAATATCTTCGAGCGATTTACTTTTTGGTAGTATACGATTTTTAGTATCGCTATTGATTTTCCTATGAGCCAAAACTTTATTAGCACTATCAAGACCAAATCTTCTGATTAATTTTGAGTAAAACAAGCCACAGGCATTGCATAAGGTTCTCTTACCTTCAGGACCATTTCGCCATTCAGGAGTAATCTCCAGGTGACAATGATGACAAATGCCCCCTGGGGGTATCGATTTCCTGCCTCTTTTTTTAACAATTTTATTTTGTTTATGCTGGCATGGCGGGCCATTTTTCACCAATAAATTCGCCTTCACATTTTGCAATAAAGTCAATTGGTCTATAAAAGCAGATAGTTCAACAATCAAACTGTTGAAACGAGAGTCCGGAATACTCAAGATCCATTTTTCAAATCTGGAGGAGCTAACAAATTCACTCGCATTAACCCCGTCTAAACCACTCAAGCCCTGATCAAGCAAGTCCAATACCGGGAATGCCGCCTTACTATCCAGCAAAAACGATTTCAAGCCCAATAAAGCTGATACGGTCCTGTCATCTGCCTGACTCAGATTTGCAGGTGGAACTTGAGTGGAAACCGAAGGCGGGTGCCCTAGAGAAGCAACAATTTGCGAGAACGATGGTAGTTCAGGTCCCGGAAACCTAGCAAACAACGAAGATTTCGAGCCAGGCACTGTTATTGAGGGTAGCCGCCGGCCAGGGTTGTAAGTGACCATAGCCATTGCAGCACGGCAGCACGACTACAAACTAGTAGTTTTTTGCAGCCTTGACATTTGTGTTGGTGCCCAAACAAACCACCCAGACACCAGGCCCAACTCCCCGAAAAAATAAAAGCATCAAATCTGCACTGGCAAATTTCCGCACTGCTTGGTCTAAAGCGGACAAAGAAAAGGGCAAGCCCATCGAGGAACCAGGGTTGCCGGAAAGGTAAACAACCAATTGGTACCTTAATGAACAGTAAAGTAAATAAAAAGATGATGCATTGTGCCAGCAAAACAAATCACTAATTAGGGCAGTTGATTGGACATTGCCTCGGATTGACGAGAGCTTATAATAATAAACAAAGGCTCACCAACAAAGCGTTCCACTAAACAAAAACTGGCCAAAACAAAGCAACAAGGGAATGAAGGGAAAAAAAGGAAACAAGACTCAACAGCAAAGGGTAAACCCACAAAGAAGAACCCAGAATGAAAAAGAAAGAAAAAGCTTATTTTATTAATAAGGTATTGTTAGTAATACAATTGCACCAATCATTTGAATACCAAGATGGGGTGATTTTCCAGCACGACTGCTAGTGAATACCTTGTAATTTTCCGGCTAGCCCACTGTCCTCCTGATGAATCACCAGCATTGTAGCTGAATATCCATTTATAGCATAGCAAGATATACGAACCTACGGTAGATGCTCCCCTTGCCCCTGACATTCTGCACACAACTCCGCGTAGCCCTCCGCGTAGCCCTCCGGCAGCCCACCGGCAAGCCAAGCGAGCAGCTGGGTGGCAGGGTGTACGGAGGTGGGACCCCCAGCGGGCCCAAAATCTGAAACAACTAACAAACCCGCGGCCGCACTGAAAACAAAAAATAAAAAATATTCTAAAACACCACCAACAAAAGCACAAACAATCCGAAACAATAAATTGAAAAGTGCCGTGTTTCAAGTTTGCCCTTTTGGTTTCAAAGCTCGCCAAACCTGAAACATATTTTCGGTAAAGATTAGTTTCCAGTTGTTATTTCTTTACAAAAACATTTATAACTAGATTACATCCCCCTGCTTTCATGTTTAGCCCGAGTAGTGTAGTTCTTCTACTTTAGTTCTCTCGTTTCAGATTATTAGTAGCAGGTTGGTTTCACTGTTGAATTTGTAACAAGCATCTTTTGTTACTTTAACGAACTCCCTTGCCATAGCTATTAACTCACTTAGTATAGCATACCTCTAGGTGGGATTGGATATACTTAGCCGCCACAGCTCAAACATCACCAACTCAACTACTTTTGAGTTAGGCTGCTCCTACTTAGTCGTCTCCCGTTAAACAAAAAAAGAGAAAACGACAAAAAAAAACAAAAAAAGCAGTGAGCCTTTGTTCAATAGCCATTTGTTTTGTGTTGTACATTGGATCACAATATATTGTCAATTCCAATTAGTTCAATTGAATAAGTTAACTTATTGGAGTTTGAATTTGAAAAGAACGAAGCCAAAGAAAAAAAAAGCCATTTTATGAATTGCATTCGCCATAATGACAGCTACTACCACCCAATTAGTGGTAAAACATGAACTGAAGTCAGATACAAAGAAGCTAGATCATGACTCAAATGAACAGGTTAAAGAATCGTTACGGCTAATTGAAGATTTAAAATTTTTTTTAGCTACTGCTCCGGCAAATTGGCAAGAAAATCAAGTGATTAGAAGGTATTACTTAAATCACGATGAAGGTTTTGTTAGTTGTGTTTATTGGAATAATTTATATTTTATCACCGGTACCGATATTGTTCGTTGTATCGTTTATAAATTTGAACACTTTGGTAGAAAAATCATTGATCGTAAGAAATTTGAAGAAGGTATCTTTTCAGATTTAAGAAATTTAAAATGCCATCAAGATGCTATTTTAGAATCTCCAAGATCAGAGTTTTTGAATTTTTTATTTAAAAACGCTTGTTTACGGACCCAAAAGAAACAGAAGGTTTTCTTTTGGTTTAATGTTCCTCATGATAAATTAATGGCTGATGCTTTAGAAAGAGATTTTAAAAAGGAAAAAGCTGGTCAAAACCCAACAACTATTTCTCATAGAGAACCAGCTCTTTCCTTTAATTATGACGAAAATAAGTCTCTTTATGATCAATTGGCTCATCATATGGATTTACAAAAAAAATTAAACCAATCAGATGATCAAACTAATTCTTCCACTTTATCAGAACCTGATTCTGACCAAAGATCCCCGGAATATACTTCAACCACTACTTCTGCCGCTGCCGCTGCCGCTAACACTAATACTAATGCTAATTCCAATGATAATAATGATGCATTTGATTTCTTGGACCACGAAACTCCCGCGCAATATAAAAATGGCTCCGATTATGAAGACGATTTCCCTCTAGATTATTTTGATCAGGAAGATTCAAACGATAAAAATAACTTTATAACCTTAGATTCAAATTTTCAAGTTGGTTACATCAACGGGTTTGATGAAAACTATGATAATTTGGTGGATCCTTCAATTTTTACTAACCCTACTTTCCCAACTCCAGTTGCTAGTCAATTGGTCTTTAATGATGAATATTTAATCGAACAAACCCAACCTTTGAAAACTCCTTTACCTCCTCCTAATACTCATCAAACCTCTCTGCATTTAGATTCTCAAAATCAACAACATTTACCAACTACTCAAATTATACCTGCTCCTCCTCCTCCTCCTCCTCAAGCTCATATTATTCATTCTTCAACTCAAGATTTTTTCCCAATCCATGATCCTTACCATCAACCTCCTTCCGCCAAATTCCAGCCCCGTTTTTATAATGATCCCCCTTTAATGATCCAAAATCATCAACAACCTCCACCACAGCACTTATTTCAACCAATGGAACCAATACCCTATGGTTATTCGCATCCAGATCAAGAGTACTGGCCTCAACCAGCAGTTGCTACAACTCCTGCTCCTCCTTCTGCTGGTCCTTCTCAGCAATCTTTTTATCCTGATCAATTCCCTGTCCCACAACCATACATTTACTACAACGATGCTCAACCACAACCAGATATAATCCCTTCATCTGGTTATCATTATATGGATCCAAATTTTATGCCCATACCGAATAACCCTCCAACTTATTTGAAACCTAACGATTTTGCTCCTCCATCTACTAGACAACAGCAAATTAGCGCTAATATGATGAAAAAGAAACGCCAATTACAACAACAATCTCGTTTAAAAACTCAACAAAATCATGTTCGTGGTTTGCCTGAAAAAATTGATTTAGATGAGGTTGTTTCTAATAAAAGTACTACTAAAGTTGTTAATTTTAAAGACATTAACAACAAAGATGCTAATGAAATGCCAACTCCAGAGTCCTCCATTGGTAATCCCGATTCAAATTATAATAGACAAGTAAAATAATTTGTTTACCTACTTAGCTAAAACCTATTTGTTTATGGAAACTTTTGACTTTAGTTCATTTTCTATTCGATATTCATTCTGCCTCTTTCTTACTTTTTCGGTTTTGTTATCTTATTGAAAAGCTGAGGAAACTGGCTTTTTTCTCTTTGCAATGATCTGCTTTTTTTTCTGTTTTGTTTTGTTTTGTTTTTATCAATCGTCATTTATATCACCCACGGCTCTGTCTTATTATCAATTATATTTTAATTCATGTATTTATATTAGTATTATTTTCACCCATTTATAGCTTCAAATTTAATGATTATCGCAATACTTACCTTCTACATGTATGTTAATTATATTATACCATCATTATATAGAATATATAATACACAATCCTCTTATTCTTGACTATAATACTCAACAAGTTTTTGTTGAGGAACTGAAAATTTTTGTAAAATTGCATCCATTGGATTTTTCTCTTCTGAATTCTCTAATCTGTTGCCATGACTAATTTGGCTAACTCTACTTGCTTTTAAAAGTCTTCCATAACTCAGAATTACGAGTCTTCTGACATCCACATCCTTATGTTCAACAAAAGGACGAAGCACGTCATTAATTTGTACTATAATTGCATTGTCAACCAATAAATTAAAGCTATTCATGGCCAACAACTTGGCTAAGCAGTCAACAACGAATAATAAAGAGTATTTCAAATTCTCGTCTTGATAACCCCGAAGAGTGTTAATGGTACACGTCAAAAGACTAGACGTAGAATACATACCACATAATATTTCATCAAATGTTTCACTAATAGCAAGCGCCAACTCGTTAAGGTTATCCTCTAATTGATGACTCAACTTAGTTAAAACTTGCCAAATACTATCGAGGCTCATCGATGACCTGTTGATTAAAAGTTGCTTCAAAATCATCAAGCCACCAAGAATCATTGACTTATGAACATCATGCATTCTGGAATCAAAGAATCTCCACAATGAATCTTCAAGAAGCCTTTGACCATCATTCTCGAAGTAATGAGCAAATTCAGACGACTGATGTTCCTGTAAATAAGCGAGTAGCTCGATTAGATCTTCACGGGAGGTTTCTGGCCTTCTTAAACTTTCACAAAGGTGCTGAAAATGGGTTATAGATTTATCAGATTCGCTGCTTGGTTTACTTTCAGACTTTTCCGCATTCAATTTTGCCATTTGGAAGTTAAACCAGTTTAATTCAGAGAAGTTATAATCCTTGACTTTTTGAGGTGATCCTGAAACAGTATCATCGTGAAAGATTGTAATGGGTTTGTTCTTATTAGACATTTTGCTAAACGGATCCACCTTATCAATAAACGTCTGGATAGAGTCTTTACTGTTCAATTCACTTCTTTGCGAGTCTACCTTATCAATCAAGGATTGTGCTGAATCTTTTGAGTTAATTTGATTCTTCTTCAATTCAGTTATTTTTACTTGAGCAAAATCTTCCACTAATTCATTTGATTCATTTTGGTTAAATTTAGAGAAAAGTTCACCACGGTTTTTACCATCACTGTTATTGAATATGTTATTGGGTATCAGTCTGGGAGTCCCAGTTAATTCATTGGTAGAATTCTGCAGTTCAGAAGATGCAGAGTTCTTGATAGGTGTCGCATCTTTACTTGGAGCTTGATCTTTATTGAAAAAGAACTCGTCATTCTTATCAACAGATTTATTTTCTGCTGAATTGTCATCTTCATTATCACTTTGTATAGTATGATTCACAGGAATTTCATTATCATCGTCATCATCATCGAAATCAATATTATCTTCAACTTCTTTGTCAAAATGTGGCTCTGCATCTAAATTGATAGACCTTACTTCATCAATATCCATAGCATTCAAAGTTTTTGCACTCTGTTTTTGAGCAAGTCCATTATTAAAAACAATAGTACTATCGGGGCCCGCTCTTCTAGAAGGAACTAACATTGTGAAATCAGAATTATGCTTCAAAGGTGAAGTATCAGAAATTTTGTTGAAATTAACTTTTGTCAAGTCAAGTAAGCCTCCATAGTTAGTATGCTCGGATTGCTCATAGCTTCTGTTAACCCCTATAATTCGTTCAACTTCATCTTTAGTGATATCATTGACCATTTGAAGTTCTGTTGAGAAGAGAGTTGAATTGATGGAAAAAAGTTGTTTGAAAAGTACTGATAAAGAGGCAAACGAGTCACCCAATTGAAGCAAATTGATCAACTCAAACAAGACGGTAACTAATTTTATGAATTGACCATCATTTATCGGAATTCTATCCAAACACTTATGCAATAGCTCCAAAAGCATATTGGTCATGGTTGCTTTATGTTTAATTATTTGCATAGTGAGTTGACCGTCGTCAATTATATTGGAAATGTTAGCGATATAGGAGAGAATAGTTGCGGAAGATTTGTAAATATCATCAACTTCTAACACTGATATAAGTAATTGAACTGTATCGTCACTGGCGTCAAGCAATAAAGAGCATAAACGAATCAAATCTTCAGGCTCAAAATATTTGGATGATTTTTTAAATAAACTTTCTCCCAATAAAAGATCCTTAAGTGTTTCTGGATGTTCAATGGAAACTTTCCGTAAAAGAGTAGAAGTCTCGTCAGACAACTCCTCGTTGCACATGATAGCATATTTTAACATATTAACACCTTCATGATTGTTTCCTGCCTTATTCGATGATAAAAGTTTCAAGATGAAGTCATTCTTCTTGTCAAATGGTTGTACTTCTAAACTCAAATCTTGGTTCAAATCTACACGGGTATGACCATCTTGTCCTTGCATAGATCTAAGCGATGTAGCACTGTCAGATCTCTTACGAGTTTCGAACCTTATACTATCAACTGGGGAATTTAAAGAAGAAACGGAGCTAGTTCTCTTGGGCGCACCAATTATTTTATTGGGGGCCTTTTTAGATGAATCTGAAAAGATTCTGCTTGAACGGTGGTTTAAATCTTTGTCAAGGTTTTCTACCGACAACCTTGATGTGATTCTCGAAGCGGGTCTAGTAGTAGGTCTGGATGAAGGTCTAGAAAGAGGACCTGATTCAGCTTCTCTTTGTTTAGATTTCATTTCTCGGTTTTTAGCAATAATGCTGTCTTTTATTGAGGGTCTTGTCTTTTTAGGAGGAATTCCATGAGCTGCGGCAGTGTTGGATGACAATCCTTTCGGTTTGGAACGTTCCACACCCTTGATGATATTGAGGTCAAATCCAGATAAGAAACTTTCAGCTTCAGTTTTGAATTTAGTCCAAAAACACCAGTATGTATCCTTAGCAGATTGTCTAACCGTTGGATTATGATCATTTAATAGCTTTCCTAAAATTTTCTTTGAGATATCAATTCCATTATTTCCAGTAGACAAGTTTGGTGTAAGAAAAGCATGACTGTTGTGGTAACGGGTTACATATATTTGCAACCAAAGACCACTAAAAGACCTTGGAGAAATATTTTTTTCATTGGATGCAACCAAAATTTTATTCATCCTATTGTACGAGAAAGATGAATTCAAAAAGATGATACACAATGCCATATTTGCATTTGTTGATGCAATGTTTTTGGTGGCAGAGCAAAGCTTTATTAAAGTAGGCATTAATAAGTCAAGAACAGAATCTGCAGAGGACTTCAAGAAAAGCGCAAGCTCTTTTGCTAGCTGACACCCATGTGATGATAAAGTAGTACGAAGAGAGGTAATTGCTTTACAAATAGCGTCTGACACGTCCCTGAAACCAGTAATCAAATCTTCAGGAAAATTATCGGCAGAATTCCCTCTTAGTAATGATCTCAAAAATATGATACTACGTTCTCTTGCTGCCCAGTTAAACTCAGTTTCCCTGTTCTCAAAGTGATGCATTATTTCCGTGATTCTAGCATACAAATCTTCACCATCAAAACAATCAACACCTTTGATGGATGTATCTAAAGCGTAATTGGGAATTTTTTGAACAAGCTTGGTCAATTCTGCATCTACATCACCAACACTTGATGTTTCTGCTTGCATATTGGAGGATGAGACGCTTTGGGTCAACCTGCTGGGCCTAGAAACCCCATTGTGTGAATTAGTATGGGATATGGTGTTGGAGCGATTCAACCCATTTAAATTTGTCAGGGATGTTGGTCTTGAAGTCTGGCGCAAGGAACCGGAAGACAATCTCGGCTTCACGTTGCTCATCTGGGGATCAGCAGTATGGATTTCCGGAGGGGAGAAAGCAGGAACACTGGATAATGCAGGAGGAGATGTAGTTTTTGAAGCTGAAATACCCATTGACAACGACAGCTTTCTTTTTTGGACGTGGAGTTCTGCTGCAGTTAAGTCAATTTCACTCAAAATGGATTGCTTGATATTCGCTGGGATATGTTGAAGATCAAATTCTCTTTGTAGATCAAACTTATATAATCTATTATGTTTCATATCGTAATAGCTCTTGAATAGCTCTTTCACGGCTAGATAAACATTATTATCAACCGGGAACAGATTTAACACATTAACAAGTGAAGCAACAAACGGATCGAGTTTGAAATGGCGATTGACATCAACTATAATATAGGTGAGCCAATTTATAGATTCGATAACCACCTTAGGGCTGTTATGCGTAAGTCCAATATCCATAATAGCTCTTTCGACTTCTTTCGATGCGGTAAGCCAGTAAGCTTCGAGCGCTTTCTTCGCCGCCGCCTTTATATTGGACTTGAGATCACCTAATCTATTTATGATAATTGGTAATACCAAATAGCTCAGATTTCTAAGCACATCACCACTTCTATCTTGAATGCTAACTCGTTTGACCAAATGAGATAAAACACTGAAGCTATTGGACAGAATCGTGGGATCAGCAATATCAATTGCCACCGACAATGATTCTAAGTACTTGGGAACCTGGGTTATATCGACAAAGTCTCTCTTCACATGAGACTTGAGATTCATTATTAATTGTAGCTTTTCTTCGCTAGTAGTGTTCGAGGACGTCACCACATTGAACAACTCCTCTGAAGGAACTACCTGACTCAGCATCGTCAACAGCTATTCAGTTAAGGGGTATGTCAAAGGTATGTCAAAGGTATAGATATGGTAAAACTAAGTATTATCCAAAGAAACCCTCTGTTCTTCATTAAACATAAACAAGGTTTGAGTAGCGCGTATTTTACAAAAAAAAGTACGTTTTTTTTTTTTTTTTTTTTGATTTGCACGATTCTATTCTAATTATACATATATTTAGTCTTGTAGTAGCTAATGTTATAGTAGCTAAATATCAATATGGTGATTAGTAACCTTGCTTCAGAGAGACCCAAATGGCACCAAGGATGGCAAGCGTTATGAGGACACTTGCTGTTTTGTTTTGGGAAGTAATACGAAGCATAGTAGATTCATCAGTATCAGTGTTCAAAGAGATTTGTGAAGGTTTGAAGTCAGCTTTGTTGGAATCGTTCATTGGCTCGCTAACACGGTCACCATTTTCATTGTGGTTCGCTATATATAAAAGATCATCTTCGACTTCGTCAACGACAACATCTTGGACATTACCGAAAAAGTCAGTGAGCCTAACATCGTGAATGTCCCTTTTGAACAAATCAGTTCTGATACCGGGAGTGGAATGAACGTTTTCATAAGTGTATACATCAAACAACTTGTCCATTGTTTCTTGGGAATTCTTTTTGATTTTTTCAAGAAAGTCAAGGGTGTAGTAGGTGAATCTATCGATGACTGCAACACCAATGTCCAAGTCCGAATGGTGTGAGTAAGAGGACTCATCAACTGCAGATGATCCAACGGCCAATATATTGGGCGAGTAGAATCTCTCGTACATAGAGTTTGCCTGACAAGTATCGATCATAAAGAAAATTTCATTATATCTCTTCTTCTCGTACATTTGTTCAAACGCATCAGCAATATCGTAAGACCCTATTTCTTCTGCATCTTGAAATTTCAAGAACTCATTACCCCCATGGCCTGTTAAGTAGATGAAGATATTCGAGTTTTCATCAGTAAGTAAACGTTTACTTCTTGGATGATTAGCGTCCCATCTATCAGTCAATAAACGAATGAAATTTTCCACGGTAACTTCATAGCCTCTGTAATCCACTTCAATCAGGTCACCGTATAAGTCGATAGCTTGATCCATATTATTGAAAACAGTTCCCGGAAATGCATTTCTAGGATTGCATGCAATATCGTCCGACAACATTAATATAATTTGAGAGTCCGGTATACCGAGTCTCTTAACAGTTCTGTAAAGACTTAGCACATTGGCCATGTGTCTATAATTGAACCAGAACCTCGAAGTCGATACTAATACTGCCCAATTATTGGTATGACGCGAACTAGTGGAGTTGATCACTTGCTCTGCATCTTCAGTAGTTATGTATTGTGGATCAGCCAGAATAAATCCGCAAAATAAAATCGTTATCAAAAGGAAACAGCTTGTGAATTTCATCTTGTGCCCTCTACTGCTTTATATCCTTCTCGAGAACACGATAAACAAGACCCTGGTACTAAAAAGTATCTTCTATTCAATTCCAACAGTTGTTGATATTTGTCAGCCTGTTCGTCTCAGCTTGACATTTTTTTTTTTCTTTCTCTAATTTACTGCGTTGTTGTTAAATAAAATGCGCAAATCTAATAATCTATGTACAGCTATGAATTTGCAGCAAAAGAATGGGCTGCTGAAGACGATATACCTGTCAAGCCGTCTTTGCCCACTAGCTTTTTCACTGTTCTTTGGGTTCTATTATCTGGTCCAAGTAGTCTTTGTAATTCCCATCTGATCCATAAAGATTTCAGGGAGAATTTAAATGCAAAGATCAATTTAGATGCTCTGTCTTTGTCGAACATTTGAATTGAGCTCTTTAGTTTAGTTTCAAGCTCAGGGGTCTTGGTATAATAATGGCCAAGCTTGGTATTCATTTTTCTGGACAAGTAGTCTGCTTGTTTCTTAGTGATGGCAGATTTGTGTTGAAAATTTCTATAAACGGGTAAAATGGTGGATATCAACGATTCTGCTTTAGCACAAACTGTTCGCAAGTTTGAATTTTGTTCTAATTCGGACTCTTGATAGTAATTTGGAATACTATACTTGAAAACTTCTCTCTCTCTGGCAGAATGGAACACATTTAAAGATAATACAAAATGGTAGTCTGTTTCATTAACAGTTTTTCTTCTTAGAAGGAGAAACTTATCGTTGCCACATTGGCAGCCCCAGGAATCGTATTCAAATCTAACCCAGTCGATTGAACTTTCTCTGAGGATCTTGTTGACCAGTTGGTCATTATTGAATTCAGTTACAGATTCAGACTCTAGGGATATAAACCCGTCGAACGTCGTGAACTTTAAGTTTAAATCGGTCCGTAACTGACCCAATCGCTTTGTCTTCAAAAAGGTAGCTTCTTCCTCTAATCTCCGTAGCTTCTCTTTTTTAATAATCTCTTGAAGTTTTAGCTTCTCCTGTTCGATATCATATTCTTCTTTCTCTTTGGATAAGTCTTGGAATGTCTTATCTCTTATTTGATAATCGGTTGGTAATGAGAATAACCTGGGGACAGATTGAACTCCAGTTCCTCTAGTACCTGCGATATCCACAATATGACAGTATTTCTTCCCTTTATGAAGTCTCAATCCTCTCCCTATCATTTGAACCAATAAAGGTCTTGATTTTGTAGGACGAGCTAAGAAAAGCGAGTCAATGTTTGGGATATCAGTTCCTTCGGTAAATACCATGACATTACACAACACTTCGATGATCCCATTCTTGAAATCATTGATTATTGATGCTCTTTCATGCTTAGCCGTATCTCCTGTAACATACTGTGCATTAATACCATGACGTTGTAAAACACCACATAGAGTTTTGCAATGAGCTATATCAACACAGAACATCAATGTCGAATTGAAACCATATTTCTCTTTTAACTTAATATAGGACATCGCAACAAGTAAGTTAACCTTGTCGGTATTTATTGCTTCCGATAAACTAGTAATTTCATAATCGTCTTTCTTAGTTGCAACTTTAGTTAAATCAACATCTATATCAACACATGAAAATTTTGCATCTGCTAATTCTCCATTTTGCACCATGGTGAGAAGTCCCCTATTGAAGACAATCTCATCGAATATGGTTCCTAATGACCTTCCGTCACTTCTTTCTAATGTGGCTGTAAAACCTAGCACATAAATTTCCAGCTCAGGCGAGTCAGCATTAAAGTATTTAAGAATTTTGGACCATGAAGAAGCGGTTGCATGGTGGCATTCATCTAGTATTATCAACTTGAAATCTTTTGGGTTGTACCATTCGAGTCGGGTTTTTCTTACCAACGTCGGTATAGAAGCGACTATAACATCAGAATCTGGACTCGGCTTGGATTTTCGCATATCAATATCAACATTCAAATTCATATTGATATCTTTTATAGTCTTCGCTGCTTGGAAAATTAGTTCTTCCTTATGGGCAAGAACAAGAGTTTTATTTCCTCGACCTGCTGCTGATATCTCCGGTATTAAATGGGAAAATACTATAGTCTTCCCTCCCCCTGTTGCCAACACCACTGCCTGTCGTCTTACACCTCGGGATATGGCTCCTTTCACCTTATCGATTGCATCTAATTGGTAATCTCTTAATGTTATCCCCAGGTTCACTGCAAGTTTCGATAAACTTCGAGATAAAACATTACATGATGTGGATAGACGACGCGTATTATTGACAACTATCATAATAAAATTTGCTAGGCGACACAGGTAAGTCGAATCCCAAGCGCTCCCACCTTTCAAAAACGGCCTTTTCCTAGTTCAGCTTATAGTCTTATGAACAAAAGCTTTTCATAGATCAAAGAAAAGTTAGGAACTTAAAAAAAAAAAAAAAGCGCGTTAGAATGGTCTAACGATTAAAATAATATATTAAGATTTATAGATATCTACCCTACTTCTTTTACTAACGTTATGGTAATAAAGCCCATCCTGGACTTCTTTTACATTGTCTTCTTCATTGCCGTCTAGTTCTGGAGCCTTTATGTTGATGATAGCATAAGTACCTGATTCCTTCGTGGTATCTTTGTTAGGTCGTATGAATTGCCCAGGATTGACCACCACTACACCCTTAATAGCTTTAGCAAAATGTTTCATTTCCGAAGGGGTTATTAAAATATCTGGCAATGTTTCTCCGAGCTCTGCCAAACCCATATAAGGAACTTCCAAACTAGAACCACCTATTGCTGTTTCTGATACTTGCTCGGCCATCGACCCGTTTAAAAGCTGAATGTCTGATTTGGGGTCTAATTTCTTCTTAATGGAACCAGGAAAGTTTGGATAGTATCTTCTTTGTTCAAATATGTAGTTGATGATTCTATCAAATCTATTTGAAGGAACTTTACCTTCAGTTGGTGCTGGTTTATAAACATCTCTCAAATCTTTAAAGATATCCATATTTGAGCCACCAATTAAGACTTCATTGACAGAAAAACTTGAAGGGTTAGGGAAGACTTTAACGTTCTTGGGTAAGCCAAACTTTTTTCTATCAAAGGAATCTTGAGGATATGAAATATGTTTTATGCATGAATCTCTTAATGATGGAACTAAAATAACCTGAATCTTCGGGTGTATTTTTTTTAATATTGGAGTAATAAGTAGTCTAAAAACATCATCCAATGTTTTTGGCTGATATTTTTCATTTGGAATTTCAATATCACCGGAAGTAACACTATTGTTTGAAAGATCAACGAAAGGACCATAGAGTAAAACTACGTGAGGCTTTATGTCACTGTTGATCTTATCAACTAAATCGGAAAGCTTTTGATAATTCAAGGTGTTCTGATTACTATATGGACCTGAAGCTACTAAAATTTTCAAGCTTGCATCAGTTTCAAGGAGATTATGAAATTCTTCTAATTCGTCTTTACTTGTCAAAGGATTACCTAAAGCTGGCAATTCTAATACTTCTTGAACTATGAAAGCTCTCCCGGTTGGATTTCTTCCTTTTAATATCACTATTTGACCTGGAAATAAACCATACTCTTTCAATTGTGATAAGTCTAAGGGGATTCTTTGACCAATACCACCAAGCCTTGATGTTTCCAAAAATAAGGATGTCGCATTCAATGTAGCGTTACTCGATGTATCGTATAAAGGAGTATCAGGAACGATTCGACCACTGCAAACTATATCGAATTGTGAACTTAAACAGGGATTTCCAAATTCAATTTTGTCACTTTTCAGATTTTCCATATAGGTTTGAGCCATTAAATCAATTTGCTCATCTAAAACGTCAGCACTTTCCAAGAGTTTCATCGACATGGTTCTGAATTTAAACTTTTGAGGATCAAAATTAGTTCCTAATTTGAATGGTCTTTCCCCTTCTAAATCTGTAAACCCGGGAGTTTCTTGGATATGAGCGTTCAATGTTTCTATGACCGTATTGGAATCCTGTTGGTTTGTTAACTTGTTTAAAAAGGGGGTATTATCCTCAGTTGGTTTCCGGGGACTGGATGAAGCAAATGTGTTATTGGCGGTCTCGTATTGAACTGGAGACGACTCAATACCATCAACTTTACGTTTTTTAATATTAGGAGTGGAAGGGGCAGCATTTACTGGGCTTGAGGAGAAACCAGTTGATGATTTCATGATTTGTCTTTTCCTGATCATACCCTGTCCATCTTTTTTCATTGATGGAGTCAGTTTCGATGGTACCACGATGCTGGATTGTAGGTACTGTTGGAGCCCATCGAGATTTGAAAGGGAGATATCTAAATCTTCCCCAATTCTATTCACATGTTGTTCCCATTTGATGAAAAGATCTTGAGAATCTAAATTGAAAATTTGTTTCAAAGATACGAGTTTCTTGAGTATATCATCGCTTTGGGTATCAATTTTTCCGAAATACTGTTTAAGCTCCTTCCTTTCATTGGCTTCAACGGTCATCTTCGAAACACTCTGCTAATGAATATCAAAACGCTGTAAGTAAAAGGATAACTCCAACGCGTTTTAACTAGAGTTCGTTTTTTTTTTTTTTTTTGTTTTTTTCTTTCATTTAGTTTTTTCGATACACGCGTTGAGAATTCCACGTTTATTTAGTTATATATCTACAACCAATATGGCTAGCTTGATTTCATAAGAGCCAAGTCAACTTATTTACAAGCAATTATGGGGAGGAAAGGGACTACACCAAGACTACAGGTTATTCAAATTGTTTGACTTTGGATAAAAGTATTAGACATAATTATGGTACAATGTAGAATAACAACTAGCAGTTATTATAATATGAAGAGGGATACCCTTAAGTATAAAGGAATACATTGTTTAATTATATGAACCATTCAGTAATACCAAACCTTCAGGGTGATCAATTTAAGCATCAGCTTTTTCAGGCTTGGATTCAGGGTTTGATTTATCTTCTTTTGGTTCGGTAGCTGGTTGATTTTCAGTTTCTGGTTTCGATTCTGCTTCCGGTTTAGAGTCAGTTTCGGATTCTTTCTTTTCAGTTTCTTTCTTTTCACCATCAGCCTTTTCATTGTTTCTATCATTTTGTTTTCTGCCTCTGTTGTTACCTTTACGGAATTTCTTGTTTCCATTACGGTTTTCATTAAATGAAGCACGTCTTTTAGTAACATCATTAACACCAAATCTTTTACTACTTTCTCTCATTTCTCTAAAAGTTAAAAGAGACATTTTTTTCAAAACGGATTTCTTGTCGACTTCATCATCTTTTTCTTCGACAATACCCTGAGGATAACTGATGGTTAAGTTATTCAAAAAGAATTCTGCGTCTTCAGTTGTTTTGAATTCAACGTCAACAACACCATAGAATTCATTTTTAGCCTTTGATCTGATTCTACGAATTGATGAGATACCTTTTTCTTTTGGTAAGTGTTCAAAAATCTTATTTTTGAAAAATTCTTCAATATCATCTTGAGAAGCTTCTTTATCGAAACCTTCAATGTGGACAGTGTTCTTCTTTCTGTTATTTTTGATTTCGTTAAAATCTTTCAAAGGATCTTTTCTTCTAATTGTATCATTATTTGGAGAAAGAACCAATTTATCTGATTTTTTCAATGCTTCAATTACTCTATCTTCTGGTCTGTATTGTCTCATACGACTGAAAGTCAAAATTGTTTTTAATTCAACCCAACCGTCATTAGCTTGATAAATTTTATACAAAAACTTATCGGTTTGTAAATTACTATCGGAAAAGTAAAATTCAACTTGAGATCTAACTTTTTCTTCAAAGTCTTCTCCAGTATAAGTATTATCAGACATCTTTTAAGCTACCTCGGAAAATATGTTTCAATCAACGATTCTTTCTAATGGAGAGTTGAAATAAATATTCAGTATATACTCAAGCAAGTCTTGTAAATCGTAAATCGTATAACTAATTTTCAATAGCCCTCATCGAGTCCATCTCGACGTAGAAAAAAAAAAAAGTAGGACAAAAATGCTCAAGAGGACGAAAAGCATGGTGTATGGATCTAAATTGATCTTCGGTTTTTTCACTTATTTTTCGAGAATTTTGATATCCGACGAATGGGTGGTAAAGCCTTTCAGCCTAGGACACTGAAAATGCTGTAATAGTGCAAAAAATCGAGCCAAAAAATGTAATATTACAACTTAGCTTTATCCAGTTTACTGGCGACTTATCTTACACAGTGCTGAAAAACTTTGTAAAAATCCGTGATAGTTTAGTGGCTAGAATTACCGTTTGTCGCATGGTAGACCGGGGTTCAATTCCCCGTCGCGGAGCATTTTCTTACCATCCACTGCGCAAATGGTTTAGTGGTAAAATCCAACGTTGCCATCGTTGGGCCCCCGGTTCGATTCCGGGTTTGCGCATATTTTTTGATGTTTTTGTTTACTCGAATACACCCTGAAATGTTGTTATTAAGTTGTCTTGTAGGATAAAGAGGTTTGCAGAAGCCTGTAAAGACCCCAGGATATGAATTCGAAATCACTTTTTCTGCTTGGGGTCGTGTAAAAAAATATCGCGAAAGATCGAGTAAACTTTTTCCTAGCGGAACTTACGATAAGAATGGAGATGAGCTTGTCTAATTTCAACAACGGTGATGAAAAGTTGTGTTAGTCTTAGATTTCCACTCTCTACTCGATTAGTTGACTTAAGAGGTATTTGCCTAGGATCCAGATATTTGCATACCAAGATGGCCACCCCAGAAAGACGGTCTGATTTAGCTGCCAACTATGATAGTATAATAAAACAAGTGAATGAAACTGCTAGTGGGAAACAAGTTAAATTGGTAGCCGTTTCCAAATATAAACCTGTAGAAGACTTGAAGGCTTTGTATGATCATGGTGTTCGTGACTTTGGTGAAAATTACGTCCAAGAGTTGTTAACCAAAGCCGAAACTTTACCAAAAGATATTAGATGGCATTTTATTGGAGGATTGCAAAGTGGGAAATGCAAGGATTTATCAAACAATATTCCAAATTTGTACGCTGTTCATTCTATCGATAGCTTCAAAAAAGTTAAAAAAATGAACTCTACAAGAAAAGCAGCCGAAGGCAACCCGGTCAACGTATTTCTTCAAATCAATACTTCTGGTGAATCTCAAAAATCTGGTTATTCGCTTGGTGATCAGAAAGAACTTCACGAAAGTATTGACTATATTTTAAACAATAAAGAATGCGACAAGCTAAACCTTCTTGGGTTAATGACCATTGGATCATTTGCCGAGTCTGTTGCTGGTGTAGAGAACAAAGATTTCAAGGCCTTGACCGATTTGAAAAAAGAACTTGATGCAAAATATAACATTGATTTAGACTTAAGTATGGGTATGAGTAATGATTTCATCGAAGCAATAAGACAAGGAAGTTCTGTCGTTAGAGTTGGTAGCTCGATTTTTGGTGCTAGACCGGTTAAACCTTGATGCTTTTGGGCTTCTTGTAAATATTACTATTTTACGATTTTATTGATGATTAAATATATAGCATTACATATATTTTGAAACAAAATAAAATAATTTTAAATTCGATACTAAAACAAAAATCATGAAACGCAAAGTAATTCATGTAAAGAAGAAAATTTACCCACTATTCGTTGATTTGAAAGTGTGGTTATATGTAAATCGAAGAAGTATAGACGAACTATCTAATTAATTTTTTATTTGCTGCCACTAGATTTTTTCTTTAATAATTTTTTCAAAGATGATTTCTTCTTGTTTACTTTTCCATCAGTCAAGGCATCATCAACTTTTCCGTTGATGTCACTAGCAGTCTTCTTAGCGTTGGCAACAAAGTTGTCAGCTTGGGACCCAGAGGCATTTGTGCCATTAATTGCAGATTCATCTTGAATTTCATCGCCTTCACTAGATGAGCTTGATGCTGGTGATTCCCCATTAGTAGAGGATTCAGGGACATGATCATTATTATCAATAGTAGCGTATACATTATTCCCTGTACCATCTTTTGATTGGATAAGAGTATCCCCAGATTCTTTATTTGAGTTCAACTTGGATGGATCTCCTAAGGCTCCACCGTATTTTTGTAACTCAGCTTCCTTTTTCTTCAATAACTCTTGTCTTTCTTTGATTAAACGCTCTTTTTCTTCAGCTGAGGTATCACCACCGTTAATCTTATCAGTAACTTGTGCTACTGCTGCAGAGGCGCTAGCAACTGCTGCACCTGCTGCTGCAGATGTAGCTGCAATAGCACTGTTTATTGGGTTACCATCAGTATTGGCGTCGGCTCCAGCAGAAGGTTGTGATCTATTCTTCAATCCAGATGAAGCATCCAAGCCACTTTTTTCGAAAGATGAAGACTTTGCTTGATCAGAGGTTTTCTTTGCTTCGGCCTCACGTTTCTCTTGTACCTTTTCATCTTCTTTTTCTTGTTCTTTGGCAGCACGAGAAAGTTCGGCGGTTTTGACATTCTTTGCTGGGAGAGCAGCGGCAGCAGCTAAAACACTTTTAACACCAAACTTGGACCAGTCACCATCTTGGCCAGGTTCAACATTAGATTGAACTTTCGAGGAGTAAAAATCTCTTCTTAATTTAAGATCATTATCAACAAAATCATTGTCAATCTCAACTTGACTTTTGAATAATTTAGACAATTTGGATCCAGTGAGGTAGAGGATAAAGAACAAATGTTCAGAAGCAAATAAGACCAAAATTAAGAAAACTGATGAGTTAACATTAATACTAGCTTTATCTAATGCTAATTGGCCAATAGTTTTTGGTGGTTTAGTCCCATGACGATAGAAAGCAGTAATAACAGGTGAGATTACAGAACCTAACCAAGTTAATAAAAAGAAAGCATAATTCCAAGGTTGGATAGAGTCGACACGTTGAGGGACAGGTGGCTTATAATATTTACCATTAGTCAACTTGAGGTAATCCAATTTAAATGTAATTACGTTGAAAACGATTGAGATCAAAGGAGCTAAGGACCAAACAGGACCAAACATAATCAAATAACCGTATTGCAAAGCTAAACCTCTAAAATCATCGTGAACATTATATTCAGGTAATTTTATAGCTTTACGAACATTTTGCAACCAAGATTTTTCTTCCTCGTCATCTTGAATTTCATATTCAACTTCTGGTTTGCCGGAAATTAAGGAAGTAACAAATTCAATAATAGGACCCAAAACTAAAGGTAAAACATATTTCATGACAAGTTGAACAACTTGATTTGTGACAATGAAATAAAAAAATTGAACATTCAAACGGCCTTGATTAATTTGAAATTCTTTTTGAGATTTCAAATTAGTTAAATATTTATACACATAACGATTAGAATCGACATGAGAAGCAATGGATGAGTGAATATTCTTCAAATTTGGTTCAATCAAGTGAGCAAAGGGTAAATAAATAAAAGAAGTAATCAAAAGTGGGGCATAACTAGTTAAAAAGTTTAAGACAAAGGTTTTTATCAAAACTGAGTTGGATTTGGTATATTGATTATCATGAGCTTCCCAAGCCAAAATTTGATCAGTAACCAAATTGAAAACAATTGTCAAAATTGGAACAAAAACGGAAATCAAAACAGTTGGTACCAAAGTAAGGAAGATTTTACCGGGACCGTTATAAATTTCTGCTAAAAAGATTTCAATGACAAAACAGGCCAACTGATAAGAAACAAGGACAGCAGTGAAAAATAGAGCAATTGGAATGAAGCTCAATTGCTTTATAAATCTATAACCATCTTTATTACCAGGAGCACGTTTGTAAGTAGATTTTTCTTCAAAATTTTCATTTAAAGTAGCCAATTGAGAGTAATGCTCTTCGACCTCATGACTATTTTGAACACCCCAAAAATTAACCAAATAGTGTTGTTTTCTATTCCAGAAGGTAAGGAAACCAATACCCCAAACTAAGTTAATGAAAGCATAGGTTAAAGAAAAGCTTTGTTTTTGCTTGATGTATGAAACAACACCAATGACAGCCAATGGGAATAACCAAATGATATAGAATTTCAAAAATTCGAAATATAAAGAAATTTGAACACCAAAAGTATCCTTCAAAGTAGCAGTGGTAAAGTCGCTATCCGTCAAGTTGACCTTGACATCTTCAATTATAGATGAGTCTTCCAAGACAGAAGTGATTGGAGATATACTAGTAATGAACTTCCATTCACCTTTACCAGGAGTAATTCCTACCCCTTGAACCGAAGGAGGTGAAATAAGGTATTGGTAGATAATTCTCAACTTATCGGCTTCAGTATCATTCTTAGCAGTGACACCAAATTCGTAATTCTTGATCAAATCTTTTTCAACCAATTCAGAAAGACTAGCAGTAGAAAGTTTTATAAAAAGGAGCAAATTTGATTGCGAATCTCCAGTAGATCTAACTTGAGAAGCGAAACCTTTTTCATATAAAAGAGTTACCAACTTCTCTAAATTGTTTTTAGCTTCAGTAGAAGGAAGACTCAGTTTAGCATCTTGAACTGGAAATTCAACAGATAAAACATAATCCGGGTGTAAAGTTGGAAGAGGAGCAGACATGATAGTTATTATCTAAGCTGATGAAATAAACCTGAAATAAACTTAAGTGGAAGGACAATATGGTCAATTGGAACCTCAATTGACAATTATTCGAATAATTAACTGGTCAATAACGAACCACTTCGGTCAATTCAATCAACCGAAAAGTTACTATTGTTCGGCTTTCCTCGATATAAAGGAGCAGGTCTCAAATATCGAATTGAAGAATTGGAAATCAATTGAGTAACAACAAGTTATCAATTCACTTAAAACACACTTCAACAAGTTTATAAGAAAAGCTTAAAAATAAGTATTTCGAAAAATAGAGATATAAAAAAGTTGATGACGAAGGATGAAAAATATAGCACAGAGCAAAAAGAACAGGTTGAGATTTTTGTGTGGAGCATTTTTTATAAGTTTCTACTAAAAAAAAAAAAAATAATTTAAGTTCGATCGCAGCATGAGCAGCAGAGAAGCGGAAACGGCAATGAATAATGAAATTCACAGCTACAAAGGCAAAGTTAATCGTTAGATTGAGATGATGATGATTAGCTAATTACACTAGTAGCAAGTATGGTAGAGGAAGGTTATAGTAGGGCAAAAAGTGGAAATTGTGAAATGCCATCGTTTCAAAACGAAGTTTTAAACAATAAAAGACTGAAAATTTCAATTTAGTCATTTAAATTTTGTATGACTTCTCAATTGGAAATGGATCCATTGAATATTGCTTCGCGCATGCTGCTTATGCTTTGCTCAGAGTCGGCAAGGAATCACTTGATTTGCTATCGATTGACAGGTCATTGATAGGGGAATTTGTCATTGCTAATTCTGCGTTTCAAGTGAAATTTCCACCAAGAAGATCATTCGCCGTTTAATCACCTGCACCCAGCTCTTTGCCTAAGTCTATACTGAATATTATTTTCGAAAATAAGTTTCTATATACTCCAGGGACTGATTCGAGGCGATGCAGGGGACTTTTTGTCATAAACATAGGCTTATTCAGTGGAGAGGTTTGGTGTACGGGTTCTGGAAATTTTGCATCCACCTAGTCAATAAATTACAAGAATAAGACCATTATAAAAAAGTTTTTGAATAGCTATTATATATATTACACATTTAGTTTTACGTAGAAGAATAGTACGAGCCAAGTAGTTACCAGCCGACATAATCTCTAGTGACTGCACGGTAAACTCTAACTCTACCACTCTTCATATTTCCCAATTTGTAGGCTTCTCTTTTAACAACACCAGTAGAATCAGTTTCTAAAACTCTAAATTTTTCTTTTTTAAGATCGTATTCGGTAATTATAGCCAGATATATGTCATGACCTTCATCCCCGAGAACAATTGATTTACTGCCTCCGATTCCACCAATTCCTTTATGGCTAACAAATTTCCCATTCTTGATACAAATGATATCTCCAGGTCTGATATCATCGATTTTAGATACATTGGTGTTGTTAATGTTTTTGTAAATAGTCACACCATATGATTTATCTCCGATGGGTTCAAGAATATGAGAGGAAGAAGATTCCTCTTTAGCATTCTTTTTCAAAATATTGAAAACTGTAGCAACAATCCCATAATTTATCTTGGTACCAACCAAGGATTCCGAAACTTGAAGTAAATCATTACTAAATTCACGGTGGTATTTATCTAAAAGATCCTTTCTTATGGCAGGTGCTGCTTTAGTACTGAATCCAACGACTTTAATACTTGATCTTGGGTCTTCACTTTCAAATTCTAATTCTAAAACAATCTGTGATAAATCGTGAAATAAGATATAATAGTCACGGTAATTTATGACTTTACCTCCTCTTTTTTTGATTGAATTGGAATCAACTTCATAAATTAATTCGGTTCCGGCTTTACTGGCTAAGGATTCTGGTAATTCTCCCTTATACCACCAATTGGCTTGACCACTTATATTGGCGATTTCAGTTTCAATATCAGTAAAATTAGATTCAGCTAGAGTGTGGTCAGGTCTACCAGTCGAGCCACTTAAGCTTCTTCTATTTGATTTGGACCTTGTTGAATCTAAAGAGTTTCTTTTGTTTGAAATCTCGGTAGAAGACCTTGGGATTGATGAAAACCCTCTTGGCAAGGATGGGGCTGCATCTGGTACTGGTGGTGGAGCTCCCATCGGAACATTTTCTGGAACAGTCTGGGCACGATTAGCAGGGTTGAAATCAAAGCTGCTTTTACCAGACCCGATACCACCAATATCAGCAGGACCTTCCTCCAAAGAGTCGCCATCTTCTGCGATTTCGATACGTCTATCGCCTTCTGGGACCTGTGGAGATGGCTGAGCGGGAGGGACCAATTCAGCCCTTATTCCAGGTGGAGCTGGCGCAGACCCTGGGATTTCGGGAATCTCTTTTGCATCTGGAGCTGGCACTGGTGGGACTGGTGGGACAGGTGGTGCTGAGGGAACAGGTGGAGGAGGTGGTCTTGAATTCACTGGAGGAGGTGGGGGTGGTGCTTCCTTGGAGCTAGATTGGACATTAGTTTTACTAGTGTCTACAGACGGTATTTTCGTTGGTGGAGGTGGTGGGGGGATCTCGTAGTCACTAGTATCATTAGTAGGGACTTTGTTTACCAAATCACTTTGATCTTTTGGCTTCAACGCCGAAGCTTTTCCTCTGTCAGATAAATCTTCATCGGCTTCATAACCAGTAGCCTCAGTATCGATATTGTGCTTAGTATGTAACTGAATATCTTGGTCTGGGGAGTTTCCTTCTCTTATAGTGTCGTCATCTGGTGCACTATCTGATGGGTTAAAATGAGGTACTGGAGGAGGAATTGGTCTGACACGTTCAGGATGAACTTGTGGATCTATATTATCAGCAACTCTATCTGATTCAGTAAATTCGTCCGACTCAGCCATTGATGATGATTCTTGAAAAGGTGAGGGAGCAGTGGGTGGAGCAGCGGGTGGAGCAGCTGGTACTACTGGCGGAACAGGTGGTGCTGATCGTGTAGGGGGGTTTAAGGAATCACTTGCATCATCAAACTCATCTCTGTCGCCCTCATCGCTATCATCGTCTTTCAAATTATCTTTTGCGTTTAAAACAACATCACTAAAGGTTTGAGTAGGGACCCTAGAAGCTTCTGGGCTTTTTTGAGTTGAAGAATCAGTTTTTACTTTTGACTCCTGTTCTAATTCTGGATCATTGTTTTGTTCTGTAGAGGATTTAGGTAAATCGGAAGGGTTGGCAAATGGTAGTATTGGAATAGCACGCGGAGTTTGAGAGTCAATGTTTTTGTCTTGAGCTTTTTCTTCTGAAGTACCTTCTTCGGTTGACTTCTTCTTCTTTTTAGTCTTCTTAGTTGTATCTGCTGGCATTGGAGCACCAAAAGGGGCTTGCATTCCCATCATACCAAACATGTTTCTACCACCCGAGATTTTAGCCATACGCTCAACCAATTTCTTTCTTTTCAATTCTTCGTCGTCTTCTTCCTCTTCGTCGTCGTCTTCTTCTTCTTCTTCTTCTTCTTCTTCTTCGCCATCCTCTTTTTCCTTCTCCTGTTTTATTGATTGATTGTCATGAGTTGCAAGTGGCGCTTCATCTTCAGAGTCAGAGTCCTTGTCGTTGATAGTATCAGGAACATCTACTGTGTCAAGGTGGTGAGAAGCAGGCGTTGATAAAACACCTTCAGAGGCAACTGATCCGCCGGTGGCCGTCTTTCCAAGAGTAGCTTGCTCAGAAAATTCATCTACTGAAGGCTTTTCTGCTTCGGCTTGGACAGCGGCAAGTTTTTCTGCCTCTTTGGCTTGTTTAAGTCTTTCCTTTTCTTCAGCGAGTTTACGTTTTTTCTCTTCTTTTTTCTTAAGAGCTGCTTCTTCTCTTTCTGCTTCTTCCTTTTGACGTTGCTGTAATAATGCGATACGTTCTTTCAAGCTGACCTTTGGTTCCTCTGCCTCTTTGTGTTCTTCTTCTGATGAATCATGTTCTCTAACCACTTCACCTTTAGGTTCTTCCTTATGTATATGACCAATTAAAGCGGAATTATCCCTTGGTTTGACTGGAGGCACATACGAAGATTTACCAGCCCCAACAAATTGTTTCTTCACGCTGTATGGATCAACAACTTTTTGGTTGGGGAAAATACCAGGTAATGGTGGTTTAACTCGGCTCAGCTCTGTTTCTTTGAACGAATTGACTTTACTGACCGGTTTTATCTCAGATGCTGCTGGCTTACTTGATTCTCCTGTCGATATTGGGGATGATTCTGCAACTGGGCCACTTTTCGGAACTGGAGGGACACTAGTCGAAGACTTTGTTTGTTCTTTTACCTCTTCTTCATCAACCTCTTTTGCTTCTTCGCCATCTTCCTTTACTTCTTTATCGTCACCTTTGGGAACTGCTGGCATTGAGCGAGTACTTGGAGGAGGAATAGCTGAAGAGGTAGAGGGTGGCTCGGGTGCAGGTTGAACAAAATTCTTAGGAAACATACCCGACTTGCCATCATAGGTACCTGAGTACCATTCTTCGTCTTCAACCTCAGTCACAGTGATCAATTGGCCTACCGAAAAGGTTAAATCATCTTCGTAATCAGATTTATAGTCAAAAATTGCTTTAACTTTAAATGGTACTGCGGGCTCCGACATTGCCTGAAAACCGTATTACTAGATTGTTTAGATAAGAATTGATAAATTGACCACTTTGAATGTTTATAAGATTGTAATTGGATTAATTCAAAGTAATTGATAATTGATATTATTGTATGATCAACTTCTCCAGCAGATCAATTGGTAAATCAAGGAGGAATAAAGTTGACAAAAAACTGTGACCTGGAGAAAAAAACCATAGGAAAAGGCCACTTGATACCAATTTGTTTGGAGTCGCACCTTTTTATGACGATATCGGCTATATACTTTTACAAGCCCGTACAATTCGTAAAATTTAACTAAAAGTTAATCAAACGATTGATCCTGTTGGTTCTGTTCAACTTCTTTATCAGCAGGAATGTCTTCAGGTAAACAAGGATCCTCGTCCAGTGTTTTCATTACCGACAGTATTGTTGGGTCGTTTAAGCCATCGAAACTATTCAATTACCATCAAGAAGCCAGTGTAACTTCGCTTGATTTCAATGTGTCTGGGCAATACTTAATTTCAGCAGGGATTGATAAATCTATTCAATTGTACGATGTTCATAGAGGAATCCATCATAAGGATATTCAGTCGCAGAAGTATGGTGCTCATTTGGCTCGATTTGCTCACGATGACCTTAATTGTCTTTATGCTTCCACTCCCAGTGCCAGTCTTGAAGTTGACCATTCAATAAGGTACCTTGCCTTGGCTAGTAATACCTATCTACGTTATTTCAAAGGCCACAAAGAGCAGGTTGTGGCCATTGAAATGAATCCAGTGTCCGAAACATTCATATCGTCAAGTCTAGATCGAACAGTTAAAGTTTGGGATTTAAAGTCTGCATCTCCAATTGGGAATTTCGATATTGGACTGCCCTCAGTCGTTGCGTTTGATCCTCAAGGAATAGTATTTGCCGTGGGGAAGTGTCCCCAGCCTCAACTGAAATCCGCTTCGGGTTCAGTATCCATGTATGATATGACCAATTTCGACAAGGGTCCCTTTTTGACTGTTGAAGTCCCCATAATTTCCGGCCAATCTTGGAATAAGTTGGAATTCTCCAATAATGGTAAGCTTCTTCTAATATCAACAGACACTCATGAACATTACCTCCTAGATGCATTCCTGGGCCAATTACTTACAACCCTAATCGTTGATGTTACTCGCTCTAGTAAAGAGTATAATGGTGATTGGATGTCCTTCCAATATCCTTCTACTGGATCTACGTGTTTTACCCCTTGTGGTAAGTTTGTTCTTGCAGGGTCGCCTAAGGGTAAGGTTTGCACATTTGATGTTTCTAGTATAAAAACTACCGAAGGTGGTGTTCATGTAGTTTTGGACTCCGACAATCCCAAAAGAACAGTTCCTTTTAAAATGTTGGATACCGATTCGAGTGGAATTCCAAAGATCTTGTCATTTAATCCAAAACTAATGACCTTTGCTTCGGCCGATAACAAAGTAGCTTTATGGCAAGCCGATAATTTGTAAGAAGATCGTGTAAAATATGCATCTGTATCATAGATAGATAAATGGATAAATTAACTACTTCATTTAAAGTAATTGTAGGATGCGAAAACTGAACTCTTCTTAAGAAAGAAAAAAAAAAATTGTATAATTGATCTTCTGATCCTCTCGTACGCTTTATAGGAAAGACGCTATTAGTTTTTTGAAAGGCACCAGAAATGTCAAAGGTGTTCAAGTGTTTCAATAGTACTAGTACCTTGTCTAATTTTTTTCAAAAGCGACCCACTAATTTACCCAAGAAAATAGAGTATTCGATTCCAATATATAAGTATCCATGTCCTGCCAAAATTTCGAAAAAAGATGCTCTGACGGTAGATGTATATAAGGATAAACCTTTGGGTTGGGAGAGAAGCTTCCATGCAAAGTATGAAAGTTCAAAGCATTTCATTCAAGAGAGATACACAAATAAAGAGCCAAATCATACGAAACCCAATACCCTCCCGAAAACATCAATTGATATAAAAGGAATGGATTTCAATGCATACTCGTATGGCAAATCGAGGATACAAAAGCTTCCATATTTGGCCAGTACGCCATTGTTTCTGATTCGATTTGTTCCATCGTCCCATAATCTTTCTATGATTCGGAAATCAAACGTTGCCTATGCTTTCAACTATACAAAAGGATATCGTTTGAATAGTAAATCTCTTCATGAAGACTTGGTCAAATACAATGGTATTTATAGGAAGAGAGACATTTTCCGAACAGTTTTATATCCGTTTGAACGAGCTTTCACCAGATCCAGGACCAGAGCATTTGCCAAAAGATGTTTGTATCGGGCAATTTGTGATCATGTTGATTCAAAACACGCTTTTAGAGTATCAGGAATCTTCTATTTTGCATTCAAGGAACCTCTAGTTGGAAAATCTAAAAGAACATTTCTAAAGGATCATATAAATATTGCTGTTAAGAAATTGATTCTGGACTCTAAGTTTCAAGCATCGCTTTCACAAATGGTTCAATTTCAAAATAAAGCCTTAACTAAAGCATATATCAGATCAAAATCCAAAAAAAATCTCCTCGTGAACGCCGAATCTACTCTTGGATATTATCCGAGATTACCTTTCCTTTAATATACATAAACTCATTATAAATTTAATTGACTATATATCACACCATTTTGGAAATTGGGTTTCAAATTCGAAAGGAATATCGTCATCGCCGAACAGGTATTTGAATGCATGCAACCATATTAACAGGTCTTTCGGTAAGTTATTGGTGTCGAAGAGTTGTATATCACAAACTTCACACTTTTTTCCATACTTATCTTTTTCAGTCGTCATAGTAGTTCTTTTCAACTCTGAAAATTCTTCAAGGGCGTTTTTGAGCTCTTTATCTTCATGGAAGTTGATTATGCTTGAGATATCAATGCATTCCTTGGTGTTTGCTACGTCTTCATTTACTGGTTGCAATTTTTCGAACCGAGGATAAACCTTGAAGAGTTTTTTGTATAGCTTTAACTCAATCCCATTTTTAACAAAGCTTGGATATGATTTCATTGGATCAGGGTTGAAAATTGAATCGTTAACTATAGCATATCCAAGATTCCTCAAATGAATTCGAATTTGGTGCATTTTTCCGGTTATTGGCTTGCAAATAACTATACTTTCTTGTAGTATTGGATCATACTTGATCCCCTCGAAAATAGTAGTTGAATTTATTGGCATGCTTTGTATATTTTGATTCATATATCTTCCACTCTGATTTATCGAAAAAATAGGACAGTTATACATTTGCACTCCTTGAGGAAACTTTCCTTTTACTCTTGCAACATAAGATTTACTTACTAAGTCCTTTTTCTTTTCAATCATTTCATTGAAAAAGGAAGCCCTTTGTTTATTCAATGCTAGAATTAAAATACCAGAGGTTGCTTTGTCTAGTCTATGACAATGCCAGATTTTATCAAGATTCAAATCATGTTTCAATATTTCAGAAATAGAGTTATACCTATAGCTCCCACTCGCATGGCTTGGGATTCCAGAAGGTTTATTGATCACAATTTGGTTTTCATCTTCAAAAACAATTTGTAAATCGGTCTTCACTTGGGATGGAAAGGTTGTTTTCTTTTCAAAGTTTAATTCGGACCCATCAGGCACACTGGGTTCGTGAATATGCTGCAAATTGTAAATTAGATCATGCCTTACAATCTCCCTGTCTTTGAGTTTTTCCCACCCCTCGATGACCACTGGTCCGCCTTTTCTACCCACGTTTGAATGAATGAATATGTTTTTTTTGAAAATACCTTCCTGTACCAGTTTTGGCAGCTGGCCCAATTCTACCGTAAGAACCTCTAGTAGAGTCCTACCTATCCACCTACTCTTGATTGGAGTTTTAAACTTAAAAAAGTATGGTTTAACCTTCCTTACGCCATTCTCAAAAACATAAATAGGCTGTTGGCACATCTAGTTGGCTTTGGTAAAGTATTTGGATTGTATTGGCCTTTAAAAAAAAAAATACGAAGATGAAAAAAAAAAAAAAAAAAACTCTCCAAAAGCGCTGCTCACTACAGGAAATTGCAAAAATTATGATTATATACATTTTCTATGTAAAGCATAGGTATTAAATGATACAGAAATATTGAAACGAGAATTAATAAACGAATGAAAATCAAGCTGGGCATTATAGTTGGTAATAAATTTGAAAAGTCGTTAATAGAAGAACTGAAGTGTAATCATAGTTTTGAAAATAAGAAACCGAGGAAATAAATATAAGGTATTTTAAAATTATACTTTTAGTTGAAGGAATTATCAAGAGGGAAGGCTATTAGATTCTAGAAAACCATGAATTTCCCAAAAAATTTAAAAACCTATCCCATTTTTCGTTTAGCTTGGTAAGACATTAGCTTTGTTTTGGCCAATGATATTACCTGCTGGATCGTATTCACAAACAATATATTTAGCCCAGCCTTCTGCTGAACAATCTTTGTAAGCACAACCAACTTTGGTGGATCCTTTCCAAACAACTTGGGTGAAATGGTCATAAGTATTTGCCAGGTTGTAATTATAAGATTCACCTTCATCATACCAAGCCTTAACTGCAGAAGAACCGGTTTGATAACCTGCAGCCAAGTTTTCACCATACTCACCATGAGTATGGGTTAAGACTCCTGAGCAGTCATAATTGTCGGCGTTATTTTTGGCGTAATTATAAGTATCGACGTCCCACGATAAGTCACCTGAGCCATGTAAAGCCCTGTATTTATTGTGAGCATCTAAGATATCTTTGGCAAACAGTTCGTCAAGATCATCGCAATCGGAAAATGCGGCGTAGACATCACCACTTGAGGAAGATGAAGATGAAGTTGAAGTCGAAACTGACGTTGTTTCGGTAGGGGATTCGGTGTCAGAAGTGGTAAAAGCTGGGGTTGAGGTGCTGGTTGGAGTGGAGGTGGCAGAGGTGACTGAGGTCGAAGATGAATCACCTCCATGTAAAAGAGACCATAAGAATCCGTGGTATTGAGAGGTGGTAGTGGTTGATCCAGTATTAGATGAGGATGAAGAAGAAGATCTGGAGCCGGTAAACTTGGAAAGCCATTTCTCAATATAACCATTGGAAAGTAATTTATCCAAGCTCCAGCCACTAGTACTTGAACTAGATGAATCAGAGGTAGTAGCAGCTGCATTAGTTGCGGCTTCAGTGGTGGATGCAGCAGCCACTGTTGCCGAAGTAGAAGTAGGATCAATAAAAGTATCGTAAGTACCATCACCATTAGCAGTTGCAGTTGCAGTTTGGTAAACAGTGACATATTCAATAGGAGCCGGAGCAGCTTCAACAACTAGCTGACTAGCTAAAAGCACGAGTAAAGTCCCGGTTGAAAAAGTTGAGCCAGTCTTCATCATGAAGTTTTTATTTAAAAATAGAAAGTTGAAAAACCTCTTGAAGAAGAATACGAAGAAGCGACTTTGAAGCTTTATATAGATTAGAAATTTTCCCTTGTTCAGTCGATGACTTTTCACTTTGTATCCCCTCTCTCCGGCCTCTGCTATTCTAAATGGGAATATTTATCTTTCATCCTTTCATTGAAAACCTTATACGTTGTCAATCAACCTGTTTGATGTCCTTTTCAAGTAATAGTATTGAAGGGTTGCAAAACCTCTTAAGTCAATCTTTTTTTTTTTTTTTTGTACCATTGCCCCAATTGGGTAATAGCACACTGCACACAAAAGCCCTGCTGTTGGCTATTGCTGCAATTGAAAGTTCGTTCAGAACAGAGTCCATGGTAAGTGTATTGATCTGGACGAACGCCCCAATTGTAATTGGCTTTGGGTGTCGTATAATCTAGTTTGCAAAGTCTTGACAATTAGTTTTACCTGTCTAGGGTTTGTTGAGCGACAAGAGCTGTTTTTTTAGCTGGTTCGACGAGTAGAGGGTTTTAGCTGTGGAAGTAATGTCTTCCAGTTCCCCACTATGCCAGTGAGGGCCGCTCCCATAAGGCTTGTTTCTAGACTTACTCTTGAGAAACGTTCTTTTCATTGTTGGTGGCTATCCCAGCAAGAGTGAATCATGTCTCGAGGAAATTACCTAATTAGGTGAGTTAATTGAGAGAAAGAAAAAGGCTGAAAAAACTGCCGTTTTGGTCGCACGGAGTAATTAAGAAATGCCCCCAGACTTTTTAACTAGAAATGGGATAAGAAGCCTATAGATCTACTAATGTCTGGGATTCTACTCCTTCGAAGTGAGGTATTTCATCCCCTCCACGGCTTTAGTTGTTGCCTTCTTGTGATGCTGCCTCTTTTTCTCGTTTTTTGCAAAGGAGTGGTAAAAAATATCGGCTTCTGAGGTGCAAAAAAATTCTTCAGAATTATGAACATATTCGGTAAAAAATTGAAGAATTCTTTGAATGTATAACGGCGCCATAAGATTTACCCCACGATTCAAGTGATAGCTTTTTACGGGTAAACTGATGAGTTATCACCTTGAGGTGGGAGAGAGCAAACAAAAGGTCGGGATTTTGGAAGGTACTCCATTATTGAAAATTGGTTGCAAACAATGGTAAAACGTTATTTCGCTAGTAGCAAGTCCAGACTACGGAAACTCCTATCTACAATGTAGCTGATAAGAAATGCATATTAAAAATAGTTTATACAAAAGGAATTAAGAAAAACCAGAAAGAAGAAAAAAGTGAATATTAATTAAAATTTACCTTCAAAGATTTCTTTTAAGGTTAATGCAATGATTTCTGAAACTCCACCTCCAGTACATCTTACTACCAAGTCAAATTCTTTGCCAACGGAGTCGGTGCTTTTCACGCTCACAAGCACACCATAATTGGATTTCACAGTATACAAAATAGCTGCTCCCATTACTAGAATACCATTTTCAAAAGTGTCAGGGGTGCTATGAACAACTGCAAATCCCAAACGACCCAAAAGCCTGACAATATTAGATGAATTATAACGATGGGTTGTGACTGTATTCACAATGTATTCACCTTGAGCAAGACCCAAAGATTCACCTATTTGTAGCCATCTTCTCTTAAAATCATCTAAGCTTGCCATCGAGGTTGAAGTTAAAGTTTTTAATAAGGAAACGGGAATCTTCAAATTCAATTGATTAAATGATTCACTACATTTAAAGGATAATGATAAGACGGGGCTTTCATTAATCTCCACAATATTTCTGATTTTTATTTCAACATCCATGCTTGTTTTATCGATAACTGTTGATTTGGGAGGTTCAATAATATTAATTAAGTAATTTGGGTCCTCCGTTGTAGTTCTTGCCTTAAATTCTAATACCGATAAACCAGTTATATTAGTATTAGCAGTTTTAGCAGCATTATTAATAAAAGTAAAAGTTATCTTAATAACAGGACCGTTTTTGGTTATTCTATAAGTAATTTTGATCAATTGATTTTCATAAAAAATACCTGCATCATATTGTAGCATACGATGATAACCAGGATACCAATTGGGACTTACTCTAACTGGTTGATTTATCGATTCATCAAAAGGATTAGCATCTTCATCACTGGACAAATCTTCCGGGTTTTCTTCATCAATTGATGCTGCAAGACTAGAAGAGGATGCTCTACGGGGATCATTGATATTATTGAATGAAGTTGTAGGAGGAGCCAAATTTGAAGCAGACGAGTTACGAGAGTTATTGAAAATATTTGAATTGTTAGTAATTTTTGAAACGTTAACATATGATGAGGACCGATTTCTATTACCCACTAGTTTTTGAACACTACCAAGACGATTCATTAAAGGACTTTCTTTCTTTTCAAAAGGAGGTATTGGCTTCAAAATTGATTTGACTAAATTTGTAGAACTGATAGTATTAGAAAGTATCAAAGTGGAACATTTCAAATATTCAAAAGCTCTTGTTTGAATTTCTAGATCCAAAGATTGGTTTTCAACTTCATATAAATCAAGAATATCTGGTATGAAATCTTCATTTGGAAATCTAATTACGAATTTCAAAAACGTTGATAATAGCATTGATCTGGTTATTAAACTAACTTTGAAGTAAGATTCATACAACAATTGAAATTGATTAGTTGTGTAAATATTATCATCTTTCAATAAATTTTCATCATTATCATCTTCCATGACTTCTGATTGAATTAAATACCCATATTCACCTAAAATGAAAGCTGCTACTTTAATGAGATTCTCTGAAATTCCAACATTTTGATTATTTAGATGACCATGGTTCGAAGAAGATTTTTTCAATAAATTAACAATTAATTTACAAGAAGTTTTTTGTAAATTTTCATTATTTACAATAATTTGAACAATTCTTTCCCAAACTTCACTACCGATATAATTAACTGAACTGATTGAGCCAGCAGCGCTATTTGAACCACCTATTGATAATAAAATTAACATTGTAGTTACGTACCAAGTAGAATCCGTAGCGAATTTTTCAGCCAATATAGCAATTTTAACTGCAATTTCTGAACGAATAGATAAATCCGATAAAGGGAAATAATCTAATAGCTTTGAGATTATAATATTATAATTTGAGGAATTACAAATTGTATATAATAAATCCAAAGCTTTTTTACGAACTGAAATATCTTTATCATTCAATAATTGGAAAATTTTTGATAAATAATTTGAAAAATTTGAAGATTTGGTATTTGAAGCAGCTACCGAGGAAGAAGCACGAGCTGTTAGTTTAACTAGCGCATCCAAGGCCAAATATCTGGTATTAGTTTCATTAGATTCCAATAAGGTCATTAAGGCATGAATGGCACCATCAATTGCATCAGGAGAAGCATCAAGAAAAACTGCTAAAGACACCGCTTGAAATAATATTGAAGATTGTGAATTTCTATTTGGTAAACCTTTTATTGGTTGGGAAGCATTTTGAATTGATCTAGCAACAACTTGTCTTAAATTATTTAAAGTAGTTGAATCTAAATCATTAATTAGAATGATTGGTTCTTGATTATCGGTTAATAAGAAGAAATGTTCAATTAATTGAAGTAATTTAACAATTAACCAAGGAGCTGGGATATCATAATAGTAGTAATCACTTGGACATTTGTTATCAATGATTAAATTATATAAAGTATTTGAGATCGAAGGAATGATGGATTTAACATAAGAAACTTTTAAACTAGTTAAAAATTGAATTAAAGGAATTATTGATAATATAGTACCCAAATTTTTATCATCGATTAAACTTAATAAACGAGGAATCCAATTATCATTTGAGATTATAACTTGAGGATATAATTTTAATAAAATTAATAAAGAAATAGCTGCCTTTTTCTTTAATAAAGGTTTTTGAATTGGAGAACAACATAAACTATAAGTTATATCGATGATTTCTAACCACTGACCTGAATTTTCATCAGTTTCATTTATTAAGAATTGTTTTGGTAAAAAGGGAGAATTTGTAATTGAATTTTGAATATTATTATCAGCGAAAACATTAAAATTTGAAGAAATGAATTGAATTGCTAAACAATTAAAATCTTCATTATTTGATTGTAAATCTTTGATTAAATAAGGATGGACCAAGTCCAAAAGATCATCCAAATGAGATTTAATTGAATTATTACTGATATTATTGATATTATTATGATTAATTAAAATTGAAATGGATAAATATCCAAGGTGTTTCTCTGAATAATTATTCGATTGAATCAAATCAAAACTTTCTTTTAGCCCAAAATCAATATCCTCAGTGTAACCCAATAAATATATATAGATCAATTTACAAATATATTTTCTCTTTTGGTACCCATTAAGATTTGAAGTGGAGTTAAATTTAGTCTGGATGTTATTGATTTCTAGGTTGATTCGTTTATTTTCTTCCTGCAAATCCTTCGAATTCCTCAAATCAATAATGAATTGAGTCAATCCTTTCATCTGAGGAGCCATGGTTGTAAGTTATCCTTGATCTTTAAGAAGCCATTGATTTAACCGCTGATATTGTCTACCTGTCAAATAAATTATCTACACGAAAGATCCGTACCCGCGAATCCATAAAAGACCCGATTCCATAAACGTGGATCACACGACCGCAGCCTACGTGTCGCTACCGAGCGCTCACCAATAATTTAATTGGCCAACTTGAAAGACTATTCCGATTTAAGCACTACTAGAAAAAAATCCAACTCAAAAGATTGAAAATATACCTTTTGATAGAGTATTCTTTACAACTTCAATTCAATATATAAAGATGTCTACTGTTGCCAAGGCTGCTGCCACCAAATTGAACTGGGCCCAAGTTATCAAATCCTTAGGATTGACTGGATCCACTGCCTCATCCTTGACTGCTTTCAAGAAGAGAAATGACGAAGCTAAAAAGGAAATACAATCATTAGAAGCACAATCAACTCAAGTTGATTTTGATAAATATAAATCAGTTTTGAAGAATTCTGCTGTTGTTGAAGAAGTCAGATCCAAGGTTCAAGCTTTCAAACCAGTTACTTATGATGTTTCTAAGACTTTGAAAACCATTGATGTTTTTGAAGCTAAAGCCATTGAAAATGCTAAATTAACTGAAAAATCAGTTTTAGAAGAAATTGAACAATTAAATACTACTTTGAAAGATATCGAAGGTGCCAGACCATTTGACCAATTAACTGTTGAAGATGTTGCTAAAGCAAGATCTGATTTAGATGAAAAAGTTAATTACATGATTAAGAACGGTAAATGGGAAGTTCCAGGTTATAAAGAAAAATTCGGTGATTTAACTGTTATGTAAGATTACTTTCATATATTCTCTTTCACACATATTCTTATATAAGATTAAAAATAAATACTTTATTGACTTAGTAATTTCCAATTATTTAAATATAGATATGATTGATTATCATTATTTATATACCCAACATAATCAAGTTTTTTAATAAATTCATTATTTACAAAAGTAACATCATTCAAATTGTTTGGAGTGCCACTTGGTTTCAACTTATAATTATATCCTCTTTCATAATTATTATTCCAATTGGTTATTATGATATTGATCCCATATTTATTTCGTAGTTTATCAATCATGCTAAAGATTTCTTGATAGTGTCTTGACTTGAATTCCCAGTAAAAACTAGATAAATCTTCAATTATAATCAGACGCAAAACCATCCCACTGTCATAGTTCTCCATGATCCCATTCATTTCGTTCATTAAATCCTGGAACGTCAAAAGGGTCCCACAATTAATTGTGATGTTATTTGTAATATCCAATCTTTCATACCAGTTTCTCTTACCGGCTGGACCGTGGAAAATTAGCAAAACGGTATTCCTTAGGAACACCAACCCATCAAACCCTGGAATCACCAACCGACTAGCCTCAATTGGTATGAAGTGGTCCAAACTAGCGTGCTTCATACCCTACTAGTCCCTCCTGGAGTCCTCCTCTAAAACACCTCCGTACATTTACTGGTGGCTTTTGTCGTCCAACCTGCACGTGACTCGTGGGTCACATGACACGTCACGTGAAGGTCACGTGATCTAATCGAACGATTGCTAAGGGTAAAAATGGTGTTTTGTAACCCGATGAAATTGGCAGTTTTACATGGCACTAGTAATTATTTAATATAGAACTTACATGGTAATGCTAATCAGGTTAGTGGGGGCTGTACCTTAATTACCAGATCTGAAATTGATTTTGTTATGATCATGGCTCAGTGGTATAGTTTTGAATTAGCAACACGATATAGCCTTGACAGATCAGATATGGTTAGGATCAAGAGTTAAGAACATTTAGCCTTACTCGAAGTACACGTTAGTATTGTAGGATAAAGGCTCGAAAACCGCTAGTGAGTGAAACTGAAGACGAGGGTTGAGTACAAGTAGATTACAAGTAAGTAGATTGAGTAGATTGAGTACTTCGAGTTGATAGGTCGAATAGGTTGTTCGAGTAAGTCAGGACAAAGCAAATAACAAACAAAGAATACCCTACTAAGTTAAGTTTTTTTTTTTGTTTTGTATGGGATTTTTTTCGCTTCAGCATCACCAAATTTTTTTTTGTTTTTCCTCTCGTTCCATTACTGCTTGCTGTTCTTGCTTCTTTTTATATAACATTAAGTATCCCCACGGTATAGTTGATTGATTATAATTTTGAGTTGATTTATTTATTTTGCATTTTTATTCATTCCTATGTATTATTATTCACTTCGCACGTTGATATGAGTTTTTAAATAGTATCATAATGATGACAATTAATATCAGAACTTATGGACCATCGGTTTCTTCGATCAAAAATCCAATATTAAAGTTTTATAATTTTTTAATATTAAATGTTTATTATAATATAGTAATTCGAATTATTGAAGTAATGAAAACTTCTTTGAATAAAATGGTTAAATTTAGCCATTTTTTCTTAAAAAATTTATTAAACACCAAACAGCCAATTTTTTTCATTCTTGATATAATCATTAATTCATCTTTATTACTTTGTTGGATTTTTTTAATTAAATTTGTTAATGTTGTCCCCAAAGAGTTCAGACCCAAGATTTTCCATCGTCTTTGTTTACGATTAGATGGTTATATTTTTAATAATAATATTGGATGGTTTCTTTCATTGATATCTTTAATAACTGGTTCTTTCATCTTATATAATCGTTATTTTAATTTAGATGATGATGAAACCGATATTGAAAGTGAAGATGAAGAAGAATACGAATATCCTCCTTTTATTCCTCCATCTCCTTTATCAAATAAATTACCCAATCCATTAACCAATCCAATCATCACCACCGATTCTCCAATATCGTCATCCTCCTCATCTTCATTAACTTCTCCGAATATATCCAAGTCCCAATCAAACCTTCATTTACCATATCAATCATTTGAATTATCAAGTTCGTCAACTACATTACAACCAACCAGTCCGATTTCATCCGGATCCAATTCATTGGAAATTGAAAATAACGAAGAAAAAATTCAAGAAAGACCCTCTTCTGCATTATCAAATGAAAAAAATTATTGGAATTTAACTCCTCCAATCTTATTAACAACTTCAATGATTATCCTTCACTATATTTATCAATATAACTTAACCTTTTCAATAACCAGACAAAAATTTATAATATCATGGGTTTTCTATGTGATATTCCATTTCTTAACTCCAATATTGATTGGAATTTGGTTACATTTATTTCACGTTCCAGGTTCCTTAAAATTATTTAGTTTAAGTTGTGGTTTACAAAATGTTATTATCCTTTTAACTCATTTGATTTTCCCAAACGTACCCCCTTTATTCATTAAATTATACGGAGAAAATTTGATTCCAAATTATGATATGACTTATACCGATGGTATAACTAGACAAGATATTAAAGTTCCAACTTATATGTATAAGTCAGTTTATTATGCAGCGCCAAATAAATTTTCTTGCTTCCCACTGTTACATCTGGCAATGGCAGTAATGAGTTTACTCTTTGTTTGTCATTATGCCCGTTGGAATTTACCAAAAATTTTAATGGCAATTCATTTGGTTTTACAATGGTGGTCTTCAATTTACTTAGATCATCATTGGAGAATTGATTTATTAGCAGGTGTCTTTTATTCAATCTTTGTATTTACCCTAATAAAATACTGGAAAAATCATGGTTTACTAGCAATTGATAAAAAATTCAAATTTGCTAGATTTAGACTAGATTTTATTAATGGTAGTACTTTTGGTATGAGATTATTTAAAAATACTAAATTTTCAAAATTTTTTGATCCTGCTTAATTTGCATACGTCTATTTCTATTAATGTCTTCTTCTTATAATATATTTATTTATTAACGCATATTCGTTTTTGTATTTCAAAGTAAGTTTGCGCTCCTAATAACTGGTATACAGTTGCAACATTCAAGCTTGACCCCAATAACTCGTAAACTGGCAGTCCCGTTGCAGCATAAGGCTCCTTGCTGGCTTCGATAACTGACTTTTCTTAGTAGTTTCATCACCTTTTCAGTAATCCGCTCTTCCAATAAGTCATTGCTGTTTCGAATGGTAATTTAGATTGGTGATGCCGTAGCATCATATTTCTCTCGATATCGTTGATGATGCTGGTTAGCTTAATTATAACTCTGGTGCAGCTACCCAATACGGTCTTGTTTTTTTTCGCATTTATTGTTCTCGAGTCTTTTTCGACAATTGTTCCCGAGCAGCCATTGATACTTTTGGTAAGAGATTGATTAGCCTATTGTTAAAGGTTTAAAAACCGTTGCATCCACAACTATTGTAGTAACCTTTGTACCTTAAGTTTGAATAGCTATGCTTGGTGCCGGTTTTTGAATTTCTCCTTGTTTTTGTTTTTTAGAAGAAAAAAAAAAAAACAACTTATATAAGTAGATAATTTCTACAATTTACTAATTATTCAGCTGAACAAAGCATAATAAAATGTTGAGTAAACTAATAATATTTATATTGTTGATAGCTCAAGTCTTTGCCAAAACAATCCTTCTTACTAATGACGATTCTTGGGCGTCAACATATATAAGAGCAGCTTACCGAGACTTGAAAAAAGCCGGATATGATGTTATAATGGTGGCCCCAGTAAGACAACAAACTGGTAATGGAGGTAGTTTCCAAGTTCCTAAATCGAAAACATTGGAAAAAGATGGTGAATTTGGGTACGTTAAAAAAGGAGCTCCATCCTGGGATCATGACGCTGATGATTCAAATATTTATTATTTTGATGGTACTACTTCTGCATGCGTTGCATTTGCACTTAATTATCTTATACCCGAGAAATTTGACAATGTTAAGGTTGATTTAACCATCAGTGGGCCAAATGAAGGTCCAGGGATTCTGAGTGGGTTCTTCACTTATAGTTCAACTACTTCTGGTGCATATTTTTCTGTCTATAATGGTATTCCAGCCATATCATTTGGTGGATCTGATTTAAATAACACTTTTTTCAAAGATGATTTAAATAATGATAAATTATTACCAGCAAATATCTATTCTTCCAAAATAGTGGAATTGGTTGATCTTATATTAGCTAAAGATGCCGCTAAAATCCCCAACACCGTTGGTTTAAACGTTAACTTTCCTCAAGTTTCAACTTTATCGGATAAAAATTGTACTGATCCAACATGGATGAAAACCAGAATCTTAGGTAAAGGTGTTTTGGTACCAAGTATGTCATATAACAAAAAAACCGAATTATACGAGGTTGGATACGATTACTTAGATAATAAACAAAAAGACTGTGAAGATGGTGATTGTAATTTACCTTCAGAATATTCAGTGTTTTTCGCTAAAAACTGTACTTCGACAGTCAGTGTATTCAGCATAGACTACGATGCTAGTCTAAGTCAATCAAACAAAGTACATAGTATAATTGGTGATCTCTTTTAATTTTATAATTATAATCAATAGCAATATTTAATAGACACAATATTAGGAATATCCCGTAATCTTCAGCCTCTGTTTCCAAAAAAACTATAATCAACTACATCATCTCTCTTATGATCCTTGTCCTGTTCGTATAACGCACTGTACGAGGTCGCTGGCTGTTAAAACTTGAATATAGCCCTGTCAAAAGCTGTACTAATTAAACTGTTAAGAAAAATGACTCAATTCCGTCGGAATTTCTTTGATCCTTCATAAGCTGCTCAACGCAACAGTTGCGAGACCTAGATCAATGAACTATGGCTTTCACCGTTGACTCGGTTCGGCAGTGTTCCAGTGGGACAATATATGGCTGAATAGCCTGTTACATGTCAAGCAACGTAGGCCTTGGTCCCTGGTGTTTATTGTGGCACCAAGAGGGCCCCATGGTTAAGGAAAAAGAAAGAAGGAAAAAAATAAGATGAGACAAAAGAGGCATCGCTCAGGTTGAATTCCGGCGGAATTTAGCAATATGGCATTTGTCAAAAGGTTGGCTAATAGTCATTGCATAATATTACGTACATATATATATATATATATATAGGCCCCTGGATTCATATATTCTGTCATCGGATACACTAGCATCATAGAACCTGTCTTAGAAAAATATGAACTCATCAGAGATTCTTCGGATTGACCCTAAAGACCGAGTCAGTTTATCGGTTAGGGATTTAACAGTATCTGTCAAAAACCAACAGAAGAGAAGACAAAACGATAATGAAAAATCAGAAAAAGCAACCAAGATCCTCAATGGTATTTCGTTCGACTTGCAAGCTGGAGAAATGCTTGCAATCGTGGGTGGTTCTGGAAGTGGTAAAACCACCTTATTGAATACTCTTTCCCAAAGATTAAATCAACATAACAAGAAACTTGCATTTGCAGGTTCGATTGATTATATTTCAAATAATGACGATAAGGAAATGAAGCTTAGAAACTCATACATGCAACAAACTGATGTTTTTTTGCCCGGTATAACTGTTTATGAAACATTAAAGTATCAAGCAGATTTAAGACTCCCTCCAACTGCATCAGAGTTTGAGAAGGCCAGTTTGATTGACTCCTTGCTTAATGTATTGGGATTGGATCACCGCCAAGATGATCTTGTGATGTCTTTCACCGGTACGATTAACTTATCAGGTGGTGAGCAAAGAAGACTAAGTCTTGCTATCCAATTACTCAATAAACCATCGTGTCTTTTTTTGGACGAACCAACCACTGGTCTTGATACTTCCACTTCATTAAAGCTAGTTCAAACCTTGAAAACTTTAGCAAGTTTTGACTACGGGATCACTGTTATTTTATCAATTCATCAACCAAGACCTGAAATTGCATTACTTTTCGATAAAATTTGTTTATTAACTAGAGGTGGTAGATTGGTTTACTATGGGGATTTAACGAACTCTTATGATTACTTTAAAGCCGTTTCTAAAACTTCAAATGAAAATACTCCTTCCAATGTAGTTGACTATATCATGAGTTTATCAGTTAAAGATACTTCGACAAAAGAAAAAGAAATAGAATCATCACAAAAAATTGACTATTTAGTTAAAAATTGGAAGGCCTACTCAAATTTACCTTCCCCTGAATTAAACGAAAAGGAAACTTACCATAAATTTGAATCAAATATTAAAAGATTTCAACGGCCCAAAACTGAACGCATTTCCTTTTTCAATGAAACTTGTATTCTTACTAAAAGAACCTTTCTTACTACTCGTCGTGATACTTCTTCCTTAATTGCGTTCAATGGTGGTTCTCTTTTATTAGCCGTAGCCTTTGGATGGATGTTTTATAAACCAACTCCTGATTTGGCGGGTATAAGATCAATCACCTCCTGTCTTTATTCCATGCTTGAAATTGTTGGTTTTAGTCCCATGTTTATTGAAATTGAAAGATTATGGGTCTATGAAGGTACTTTTTTCCTAAGAGAATACCGTGAAAGATTTGTTAGCATTCCTGGTTTTATCATTTCAAGAAGATTGGCAAAATTGTTTTTGGAAGATTTACCAATGTCTCTTATATTTGGGGTAATTACTTACTTTATGTGGGGGTTAAGAATGTCAGAATATGAAGGTGGCCCAACTGATAGTAATTATTTTGGTATTTACATATTGGTTTGTATTCTTACTATCCTTATTTGTATGAGTAGTGCTATGGCTGCTTTTGCTTTGGCACCCAATTATTCAATCACTATGGTTCTTTCTAACATTCTTTATCAAGTGCAAAATAGTGCTTGTGGTTATTTTGTTAATGCAGCTACAATGCCGGTTTATGTTCGTTGGACGAAGTATCTTGCATATTTCTGGTATGCCTTTGGTGCTTTGACTGCAAATCAATACACAAATTGGATGGGTGACTGTCCCTATGATAAAAATAGTGAAGCTTGTGTACAATATTCTGGTAAATTCCAATTAGATACTTTGGGGTTCCCTCAAGGCTGGATTGGTGAGCCAATTGGTATTTTAGTTGCTTGGTTCATTGGATTTAATTTGTTTTCCGCTATTGGATTTAATTTCAAAAGCTATGATGTCGAAGTTGCTAAAACCAAGTCAAATAAAATTGGTGGTGAAGAAGATGAAGACGAAAAATCTGGTGAAGAATCAATTAATGATGAATCTGCCAAATTACCAGACTCGGTCCCAACTAATGATTTTACTCAAAATAACATTAACAATGATGACATCAATATTGATATTCACAATATCCAACTTTCTGTCAAGGTTAAAGCTGATAAATCCTTATTCAATTTTAAAAAGACTGATCGTATCTTATTAGATGATGTATCTGCCGTTTTCAAAGCTAATGAAGTTAATGCTATCATGGGTCCATCAGGATCGGGTAAGACTACCTTATTAAGTTTTTTAGCATCAAGATTAACAAAGGCATCATCATTTGCATCAAGTGGAACTCTTAAATTAAATAACAATCAAATAGTTAAACCACTGAAGTTGTCTAAAATAGCTGGATTCGTCACCCAATCAGACAGCTATTTAATTCCTCATTTAACGGTTAGGGAGACCTTATATTATCAGGCTAAATTAAGACTCCCATTATCCGAGCATGCTACCATCCCAAAATATATTAATAAGGTGATTAGAGATACTGGATTAATTGATTGCGCTGAAACATTAATCGGTAATGAATACGTGAAAGGTATTTCTGGAGGAGAGAAAAGAAGAGTTTCAATTGCAATTCAATTATTAAGTAAGCCAAAGATTTTGTTTCTAGATGAACCAACATCTGGATTAGATTCTACGACTGCATCTTCCATTTTAATGCTATTGGGTGAATTGGCTAAATCAAACAAAACAACCGTCATTTGTACAATCCACCAACCAAGCGAAGAAATTTATTCAAATTTTGGTAACTTATTATTGTTGGCTAGGGGTGGTAGAGTTGCTTATGATGGACCTGCTGATAAAGCAAAATCACATTTTGAAAATATAGGATATGGAGTTCCAAATAACGAGGTTAATATTGCTGATCATATCTTAGATATAGTAACTATTAGTATAGACGAAGAACAGGATGCTAGTGAGCAAAGAATCAATAATATATTAAGCCAATGGAAATCAAAAGAAAAATCAGATCCAATGTTAATACAACAGGAAGATCCAAACACATTTATTGATTTACAAAAATATCATCATGTTAAATTACCTTTCTGGCTTACGTTTTCGACAATTGCTAAAAGATCATCGGTGAATTCAATTAGAGCTTTCGATGTTGTATTTTCAAGAGCTGGTCAAACCATATTCCTTGGTATAATCCAAGCATTATATTTTGCTCCATTAAAAAATTCTAATGAAGGTATCAGTAATAGATTGGGTTTAACTCAAGAAGTTTTGAACTTATATTTTATTGGTTTTATTAATAACATGACACTTTATCCAACTGAAAGAGCTATTCTCTATCATGAATACAAAGACAATATTTATGGGGTGTTGGAATTCAGTGGATCATACCTCATTAATGAGGCCCCAGTTGAAATAGCCACTTGTTTGATTTTTGCAGCCTTTATTGTTTTCGTTGTTGGTTTACCAAGAACTGCAGCCATGTATTTCACCTCATTCGTAAGTTCCTTTGCAGCTATTAATATCGGTGAATCTTTAAGTATGATGATTAATTCAATCTTTAATCATTTGGGACTTGCATCTAACTTGATTTTGAATTGTATTTTGCTTGCTATTTTTATGGGGGGTACTATGTCACTTCAAATGCCACCATTCTTCCAAGGATGGAACTGGCTTAATCCAATGAAATATGCGGTTGGTGTTTGTTCTAAATTAGGATTCGAGGGTCAAAAATTTTCCTGTGGTCATGGTTTAAGTACTTGTACTTTAGATTCAGGTGATGCTGTTTTACGGTATTATAAACTTGACGTTAACTTTGGAGCATACATGGGAGGCTTGATTGCTTGTTTAGTTATTTACCGTGTTATTGCCATTACATCAATCTACATTAGGGTAAAATGGTATCTTTAATTCCTTATATATATTCTTTTATGATTTCTTTAATTAATTTTAATTCCTTACTTTAATAAATCTTTCTATTTTAAGCATATACACTATACTTTTCAGCAATCGATTAATTCAACAACATCTAATGAAACGGGACTGCATTGATAAGCAATTGGTTGATCGTATAAATTATAAAATTCTCCCGAAGAGCACTGATAGAAGAGAGTTGAATTACCCAAGGCCAATTGTCCCTTATTAGTTATGGACCAACCGGCAGCATAAATGGCACCATGCTGAGGCAATGGTCCATCAAATTGAAATTGACGACTTCCAACAATGCAACCAATTCTATTGTTGGAATCTTTCAAGATTCCATCCTCAAGAGACATCTCTAAAGTAGTATTGGTTTTACAAGAAACCGCATATACAGGAGAGACAAATGATTCATTTTCATCTTCATCTTCGTCACACGAGTCTTCTTCCACTTCTCTTTTCGCTTTGATTTCTTCTTGTACTTCCTCGTCCAGGCAGTCGTCTTCGTCATATTCATCGGCGACAACGGTTGTTCTCTGAATTTGTCCATCAGGAATTTGGTAAACGACATCATTGGTTTTTGTAGCTTTAGGAGCTTCTGTTTCCACACTAGTTACAAATGCAGTAGTGAGTGTTCTTGGAATACTTGAGTACGGTGGCTTTTCATAGTCTCCATCATGGTTAATAACATAGGGATTAACAACAATACCAAAGGCAAACGGAACTGAATCATGACTTTCGTCCAAAGCCGGGGTATCTGGCTTTAATTGAGTCCAATCCTCGCCAGATTGCGGAGAGTAAACCGCTTGGACCAAGGTCGATGAAGTTAACAATGCCAATACCAATACTTTTTTAAACATTGCTTTGAAGCTGAAGAGTACATTTGTAAAAAAGGCCAAAAACAAAGACGTTACAATTTATAGGTTGCAAAAAAAAAAGTAACATTTCCACAAACATCAATTTTCGTAAACTTTTACCGTTTTACGTCAACCGGTTCTAAAGAGCTTAACTGAGAGCACGTCAGCCCCGAACTAACACAGAACAGTGCTATATACGAATATATAAGGTGTCTGGGTATTGGCCAATTATATTACATGTAGATAATCATCGCTTTGCAACCGCAACCCGAGAACCCGTACCCCCCAGAATGTCTTCACTACCCCGAAAATGGGTTTTCGCACGCCCGATCAACCGAACATATATAAAAAAAAAGAGTAAACGATGAATAAGCAATGTCAAGGTATTTCTTTATAACCAATAGCTATGTTTACCAGATCATTATTTAACAATACTGCCAGATTTGTATGTATTCAAGACTGAGCATTGAAAGAAGGAATACTAACGTCAAAGCAGGCACAAATAAATACCAGGTTTGTGAAGCCAAATTTCAACAATTTGAACCAATTTAGATTTATTTCAACCGAGATTAGAGATGCTATCGACAGAGCAGTTCAAAGTTCCAAAGTTGTTTTATTCATGAAAGGGACTCCGGAATTCCCACAATGTGGATTTTCAAGAGCCACCATCCAAATGTTGGGACAACAAGGAGTTGATCCCGAAAAATTTGCTGCTTATAACGTTTTGGAAGATCCTGAATTAAGAGATGGAATCAAGGAATATAGCCAATGGCCAACCATCCCCCAATTGTATGTAAATAAAGAGTTTGTAGGAGGATGTGATATTGTCATGTCTATGGCTCAAAGTGGAGAATTAAGTGAGTTATTAGAAGCCAACGATTGCTTGGTTCCTGAAGATGAAGAACCAGAACAAGCTAACATCAAACCTTCTGAAAGAAGCTAATTTTATTTATTATCTTATTCTATTGTATATAATTAATTAACGTTTTAACCTCTGGCAAGCCTAGACTTGTAATTGTTCAAAGGCAGTTGCATTTATCAAAACGGATAAATTAAGCCTTAGAAAAAAAAAAAAAAATAGGTTATCGGAAAAAATAAATCATCGCCTTAAGTACACATGGGATAAAAATAAACAGCAATGATTGTATAAAACCGGTTGAATTTTTACAAAAAAACTCAACTTACAAGTTGAAAGATTATATAGTACGAGTGTCATATAAAACAGAACGAGTATAAAAATATAGAACTAAAAATGCAAAACAAAATCCAAGTATAATGCAGATAAAGAAGAAAAAATAGAAAAACCCAAATGACTGGAACAAACAAAATAGTACATAGTTTTTGCTTCCCGTAGAATTGAAAGAAGTGAAGATAAAAGAACAAGCCAGGTGGTTAAGAAACAACATTATTTGGAGTTTTCAAGAAATGGTTATCCACCAAACCACATTGATTATACTCATTTGGTCGATGATCATTTTCCAAAGAAGTATTTCTTGATTTGTGTTTTGACAGAATGGAAGTTTTCCTTCTAGTTAATAAGTTTGAATCGTTTAAATTAAGGGTGAATTTAAAATCTCCATTCAATCCGCTTATGACTGAACTTGAACGGGTTTGATAATCATCATCCATTGAGTTGATGGAAGAATTTGAAGAAGAAGTGATTGAATGATGAATTTTTTGTCTTAAACTAGTTAATTCATCACTATTTTCATCTTCAATGATTGAATTTGATTGGAAAACGTTTTTGAAATTGACTTTATTTAAAGGCTCATCGGGTTGTTTTTCATTATCGGAATCGGAAAATTCTTGAATATTCTCAATGAATTGAACCGAAGTTGAATTACTCATTGCTGGATTATTGAATACTTTTTTAATTGCTTCTGCTCTAGGAGATGCCAAAACAGTTTTATTCATCATGGAAGGCTGTAAAGTTGAAGAAATGTTAAAGTAAGTATCGTCATTAACCAGAAAATTTTGAGAATGACTAATCCAAGGATGATTATAGATTTCTTCAATGGTAATTCTTGATTCTGGATTAATGTCCAACATTCTCATGATTAAATCTTTTACATCATCACTAATTTCATCCCACCAAGGTTTTAAAAAAACATAATCACCTTTTAGAATCTTTGAACTTAGTTGATGTTGATCATCATCATAAAATGGTGGGAATCCACATAAGATGGTATAAAGGAAACAACCAAGAGACCAAATATCAACGGCTTTTGAATAATGATTATTTTTACTAATTGAATTTTTGAAAACTCGTTTACCATTATTACCATTATTACAAGTGATTACCTCTGGTGCAGTATATCCAGCAGTGCCACAAGGAGTTTTACAATAAAAGTTTGATTTACCATCATCGGTTTTCAATTGTTTGGCCAAACCAAAATCAGCCAATTTAATGATCCCAATGGTACCACCACCGACTCCCGGAACAAACCTACCTTCATCAACCTTCGAATCATCATCCGAGTCTCTCAAGCACGATTCAAACTCTTGATGGGACCGGTCCATAAAGGGAATCTGTTGAAACAACAAATTTTCCGGTTTGATATCGCGATGAACTATATTATTCACATGTAATGAGTTGATTGCATCTAACAACTGAAGAAACACATGACGAGACAAATCTTCACTGAAGTAAGTATATTCAATGATTTTATTGAAGATTTCACCCCCATCACAGTATTCTAATATAAGATAACAATAAGATTCATTATTGAATGAATCCAAAAGCTTCAACAAGTTGATATGGTTCAATTTGGACATGATGTTAATTTCATTCTTGATATTCATCAACTGTTTCGTGGACAAATTGCCCTTGTCAATAATCTTAATGGCAACGGTTTCATTTTTGACAACATTCACCGCCTTGTATACTTTAGAAAAGGCTCCTTCTCCCAATAAATTCATTAATTTATAATCCTTGGGCAAATCTCCGTATTGATTCGGAGTTGACGAGGGACTAATATCAAAATTCACCCCATTCTTATTATCCGTTAACGATTCTTTGGACGAGGACGAATCATCCATTTCATTAACCAGTGGATCTGAAGCGAAAAGTTTCTTAAAATTCTACTCAATGTTAGTTTCTGTTTACGGTATCCCCGTCGAAGCAATTACATACCAGTATTAGTGCCATAGTAACATGTAGATGATGTACAAGTTGATTGATTTAAAGCTAACAGTGTGTTTTTTAGAGAGGAAAAAAAAATTTTATGATTTGTGTAATTATTTATAAGATTATACTTAAGAGGGGTATTCTGTTTATGAAATGCTTACAAAACAAAAAAAAAAAATGTAAAAAAATTACCTGGAAAAGTCGTGTAGAAGATCAGCAGGACCACTGGGTGCACGGGTGTGAGGTGTCTAACTCTACTTTGCGATGATGTCATACTTTCTGGGGTACATACGAATTGCCCACTGCGGTAATGTCTTCTCTCGCTGACATATTTCTACTCCGTCAACTTTAACTACTCCGTTAACTTTTACTGCCCTTAGTTTGTTCAGGGGTTCAGGAGGTTCAGGCATTCGGGTGTTCACACCGTCGGGTGTTCACACAGTCGGGTGTCCACACAGTCAGGTGTTCATGATCAGGTATGATGCTCCGGATTCCAGTAGGTCAGATCCCCTCTTGGTCCAAGATCAATTGTTCAGATCAAGATGAAACAGAGCAACTGGTACCGTACAATAGAGAATACGCTTGCGGGTGGATCCGCACATTACTGCAAACATGCTCTGAGCACAGGGAGACGGCCAATGTCGAGGCTGAATAGATACTCCGGATGATGCCTGCAGTGACTCCGCGATTCATATATATTTAGACAAATTCACAGTACGCTCGTGATCAAGATAAGGCTCCACGATCGCTGGTCTACCCCATTTTTGGTGGAGTTACCCAGAACAACTCCCGACGTCTCTGGTTTCGATGTAAGCCTGTAGGCTGCGACCGGTGATGTCTCCCTGTTGAGGTTGTAGAATGTTTGGAATAAAAAATAAACTAAATCAAAAAGCTTAATAAAAGAAAAGAAAAAAAAAAACAATAAAAATTGAAAGAGGTACGGGTGTATATTTGAGGTACGGGTGTACAGCTGGAGAAATTTCTCTTTTTTCAGCATTTAGCGGCCAGATGAGATGAGCTGATCCACCCTTTCTTCTTTATCCAGCAAACCATGAGGGAACACTCTTCGAATGTTGATTCAGCCTTGTTGGAAAAGTTCTACCAGGTGAAAAGCCCGCAGCAGGTGCTTGAGTTTGTTGCTGCGTCGAATTTACCCAAGATTATCTCCAATTGGAGTTATTTCATCTCCATCAACGACCATTCCCAGTTCTTAAGAATCACCAATAAATTGAGTGAGTTCACCGGGTTGGTTAACTCGGTATTCAATGATAACAATGACGACTTGTCCAATAAACTAGCCATCTTAGAATATAAACAAGCATTCACCGATTGTTATTTGGATATGTTGAACAATCATACAAAAATTTTCATGAAATGTCTCAATAATAGACCAAACTTGATTAATCCTATTCTTTCGTTGTTGACTAACGTTATCGAGTTCCCGAACTATATCATTGTCAACGATGTTCTCAATAACTTTGACTTTAACTCATCCTTCCTAACAAAATTACCAAGTAACTCAAATAAACTGGTTCGAAGTAAATTTATAATATTCTGGTTCAAGTTATGCTCAATTACTAACTCTTTTATAAGAAAAGATTTGCTACTCATATCAAAGTTGATGAATAATATATGGAAGTCGTTAGAAGAAGACTCTGCCGAGTCATTATCAGTAATCATTAGTTTCATAAATGATAAAATTTGTCACGATATAAATTTTAAAAAATCAACAAAGTCAAAAATCTTAAATGAAAATTTCTTACATAAATTTTCCTTGCTTTTGAATAAAATCGATCAACCGGTCTATTCAACTTGTCAAAAAGAGTACCATGATTTATTTAATCTTTTGGTTACGGATTTAACCTATGGGTTGAGGTTCCCAATTAACAATAATGGGATCGACTTATCAATCAATAATAAAAATTTCAAATTGAATAATAAAGTCATTTACACTTTGTTAACTTTCTTGAAACCTTGGGAATCTCATTCTCATTTGAACCTATGTATCGCTATACTATCCTCGAATCTTGAATTGATTGCTCCTTACTCCAACTGGATTGTTGCCAATGGTGGTGGGTACCATGATCCCTCTTTGACTAGTTGGTGGATTGGCCACACTTTATTGTACTCGAGGATCTTATCAATTCCAAATCTTTCCAAAGCTGATCAAATCTCTTTGGCTCCTTTATCAAAATCTTCCCTTATGAAATGTTTGGAGCTGAAAAATTTACTAATTGTTCAACTCTCTTTACAATTGATTTTCTTACAATTAAACCATTTATCTAATGTGGATTCTACCGTTATTGAAATCGTATTGGGTAACTTCCCTAACTTATCATATTTCACTAATTTTCTCAATCATGAAAATAAAATCATCAAATTAACAATCTCAATGATTTTATCAAGCTTTGAAAAATTTAAATCTTCAAATATTTCAATTCCTTTATCAGATTTGAACTTGGAAAATAAATATGATTTGATCTTATTAAATAACTACTTATCAATCCAATCAAAAGATTTTAAATGGTTCAATAAAAGTCAAAGTTCAAATTCATTCTTCACTAATTTGTTAAAATTAGGTAATTCAAAATTATTTTCAAAAATTTTCCTCATCTTATCAAATTTGACTAAAGATACTTTGATTTTCAATTCAAATTTAATCGAATCTCCCTTAATCCCCTTGATTTTACTGGGGATTCCAAATAATGAGGTCGCTAAGTTGATTGATGAAACCATCTCAAGGTCAATCAAATTTCCTTATAAATATCTTGATATTTCTCATCAAAATCATAATGACTTGAGTTTGTTTATCATTGTCTTATTTGAACAATTGAACTATATCGAGAGAACCCCTGAAATTCAGGATTGGCTTGATGATTTATGTGGGAAGTTAGTCCTTATCGGTGAATCAGAAATTGAATTGAAAAAATTAAACCCTTCAACTAAAATTAAGTTGGAAAATATCAATCAACCAATTTCCAAATTTCAATTCGGAAACTTGTTCTATAAATTGAATAATTGTTCAAATGAAAAAGAGATTATGGATAACTTTTTAAAATTAGGTAACTATATTGTCTCCGATAATTCTTTAAATAAATTTGTCAGTTCCGAAAAATTTTGGGGCCATTTTTTCAAATCTGATAACGTTTTGGTTATTCATTTATTAAATGAGTTATTTCAAAATTTGGATGTTTTCAAAAACTCAGAACAAAATGAATTCCAAACTTTTGTTTTTGAAAAATTGAAGAATAATGAAATAATGAAAGTTGATTTCACTTGGTTATTAACAAATCATCAATTGATTGAATTGACCAATTCAAATAATTCAGATCCAAATATTTACCAAGAATTAATTAATAGAAAAATTGACATCAAACCAAATTTCCAATTAATTTTAAAACCAGAATTTGAATCAATTCTCAAATCCTATCAAATTCCTTTATCTCTTATAGAAAATGATTTGAAAACTTTCAAAAACCTTTTACCAAACGTTTCTCCCCAATCCGATTTATTAAATTTAAAAACCAAAGATGAAGATTTATTAATTTTCATTAGTTCTTTTTATAAACCGTTTTTTGATAAGCATTTAGAAATAGTTCCATCAGTTTTGAAATTGCAAAATCCCGAGTTTTCAATCAAAATATTCAATCATAGTTTTGATAAATTTAATATCAATGATTTATCAAAAGTCGTACAAGATTTTGTCAAAGAAAACTTAAAGAAACTGTTCACTCCAGAATTTGTTGAATTGATAGGAAACTTTCAAATTGAAAACATTCCTTTCATAAATGATTGGTTGTATAAGACAATCTTATATATCACTAAAAAGTTTGCTGAATCAACTGAACTTTCATCTAAATTTGATTCTTTCTTAATTAAAACTGACCAAATCAATTTCTCCAAGTTACCAATTCTGATCATTAATTCCCAATTAGAAGTTATCTTGAATTCTAAAGATTGGATTAATAACGAAATTTATTTAAATCATGCTTACTTATTAATCAACTCAAAATCAATTCAATACGAAAAATTATTACAAATATTTATTAACAATGAACATAACTCATTATTTCAATTACCAACAAATGAAACAAGAGAAGTAAGGATAAAATCAGCACTTATCATTGAAAGATTTTTCAATTTAAATCCCCTGAAAAATTCAACTGAGAGCTTTTTAGATAATATTTTGAACTTTTATTTAGGATCAATCAGAAAAGATGATTTGGTATTGAAAAATATTATGAAGACAATCGAAACTAATATCAATAAATCATGGATTCATAAAGTATCAAATTGGGATTTTGCTAATTCTTTAAATGAATCTGATTTGGAGCTAGTTGGTTTTGAAAGATTATTCATCAGAGATAAATCAAGTTTCATTTTGGCTATATCGAAGAATTTCATAATTAATACTATAAATAATATCAATATTTCGGATGCTTTGATTTCTTATAATTATATCGACACAATTTACGATGCAGAGTTTTTATTGTTACTTATTATTAATAATGATGAATTGATTAGTGAAATTAACAATGAAGAAGAAAATGTTACCCAAATAAAAATCGACTTGAAAAAGTTGATTGAATCAAGTTTATTACAATTTATAATAGCTAATTTATCCAATTCCAATAAGGATATCGTCAACATTACAAAAGTACTCCTAAATGGTATGTTGAAATCGATTGAATTACAAGAGTTCAAAGACAAGAACATATTCCAGGTTTATTTATGTAATATATTAAACACATTGAAATCGGAGAAATTTGAACATTATAGTTCATTAATCTGGTATAGTTATGCCTCATTAGTTCCAATTTTATCTAACCCGGGTCATTTCTTGTATGAAAAAGTTTTCAGATACATTTTGTCAAATCCTACAATCAGTGAAATACCACTTTTCAAGTCTATTTCCAACCCCTTTGCTGATGAAGAGGAACTGTCGAGTCATGATTTGTACTACCGTCAAATCAATTGGTTAATAACCGATTTAATCCATGGTACAAAGCAACTTGATGATTTAAACATCATCAGACTGAAAAAGATCATCGAATGGTTAATGAATATCAATAATTCTTTGTATGCCCCATTCAAAACCAAGCAATTGATTTTGAATTATATTTATAACTTACAAAAATTGAATAACGGATCGGATTTATTAATCACAAGATTTGCCATCTTATCAAATTTTGAAATCATCAGACAATCTCTACAGAACGATAACTTGATAGATAAACAGTTGAAGTTGAACATTGATCAGATCTTATTAAGATTTGGTATCACCTTCCAATCAAATAAGAGAATAAAAGATTGGACTGCAAACGATTTACCAAATGTCATTAAAAGAGTTCATACTTAGATAACTCTCAAATTCGCATTTTAAATAGATGAAATCAAATAAAAAAATTAGAACTCCTCTGTAGCCACTTATTCTTTACCCATCATGTCGGTATGTATAATGCCTTATATTGGAAGATGGACTTGGTTTTACTAATTATTGTCTAGCTTGGTAAATTAGCACATTATTCTTTTGACTTAGTTTTGATTTCAATCATACTCGCAGGTATTCATCGTAACACTGGTTTAGTGTTCGATACTTCCCATTTCTCATCTGTCGATTTCCGTAGATGGTTTGGCAATTATTTAGCTTTTGGTGAATCCTGTTATGATAGAACAGTGTCAATCTTGAAATACAGTGGTTATTTCAAGCAAAGAAACTTGGTTTATGATTATGTCTCGAAAGAAGCTGGTAAGTACTTAAAAGAACAAACTGGTAGAGACTTAAATGATTTCTCTAAAGAAAATTAGATTTCTTTTCATATCTTCAAATTGGTAATTCTAGGTGTTTTTTATTTCATTTTTTTACTACAAATAGTATATATATATAAATATGAATATTCAGGTCTTTCATTGAAAGAGTGTCTTCGGATGATGTAGCAAAAAAATAAGGTGTACGGATCGGAATCATTCTATCTTTAGACTCTTCGAATTTTTGATTTTTCATCATCTGCTTCTTGAATCAGGTACTGGGTGAACAGGATGATGTTGCAAGAAGAATTGACTTCTAAATTCAAGAATGCAATTCTTGAAGAGCAGAAGGCTGATATGACGTTAACTGAGACCTATCTCAAGTCATATCCAGCGAGAAAACTTGCTAAACTTGGGTTAGCCATCACTAATTTATTAGTATCTAATATACGTACAGGTTTAGGAGGTAAGAATCTAATTGAATTGATTCCGGATAACTCAATCAGTGATGAAATTAGCCAAGGAAGTTTTAAAAATGGTGACATAGTTCGATTAGATCGAATGAATCAGGACAATGATGAAAATTCAATTGAAGGAGTCGTAACTAAAGTCAAGTCTAATTTGATAGTTGTATCGGTTGATGATAGTATAAATGATGAGAAACTAATGAACTATTATAATAATACCGCTAATGACCAAAATCGAATGTGGATAGTTCAATTGACCAATTCAATAACTTATCAACGGATGACTACAACCATGAATAAATTGAATGAGTTGGCCAATAAAAATTCGATAATCCAGTTACTTTTAGGAGAAACAAAATACACTCCTGTTCAAAGTTCTAATAAAGTTAAGTACTTCGATGAAAATTTGAATGATTCTCAAAAGGATGCAATTAATTTTGCCATTAATCAAAGTAATATAACGATTATTCATGGCCCCCCTGGGACAGGGAAAACGTACACCTTAATTGAGATCATCAAGCAACTCACGTTCAATAATAACGAAAAGGTATTGGTTTGTGGGGGTTCTAATATATCTGTCGATACTATACTAGAGAGATTATCACCAAATTTCAATAATGAAGATTCAAAGAAGAAAAAATCAAAAAAGGCCGTTTCCGCCGATAAGTTGATAAGAATTGGACATCCAGCAAGGTTACTTGAATCTAACTTAAAGCATTCATTAGAGATATTATCGAAGACCACCGGGGATGGTAGTTCAATTTTAAGTGATATCGAGAAAGAAATTAATGAAACAATTGGTAAAGCTAAAAAAAGTAAACGATACGCTGAGAGAAGGGAATTGTGGAAAGAGTTGAAACTTTTAAGAAAAGAACTTCGGTCAAGAGAACGTAAAGTGGTTGGAGATTTATTGATGAATGCTCAAGTGATTTTATCTACGTTGCACGGGGCAGGGTCTTACGATTTGAATATAGCCAAACAACAGGGGTTGAAGTTTGATACCATCATCATTGACGAAGTATCACAGTCGTTAGAACCACAATGTTGGATCCCTATAGTGAATCACTGTGATTTTAAAAGATTGATAATTGCTGGTGATAATAAGCAATTATCGCCGGTTTTGAAAACTGATAAGTCCGATTCAATATTAGTGAAGACCTTATTTGATCGGTTGGTTGAAGACCATGAGGGAGCTAAATATAAGAAATTATTAAACATACAATACAGAATGAATCAAGAAATTATGAAATTTTCATCAAAGTTCATGTATCAAGATAAGTTGAAGGCACACGAGTCGGTTGCGGGGATCAAGGTTAGTGACTTGAAAGGCGTTGAATTGAATGACGATACTGAGGTCAGTTGTATATGGTATGATACCCAGGGGGGTGATTTCAATGAAAAATCCGAGGAGATTGATGCTGATCAGTTGGGAGAAATCAGTGGGTCTAAGTATAATGAAATGGAGATTTTGGTTGTTTTACAACATATTGAAGCATTGAAGAAGTCTGGGGTTGGGAATGAGCAAATTGGGGTTATATCACCATATAACGCCCAAGTGAGTAGGTTAAGAAAACAGATTCGAGAGAACGAAGAACACGAAGGAATTGAAATCTCAACTGTTGATGGGTTCCAGGGACGAGAAAAAGAAATAATCATCATGAGTTTAGTTAGAAGTAACGAAACGGGGCAAATTGGTTTTTTAAAAGATGAAAGAAGATTAAATGTGGCGATCACTAGACCCAAAAGACAATTATGTATAGTAGGAGATCTAGAAATCTTGAGCAAGAGTGAGTCCAAGTATTTGAAGGAGTTGAGTTTATTTGTCGAAGACAATTTCGAAGTAAGATACCCTGATCTAGGTGATTACTGAAAAATTTAATTGAATGCATATTTGCAACCAAAGCCACCCTACATATATCGGCCAATCTAGAATAACATGCTTCTAGAATGGCTTGTACATAAGCAGCTATATATTATTTAAGTATCAGTCATATAACCCATCAGTCATATAACCCATCAGTCATATAGCCCATCTGCTATATAGCTATATAGCAGATCATTTATATGACTGATCGGTGTACATACAGCGCATAAGTTAATCAATATTTTGCAGTCAAGTATTTCTAGAATGATAAATTATCCTTGAACATGTGCCTGAATGCAACTAGCAATGGTTGTCAGCACAAACTTAACCCATGGGGTAGTCCTTCAGCCTTGACGAGTACATTAGCCGACTATCAGCCTTCGTCTAAGCTCATACGTAAAAGGAGCCAACGGTCCAACGCTACTAGCACCAGACACGGTCGTGTGGGTGACACCCCCCGTCCCCCAGACACTTTGGAAAGGTGGGCACGGGTTTCTCTTGCCCAAACCAATACCCAGCAGCCAGACGTAGGGGTATTCCAGCAAGCGAATATTATGGACTCGGGCCACGCTGGAGGGATGCTGGAACTTCGTTGCAAAATTACTCGAATCGGCAAAATCGAGGCTTCCGAAGGAGTAAAAGCAGTGGTTAGTAAACCGTTTTTTCTGCTCGAGGCACACAACACCCACTGAGCCCATCTCGAAATTTCCTCCTGGGCCCAATAGAAGCTGTCTGTTAATACGATGTTCAAACAGTATTACTCGAGACTCAAGCAGGCCGCCACTGGGATTGTTTGGCCAAACAGAGGGCATCGTTTCCCCTACAATGTAAGCTTAAAGGTAAGTTGATGATGTAAGAAGCATTGAAAAGATCGCGTTTCTATTTGTTTTTGTTTGTTCTTCATTTTGCAATCTTTTCAAAATCTGCGAAAAAAAAATGAGTTTTAGTTAACAATTCCAGTAGGTAAACAAAGCCAACACGCTTTCTTGCTATTAGCACCATACGCTATGTATTGTCAATGAATGCTGATGGGTTCATACTCATGACTACCAACTCTAATTTGGCACTTTCGGTGACTGGGCTTCTAGCAGACCAAACATCATGTATAACTAGTGTTAAATTTCCAAAATCTAGACAGGAGAAAAAAAAACCTCCTACTTCTTCTTCTTTTCTAGAACTCCTTTTTTTTTTTTTCTTTTCTTTTCAACATCGACAAATACAACTCCAGAATCCCAACTACTGTGTCACTCTTTTATCCTGTAGTTTTTTCTTTTTGTCCCTTACGTTCTTTTAATCCGTCTTACGTTGAAATTATTTTTCGTTTTTGAAAAGTTTGTGTTTCGCTGCATATTCTGCGACATCTTTTTTAAAACATTCTAGTTCCAATAAGTGTCCCTTTTTCGATCGTTTCATTAGATTGATATAAATATTGATTTATTTCCTTCGGTTAAAGATCATCTTGATTGTTTGTTCATTAGTCCTTCCTTAGATTTCCTACTTTGTCATTCCTTATTATTAATAATGAAATTTTTATCAGTAGCTGCTGCTTTATCAATCATTTCTGCTGTTCAAGCAGGTACCGTTTTGGTTACTCAAACTGATGTTGTCACTGTTGATGCTCAAGGTAATCCAGTTTACCAATCTTCAAGTGCTGCTCCAAGTTCAAGTGCTTATAGCTCTAGTGCTCCATCTTCCAGTGTTGAAGCTCAAACTTCTTCTTCTGTTGAGGCCCAAACTTCTTCTTACGTTGAACCTTCTTCTTCTTCTGCTCCAGCAGAAACTAGTTCTGTTAACAACAAACAAGGACAAGCTAAATTAGGTATGTTCAACCAAGAATCTTCTGCTCCAGCTTCTTCTACTACTCAAGCTGCAGTTTCTTCAAGTGTCGAAGCCACTTCCGTTACTGCTGCCGCTTCTTCTTCTTCCACTAAAGGTGGGTTGAACTGGAACCCTTTTGCTCCATCTACTTTGATTAGTAAAACTGTTTCTTCTTCTTCTGCTTCTTCCACTTCCACCTCCTCTACCGGTGGTGGTGATGATGATGACTTCAAAAATAACATCTTGGATGCTCATAACAAAAAGAGATCTCAACATGGTGTTCTGAAATTATCTTGGGATGAAGATGCTTACCAATACGCTAAAGATTATGCCAATAAATATGACTGCTCTGGTGATTTACAACACTCTGGTGGTTCCTTTGGTGAAAACTTGGCTGTTGGTTATAAAGATGGTTCCTCCGCTGTTGATGCTTGGTATGATGAAGGTAAAAACTATGATTACTCTTCTGCTTCAAGCTTTGATCATTTCACTCAAGTTATTTGGAAATCAACTACTAAAGTTGGTTGTGCCTACAAAGATTGCTCCTCTGAAAACTGGGGTAAATACATTGTCTGCTCTTATGATCCTGCCGGTAATATCGTTGGTAAAGGTAAAGCTAACTTGATTCAATAAGCTTGAATCCTTAGCTTTATTTTTTTCATTTCTTTTACGTTAACGGTATTATTTTTTTTGGTTTTCTTTCAATGTATATTTTTTTACTTCCCCTTTTTTCTTTTCAATCGATTTTTCTTTTTATTCTTTATGTATTTTGTTTTATTGACGACTAGCGTCTGTCACAATTTGTTTTAAAAGTTTTTTCTTATATTTCGAGAATCCTTTGACTTCTGGTTAAAAGTAATGATTCTGCAGAAATGCCCTCCTTTTTTTTCTCTCTCTTCTTCCCTTCATTTCTATTGCTCTGAATATATATCTGATTATACTAGTCTTCAAATAAAATATTCACTGCAAGGATTCTTATCAAAACTCATTTTGCTGATGTAGTTCTGTTTTTGCAAAGCCTTTTTTGCAATCTTTTTTTGCGTTTTGTCTTGTTCTGCGTACAGGAGTCTGTATATGAATCGATGGCCAGTCAAAATTTCATCTATTCCTTGCATTAACACCATCTAATTTGCCGTTTCTAATCAAACGGTTTCTCGTAAGAAGGCCCGCCTCCTTCAATGCTGCGTTATTGTGAACTACCTGTAGTTCTGCTGATCTCTGTATTTGCTTGCAGTCTTGTAAGTTCTAGAATAAGCTTAGCTATACAGGAACAGCATTCAAGGTTATATCTTCTAACTAGCCATAGAAAGATCTTGCTAACGCTTCCTCGTATCGAGCTTACAGGGACAGTTGGGTCCAGTGTACGGACACAATCGAGTGTAATCGGTTGTGCTGCAGGAATTGTACTAGTTTGGTGAAAATCTGGCTAAAAATGAGCAAAATTACAATATTTCACAGCCATTAATTCTATGTTACATTTCTCTATACAAGGTTAAAAATGGCTATGCAGCTTAAGCTCTAGCAAAACAACTACCCAGTTTCATCAATTCCGTTTGATCGCCATAAAGTCCAAAATATTCAATATGCGGGAAATATGGTAATGATGCTAATTCTTTAATATCGTTATGGTTCAATTTCAAAATCCGTATATTAGTTGGGATCTCATTGAATCTGATATCAGTTAACTCGTTATACTCGAGAGACAAGACCTCAAGACTAGTTGGATAATTAATATCAACCAGGTTTAAATGGTTTCTCTCAAGAAATAACATTTTTAACTCATTGAGTCGAGACAAGTCAAGCCGAAGACTCGTAGATCGATTGAAACAGTTACTCAATGTCAAAACCCGAAGACTCTTGGGAAGATTATCTACAAAGACTTGAGAAATAATATCAGTTTCGATATCATTTAAAATCAATTCCCTTAAGCTTTTAGGTAATGAAATGTTTCTAGTGAAAAACAAATTGTCACTCAAATTAAGAGACTCGACCATTTCCAAACCTAGGTAAGTCTCAAACTTAGTTAGTTTATTACCGCTTAAATCGAGTTTGGTTAATTCACCACCTCCAAACTTAACATTGAATATCTCACTAATTTCATTTTTGGACAAGTTTAACTCTTTGATCGTGGGAGGAAATTCCAAGTTAGATAAACTTATTAAACCGGTACTTATCATAGATAACTTGGTTAAGCTCTTGGTAAAGATGTTATTCAAGTCACTATAATCAATTTCATTATTATCCAACATCAACACACTCAATGAAGATGGCAATTGACCCAATTCATCCAAATCATCAATTCGATTATTCGATAAGTCCAATACGGTTAACTGATGGCAATTCATGAAAAAGTCATCTCTAAAGCCTCCAAATTTGTTGTCCCTCAAATGTAACTCAAGAAGTTTCGGCGGTAATTCGATATCGTCAAGATTACTAAAGTTATTTTGTGATAATCCTAAAATTTCGATATTTGGAGGAATTTGATCTTGCTCGATTTCTTCTAACAAATTATAAGTGATTTTGAACATTTTTAAAGAGGGAGGGAATTTTATTCCTGCAATTGAAGAAATTGCGTTAATTGAAGCATCAATAGATCTCAAATTCTTAGCAGAAGCATAATCTGGGCCATCGATTGAATGTAAACTGTTGGCACCGAGCCACAACTCCTCTAAAGATCCAGGGATCTTTAATCGTTTCAAGTTGGTAATATTATTTGCTGTCAAATCAAGAATTTTCAAGCCTTGTGGTAAATTTTTCAAATGAGATTCAACACTTATATCAGTAATCCCGTTATTGGGTAAACGAACTTCTATCAAATTCTCAAAAGAAGATGGTTGAAGTAAGTGAAGATTATTTATAGTGGTTTTCAAGGTAAACTTGTTCTGAATTGAAAATTTGGTTATTTTTCTTCCTAAACTTTCAACTTGCCTTACAACCTTGTTACTCTCGGAGATCATCTTATCCCTTGGGGTTGAATCATAGCGCAAAAAAATAACAATCTTAGGTATGATATCTTTATGATATTTATCAAACGATAGAATTTCAAGAATCTTGTTTAAACTCAAAATTTGAGTATAGTTGTCATCGAAACTAAACACTATTCCAATCTCTCCCGGTATTACCTGATCCTGGTGCATAATGTTATAATTAAATAGATTCTTTAATATATAATATCCGTCAACTAAACCATGGATAACAAATAAGTCTTTGATGACCTTTTGGGGATAGAAAATCTTGCTGAAACTTTTCGATAAATCCTCGAATATTAATCCTTTGATCACTATCTTAGATGAAAACACCCTTTTAAATGCAGCATATTGAACAGGATCAAGTTGATCCCGGCCCCATTTGTATGGCCCCAAAAATTTATCGTAGACAATATTTGGCTCGACAAATTGTAGTATTAGACTTATCACTTCATACGGCAACTGCATCCTTACTTCTCTTCGATACCTCTACTTCGACAACTATCATTCAATTATCCAATTCGTGCTAACAGTACGACTGATATATCTGTCCCGGGAGAAAAACTAAATCCTAGCTGTAAATATTGCTTATTAATCTGGTTCCAACTTTGTATTCAGCCGCTTGATGGGAGCCCCTATCCCCTCTTATAATATAAGTATAGATCACTATCCAAATCAAGTCACAGTTGGCTTGATTAAATGTCTATTAGAGATGAATAAACAAAAATTATAATTGATGCATAGATAAAGATTCATAAGAGACCCATACATCCATGTTAGATGATTATCAACGAATTACTCCATCATTCAACAAAAAAAAAAAAAAAAGAAAAAAAAAAAAAAAAGGAAAGAAAGATGAAGCTCTTTTTCGTTAATTTACACATGCTTAAAGTCATTAAAATACCCATAGACCCAGTTTTCCCATAGTGCTTCAATGTCAGATAATTCAGATCCTCTCGTAAAGCGAGAACATGCGTCTGCAAGTTCAATGTTGAATATGAACTCATCATCACAAACAGAAATGAAAAGCACAACAGGCTCAGGAAATTCGATAGAGCATAAAGATATAAGCAAGGACGGAAAAAGAGACGTGAAAAATGCGTCTGAAGCCACTTTCAACCAGGCTAAACAAAAAAGGACGTCATTAGCTTGTCAAAGATGCAGAAATCGTCATATTCGTTGTCCAGGGGGAAACCCTTGTAAGAAATGTGTTGTGGCTAAGACTCAGTGTGAGTATGTCGAAAGTGACAAAAAAATCGTTGTCTCTATGAAGTATTTATCAAAGCTTCATGACGATATAGCTCGATTGAAAAAGGATAATGCTATGTTAAGAACTGATTTGAAGACGGAAACCGATAAGAGAATCAGCATGAGCAAATCAAATTCAATGGCAGAGCAACAGCAGCAGAATAACCAGAAAGCCCGCTCGTCATTTGCCCAAGATCATCAAATGTCGGATAGTAATGAAAATAATTATACCTCTCCCTACACACCTTCCAACTACTCATCGCATAATGCAACGCCCCAAAACGATCATAACAGTAATGAAGTGATTCACCCTTCCTTAGACAAGCATGGCAGGTTAATACAATCAAGAACGGGCGAGAAAGTCTACGTAGGATCATCTTCAATGACTCTATTTGGTTTAGAAATTCAAAATATGGTACCTTCATTCGTATCATCATCAATTTTCCCTAATACTAATCCAAATTCACCTAATTCTCCGAATTCACAAGTGGCCGGAGCAAGTCCAAAATCGCAAACAACAGAAATGAGTGCTGGGACTGCTACTTCTCAACCTAGTAAGAGAGAAACGGAAATTCTCGAGAAAGAGGGTAATGCCTATAAGATCACTTTAGCCAAGACCAATACAAGACCAGGGTTATCAATAAACTTCACTTTACCTTCATATTCCTATGCCATGCTTTTGGTTGATACTTTTATTAATTACAATGATGGTTGTTTTTATTTTTTCAATGAAGGTTTAGTTAAAAAATTCTTAATGAATCTATATAGTGGGAAAGGTAGTGATAATATCAGAATATTGAAACGTAACGTCTCGTTAAATAAGGGCCCTGCTATGGACGAAAACACAATAAAAAAAGATACTGATGATGATACAATCCTCGAAACAATCTGGTTCTGTAAAATTTTGTTAATTTTTGCAATTGGTGAGATGTATTTAGGAACAGAATCAGATACCCACATAAAAAGGTCCAAAAACCTAGATAAAGTGAATAGAGAGGCTAGAAAGAAGAATAAAGATAAATTCAATACAACCAGTAACAGACCAAGCTCATCTTATAGAAGAAATACTTTACCTGGTTCCGGATTTTTCTATCAAGCATCAGAGTTGTTTACCGGTTTATTTGCATCTGGTGCTATTGATAATATTACAAAAGATGGAGGTATAGAGGTAATGTTATTATATGCTTTCTATCTACAAGTTGCTGACTGTACTATTGCTTCTTACTTTTACTTTGGTTTGGCTTTAAGGTCAACCTTAATTTTGGGATGGCATGTTGATGCAGATAAAGAAAACTTAGATAGGTTCGAACTAGAACATCGAAGACGAATTTGGTGGACAGTTTATATGTACGAAAGAATGCTCTCTTCAAAAGCAGGTTTACCTCTCAGTTTTGCTGATGATAGTGTTTCGACGGAATTACCTTTCGACTTTAGCATAAACCTTGATGATTTCCCAAGAGACGAAAGTGATGTTAGAGGGTTCTATATTTTTCCTTCTGCTGAATACATCAATAATTGTGTTACTATTACTCAAATTAATGCACTTATTTTATCTTCTTTATACACCAAACAACCATCTGCCAATATTTTACCAGTTGTGTCTGATTTAGTTCAAAAATTGATTAATTGGAAAAACGCATTACCCGATTTCTTAAGAGTTGACTTTTCGAGTGAAAACTTTCACATATCAAGATTAATTGTGAATTTGATGACAGAATATTTTCAAGGTATGAATCTTGCTGTTCGTCCGTTATTGTTCCATTTTGCAACAAAAAAACTAAAAGAACTCCAGATACAACAAAATTCTAACAAATATGTTGATTTAACAAAGTACTCTAAAAATGTTTTAACTTTATTAAATGCATCATTCCAAGCTTCCATTAATACAATTAAATCCATTTGGGCTCTTCTACCTGCTAATATGGTTGCATTGTTTGGATGGATGGATCGCGAGTATCTCTTTACATCTGCGTCTACTTTAATTTTATTCAATGCATCTTTTGGTGTTCATGACGCAACCAAAGAGCATTTGGATCATGCATTGACGATATTTACCAAGATGAAAAAGTTGGGTAATTACCCAGCTGCATTGAGAAGAGCCCAGTTACTCAAGTTGATACGAGTTTTGGATTTCAATGGGGTTATGAATTCCTTACTAGTCAAACATGATGGGGAACCAAAGGAAACAAACGACGTAGGTGAACCTTTAAATGATTATCAAAGTTTTAATGAATCATTCATAGATCCCCGTCCTGGCCTTGTCGATATGGCTAGCCTTGGAGGTATTGGAGGCGGATTGAACATTAATGGAGCTGGTAGTGGCAACTCAAGCGGTGCAGGCTCATTTATTTCAGAAAGCATACGCCATCCGAATGTGAAAATGCATACCGCTGGTGATGATGAAATGACGGTCCCTGGTGAATTAGACTTTCTAAACTTTCCTGCAGCTTTGGGAGGTGAAACTAATGGTCACATGGCGAACAATCCAGTACCAAATACAGCAAATTTAACAAGTGAGTCGTTCAACTTTAATATAAATGTTCCGAACTCTATTCAACCAACTAATGGCGATGTTTACATGAATTCAGATTTGGCTGGTATTGAAGGTATGACATATATTGATGAAGAACAGAAGTTATGGAACGAAATTACCAATGATGCAGTCTGGTTGCATGTCCCTGGCGGTAATCCGAATGATCCAGTAGCCACCGCTCGTCATACCAAGTCTGCTCTGACACTCAATCAACGCCCAGTTAGTACACAACAACAAATGAATACAAATGCTCTTTCAAGTGGTAATTTAATGAATCATGCTAATTTTAATTTTCCGAATACTGGTAATATTTTAGGAGCTGATGGAGGTAGCTCAAACAACTCTTTCCCCAATAATGGTGGCTATTCAGATATCATTAATCTGGAGTTTCAAGATTTAATGAATTAATCTGAATACCACTGATGAATGCATTAGTTTCGTTTTTGAAACAAAAATTACGATTATATATTCAGTATCAACTTTTTCTTATCTCCACTCAGAGAGTCACTTACGTTGTACAATATAGTGAAATGATCTTATAGACATAATTTTATACCTATTGAACTAAATCTTTAAAATGTATATTACAGTAGACTAATCTATTATATTTGAGTGAACACCAATTGAAAGGGAAAAATTAAAGTACAAGTGAAAATTCATCATCAAAAAATAAAAATCAAACAGGACGAAAAGCAGAATAGGCTTCAGAAAAAATCCATCATGTTTGCGTTGCTGGAGTTACCAAAGCCTGAATTGAGTCTATTCATATCGGAAGAGCCGTTATCGTTCATCTGTTGAAATATTTGTTGTGGAGATATTGATGATTGATTTTGTAAAGCTGCCAGATTTGGAGGTTTATTAAAGGTCAGATCCATAACTGGATTATTTTGAAAATTGACAGGGTTTTGTGAATTGAAGGTTCCAGCCACTGGAAATTGAGATGGTTGAGCATTTGGATTTGGTTTTTGATTATTCATCATTGGAGAGTTTATTACTGCATCGCCTGTAGCTAGGTTTGTCATATTACTCAGATCCGGAGGATTACCCATTGGAGTGCCGTTTAAAGCTACTCTTTGTTGTTGTTGTTGTTGTTGTTGATGTTGTTGTTGATGTTGTTGTTGATGTTGTTGTTGCTGTTGTAGTTGATGCTGCTGCTGCTGCTGTTGTTGTTGTTGCTGTTGTTGTTGAGGCATGACTTGTTGCATTGGATTAACACCTCCATTAGCGGCAAGCTCTTGTTGATACTTCACTTGTTGAATTTTCATCTTTAAGAATCGCAAAGCATCTGGGTACAAGTCTTGCAACTTCTTATATAGACTGTTGAGTTCTGGCATGTTTGGAGGTGCTGATAAAAGTACTGGAAATTGAGGGCGACCTGGTTGATTAGCCGCTGCTTTATTATGATACTTATCATTAATATAAGATAAGACTGCAATATTGCAGACAACTCTCCGACTCATATTCGTGTACAGTTCCAGCAAGGCACTTTTAGATTGAACATTTAATTGCTGGAGTGCTTGAGGATTACTGATATAATTGACATATAAGGTATAGGCTTTCTTTATGAGATGGGAATTTATCAACAAAAGACAGGTCACTCGGTCTCTATCAATTTCCAAAGGTGACTTATTAGATACTTGTCCACCAGCTTGCGGAGGAGCCGTATTCATTTTGGAGATAATCTATGAATCGGATTCACTTCTTGAAAGAAAAGTAAAACACGCTAAAAAACGCCAAAATAATAAACAAACAGATATCTCGAGTATTAATTAAGAAATATTCCCTGGAATTGAGCAGGAAGTGTACACGGCCGTGTTCAGGGATATTAAATTGGGTTGCTGGATACTTCGATATCAAAATGATTGATCCAATTCAAATGAACGCAAATACAAAAAAGTATTTCTCTTAAGAGAGTCTTTACGGCAGCATACGTTTTTTTTCGTTTCGCTTATTTTTTTTTTTTTATTTTTATTTTCACAATCATCATGAGATGTACGGGGGTATACTGAAATGTACGGGTTAAATGAATGATTTTATTATAAGAAGGTAACATAAGAAGTCTATTGAAAGAGTAAAGTCATTAAGGAGGAGATAGCCGGATGGAGGCATGCAATTTGAAAGACGAAGAGGCTACAATTTGCCGGTTAACTCTGGTACAGCTTCATTAAGATCAGCGACCAAACCAATATCCGCAACATTGAAAATTGGAGCTTCTGGATCCTTGTTAATTGCAACAATAGTCTTGGAGTCTTTCATACCAGCTAAATGCTGGATGGCACCAGAGACACCGACAGCGACGTATAATTCTGGAGCGACGATTTTACCAGTTTGACCAACTTGTAAAGAATTATCACAGAACCCAGAATCAACGGCGGCCCTAGAAGCACCAACAGCAGCATTCAATTTAGCAGCCAAAGGTTCAATCAAGCCATCGAAGGTTTCCTTATTTTTCAAACCACGACCACCAGAAACAACCTTCGAAGCTGAGCCCAAGTCAGGTCTTTCAGAAGTAATCAATTGTTCCGAAACAAATTCGGTACGGTTATTTGATTCAGTGGTAGCAGCAACTTCTTCGATTGGAACAGCCTCTGCCCCCAATTCCACTGGGGGGAAAGCGGATCCTCTAACCGAGGCAAGAATGATCTTGTCACTGGATTGAACGGTGGCCAAAGCATTCCCGGCATAAATTGGTCTAACAAAGGTATCTTTGGATTCAATTTTGATGATATCGGAAAGCGGTTGAACGTCAAGAAGAGCCCCAAGACGTGGTAACACCGACTTCCCAACGGCGGAAGCTGGGGTAAAGAAATGAGTGAAATTGGAGGATTGTATGACATCTTTGAATAATGGACTTAATTCTTCAGATAAATAATGATCATATTGGGTCCCCTTAGCCACGAGTACTTTATTGATACCGGGGATCTTCGCCGCTTCGTCTTTGATGGCTTCGCCCTCAGACCCGGCAACTATCACAGTAATTGGCTCACCAATCTTGGATGCTGCATTAATGGCTGATAAAGAAGTTGGTGTAATTTTGGATTGGGCACTTTCGACAAACGCAAGCGTATCTAAACTAGCTCTTGTGCTGGAAAAAAATCTTTTGGAAACGAATGAGCGTAACATCTTAGAACCACTACGTATTAGTTAAACAATTCTCAAGTATACTTCCAATAAGTATTCTGAAGTTTCCACTGGAGTGAAGTATTTTTCAAAAACTTCCTACTTTTTTCCAATGAAAAATCCATTCCGCACGACCAACTCCCGGTATCGGGGCTAGTGATTTTTTAATTATATGATTAAGAAACACTATATAAGAAGCACAGCTGAGTTCATGGTATGGATGAGGTATCTGATGAGGTGTTCAAAGTGCTACACTGATTAACACAATGTATGGGGAACCTTAAAATCCACCTTTGTGGTTTTGCTAGTCTGAAATTTTGCAATGAAGAGCTTTAAGTTTTGCAATTTAACGATTGATATGGCCCACACACAAACGATACATGGACCGTACATAAGCCATACAAAATTCATGCATTCCAACAGTTTTTTACCTTCGTCTTTTCATTTACAAGTCAATTGTCCATCTCTTGGTCGAATTATGTCCGCATGGACTGGAAAAAAGGGTAAACACTCGGTCGAGTGTCTTGACACCAACCCGGTTGTCAGTTTAGTTGGGCACTCGATGTGATATTTTGAACATTCCTTATTGTCCAACCGCTTAGCTCAATATGAATTGATACATTGAGTTGGTTGATCTCGCACAGTGGAGTTTGACATTTATTATTTTTTTTCGCTGATAATGGAATTTTCATGCTCTCAAATAAAGTATTGCTAAGCTTAAGGTATAAATAATATTGCTTAACCCGGGATAAACTATTTCTGTGTTTGAAAGAATAGACTCAAAGGTTACGTGAAGGTTATTTGCTCATCAGGATGTCTGCTAGAAATACAAACGACCCCCCACGGAGTGGTTCATCTTCGCAGATATCGAAGTCCAGCAATTCTGAACCAAGTTATCGAAAGATATCTAATAAACGGGTTAATACCGAGAGTTCCTCTCTTCTTCGGAGTCAAGCTTCGAACGAGTATAGCTCAGTTGAAAGTAGGACAGATGTCACTTACGGCAACCCAGCTCAACAGACTAGACTCAACCACGGTGGATCTCCTTTGAAGACGGTATCAAATATACGTCACGGTACCCAGGATGATCAAGCTTCAATTATAATCAATCCAAGGGAGTTGTCCCATGCCCCAAGCATAAATGTTTTGGCCGACGCAAATGGTGATAATACCGATGGCACTCCTCCCACCGAATATGAGCCGACAAGAACTAGAACCATTGATAATCTACCTTGGAATGTGGTTTTACCTTACTATTTACCAATACTATCTTGGGTTCCGGAGTACAACATATCTTACTTTTTAGGTGATTTGGTTGGTGGTATCTCTTTAGCTACTTTCCAGATTCCCTTGTGCATTTCGTACGCTACTTCTTTAGCTCATGTCCCCATCACTTGTGGTTTGTTCTCGTTGGGGATTGCTCCCTTGATCTATATGGTCTTTGGTAGTGTTCCTCAAATGGTAGTGGGTCCTGAAGCCCCAATTTCTTTGATTGTCGGCCAGGCGGTGGAACCATTATTACATCATGCTAAAAAGAAAAACCTTGACCCAATTGAGTACGTTGTTGCTATAACCCTCGTGAGTGGAGCCAGCTTACTTGGATTCGGGTTAGGTCGATTTGGATTCTTAGATAACGTTTTAAGTGAATCATTACTCAAAGGCTTTATCAGTGGAGTTGGGATTGTAATGATAATCAATGCTTCAATTTCAATGCTAGGCTTAGATGAATTGCTTAAGCAAGTTCGAGGTGATCCGGAATTACCAGACATTCATTCCCCTTTTGATAAATTAACTTTTTTAGTTCATTATTTTAAAGAATTCCATAAATTGACTCTTATCATTAGTCTTGTTGGCTTTATTGTTATAATGGCTCTTCGTTCGTTTAAAAAACAAGCAACAAAAAGTCAGAACCATTTATACCAAAAACTTATTTACATTCCTGAGATATTAATTGTCACCTGTCTTGCAACATGGCTATCTCAAGTGAATCGTTGGGATCAGAAAGGGATAGATATTATTGGGGAAATTAAAAATAGAGATGACTCATTCACCTTTTACAATCCTTTTCTGCATAACGTTGTGAAGTATATTAAATTTTTGAGTAGCTCTGGATTTCTATGTGCAATGCTAGGTTTTTTCGAAAGTACAACTGCTTCAAAATCTCTCGGATCAATTTATAATTTACCAATCTCTTCCAACCGTGAATTGGTTGCATTGGGCTTTATCAACGTCACCGGATCAGTATTTGGTGCACTCCCAGCGTTTGGAGGTTACGGAAGATCTAAAATCAACGCAATTTCAGCTAAAACCACAACCTCGGGTGCTATAATGGGTGCCATTGCACTAGTCACTGCAAACTCGATCTGCGACTACTTATATTTTGTTCCGAAATGTATTTTGAGTGTTATCACTTGTGTTATTGGGATTTCATTAATTGATGAAGCACCTTATGAATTATGGTTTCACTGGAAGAGTCGTGGGTACAATGAATTGGTAACTTTTGCAATCACTGTATTAACCACTGTATTTTTTTCGATGGAAACCGGAATTGCAGTTGGTTTAATATACCTGTTGATTAGAGTAATCAAACATTCAGCGGAATCAAGAATTCAAATCTTGGGTAGATACCCCGGAACAAACACCTTCCTCGATGCTGATCTTTCTAGAAACTCCCGTTCGATTGCACAAGGTAGAAATTCGCCTAATCTTGAAAAAAATCGTCGCAGTCAGTATAATGTTTTCACCGATGATAATTTCAGAGAATTGAATGTCCAAGCATTGGAAGAAATAGAAGGCTGCTTGATTATAAAAATCCCTGAGCCTTTATCTTTCGTTAATACAAACGATTTGAAGACACGTCTCAAACGAGTTGAGATGTATGGATCCACTCGTGCCCACCCGGCCCTGAAAAGAAGTAGAGATAGCTCAATGACCAAATACATCATTTTTGATTTAGATGGAATGACAGAATTGGATTCTTCAGCTGCCCAAATCCTCCTTAAACTTTTACAAAACTACGAAGAACGAGGTATTCGTTCCTTCTTTGTTCGTGTCATCGAAGACAGACATCTAAAACAAAGGTTAATTGCTACTGGTATAGCAAAACTTTTAACCAGACACTTGGAGCTGATGAAATATTTCGATTATCAAGCTTCTTCACCGAACAGACGCTTAAACAGATTTGATGCTGGTGAAACTGCCTCCTTGCAGGGAGACGATATAGACACCGCTGATGATACCTCTTCGTTGGATCGCTTGATAGGTGAATACGAAGAGCCTTATTTCTCCCATATAAGTGACGCGTTGAAAATTATCGATCATTACGAAGGGCTGAATAAAGACGACGAGAGTTTGATCGAACGCGATTCGGAGTTTGGTGACCACAGCATGGTTTAATTTAGCTTCACCTTCGGTATAGACTTTTACATAGACAACACTATTTATTTAACTATTTACTTCTATCACTTGCAAAAGACGTGTAGAGAAAAGAAGCAAAGCGAAAAATTGATGAAAAAAAAAAATGCGTGTAGTCAAAAAGAGAAAACAGAGATGAAAACAAAGTATGTTAACATCTTATTTGACATTAAGCAATTAGTTAGTTAGTTCTCCAAGAAAATGTCACTTGATCCGGCCACTTTGGGTGCATTGGAAATGCCAGACGACGGTCAAAAAGAGCTTAGTATTAAAGAGGAATACCAATTATGGAGAAAGAACTGTCGTTATATGTATGAGTTTGTCAGTGAAACTGCTTTAACGTGGCCATCATTGACGGTTCAATGGCTTCCAGAACATAAGGTAAACCCAGAAGGGGAAATTGATGCCAAATTACTTCTAGGAACCCACACGTCTGGGGAAGATACTGATTACTTGAAAATAGCCTCTACTCAATTACCAGATACCAAGTCGAAGGCTAAAAAAGAGGATGGAGATGCAAATAAGAAGGTATCAACTAGAATCAAGATAAAGAAAAAGTATACGAATAAAGCTGAAATCAACCGTGCTCGCTACTTGCCCCAGGACCCTTCGATTGTGGCTACTATCAATGGCTCGGGCCATATAGATTTATATGATTTATCAAAAGAGACAAATTCCGGTAGTTATGCTCATTTCGAACCACATACCCAGAATGGTTACGGATTATCATGGAGCCCCCACAAGAAAAATCATCTTCTTACTGCATCTGACGACTCATCAGTGGTATTAAGTGATATTTCCAAATTAGATTCCAATAATGGTCAAATTTTTAAAAATACTACTGCCACCGATATAGTCAACGATGTTAAATGGCATTGCTCTGATGAAAACCTTTTCGGAAGTGTATCTGACGACGGATACGCGTATATATTTGATATCAGAACTCCTAATACTCCCGTTTCGAAATTTTACGGTGCCGACTCAAAGGGAATTAACTCATTGAGCTTTTCCCCATTTTCACACAACCTTATAGCCATTGGGAATACCAACTCCAACCTCAATTTACTAGACTTGCGTAACTTGTCAACCAAAGATCAGAGCAATAATGGCCTTTTACATACCATGATGGGCCACTCCGATTCCATCACTAGTTTGGAATTCTCTCCTCACCAGGACGGAATCATAGCTTCGGGTTCTCAAGACCGCAGGTTGATCATATGGGATCTCTTCAGAGTCGGTGAAGAACAGGCCCAGGAAGATGCCGAAGATGGATGTCCTGAATTATTCATGATGCACGCTGGACATACTGGTGCCGTCACCGACTTGAGTTGGTGTCCCTACGCCAACTGGACCCTTGCTTCGGTGGCCGACGACAACATCGTCCATCTTTGGGAAATGAGCAAAGGTTTACTTGAGCTGGACAAGCCTTTGGACTTGAAAGCCTCTGATTTAGAGTAAGTCACTTATATAGTTGTATTATAAAACATCCGTACATTTTTTTTTAAATTTCCATTTTCATTTTCTATTTTTTTTTTTTTTTTGGTCTTTTTCGGTTTTTCGTTGAAAAAAAACAATCAACGAACTGTCAGTTAATATCGTACTACTAGTTGCCCCCTCAAAAAGAAACAGATACTTATAGCAAGCAGAGCACAACATAAGAATCACTAAACAATGTCCGACTTTCCACCTAATGTATCCATCAGACCATTAACGATTGAAGATATCGATCAATGTATTGCTCTAGAAGCCAAAGGATTTAGTGAAGCAGAAAGATGTACACCAGATAAATTTAAATACCGATTAACTACATGTCCAGAGTTATGTTCGGGGTTGTTTGTTAGAGAGTATTCATATAAATATAATGCTATCAATTTGCCAGAAGTAGCCGAAAGAATAGAAGCTGAACACAAGGATTCTAAGAGTGATAATGAACAAGAAGATGAAGATTTACCAGTGAAATCCTCCGTTACAAAAGAGACTTTGATTGGTCACATAATTGCCACCAAGATCCATTCTAGTCATATAACAGAAGCCTCAATGGAATTACCTTCAGAAAATGACCCGACTGCTGGTCATATTGAACATTCTCGTTTTGTCGGGATACACGGTTTAGTTGTTGACCCAGAATGGCAGGGTAAGAACTTGGGAACTTTATTAATGCATGATTATATTCAAAAATTATCTAATCAAGATTTAGGCTCCAAAGTTGTTATCATTTGTCATAAAGATTTAATACCATTTTACGAAAAAATCGGCTTTAATAATAATGGGGTAAGTGAATGTAAATTTGCCAATCAAACCTGGTACGATTTATCAATTGATTTGATTCCAGAAGAAGAAGATTAGCTGCTAAATTATGTTTATGAAGTTTGCTTTAATTTTTGTTCAATGTTTTTTTCTTTTCAAGTAATTATTTTTTTTTTATTCTCTATGGTTTGTCTTACTTATATTATTCAGGTTTAACTTAGACGTCTTTTATAATACATATCTTCTACCAATTAAACACGAGTCGTCGTCTTTCGTTCATCTATTACTTGTATTGGCTGTTGTGAAGCAGCACGTAAACGTAGATCCTTACCGCAATCGTTGAAAGAAAAAAAAAAAAATCGAAACCATCTACTGAATCTTTGTATACAATTATTGAAAGCAGCTTAGAATGGTTCAAGTGCCTAGCTTATTGAGGTCAGTGTTTGAGACCTTCCCATTGAAAACCTACCCACCAATACCAAATACAACTGCGGGCAGCAAGCAGGCAATTGAAAGTAATAGGCTATACTTCGAGTCTGCCTCAAAATCCAATTCCAATGACTCCTTCATTCTTGGAGTTCCAAATGTTCTAGCTTTAGATAATGACAAATATATACCCACAGATCCTATATCGTTGGCTCAGTGCTTGATTTTATGTTATAAGCATAAACTCAAACTTCCATCCAATTCTTCAAGTAATAAATGCCCTCATTCTTTACTCAAAATGTCTCACCATGCCTCTGAAGATGGTCAGCTTCCAATACTTATAGAAAACGGCGAAGACTCCTCTCGAACTATAAGATCATGCAAAAGCTTTACCGAGACAATCAATGACAAATATTTTAAAGAAGACATCCAAGCGTTTTTCATCAATAATTTGATAGACCATGATTTGAATGACCTATGGATCTTATCCTTGTTAGTGGAAATCTCAAGAGGTAACTTAGAGGTCGTAGATCAAATTTTCAAGATTGACGAGGCATTGTATGAAAATGAACACATTAAGTTTGCAACCTCAGTATCCTTGTTAAAGGAAATACCTAATTGGAATTCTTTCAGAATTAGACATGCATCTTTGTTCGACACCAAAAAGTCAAGTAGCATTAACTATCCTTTACGTTATGTAAGAGAAAATGCTTTGGAATTTCAAATTATAGATAACTCCAAGGCAATTAACTCATACTATGAGGATCAATTATCGAAATTAAATACTACATTGGAATTGTTGGTTGATTACATTACCCCCGAAAACACTCAACTACCTAAGAAAATTATCGAATTGAAAGTCATTGCTTTTGTTATATGTATTGATAAGGTATTGGGTAAGGATACTCAAATTTATAAAGTACTTACTCAAAAAAAATTCGAAGGTATCATTGATCATTCTTACAATGTTATTAGTAAAGACTTTTAGCATTGAACCCATAATTGTATATAGCTTTCTTTTAAGAATAACAATTCTCTTTCACAGGTATCAATTTGTAAGTTATTGATTGTAACCCAATTATCACTAGTCTTAGGCAAGCTTATCGACCATTGATGCTTATCATCAGAGCGGTCTAATTTTTGCCCATTAACTAGTTGATGAGTAATATTACCAGCTAGTTTATAATTCAATTCTCCATTAGCGCCTGCAACGTATGGTGCCATATTTATTATCTCTGGGTATTTAACAACCATCGGACTCCCTCTAGAGCCTTCTTCTAAACCACGATCAACATGAATTAAAATGTACTTTGGCAATGGCTGCAACAATTTATATTGTTTTACTTCTGAAGGTGAAGTTTGATGAGTGCTCTCACCATTATATTTCTCTAAAAGTTCCAATAAAGATATTTGTGGAAGTTGACCAGTATCATCTCCATTTCGATTTAACAACCCGGAGTTTGCAAGTAGTGACGTATCTGGTAATTGGAGTGATAAGAGCCAAAACTTCAGTTTTATCAGTTTTGTTGAAGCTGTATCTAGGACAAAATCAACTTTCTTAGTATCCTTGTTATCGTTAGCAATTAACGTTGTTGTTTTGATTTCTATGTTACCTTGGAAAGTTTCTGAAAGCACTGTTTTACTTTTTTTTGTAGCTTTAACCAATTGAAGATGTAATTGATTTAGAAGCCATACCAAAAAAGCCTTCGGCAGCCTCTGCTCGTTGATAGTGAATTTTTTTTGACTTAATAATGATATGAATTGTAAAAGCTCATGTGGTGATATATGAGGTTTAAACAAGTGAGAAGACCAGATCTTTCTAACAAATAGACCAAGTTTTTCATGCAATATAGATTTACGGTTTATTTTGTCCTTCATATCTTCAGACTCCGGTAATGAAAGACTTAAATAAAAGTTCCGAATTTCTGGAATATGGACTAGTAATTGTAATATGACATTGGAATAATCATTACTCGAAATGTTGTTCAAGCCAATATACCCAACATGATAAGGTTTGTTATTAAGATCTTTGGCAGTTGCGATATGGGAAAGATTCTTAATATCGTCTTTGGTGTATTGAGGACTAATTAATAACTTTATATCAGATAAATACTTCAAAATTTCGTCATTTTGAATTTGGTAATTGTCAGGTAATATATAAAAGTTTGTAGTTTCGAGATTGACGAATATATGGTGGTTTTCATTAATTGCATGGTTGTAAGCATGGGAACCGGGTGATCTCCCTTGGAAATATTTCCCACAGACCAAACAACCGTAAACAAAATTTGTTGCTAGGGAAATCAGACACATTTTTTCAAAATCGAAATCTAGCAAGTTACGATTAATGGTGTCTAAGTAAATGAAAGTGTTTCTTGAGTTCGAGGTAGAGTTCGTTTTTTGCTGCATATATGAGGGAAGCTCTTCATCGGAGTCAGAATCAGATCCCAATCGAGGAGCAGACTGTGACTGGGGCTCGTGAGCAACCTTCTGCTTCTTGATAGGCCTCTCAGGGTTTGACATGTTCCAATTGTAACAATCTATTATCGAAGATAGAGATGTCTAGGATGTTTTTTTTTTCAACCTTTTTTTTTCGCTTTGAAAATTAGCAGCCTCATTACATGGACTTCTGTTTTACATGGATTTCTAGTTTACGTTGTTTTTTACTTTGAAAAGATATTTATTTATACATATGCTACTTATTGAATGGCTAAACTGTTGATATTACCAGTCAATAATGACGTAACGTTTTCTTCTATAGCTTTTTCAGCGGTATCGGACAAATGTTTCTTTGGATCTTGTTTACCGACGTATCTAGTCTTCAATTGGTCTTCCAGCAACTCTTTTTCTTCAGTGACACGTTCATTATATAATTTTGCAATTCTCACCAAGTCTTGAGTATTATTCAAATTATCGTGTTCTTTATGGTTATAATCAACCATTTTCAATCCAGATTGCCAATTCTTTTTATGTAAGTTCAATAACATATTAGTTTCGTAAGAAGTTTTATGATAGTCGATGTTTAATGAGTAATAATGACGGTTTAACCCATGGATTAATGCTTGAATGGAAGGTTTATTAAGATGACCAACGTTAGAAGTAGTTTGACGAGGTTCTTGGCCCATCATCAAGGTGGTGGTATCAATTGTTCTGAAAGCATCAATGACCACCTTACCTTTAACCGATTGGATAGGATCAACAACAACGGCCACTGCTCTTTTATTCAATTGTTCAAAAGATTGTTGAGTATTAACATCAACTGAAGATAACCAACAACCAAACCCTGGATGCGAATGGTACCATCCAACAACCATTTGATCACGGCCAGTTTGTCTTAGCATATCCATCATCTTGGTCTGGAAAACATCATCAACGGCCTCCACAGAAACACCAGTACCGGATTGAGGCATGGCAAATACATCAATTACATGGATAGTAAATTCATCAACAAATTCTCCCAACATCAACCCCATAACTTCCATAGGGACACCGGCACGGCCGTGCTTCAACATTTTTAAAAGTGCTAACGATGATATATAAACGGTTTCGGCATTATCTATAGCGGGTCCATCTGCTGGAGGTGGCGCTCCACCTCCTAATCCTCCACCAGCACCTAATAGTCTCTGTAATCTTTCCATCTTGTCTTATACTATGTGTTCAATTGATTTATACTTTCTCTTTGGAATGCCTCCTAACTCTTGTGTATTCTTTTATATAAACCCGTCTTCAGTTGGTGGCAATTCTGCTTGTTCTTTTCAAATTGTTGATTTTTTCTCTTTTGATTTTGGAAATTTGTGATCACGTGAACAGAGTTATCCCCCTGTGTGCAGGCTCTTCTTTAAAACCTACGACTATGCTATTAAAGAAGACTAGAACCACGGGCTGGTCTTACCAGGACCAAGCCAATGAGGCAGGGATTACACTAGCTGTAGACATGGGTGTGACCTGGGAAACTAGGTTGCGTACGACGGGAGCTGCTATTCAAATCTACTGAGCAGACGGAAAAAACAACTTGAAAAGCGGACAAAAAACGGTACGGCACAAGAGGAGATGATTAGAAGATTATTTTCGATTTGAATCGAGGTAGAAACCAAGGTTGCTGAAGGAAAGACAGTAAAGACGTACTGAGGATGTTGAGCGCCATAGAAAGTGTTAAAGGACACAAGTATCCAGCCAAAGCACACGCAGAAAATGTTGTAAGACATTTGCAATCAAAAATCAGTTCAGAAGAGGCTGACAAGAGTGCAGTCTTCATATCTGGAGAGGATTTGGAGCTATACCAGTACTGTGACCAGACCAAGCCGGTCAGACAAAACCGTTATTTTTTCTATTTGACGGGATGTGATATTCCAGGGAGCCATGTCTTGTACCAAGCGAACAAGAAGCAGTTGACTCTTTATTTGCCCGATATTGACTATGACGACGTTATGTGGTCTGGATTACCGCTCAGTCTTGCGGATGCTGGCGAAAAGTACGACGTGGATCAAGTTAAGTATGCATCCGAATTGAAGGATGATTTAGCTCGCTTGAAAGGGTATAGTATTTTAACCACCGACATTAATCAATTCAACTCCAAATATCAAGAATTTTTGAAAGCCGGTGATGAAAACCTCTTCTACGCATTGGACGAGTCAAGAATGATTAAGGATTGGTACGAGATTGAGTTGATGAAGCACGCAGCTAAAATCACCGACAAATGTCATTTGGCAGTCATGTCTGCATTGCCAATAGAAACCAACGAGACTCACATCCATGCCGAGTTCATGTACCATGCCATTAGACAAGGGTCCAAGCACCAATCCTATGACCCTATTTGCTGCAGTGGGCCTAGCTGCTCAACATTACATTATGTAAAGAATGACGACGAGATTGATGAAAAGAAAAGATCCATTTTAATCGATGCTGGTGCCGAATGGCAGTGCTATGCCAGTGATGTGACTCGCTGTTTCCCCATTAATGGCGATTGGTCCAAGGAGCACTTAGACATTTACAATCTTGTCTTGAAAATGCAACAGGAAACCATGAAACTTATCAAACCCGGTGCTTTATGGGATGATATCCATTTACACGCCCATAAAGTTATGGTTGAAGGCTTCATCAACTTGGGTATCTTCAAAAAAGGATACTCGGTACAAGAGATTTTTGAAAATAAAGTATCGGCAAGGTTCTTCCCTCATGGTTTGGGCCATTTATTAGGAATGGATACCCATGATGTTGGTGGACATCCTGATTACAATGATCCCGACCCATTACTAAAGTATTTGAGATTACGTCGCCCATTGCAAGAAAACATGGTTCTCACCGATGAGCCAGGGGTCTATTTCTCCCCATTCTTATTAGAAGATGTCTTAAAAGATGAGTCTAAAATGAAATACATCAATAAAGATGTCTTAGATAAATACTGGTATATTGGTGGAGTCAGAATCGAAGACGACTTACTCATTACAAAAACCGGCTTCACCAATCTCACCTCCATCACCTCCGACCCTAACGAAATCTCCAAAATCGTCAAGGCCGGTTTGGCAAAGGGGAAGGATGGGTTCCATAACGTTATTTAAATATATATATATATGATACACCCGTACATCCCGCTAATTGTAGAGCAAGCACAAAAACTAAGGGTTTTCTGGCCATTTTTTGGCTTTGCTTTAAAAAAAAAAATCGTTTAAAAATTGATTTAGTTGAAATTGGAATTAGGGATTTTCTATTCTCTTTTTGTTTCATCAATCTTGAATATACACGTTGTCGTTTAGGTATTGATTTGGTGATACTCAATTGAACCTAGACTCCAGGTAGTAGTTTGTTGAAAGTACCAATTTGCAATTCTTAAGTTAAAGTTTCCCAAATTTTTTTTTTTTTAGAGTAGTTGATCTAATCGTAATAATATCACCATGGATGAAAATTACGATGTTATTGTTTTAGGTACCGGTTTGACTGAATGTATTCTTTCTGGTCTTTTATCAGTTGAAGGAAAAAAGGTTTTACATATAGATCGTCAAGATTTTTATGGTGGTGAATCGGCATCCTTGAATTTATCGCAATTGTATTCTAAATTCAAACCATCTGCTCAAAAGCCCGATACTTTGGGTGGTAGGGATCGTGACTGGTGTGTTGATTTGATTCCAAAGTTCTTAATGGCTAATGGTGAATTGACTAATATCTTGGTTCATACTAATGTTACCCGTTACATTGAGTTCAAACAAATTGGTGGTTCTTACGTCTACCGTAATGGGAGAATTGCTAAAGTTCCTTCTAATGAAGTGGAAGCCATCAAGAGTTCTTTAATGGGTATTTTTGAAAAAAGAAGAATGAAGAGATTTTTGGAATTCATTGCTAATTATAATGAAGATGTTAGTTCTACTCATCAAGGATTAAACTTGGATTCAAATACAATGACTGAAGTGTATAATCATTTCGGTTTGGAAGATGGTACCAAAGATTTCATTGGTCATGCCATGGCATTATGGTCAAATGATGACTATTTAAATGAAGTTGCCCGTCCAACTTTTGAAAGAATTTTATTATACGTCCAATCAGTTGCAAGATACGGTAAATCTCCTTACATTTATCCATTATACGGTTTAGGTGAATTACCTCAAGGTTTTGCTAGATTATCAGCCATCTATGGTGGTACTTATATGTTGGATACTCCAATCGATGAAGTTTTATATGACGATAATAAAAAATTTGCTGGAGTTAAAACTAAAGAAGGTACTGCTAAAGCTCCAATTGTCATTGCTGATCCAACTTACTTCCCAGAACGAGTTAAAAAAACTGGCCATAGAGTTATTAGAGCCATGTGTATTTTAGATCACCCAATTCCAAGCACCGGTGACTTGGACTCGGTTCAATTAATCATTCCTCAAAACCAAGTTGGTCGTAAAAATGATATCTATATCGCTGTCTTATCCGATGTTCATTGTGTTGTACCAAAAGGTTACTACTTGGCAATTGTTTCTACAATTATCGAAACTGATACTCCTCACGTTGAATTAGAACCTGCTTTCAAATTATTAGGTAATAGATTAGATACCTTAATGGGTCTTGCAGAATTATATGAACCAAGTGACGATGGTACCGACAGTGGTATTTTCATTTCCAAGAGTTACGATGCCAGTTCCCATTTCGAAAGTACTACTGACGACGTTAAAGATTTGTACTTCAGAGTTACCGGTAAACCATTAGTGTTGAAAAAGAGAGAACCTGAAGATGAAGAAGAATTAAACGGTCTTTAATCTAGCTGTCCTCTTTTCCTTTTTTTTTTTTAATTTCATCATCTTTATAATTACTTATTGTAGCTCGTATGATAGTCCTTATCAGTAATCTCCCCTGAGTGCGTATTGGCCCAAATGGATCTATTCATCTATTGTCGTGGAGAGAAACTATTGGAGATTTAGTTATGAATTGTTCAATCACCCATAGATCACTTCAACTCATGCAATGTTACGTTCCATTCAACTAGCTGTTGGCCATATCTTTTTATCCTTCATTACCCAATACAATTGGCAAAGAATTCCTACTAATAAACGCTTAGTCACGGGGTAAAGCTGCTCCCAATTAAACCGTATGCCTAACAAGAGTTTGGCTGTGAAAATCCATTGTGGTGCGCAATTTGGATTACAAATGATAAAGATAGGTCCCGTCGCAGAATTTAAGCGGAATTACACGGCCCTTAACTATGGCTCGATGATTCATAATTAATCTTCCCGGTATAAAAAGAAGTTGGCATCACCGGTTCTTCTAGCATTGAAAACTTCATTTTGCTTTAACAATGACTCAAGCCCCGGTCGAATTGAGCCCAAAATTCGCTACCAAGTCAGGTAGACCACTTTCAATTGGTGTTGGAACTGGGACCAAAGTGAAGGATTTGAAAAGAGCAGATGCTTCCAATTCTGAATCGATTATTCAAACCCTTAAATTGGCCCTTGATTCTGGATTCTTTCATGTCGATACAGCAGAATGTTATACCACCCACCCAGAAGTAGCTGAGGCCCTTAAACGTTCTTCGAAGAAAAGAGAAGACTTGTTTGTTGTAACGAAATATATTCCTCCTGGGAATGTGTTTTTCGAGCAAAAGTCTACTGGAGCCCATAACTTTGTTGATTTAGCTTTAGAAGAATTGGGTACTGACTATTTGGATGCAGTGTTATTACATCATCCATTCTTCAAACCAGATATTAAGCCAGACTTAGAAACTGCTTGGAAAGACTTGATTGAAGCTAAAAAATTGGGAAAAGTTAGGCATATAGGAGTATCAAACTTTCGTGTTGAGGATTTGAAGACCATTTCCAAGATCTCTGCAATTGAAACCGATAACGATGCTTCTTACCAACCCGCAATCAACCAAATTGAGTTTCATCCTTACTTGCAAGAACAGTCTCCGGGAATTGTTAAGTATTGTCAAGAAAATAATATTCTTGTGGAAGCTTATGGTCCTTTGACCCCGTTATTCAGAGTTAAAGAAGAAGAGAAAGATCATCCGTTAACTGGGTTATTACCGGAGTTATCAGCCAAATACGATAGAACCCCAGCCCAAATCTTATTAAGATACACTTTACAAAAAGGTATTTTACCAATTACAACTAGTTCAAAAGAAGAAAGAATAAGACAGAGTCTTGAGGTTTTCGATTTTAGTATTGATCAAGCTGATGTAGATAAAATTGATTCTGTTGGGTCCACTTACAAGCTAAGAACTTTCTTTATTGGTCTGTTTTAGAGTATTTATATTATGTTTTTTTATATAAAAATGAATAATTGTGTTACCATGTAATCTATTGAAATAATAGAGATGCAGCCATTTCAACGTTTCCTTTGCATTGTTCCAAAGCAAACACGGCCTCTTGTTCAGAGAATCCTAAAGACGTCAATTGTTGAATGTCTTCCTTCTTGAACTTAGGTTGAGTTGAACCAGTATTTTGTCTTTTCAATGCAGCCTGGGCTGAAGGGTTTGTAGCAGTACGGGAATTTTTTGAGCCACCTTCAGAAGGAGTTGGGGTAGAATTTGCAGCTAACGTATTTCCAAGGGGCACATCTGCACCGTCACTGAATATATTACCTCCCAATTTTTGGCCCTTGCCACCACTATTCATTCCCCCAGAAGGATCAAATTTAATCTCCAGTTCAGGTAAGAATTTGGTTTCAATTTGGCCAGCAACTATTAAAGAATCTTTCTGTAAATCAATTACACATCTGTGTCTTCTTAACATATCTAATCCAAATAAAAGATCAACGTTAGTGTCCACAACATAAAAACTACAAGGTATTTCAAAATCAGAATCACCTATGCTTATAGGTACGCTATGAATTTTACCTTCCATTTTTTGAGAACCGACTCCGACAGCCTGTCCTTGAAAACGTCTATCAAGTAGCCTATCGATACCTACTTTTTCAGCTAACCTGGGTGATATAATGGTCGTTTGAGCCCCTGAATCAACAAATGCTTGGACTTTATGACCATTAACCTTAATGTTTATAAACAACATAGTAACTTGAGCAAATGATTCTGGAGAAATGTCATAGGCCAATTGCATATTCTCATTCACCTGTTCTTGTCTAATCAATTCTAAGATTCTTTCTTGATTAGCAGGATCGTCGGGATTTTGTTCTAATCTTCTAAGTTCTTCTTGTTGGGCAGATGATTGGTCATCACCAGATCTGAATTGCTGAACTGCATCCAACATAGCTTGTTTGAAACCAGCAGGATTATTAAGTTGAGCATGCAAAGCCGGATTAGATTGACGTAATGAATTATTCATGGAAGGGTTACTTAAGAATTGCGCTCTAAGCATTTCTGCTTGGGAATCAATGGCACTCAGATCTGAAGAAGTTGGATTAGCATTTGGAGCCGAAGTTTCAGCAGATGTATTTCGAAGCTTCAGAACAACAAGTAGGTCGTCCTCGGCAAGTCCTAGTTCTTCCAATGGCTTGGTAGAATCTTGTATGGTTTTTCCATTGTGTCTGATTATTTGATCTGCTGGCGAAATGTTGGTTTCGGTCTCTAAGTAAGCCTTGAAATCTTGTAAAGTCAATGATCCCGGTAAATCAACCGGGATAAGCTCACTGGTTTCTTCGTTAGATATGGTCAATTTCATTATAAAAGATGTAGTTCAAGAAATGGTGGCAAATAATTAAAGATTAGACTCTTAATGGTCTTTTTATACCCTCGACTGATAGTTTGTGGCGACTCGAGCATCGCATCCGTACACCAAACCCTGATTAAAAGCTTTAACAAATTATTCTACTACGGGATTTGACTTATAAGTCATTAATAATACATTAAAATAGTTAATATACATAAGGATGATCATTCTTCCGTCGAAATGGGGTGAGTTTGAAAATCCGCAGCACTTACTTGATGCTATTTTGCAGATAGGAATAAAGAACCACGGCGGGATCTGGAGCCAAAATAGTCTAAATCCAAAGTTAGATGAAACTACCAAGACAGTACAGCCAAACCCAAATTCTCTATGATTAATTAATGCTTGGAACAAGCATGGCAACAAGACCACCATTTAATAACATCTTCTTGATGATTTTGCCCTTTGGGCCATCACTATCGTATTCTTGGACATTTTCTAAAACAACATTGACATAGTCATCAAAACCAACCAAAGTACCGTGGAACTCTTTGTCATTTGTGAGTAAAATCTTGATATTTTGTCCGATTGACTTATCAATGACTTCTAAAGGCAATATGGTATTCAATGCAACTTCTTCTTCGGGTTGTTGTGGAGCCGATTCGTCTTTTGGAACTCTATCTATTATTTCTGATTGGCCGGACATCTTGATTCAGATACTCAAAATTGATTCAGGGATACTTGTAGGGGTCTAAGACGTATTAAGTTTCGAAGCTGTTGAATCTAATTTTTCTTCTTTGAAAAATTCGGTTATTGGTGTGCACTCACCAGACACCCGTACATTCTCATGATTTTTTTTTTTGTTTTGCACATTTAGCCGTGTTATCATTATACAAACGTTACGAATCGTCTATGCGTTGGTAACGGTTTGCCCATCTCGCAACTATAGTTTATTCGAGTAAAAAGATGACCTGTAAGTCAGCGCAAGATCTCTACATTAGCTATTGTAACGATGCCAATTTATTTAGTTCAAATATATAAGATATAAAGTAGCACAAGAAAAGAAAGTTTAGAAAAGAAATATAATGAATCAATAAAAAACGTTGAAAAAGAATAGAAGAAACATGAAAAATACTAAACAATCCTTGATCATAGTTTTAAATGAGGAACTGAAAAGAATATGAATAATATATAAGGACATTATAATACAAATAAACTGTGAAGTGCTCATCAAAATGCTTTCACCAACATTATCATCATCAAAATACCCATCGAATCTAGTTGATGCAGACCAGTTCAGGGTGTAGTCACTGAGATTATCATTTTCGTCATCAATATCTTTGATTGCAATACCTTGTTTTGGTTCGATGATAGATTCAAAATCTTGATCGTTTGGGTCAATCATACTTTGTCAGTTTGCAATCAAAGAAGGTTGCCCCTTTGAAAGAATAGCCTCCTTTGAGTGTTGATTAGATAAGAGATTACGACTTTGAATACCATTTAAACCACCAGAGTTACCTTTAATTCTCCATCCATCAAAATCAATTAAGGCTTGCATACAACCCCATTCAGTAATTTTATTTTGTAACCAAACCAAATTGACAGGTTTAGTCAAATAGTCATTACAACCTGCGGTCAACGCATTCTTTTTATCAACTGATGAGTTTGATGACGCGGTAAGGGCAACAATAATCACTGGGGATCTGAAAACATTCAAATCTAGTTTTTCATCTTCTTGTAATTCTGTTGGTGCTTTGAAGTGATTATGGGCTAATTCGTTTTGGGCAAAGACACCAATCCTATTAATTTTTTCTAAATAACGGATTTCCTTGGTAGCTTCTATTCCTGATTTCACTGGTAACTGAATATCCATCAACACTAAATGGAATCCGCCCTTTCTCCATTTATCAATTGCTTCTTGACCATTCTTAGCAATCTGATAATGAATTTTATGTTTTCTTAAAAATGCTCCCAAAATAGCTTGATTAATAGCATTATCCTCAACAACTAAAACAGAAATGGATGGAAGAACTTTATCAGTGGTTGTTTTTGGTTTTTGGTTATTATTATTCGACCGGTTTGGCTTCTCATTACTAAGATCTTGCACTGATTTAATACTTTGAGCGTGTTTTTTCACATCTTCGCTAGACTTATTATTTTCAGATAACATTTGATTCAAATGAATATTAGATTGGAAATTCAGAGTTGAATCTCTTGAAGGAGAATTAAGACCATCAACAACAGTTGGTGGAGAAGGTGATACCGATAATGCCTCTCGTATATTCCCTACTGTTAAAGTTGATGCACTTTGACTACGGTCACTTTCGGGTATATCAGCAGAGTTGTTATCCAATCTAGAGAGTTCATCAGTTTTTGTGACTCCAGGATATGGTGAGTTAGACTTGGAAGATGGTGAATTTATTCCGATACCTATACTAGTCAAATTACTGCCCAGAGCAGACTTTAATGATGGTTCACTAATCTCATTAATTGGTGAACTTACATTTGGCATGGTTTTATTCTTATGAACCAAAGCTTCATCCAAAGAAAGTCTTTTGGATTGGTAATTCTGATTATTTGGATTAATAGGAGATTCGCTACTATTCTTCTTATTAGTGGATGCTAATGAAAAATTTTTTGGTAATAATAAGACTGCTTGTGCATTACCTGACTTATTATTTGCAGGATTGACGGCATTGTTGACAGGTGATTGGGGTGGGTTAGAAAATGATCTTTTGTGAAGATTCGTATTGAGTATAGGTGATTTAGCCTTCAAATTAACAGTTGAAGGAGAAACGGATCTTTCATTTGGTACTTGAGCATAGTTAGGACTACCTTGACTCAAAGAGCTATTTTGGTAAAAGTATTGGGGTTTAGGCTGATGATATTGGGGGTTATTATTCAGAAATACAGGAGTGGTAGATCTTTCTCCCATATTCTGAGTTTGCTGCAGCATCCTATTCAATTGGTGTTGTTGCATTGCATTTAAATTATTATGATAAGATTGTGATAATTGAGTATTACTAGAATTGTAAAATCCAGCAATACTCGAATTTCTTTGGGAAGCTGTACCACTTACTGAGCCTGGATAATTGGGTTGGGTAAAGGAGCTTTGTGTACTCGATTGTTGAAAATCAGGTTGAGGTGGCTCAATGAGATCAGGCATTCCAATGATTAATGCTTCTTGCATAACCATTCCATTAGGATAATAAATATCTAAGAATTGCCAGACATTTTGATCAGGCTCTAGGTTTATATAACTGTATGTGTTTGTGGGACCTGAATTTGGAAAGTTTGAAAAGGGTCCCAAGTTTGTATTTATGTTTGCAGGACTGTGAGCTTGCCTAGTCGAAGCATTGTCTGGAGATAACAGTAGAATTCTACTTGGAATTGCTGATGGTTTCATTGAAGGGATCGGTTCGTGGAGAACAGGGTTCGACTCATTGTATTGAGGATCATCTTGGCTTGGGAGTTGTGCTTGTGCTTGGGCTTGGGCTTGGGCTTGGGCTTGGGCTTGTACTTGAGATTGAGCAGCCTGTAATTGAGCTTGCTTTTGGGTAGCTGAGGTAGATGAACCAGCGACCGATTGCTGCTTAGCTGGTGGTGCACCGGAATTCAAATTGTTTGATGAATTGATTGGTTGTCTAGCCTGAAGATCCATTTGAACTACCAAATCTGCTGGATCGTACAATCTTGCTAACGAATTAGGAAACTTATTCACAATCGCTTGTTTCAAGTCATCTATAATATCGCTTTGGTGAACAATCAAAGTGGTTGGAGTACCATTTGGTTTTTTGACCCATACTCTACGAGTTGTAAATATATTATTAGGAGAGAACGGGCCATTATTAGATATATGCAGCATATTTGGTGAATGAGTATTAATATTATTAATCATTGGTGGGCCTTTATTGGCATGGGAATGATTGAAGTGATGATTAGAATAGTGTTTATGCTGATTAGATTTTGGCATTGAATCAGTAGTAATAGAATCACTAATCGATGGCTTATGATTCAAATGGATATTTTCAGAAGAAAAACCAGATAAATGAGAATAAGACTTTGATCTATTGTTTCGAGAAAGTGGATCGATTAATTGGGATGATTGTGAGTTTTTGGAAACGGGACTTGAACCAGGAGAATAATCTGATAAATATGATTTATCCGGGATGTTGCTATTTAAACGAATATTGCGATCAAAAGATTTGGGAGGGTTAGATATGATAGGCTGGGATGTTGTTCTGGGATTATGTGAAGTCTTGCCTTGATTAGAGGGATTGGATGAAGTTGCTGTGATTTGATCAATGCTTTTATGTGCCGTTGGTACCTGACTTGTAAGAGGAAATTTGTAATTATTCATGTACCAAAGGGCTGAGATTTTGTTTTCTTAGTTGAAAAGGCCGACAATAAAAAAAAAAAAAAAACTCAGTAAAAAAAAAACTCAATCAAGGACTCAAAATAGTAACAAAGAACAAACAAAGAACAAACAAAGACAAACAACAACAAAATCAGCTCAAATTTGACAATACAATTTAGCTTTCCAGTAATAAAGAATCAGTAAGAGGCGAATAGAGAAAGGCGGCCAAAGGTATTATAGTATTCAATAAAACACAAGCCAGTACAAGCTGGAAATTTCACACTGGTAACCTTCACACTAACTGAAACAAGTTACGAAATATTGGATGAATTATCAATCGGTTCTTCACTAATGCAGATACTGTAATTTGAAATTTTTTCAGCAGCAGCAGCAGCAGAATCTTTGGCAGCTCCTATTGACTTTGAGAAACTTTATCCACAAATTGTAGGAAGCAAGGAATCAAAAGTGAAAGATGTCTTGAGGGTTAGCAGGATTTCCAGATTGACAACCAGGGGAAACGAGCCGACTAAACAAAGGATAAATAAACAAAAGGATAGTAACTCTTCAAATGGATAAACAAGTGTCACACAGTCTATAATAAGATAGGCATGGACAGTCTAAGCACTCTTGGATCTTTTTTAGAAGAAGTTATCGATAAAAAGGATGTGTAGCAAACGCTTTCTTTCAGTTTGATTAAGCGCTAAAGTAGAGTAGCTAACAAAACGAAGAAGAAAAAAAAAAAAGAAAAGCGGAAAACAAGTGAAGACACTACAAAAGTTGCAACTATTGCAATATCAGAAGGAGCCAGTGTGAGAAAATGATCTTAACCAGGAGAATTGCCTATAAATTGCTTGCAAGGAGGTAATAGAGGGGTTGATACGAGCTGGGACAGGATGTTGCCGGAGAATAAGTGGATGAAACTGGCATCAAAAGACTACATTACGTAAAGCTCTAATTGTTTAGACGATACTTCAATATCGGAGTAAATGTATTGCATTGTACATCAATACGAGTTGGAGTAAGGGGTAAAGAGAATTAGAGAAGTGAAAAGTATTAGCAAACCATTTGATTTCGGAACCATAACCATTGACAAAAGAAAAAAAAACGAAAAATGTAAATAGAGTAAGATATTAGTAAAGTGAAGCTAAGCGTACTTATTCCCAATCATCATCGTTATCATCGGAGTTAGATTTTTTTTCTTTGGCGTCGGATGCTGATTCTTTAGCAACATCAACTGCTTCATCCTCGTCATCTTCATCATCCCAAGTAAACTCTTCTTCTTCTTCTGCGTCGGAGGTTGAAATGGAGGTTGATTTTTTATCTTGGGATTTAGCTTCTGGGTCAGAGTCTTTCTCTAATAATTCTTTTCTTCTTTGATCGCTTATTTTCAAGGCATCTTCGCTTTTAAAGTAACGGTACCAAAATAAATTGTAGGATACTTTCACCGGAACTAAATCATTCATCAATTTGGTCAAGGTGTTAGGGTATTTTTCTAATAACTGACTAATTTCTTCTGTTTTATTATCTGATTTAAAATTCTTCAATTCTTCTTCTTCTTCTTTTGATTCTGGAGAAGTAAAATAAGCTTCATTAGTATGTAATTTAAATAATTCATTATCAAATCGAGAGCTTCCATAATTTTCATTTGAAAAAATTGTTTCAGAATTATTTCTAGAGTTGGAGCTTTCGTCGTTTGAATCAATCGAAACAATTGATGAAAAAAAGGATGTAAATTGATTAACGTATTTACCAGCTTGTTTTTCCACCAGTTCTAACGTTGAGTCAAGCGAGTCTAAAGCATTGTTGGCTTGAGTACTTAAGTTTTCATAGTTTATCTTTGTTTCCAAATTTTTAACGTGTTCTCCCAAATCTTTTAATTGAGTTTCAATATTTTTAATATTATCTTGAACAATTTCTTTATTACCCAAGTTAGTTTTCGCTTTATTCAATTGCTCAACTAATTCTTTCTTTCTCTCTTCAAATTTATACCGTTCTTGTAAATTATTTGCATTTTTCAGTGCATTACTCCATAAATTAGCAAAATTATTTTCAACTAAAGTATATGCATTATTGATTTCGTCTTCTAATTTATGGACAACTTCTTCAGTCTGGTTGTGGTTTTCTTGAGATATTTTACCATCACTATTGGCAGTCAACTCATCGGCTGCTACTACTGGGTCAATAAATTCCATTCTTGTCGGTACGGATATCACTTCTTGTGTAGTACTATGTATTCATGACTTCTTTTCCCCGTTCGCTTTGATGTTTTTTCGATAATCCCCCAACCCTACACCCGTACACCCTGGGTTCTAATTGCAACCTTTCAGACCTTTTACAGATTATTCATTAGAAGATTACAAAAAAGAGTATTGTACTATGAGATTACTCAATTGAAAGGACTAATACTTCACGAGTACTGTGACGTGAGCTTTGCATGTTGTTGGATGAACTAATGCGGTTGCACGGGATTTCTGCAAACTTGCTGCAAATATTACCAGAGCATGAATCTTTGTTAAATATTACAAACTGGCAAGTACTGCCAACGGCTATGAACAGTGAATCCAGTTTACGCTTTACCCAGCATACAATTCACTATTCGAAGGACAATTGACAATGGCAATTATTGCAAATATAGTAACTTGCATGAAGGACGAGATTATGACTCAATCGCATTTTGAAAAACTCCATTTAAAAACACAACCGATCGTCGTAAGAACGTACTTCTGCAATTGTTACCTAAGATGCTTATTGCCAGGAGATTGTATAGTCAGTTCAAGCCGGCTGACCGGTGTCTTATTCGCATCAAGGACGCATTATTCCAAGCTGGTGTTGGATCCAAGGATAACCCGGTGTTCGGTAAACCGATTGAGAAATTTGAAGCTTATAAACCAGGAAACGGGACTGAACAAGAATCGTTGTGGGCAGTGACTGGACCGGCCAAGTCACTTTTTCTAAATGTTTTGGCCGGGAAGTATATTCCCAATCCTCCACTTTCCCGCCAGTATCCCTTTATGGCTAAGACGTATAGGTATGATCAAGTACAATTTCTCAATTTTAGAGAACTGAGTGGATTAGATTCTGTTCACATGTCTGCCAGATACGAAAGCTATTCATATAAGGGGGCTTTAGAGATGAGTGATGATGTAAATTGCGTTAAGAATTATATTACCGGTAATAATAATTATAATAAGAATAAGGATGGAGAAGATGAAGAGTACGTGAAGAAGTTAATGAATTATTTCAATTTGGACCATCTTAGTGGGAAATGGATTAATTCGTTGAGTAATGGACAGATGAGACGAGCCCGTATTGCCAAAGCGTTAATTGGGAATCCTAGTTTATTAATAATTGATGATCCATTTTTAGGATTAGATCCAGAAGCAACCGAATTAGTTTCGCAGAGTTTATATAAAGTTAGCCAGGAATTATCAACCGGAATAATTATTGGATTGAGAATGCAAGATAAGGCCCCCGAATGGATCAGCCATCTTTGTTATATCACCGAAGAAGAAGGGTTGAAAGATTCCGGACCGATTAGTGAGATTAAACCTAAAATTGAAAATGAATTGAAGCAAGTCTCCAAATTACATTCGCAACATGAAAAATCATTACGTTTACAGGAGTCGCAGTTAGAAGCTATCAATAACGACCAGCTTTGTCCTGACAGTATCCCACACATTGAATTCAAAGGAGCCTCAGTTGTTTATCGAGGATTACCAGTATTGGAAAACTTTTATTGGAAAGTCGAAAAAGGATCTAACTGGAGAATCTTGGGCAATAACGGTACCGGTAAAACAACCTTGCTTTCTCTAGTTACCGCCGACCACCCGCAGTCCTGGAGGTCCGTGGTCTCAATCGATGGAACCGTTCGTAAAACTGGTAATGGGATTTCATTTTTCGATGTCAATAATAAGATTGGAATCTCATCTCCAGAGCTACACGCCTTGGTGCCGTCCAGTTCTAGAACCATGTACGAGATCATCTATAATGGGTTGGTTAAGGATGTGGGTAACTCTAATTTTCAATTTAGAGGTGATCCTGCTAAGATTGATCCCTTTGGCATGCATATCTTAGATAAATTTCAAGATCGATTATCTCTAAATGGCAACAAGCTTTTCGGAGAGTTATCTATAAGCGATCAAAAGCTTTGTCTTTTCCTAAGAGCAATTATCAAGAATCCAGAGATTCTTATATTAGATGAAGCCTTTTCTTGCATGGACGACGAAGCCATAATGGCCCGATGCCACGAGGTCGTCGACCACGAGTTGAAACACACCACGGTGCTAGCAATCGGCCACATCGACTGGGAAATCCCACAATGTAACTACTTGTTGAAACTAACTGGTGATAACAACCGTAGTTATCAATTAATGAAATACCTTTAGCAGCAAAAAATAGCTTATTAACAATAGACTGAAATGCACGGGTGTAGACTCGGGACTCTCTTTTAATTACCCACGTTTTTGTGTAAAATTGTCTCTCGCTCCGGGTGTTTTGTGCCAAAAAACGTCATTTGCGGAACGCGCGCGAAAAAAACGACAACGACACAACGACACAACGCCTACTAACACCCGCTGGCGGAACCTTCTGGCGCACTGGAGAGCTGACAGACTGGAGAGCTGCCAGACTGGAACACTGGCAGACTGGTTTACGGCTGGCATTATATATCATACCCACGGGCAGCTTGTAGAAGGTGTCGCTTATCTACAGGGATACATTGTGTAGGGAAATTGGGTTCAGCAGGCTTTGTTCCCCTATTTTTCTGAGCTTTGTTTTTTCCATTGGTTTTTTTTTCTTCACTTTTTTTTTAAAATTCGATTTTTGTTTGATTATTTTTTTTTATTATAGTTTTTTTTTTATTATAGTTTTTTTTTTATTATATTTTTTTTATTATATTTTTTTTTATTTTTTTTTGTCCTTTGCTGATTCCGGGCGTGTGCTACCAATACTTCTGGCTAGTTATAATCATATCATATCGGCATTGGCTAGCAGTTTTTCTTTAGATAGAGTATTTCCAATTCAGTTGTGTTGGGTGAAGACTAGTGCTGACACCATAAATTGTGTTGAAAGGATACGTTCGTTTAAATAGAAGTAGAGATCCGGAGAAGTTTTTCTGTCAACGTCTTGTGCTCTTCTCGTTGTTTATCGATAATAGTTTTTAGTTATTGAATTGAAAAGGAGGAAAATGTCCAGTCAGATTCCAAACGCCCCTCCCGATGATAGACCGAAAGAGGTTTTGGCAGACCTAGAGTATGGTCGGTTGACCTCCAAAGAGTATTTGCATGTTTCCAAACATCCAGTGGGAGAACCATTGCCGGTGCCCATTGATGACGAGCCTCCATATAGTATATACATTGCCACTTATATCAGTTATCTTATTTTGATTATCATTGGGCACATTCGAGACATCACCGGGAAGATCTTCAAGCCTAAGGAATACGAGTATTTAGTGGAAAAGGATGGATTTGCACCATGGTATGATGGGTTTGAAAGTTTTTATGTGCGTAGATTGAAATTGAGAATTGATGATTGTTTTGCTAGACCAATCCACGGTGCTCCAGGTCGTTATATCCAATGTTTTGATCGGGAACGCACCAATCATGATGCCAACTATACTTATTCTGGTGGTTCTACCGAGTGTTTAAATTTATCTTCGTACAACTATTTGGGTTTTGCTCAATCCCATGGGGTTTGTACCGATTTTTCTTTAGATATTACTGAAAATTACGGTACTTCTGCTTGTTCTGCTCGTAATTACGTTGGGACTACGGATTTGCATAAAAAATGTGAAGCCGTCACCGCGGATTTTGTTGGTAAAGAAGACGCTATCATTGTTTCTCAAGGTTATGGTACTAACGCTAGTTTGTTTTCTTCTTTGGTTGATTCAAAATGTTTGGTTATTTCTGATGAATTGAATCACGCTTCGATTCGTTATGGGATTCGTCTTTCTGGTGCCATTGTTCGAGTTTTCAAACATAACGATATCAAGGCTTTGGAAAAATTAATTAGAGATCAAATCGCTCAGGGCCAACCAAAAACTCATCGTCCTTGGAAAAAAATCATTATTGCAGTCGAAGGTTTATACTCAATGGAAGGTAACATGTGTAATTTACCAGAACTCGTGGATTTAAAAGATAAGTATAAATGCTTCTTATTCGTTGATGAAGCCCATTCTATTGGTGCTTTAGGTCCCAACGGTCGTGGTATTTGTGATTATTTCTCCGTTGATCCAAATCGGGTGGACTTATTAATGGGTACCTTCACTAAATCTTTTGGTGCTACCGGTGGTTATATAGCGGCTGATAAACATATTATCGATCGTCTAAGATTAAATTATCTTACTAATTCTTATAGTGAATCGGTTCCTCCTCCAGTTTTGGGTCAAATCATTTCTTCTTTAAATGTTATTAGTGGTAAAATAAGCCCTGGTGAAGGTAAAGAAAGATTAGAAAGAATCGCTTTCAATTCTCGTTATTTGAGATTAGGTTTAAAACGTTTGGGTTTCATCGTTTACGGTGCTGATGATTCTCCAGTGGTTCCTCTCCTACTTTTCTTACCCGCTAAAATGCCCGCAGTTTCTAGAATGTTATATTCAATGAAAATCGCCGTGGTTATCGTGGGTTATCCCGCTACTCCTTTAAGTAGTGCCAGAGTTAGATTGTGTCTTTCTTCCGCTTTAACTAAAGAAGATTTGGATTACGTCTTGACTAAATTTAGTGAAATTGGTGATTTAATCTATTTGAAATTTAGTAGTGGTATCGCTGGTGGCTCTAAAATTCCTGGTGAACCTCCAAGATGGTCTATCGAAGACGTTCTTGCTCACAACGTCGAAGATACCAAAAAGGCTAAACTTTTTTGATTCTTGTTGAAACACTATAAATGCTCTAGATCTGAAATAGAACTGGACCGTTATAAAACCTAAAAAACAAAAAAAGCAAAAAGTTTAAAAGAGAAAAAAATCAAAAAAAAAAATAACAAACAAACCAAAGCACCCGCTTACGGGGAGAATGAATAATGTCTCTTCAATTTGGAATTATATGTTTCCTTATGTCATAATATATTACCTATTCCTATTTATTTCTTTATAATATTATTCAAACTTTAGTTGTTTATATATTTCTAAAACCTTCTTAATTTAATAATCTCTTTGTCTTTCTTGCACCATATAAATATATAAGCAATCATTTTATTCTCTTGTACATTTCTATTTAGTTATAAACTGTTTGAAAATTCAATATGGGAGTAGGATTTTTTTGATGTAATCCGCAGCGATTGGTAAAAAAAAAAAATAAATAAATGGAAGCAGCAAAAATACCGTAGAGAAACCATTCTAATTCACATATAATACACTGTCAAACACGAATGGATCTTGAAATACCAGAGTCTTTAGTGCCTCCTTTAAAATTCAATTCAGTGCAGCCTAGTCTCTATAGAGGAGCTTATCCCCGAGAAATCAACTTTCCTTTTTTACAAACTTTACAATTGAAGACAATTGTATCTCTTACTCCAGAACCAATAAGTGCTGAAAATGATCCCAGTCTATATGATTTTGCAAAGTCTAATAATATTAAATTGATTCATTTAGAATGTGCTCAATCGGGCAAAGGTAAGAAAAGAGGTGTTCCTACTGGTTATACAGCTATATTAGAAGCATTAAATATAATGATACATAAAGACTTAGCACCAGTATATATACATTGCCTAAATGGTGGACAGGTGACAAGTCTCGTAATTGCATGCTTAAGAAAGTTACAATTTTGGTCCTCGATTGCAATATTTAATGAGTTCATCAATTTTACTGCAAATATCACTGTGAACGATCGTAATTTCGTCGAGGGTTTCAAAGGTGATATAAATATCAGCACATCCAATAAAGTTGATTGGTTATGGGTTGGTATGAGCAAAGGGGTAATTGGGAATCATCCGAAGATAAAAGTCAATGAAATTGATTCTGATCCTAAATCAAAGATTAATGATGATACGAACATTTGAAGGTTACAAATATACGAACTTTTATTAATTAGTTATTGATATATATATATATATATATATATATATAAATTGCTGTAAGCATATCAAGCAGTTCCTCATACACGTTGATAGAATAAGCAATAAGCATTTTTATTTAAAACTTGACTTTCTTTGACATTATAAGTCACTTTAGCATCATCAAAGTAACACCAATTTCTTGTCTTTTTTGAATCATTGGCTTTATGAACATAAGAGGTATAATGTCCTGTTGATAAATTTCCAAAATGATTGGCAACACCATACAATTTATACCTGAAAGGCGGTTGCTGATTTCTAGTAGGTAACGTAGATAATATGAGTTGTTCCTTTTCCTTAGTCATACTTTGCCCCAGTGTAGAGTTAATCGTTGTCCCAACTTCGGGCCAATAGGAAGTTAAATCGAGAACATCATTAACTGGATAGGTAACAAAAGTATCCATTTTATTGATATACCCACTCGGAATCATTTTAAACCTCTTAAAATGAATAATAAGAACTTCTGGTAATCTAGTAATTGTGATCTTTTTGGTCAGCTTGGTAAATTTTTTACAGCTAGAACAATGCCATTTGTTATTATCGTCTAATAACTCAGTTGCAGTAAACTCTTTTAAGCATTCATCCAACAGTACCGGTACATTAGGGTTCCCCAATTTTTGAGGAATAGGTAAAGATAATATGGAGAAGGCATTGTATGTAGTGGAAGTCGAGTTACACTCTAAACATCTTAATTGAGACAAGTATTGTCCCTGAAAGTAATCAACAATGATAGAAAAATTTAGCTTAAGATATCTTTCCCATTCAATTGTCAGCGCCAATCTTACAGGTAGTATCTCACGAGTTTTCTCTTGTTCAGGTGTTAACTCGGTTATGGCCTTTTTCTCTTGAGGATTGTCGATTATCATCTGATTTAAATCTTCGTGTAGGCCATCTAAAATGAAATTTAAAAATTCAATGCAATCCTGTTGGTCAAACGAAGCAAACTGTTGACAAGGTGAAAGAGATCCCACAACTTTCTTAAAATCATGGGGAGCAAAGTACTTGCCTGAGTTCTGAAACATGTTACCTAGAAGGCTGACAAAGTTGGTTGTTAAAATACCCTTGGAACCTAATTTGTTATTAAGATTAATATGCTGACGATAAGATTGTAAAGATGTGGATGAGGTTGCTGAAGAACTTGTCGTTGGAAAAAAAAACCTTGTCAATTGTGGTGTAGCACCAAGGCACTGTAAAACGCAATTCATATAACATGAATTTCCAAGGTTAGTTAATCCTGTAGTATATTGATCAAGAAATTTCACTGGATTTTGACTTGATGAAGCAATTTTCCGCATTGGTGGTTTGGATGGAGACTGAGAAGCATTTGGGGCTGATGCCGATACAGTGGAAGGCAGCTTGTGTTCGATAGAGAGTGTGGAGTTGCTTCTGGATCGTTGAACTGATGATGAACCATTACTCATAGATCTTTTAGGCGTCTTAGGTGCTTGCTGTTGAGGTGGTGTATCTGTGTGATGGGGTCCCAGAGATAAAGGTCTTCCATAGTTATGCACGTTCATGGGTACCGACAGGTCTTGACTCGAAATGAACGTATTTGAAACCGGAGTAGATGAAGTTGATTTTGCAGTTGACAAGTAGTCACCAAAATTTCGCAAGTAAGGTGAAGAAGTTGATCTGTTGGAGTCTATATCAGCGGATCTTCTGTGGCTGTTAGTTGATGAAGTGAAGCTACTACTTCTTGATGAAGAAGGGGATTCAGAACCCCCTTTAGACAAACTGGCTTGGGGTCTAGTAAGGATTTGAGTAGGTAAGCTTCTTTTGAGCGAGGAGTCTCCAAATACAGAATGCCAATAAAAAAGACCACCTGCTAGGAAAAGTGGATGTGATTTGAGCCGAGAGCTCAAATATTTATTCTTAAAAGTAAGTAGTTCGATTAGTGGTTGGAAAGGATTGGCGCTAGGAAGTCCACTCTTGTCATCATTGATAAGCAGGTTCTTTAATGCTTGAAACCTATCAACACCACCACCCCCAGGGCCATATCTTAAGTTATATATTATCACCAAGTCATATCTATGTCTATTTTGAAATCTTTCAAACTGCTCTTCAGTGAGATGCATTTTAAGTCTTTCTTCGAGATCCATATCATTGAGTTGGTCGAAGGTTCTGTGTTTTGCTGTTATCAAGCTACTTATATGAGAAGGTTCGATATTAACGATCTCACTATAGTTTATATGACTGTAGTTGAATTCTTTTGCGGTTCTAAAATCAATTAAAAGAATCTTTGGGCGACTAGGAGACCTGATCAATGCTTCAAGTTCATAAGGTGTGATGATTTCCCTATACTTGAATTTATCGAGGGGTTTACTATTGATAACTCCATTTGGTTTTGCTAAATCATGAGAGCCTTTAGAAGCCTTCAAGCTAGCGAGGCGAGCCATTAATGGATCCAATGAAGATACCGATGATGGCGACTTAGGTGCACGATCAAGAAAATCGTTAATAGTTTTAAATGCAATAAAATCCTTATCGAGGGTTTTCTTAATTTGGACAACAAAATCTTTCTGTTCACCTGACTTTAAACAGTGATTATACAAGTTATTGGTAATCCTGAAAGATACGTATGCTATTTCATAATCACAGGTCCCTAGGTGGTCTAGTTTCTTGATCTCTCGTTTGAATATTTCTAATAGAGTTATTTGGTAATTTAGTAGTCTAGGAATCTTGGAGGTACTAGCTATTAGATCAGTGGAAAGATCACTAGAGAGCTTCTTGAGCTCATCTATGACCTTTAATTCTACCATGCTAGTTACCATGGAAATATGCTATAGAATGTACAATTATTAAAAGATTTGATTTCTAGAATAAAATAGATCGAGGGCAATTCGATTAGTTATACAGTTTTTGTCTTAGTTTAAAATTAGGTGCGGGAACAACACCCGTACATCATAAAGATTTGGCTGCTACAAGAGACTATAAGATGAAGTATAAGAATTTAAACGTTAACCAGATAAGATATTCTACAAAGCATTACGAAATTCTTTCAAACCAGCATCATAACCTTGTTCGAATTCCCAAAGGTGCTTCAGTTCACCTTTAGTTTTCTTGTGTTCTTCTAATCTTGCCAATTTGAAAGCCTGGTTTCTTCCAATGATCGAACCATTGAATTTATGAAATTCCATTGAGTCAGCCCAAGCATTAGTGAACCCATCCCAGTATCTTTCGTGTTCGAAATGTTCATTAGGATCGGTACTATTCCAATAATTACAGTGAGAGTGGTAAGCATCACGCGAAACTTCTTCAAACTTACCTTGATCTGGCTCATCACCTTGACTATTATAAGGAGGTCTAATTGCACCTTTGTCAGTCATAGTTTTGAAATCCCATTCACCACCATTACCACTTTTGAATTTGTAAGTCCAGAAAAATGAACCATAACCGGCCCTTTCAGAAATATGACGAAGTTGGTGATTACCGTAATCAATTACCAACTGGTCTCTTCTATCATTAGCACCATTTTTGTCCCAAGATTGACCGTCCAAAACACATGAATATTCACCAACCATAAAGTCGACACCTCTACCATTGTCATTGAGATTTGTTAGAATGTCACCTTGTAAATCACCAATGATTTGTTCTGGTGCTTTATTTTTATCATCGTCAGAGAAACATCTATAAACATGGTGGTCAACAACAACTCCTAAATAACCAATGCTATTTTGTTTTTCTTGAACCCAATGGACCCATTGGTGAGGATTCCAACCATCAGATATTATAATTGGAATTTGTCTATCAACTTCACGGATTTCTTTTATTGAGGCAGAGTAATATTGTTTTTGTCTTTTAGCATCATCCGACCATTCGGATTCATTAACAATTTGAATTCCTATAATATTCTCATAATCAGCCAAATCTTGAGCAATGAATTTGAAAGCTTCAGTCATTTGTACCTGAGCAGAGAAATCTTCCCAAAAATCGGCTGAGCCACCATTCTTTTCACCACTATGGTCAGCACCATTTGCACCACCTGGTAAACCATGGATATCGACTAAGACCCCGATATCGTGTTCTGCGGCTTTTTCAACAAAATGTGATTTGAAAATGTTCCAAGCATTAGCATATACCTTTGTATATTTTTCAAACTTAGTATCATCAGCAAACTTCCCTCCGTCAATTTGCCAATAACCCAAAGGTACTCTAACGGCAGTGACTTGATGATCTTTCAACCAACTCCAATCATCGTCAGACATAAAACCTTGCCAGTGATTTTCAAATTTCTCTCTTGCTCCATCCTTGCCTAATTTCTTGACCGATTTTTTAGCAGCTTCCAATTCAAATTCAGTATCATCAATAAAAATTTCATCAAAAATCCATTTTTCATTCACAAAACACGAACCAATATTGACCCCAAAATTATGACGGGATTGGTATATTTGTCTCTTGGTGGGAGGTTGACCCTCGTTAATTGGTGGATCTGCGGCTGGTAACTCGGAAGCTCTACTTTTAATTTTAAGTTTGGAAAACATTATAAAAAGGTTGCAATTGGTACCAAATTCAATGAAAAGATAAAAAACAGTATAAGATCAAGCGATTTCAAAACTGAGGAAACTCAATTGGTTTATATATCGATTCTAATGCCTTTCAAGGAGTGGAAGACCATATATAAAAGAATTCTGTAGAATTAACCACTGAACAGTATTAGATATTTCGACTAGACGATATGAATTGCTCTTTTCTTGGAGTAGGTCACAAAAAAATTTAAATAAGCATAGACCCTTTTTGGAAAGTGACGCATCCGTACATCTGGAGATCAGATCGGATTTTCAAACAAAGGCTGGGAAAAAAAAATATGTCAAAATCAAGGCCAAAGACCCCGATAAGACATTCAAGCTTTTGTATAATGGGAGAAGATGGACAGGCATTTGGAGTCAAGTACGCAAGATCAATGGCCCGAGCTTTTCAAGGTATTGTATGGTAAATTCAAGCAGATAAATACACATTTAACTTTCCTATCATCGCATTCGAGAACGACCATCCCTACATTTGAAGTTATATCTAAATTGAATAAAGACATCAGTCAGCTAGATTTAAGTGTTATTAAAAACATATTTCCACGCGGAGATGTATTTTATGATTATGTTGATGAAAATCAAGTCAGATTAGGGCTTATTGAAAAAGTTGAATTTAGCTGGGAAAAGGGGTATAAGCAAAAGGAGGCATCAAGCATCGATGAAGTTTACGAGGATGTTGAGAATCAAAATAAACGGAAACAGTCGGAGGATAATCAGCTACTCGTATTTGAGTTTCGAGATGTGAAAATGAATAGTATTGGTAAAAAGATTTCAAATAAAGGATGGCAAAAATATTCCAAACAAAAACAGAAGCAAACCAATGATTTCTTCTTGGAAAATAAAGATATGAATATGGACTTGCTTACAACCTCACAAATCGTGAACATTTTAAATTCAAGAAACAGGAAATTTGAGAATTATGTTGGCGAATTCTTGAAGTCTAATAAACCATTGAAAGACTTCGAGGACGAATGTCGAAATTCCATTCCTAAACCTCCTGAATTCGAAGACCCAATTGACCAACTTAAGAAGCGACGTGATACCAAGGACGATTACATGGAGAAACCAACTGTTGATAAGATGATTGATACTTTGAAAACTTCCGATAATTATAGAAATCAAATAGTATCGACCCATATTTTGAACGAAGCTCTCCCAGCTAGAACGGCAGAACTAGTGTTAGATGCAGATGATGGTACTCAAATCATTCATCCGGAGTTGGAAGAAGCATTATTTCAGTATAAGGGAATCGATATAAGCCATGATTTGTATATACACCAAGTTGAAGCATTGAAACATATTATGTATGATGCATATAATGGGAAGCATGTTATAATAACCACACTGACATCGCTGGGGAAATCATTGATTTATCAGATCCCTATAATCAATGACTTACTATGGGATATCACCAATGAAGCCAATATAAAGAAAAGATCAACGACGGCGTTTTTCATATTCCCAACCAAAGCCTTGGCCCAGGATCAAAAAAGACACTTGGAGACGTTTTTAGAGTATATTCCAAGTTTAACGCAGAAAAGGAAAATCTTAATTGATTTATATGATGGAGATACCCCGTACGAAACACGGAAACGAGTCAGAAGATATTCAGATATAATTTTCACCAACCCGGATACGATCCACGCATCGATTCTCCCGAATTTTGATAAGATGTATGGAGAACAAAGAGACTGGGAGGATTTTCTACTCAAATTGAAGTACGTTGTTGTGGATGAGTTACACGTATATAAGGGGACATTTGGGGTGAATGTCAGTTATGTGATGAGTCGAATGCAGCGAATCAAGTATCACTTATTGGTGAACGATACTGCGGGTTGTGGGCATAATATACAATTTATCTCGTGTTCGGCAACGATTCTGAATCCAACCAACCACTTTCGAACAATCTGTGGATTGTCAGATTTAAAGGAGATTGTTCATGTTAAAGACGATGGTAGTCCCATGGGGATGAAGAAATTAGTCGTATGGCAGCCATCAGCTTTGATGAACAAAAGAGGAGAGGAGATCCAAAGTCAGATAAAAAGCTCGAACGAAGTGATCAAGCCCCAGCCAATGGTCCCAAGAGAGCATATTATACCCACCCTGGCCAAGATATTAGTCAGGTTGTTGAGCGAACATCCCAATATTAAATGTATAATTTTTTGTCCGATTCGACAAGTCTGTGAGATGTTAATGAAGGAAGTCAGGCAACTAATCAGGGACACCGAGATCAGCAATGAGGATATTATGTCATACCGAGGGGGTTATTCCGCCGGTGATCGAAGAGTTATTGAACGGAATATGTTTGAAGGGAAATTGAAAGCCATAATTGCCACCAATGCATTAGAGTTGGGGATTGATTTATCGGGATTGGATGTTGTGATGACAGTCGGGTTCCCCATGCTGAAGCTGAATCTACATCAACAGTTTGGACGGGCCGGTCGATCAGGAATGAGTAGTTTAGCGATATTTGTTGCCGGGAATACCCCAGTCGACGAATATTACATAAAGAACTCGCAAGAGTTGACTGAGAAAAACTACGAGGATCCGTGTGTCGAAGGAATCCGGCAGAATGCCATGGCTTTGGAGAACCACTTACATTGTGGAGCTAAAGAAATCGGCATCAAATTACAAGATGTTAGTTGGTTTTGCAATGACGAAACATTATTCCAGCAAACTCTTACGGAGAAACTCCAATACGATTCAGTCAACGAAACCTACATTAGTCGAGTTGAAACCCCCCATTTGAGTTTCAGTATCCGAGTAATTGAAGATGAAAAATTTGCAGTTATTGATATAACCAACCAGCGAAATTTCATAATCGAAGAAATCGAAGCGCTGAGAACCAGTTTCACCCTCTACGAAGGAGCGATTTTCCTCCATCAAGGGCTAACCTACTTGGTGAAGGAATTCAATTACGAGTCGAAATACGCCAAAGTGGTTCGCGTCAAAGTGGACTGGACAACGAGTCAGCGAGATTTCACCGACGTGAACCCCATTGAAATCGAATTAATCAAATGCTTGCAAAACGGTAAGGATGTACCGATTTTTTTCGGGAGATTTGAAATCATCATCATTGTATTTGGGTATTTCAAAATCAACAGACGCGGAGAAATCCTTGAAGCGATTGAAGTTAAAAACCCGCCAATTAAACTCTACAGTAAAGGGCTTTGGATAGACATTCCGCAATGGGCAATTGATTTGATCAAACACAAGAACTTGAATAGCGCCGGCGCCATTCATGCTGCTCAACACGCCATCATGAATGTCTTACCGGTCTATATCAGCGGGAGTGTTGGCAGTGACTTGGGAGATGTTGAATTGAGTACCGAGTGTAAAGCCCCGGAAAAAGAATTTGCATCCAGATTATCTAATCGCCGGCGTCCTGCCCGGCTAGTGTTCTACGACCTGAAAGGCGGTCACTTGGGCACCGGCATCTCCTTAAAGACATTCGAATACATTGATCAAATCCTACGGGCCACCTATGATCTCATCACCACTTGCGATTGTGAATGGGGGTGTCCCAAATGCGTATGCGGAAGTTTCTGTAAAGAGCTCAGTCAAGTGATTCTGAAACCGGGGTCAATCATCATCATCGGGGTGCTACTAGGCATTGACCAATCAACATTACAACAAGTTCAAGACGGTCCTGAGCTCAATATGCCTCCCATTGTCACCGACACCATTCTCGGAAGCGGCAGCAGTGGGATCAAAATGAGTAAAGACGTGCAAGTCATCGAGCCAATGTCTCAAATTTCTCAAAAGTAAACAATTGCAAATACTCGTTTTAACCGTTTCCCGAGGGATTATATAAGCGCCCGCCCGCGCCTTATGTAATCAGGGGATTTGCTAGCCAATAACGCACAAAAGGTTTAGTATTATGGGCCCACCCGACAAATTCCGTTAGCAGATGACTCGGCCGCGGGACACGACCTCTCTGGGGGAGGGCATCCGTTTAGGGTATACGGAAACCTTATGCCGGGAGGATGTAGTAATATTCAGTGATCCCTGTTGTGCTCCTTGTACTAGCTGTACGTTGCATTATAAGTGAATAATTGTTGGTCTTTGGCATTGTTATTAGCACAAGGGTATAGCTACTGGGGGTTGGTGTTAGTGTAAGGATGTTCCTAATACCGGCATCGAATAAATAATCTCACAAATATTCATAAAATTTTCAGTACTTCCGCACTGGTCTTCCGAAATGTCTAATAATCATATTCTTTTTTTTTTTTTATTTATTGCGTATTTATTGCTTTCTAAAAAAACTTTCTTTATATATAAAATTAATGATTTCTAGGAGTTAGAATTGTTTTATTAGAAATTTTTCATTTTGGTTTATTGTCTGTGTTTTATTTTTCTTTTTTTTTTTTTACGTTTTTTCTTTCTTTGATATAACTGTTTCGTTCTTGTTCTGTTCTTTTTTCTTTTTTGGTTTTGTTCTTTTCTTGTTGTCAACTTTTGTAAGTCTAATGGAATATGACGCTGGCCACCCTGTTACTCCCATCGACTAATCCAACACCAACCACAACAACCGTATCTACATCAAAGGAATGGGTGTTGCCCCCCAGACCCAAAAACGGACGGAAAACAGGATGCAATATCAAGAAGAGAAAGTCGATAAATTCAATAATTGAGTCGAATCCCGAAGAGTCCAAGGAAAAGGAAAAGAAGAATCCTCAAATTAATTTGCTAAATAAAAACATCAAGTCCATCGACAAAGAAAATTATCAATTGAAAAGTCATTTGCTTTGTTTGATTCATGATTATAAACAATTACGTCAAATTGTATTGAATGGAGGTGTTAATATGGATAATGAAGGAAGCACCAGGAAAAGATCGTATCATGAATTGGTTGATCCAATGAATGATTTAATATCCAATATGAATGGGTTAACCCATGATCCTTCAAGTCCTATGTTAAGTGAAGAAGATGATTACGAAGAAGATGACGAATTTTGGAATCGTGCTAAGTACGAACAAGATGATTTTTTCAATTACTTAAATTTCGACGATACATCAAGTAAATTAGACGATGAAAGTGCTAAATTATTATCACAAATTGAAGAAGAAGGTGAATTGCCCGATGAAGAAGAGGTCGAAGAAGATATCGAGTCTCCTAATTTATCCAGATCAACTTCTCCTTCGGCAATGAGTGAAAGCGATGAAAATAGCTTAATGACCTCCTTGACTAGATCAACTACAGTATCCACCAATAATTCTTTTATGAATATAAATTCAAAACCAATTTTATATTCAAATAATTTACACCTGCAACCTCCTTTCAAATTTTACGATTTGCCAGCTTCTACTGCGAAGAAATCTTTCACTTTTGAAGATTTTGGTAAATCTAATGATGATCTTATGAGTATTATACAAGAAGATAATTATAATCAAGTTACCGATTTCTTAGAAGAAAAATTAATCGATAACAATCTTAATTATTATGAAAATATTAACCATAATAATCATTGGAAATAGATTTTCTACCATTAGATCTCTATTCAGTTCTCCTATTCCCCTCCCTCCTTCCCTTTTATGACATGACGTTATGCTTTGAATGTTATTTATTTCTATTTATTCGTTATTTATTCAATAAATTATTTATTCTCTCGTACCACTTATCCTTGTAGCCCGTCGCGGATTTAACCTCACCAGTATGGGGAAATACTGGGGTTTAAGCTTTCAATGACCATCAGAACGTCTTACGATATAACCTTTGCAACCTTAAAATCAGCTCATAGCTTATTGTTGGTGATTATAGATTGCAGGTTGCGGATTACCCGTTTACATATTACTGGTTTGCAGGTTCACCCGTTTGCAGGTTTACCCGTTTACAGGTTCACCCGTTTACGGATTTTACAGGTTGGAGCTTTTTACGGATATCGCAAATACCGACGTGTTTAAAAATTTATAACAATCTTACGTTTACTTGCTATTACACAACATCAAACGTGATGGATTTATCATTATTGGAATTCTCAATTGATTTTGAAGGTCAAAAATTGGTTGATTCAATTATCTCTATTTTATCTTACATTTCAATCCCAATTAGTTTTCTTATTGGTTTTTCAACTGGCTCAGTTGTTAATTTAGTTATTTCATTTGCTAGTTTTATCATCTTATCTTGGTTAATTGTTTTACCAGCTTGGCCTAAATATAATCAAAATCCAAGTAATTGGCAACAAGTCAAATATGAATTTTAATCAAGAGTCAAATCTTTTTTTGGGGTTTGATTTATCAACTCAACAGTTGAAAATTATTGTTAGTAATGAAAATTTAAAACATTTGGATACTTATAACGTTGAATTTGATTCGGTTTTCAAAGAGAAATATGGAATTCATAAAGGAGTTATTGAAAATGATGAAACCGGGGAAATCTTATCTCCAGTACTTATGTGGTTAGATTCGATTGATTACGTTTTTAATGAAATGAAAAAGGATAACTTCCCCTTTGATAAAGTTAAAGGTGTAAGTGGTTCTGGTATGCAACATGGATCAATCTATTGGTCCGCTGATGCTAAAAAGTTATTGTCCAATTTGGATTCGAATCAAGATCTTTCTAGTCAATTAGACGACGCTTTTTCTTTCAAGACTTCTCCTAATTGGCAAGATCATTCTACTGGTAAAGAAATCAAAGATTTCGAAAATGCAGTAGGTGGTGCAGATAATTTGGCTGATTTGACCGGTTCAAGAGCTCATTATAGATTTACTGGTTTACAAATTCGTAAATTAGCAACTAGATTGAATCCAAAATTGTATAGTCAAACTGAGAGAATTTCTTTGGTTTCAAGTTTTGTCGCTAGTGTCTTGTTAGGTTCAATCACAAATATTGAACAAGCTGATGCTTGTGGTATGAATGTTTATGATATTTCTCAAAATTCTTATAATGATGAATTATTAGCAGTTGCCGCCGGGGTTCACCCCAAAATTGATGGTGCTTCAGATAAGGATTATCAATCGGGTGTGGCTGAATTGAAATCAAAATTAGGTGACATTAATCCAATCAGTTATAAATCAATTGGAAAGATTTCTCCATATTTCGTTGAAAAATATGGTTTCAGTGTAAATACTAATATATACTCTTTCACTGGTGATAACTTGGCTACCATCATTTCCTTACCTTTATTACAAAACGATATCTTGATTAGTTTGGGTACTTCCACCACTTGTTTATTAATTACTGAAAATTATACTCCTTCTTCTCAATATCATTTGTTTAAACATCCAACGATGCCAAACCATTATATGGGTATGATTTGTTATTGTAATGGTTCGTTGGCAAGAGAACGTATCCGTAACTCAATTAATGAAAAATATCATTTAAAACAAAATGATTGGTCTAAATTTAACGAAATTTTAGATTCTTCTAAAAAATTCGATGATAAACTAGGTATTTACTTCCCATTAGGTGAAATTGTTCCAAATGCGTCTGCACAAATTAAAAGATTTAAATTAGATTCTAATGATAAATTAGCTGAAGTTGGTGATTGGGAAATTGAAGAAGACGTATCATCAATTGTGGAATCACAAACTTTAAGTTGCAGATTAAGATCAGGCCCAATGTTGACCAATTCTCAATCTAAAGACTCATCTTCAAACTTGCACTCTTCCAAACTCAACTCCATCTATCAAGACTTAACTCAAAGGTTTGGTGAATTATACACTGATGGTAAAAAACAAACTTTTGAATCATTAACTGCAAAACCGCATAAAATTTATTACGTTGGTGGTGCTTCAAATAACTTAAGTATTATCAAAAAGATGGGTTCTATTTTAGGCCCCACCGATGGTAACTTCAAAGTTGAAATTCCAAATGCCTGTGCCTTAGGTGGTGCCTATAAAGCAAGTTGGAGTTTCAAATGTGAAAAAGAAGATAAGTGGATTGAATATAACGATTATATTTCAAGTTTATTTAATTTTGACGACGTTGATAATTTCAAAACAGAAGAAAACTGGGAAAACTACTTCAATGGTTTGGGTATGTTAGCCAAAATGGAAGACCATTTAAATCATGATTAGATATTAGACATAAATAAAAGTACTGTTCTGTAAGATGCGACTGTAAAAAAAAAAAAAAAAATTAGAAAATCAATGTTCAGCGTAAGAACTTCATTAAAATGCTTAGGTTCATACGAAGACTGCAAGTGAGATATTACTCGAGTATCCCCTCTACTATAAGTGCGTTGAATATTTCAAATGCTAGCACCAAAATTCCAAATCTTGAAGAAATTCTCAAAACTTCATCAGATCAACAAGCAGAACTTGACTCAATTCACGAATTGGTTTCAAGCGATTTAAATCCTAGTCTTAAGAACGAATTACTCAGTCATGGATTGAATTATGATTTCTCTCTTTTCCACAAAGTTTCCAAATACAATCATGATTGGTCGAGTGACTCTTTGCAAAGTTTAATAAGGAATAATCCCGGTCGAGTCTTTTCGTCTTGGGATTTATATGAAAAATTTTCAAACGAGTCAAATGTGACCAATGCAGTCATTGAGGTTGTGATAAATAAGCTTCTTGCCGGTGAGAAAGTTGAAATCCGAGATAATGAGTTCAAGTTGAGCTTATCCAATTTGTCAAGATCCTTGAACCTTTTGAATGGCTCAAGCATTGATAATGAAGACATTTTCACATTGATTTTGAATTCAATGAGTGAATTGAATGTTATTAGTGGCTTAAAGCTTATAACTAATGAACGCTTCAAAAATTGGTTTTTGCTGAAGGGATTGGCAGGGTTACAATGCAGACAACTCTTGATTGGGTTTGATTCTATCGATCTCAACACAGCTTTACTGAAGGAAATAATCACCAAAGTCCTCGATACTTCTTTTAAAATCAATGAGGATCTTGATAAGTCAAACGAAATGGAAGAGGTAAACTTTAAGGAACTTTCACAAACAGGTGAATATACACCTTTTTCAACCATTGAAAATACTCAATTACGTAACAAGTTGCTTGAATTCATTGACTCTACTGAATTGGATATTGCTCCAGCTCCTGAGTCTTTATTGATTCGTCTCAAGTTGATTGAAATTTACGGAATGTACGCAAACGATATTACCAAAGTATTGGAAAAATACCATAAATACCAGATTCATGGTAAGTTTGGTATTGAAATCATTCAATCAAAGTTGATTCAAAGTTTCATTTATCAGTTCATATCAACCAAGGATGACCATTTACTCAAAATCGCTGAAACCTTGAACTTGGAAGACATTCCAATCCCGATCCTACAAGCTTTCATTCTCGGTTACAGTACCAATAACATCGATCAATCGTTGAAACTCTATAATGACTATATTCAACAAGTCAGTAAGAAGCTAAATGATGTCACCAAAAGATCGCCGACCGGATTGCTTACTGAATCACTCATGTTGGCTTTCTTATCCAATAAAGACCGTGAATTTGCATATTTATTATTTGATAAAGCCATTGATAATGCCATTATTAGTGATGAATTGGAAATCGCTACAATCAAAAAGGTCTTCAAGGTATACGGCGATGCCTACAACGATGAAAATGAAGATGCGGCTACCCAATTCTTCCATAATCACCTATTAAAGACCGTAAGAGATTTGTAAATAGACTGTAATTAGGCTGCAAATAATATATATAAATTCATAAAGTTAATGAGAGGTACGGGTGTATGTCTATGACTCGAATAAGGCTCTTTTGCCAAAGTGACTCATTGAGAGGGTTATCGCTATACAAAACAAAAAAAAAAAATTAAAAAGAACGGAGTAGGCAAATTAAGCGAAGTGTTACTCACAATTTCTGATTGTCGGCCCTGAATTTTTCAATTTTTCATCTCATCTCTTGATATAAATATACCAGTAAAGTCGAGTATATACTTCAATTGTTGTTTTTCAATAAGCCACTAAGAAGCCAATTCACAGCATGTCAAGTCCAGTTACTATTCATTTGAGAGCCGAAACCAAACCATTGGAAGCTAGAGCAGCTTTAACTCCTTCAACCACCAAACAATTATTGGATGCTGGTTTCAAAGTTTACGTTGAAAAATCATCCCAATCTACTTTTTCAAGTGACGAATATGAAAAAGTTGGAGCCACCATCGTTCCTGAAGGGTCCTGGAAAGAAGCACCAAAAGATAGAATCATATATGGTTTGAAAGAATTACCGGAAGATGAAACTTTCCCATTAATCCATGAACATATTCAATTTGCTCACTGTTATAAAAACCAAGCTGGATGGCAACAGGTTTTGAAAAGATTCCCAGAAGGAAACGGTGTCTTGTATGATTTAGAATTCTTAGAAAACGATCAAGGTAGAAGAGTTGCTGCCTTTGGGTTTTACGCTGGTTTTGCCGGTGCTGCAATTGGTGTTTTAGATTGGGCATTCAAACAAACTCACTCTGATCAAGAAAACTTGCCAGGGGTTGTTCCTTATCCAAACGAAGATGCTTTGGTTGCTCATGTTAAAAAAGAATTGGATTCAGCATTGGCACAAAATGGTGGTCAATATCCTCAAGCTTTAGTCATTGGTGCCTTAGGTAGATGTGGATCCGGTGCTATTGACTTATTCAAAAAAGTCGGTATCCCTGATGATAAATTATTGAAATGGGATATGAAAGAAACTGCCCCAGGTGGTCCATTCAAAGAAATCATTGAATCTGATATTTTCATCAATTGTATATATTTATCTAAGCCAATTCCACCTTTTGTCAATTATGAAAGTTTGAATACTTCTAACAGAAAATTAAGAACTATTGTTGATGTTTCTGCTGATACCACTAATCCTCATAACCCAATTCCAGTTTATGATATTGCTACTGTTTTCAATGAACCAACTGTTCCAGTTAAAACTTCTGCTGGTCCTAAATTATCAGTTTGCTCAATCGATCATTTACCTTCCTTATTACCAAGAGAAGCTTCTGAATTTTTTGCTAAAGATTTAATGCCTTCTTTATTAGAATTACCAAGAAGAGATACTTCTCCTGTTTGGGTTAGAGCTAAACAATTATTTGACAGACATGTCGCTAGATTAAGCTCCTCCAATCTTTAAGTAAAAGTCGATTCTTTTATCACACTCCAGTCTATATTTAATTCTTGTATCTCTACTTAATTCATACTCCTAGTTTCGTTCATATCTTTAATGTAGAATCTTTGTGACATTTTGTCTTAATTTTTTATGTTCTTTTGCGTAAATTGTTGCAAAATTTGCTGCTTAATTGGCAGCACCTTGGCTTGTTCCCCAAACTTTGAAGCTATCAAGAGTGAATGTTACAAATATCGTTTTACAAAATAGCTAGTCTTTTATATTAAATGCTTATTCTAAAGTTACACTAACCTTCTTTTTATTTTTCTTACCTTTTCTCTTCTTTTTACCTTCATTCAACATAACTCTCTTAACTTCTTCCCCGTCAGTTTCATATTCAGACTCACTGGCTGCTGCAAGATCTTCAGTCTCGTCATAACGTCTTTTCATGGTGTTGAATTTTTCAACTGTTTCAGGACTTGCAACTACACAGTTTAATCTTTCACCACTATCGTAGACTGCGACTTGATCTCTAACATCGTCACTTACATCCCAAACAACTATTTTCCCATCTGAGGAAACTGATATCAAATATGGAGTATTGTTAGTCTCCTCATTATTGAGATAAGTTATGCCTTTTATACGGTTGGTATGACCTCTTAAACTGAAAACAGGCTTAAAAACTTGAGCTTTAGTTTCCCAAACTTTATCTTCACCGGTTTCGTCTTTACTATTAAGCAAAGCTTCAAAGTCAACAAAATCAATGGTACCATTTCCGTGACCAGTGATCAACCATTCCTTACCGTTGATTTTCAAGATATCAATGCACATTAAAGTAGAATTAAACTTGACCTTTTTAATGATCTTGGCGCCTGGAGTTAATGTATATACGAGTAATTGATTCAATAAACCAACAACAAAATGATTACCATCAGTTGACCACTTTACAAATTCACCAGATTGACCTAAATGATCTTTCCCCTTGATTTTTAAAACGGCAGCTTTCTTTGCAGTCATCAAGTTCCATAATCTAATCGTTTGATCTTTTGATACCGAAATAGCCACTCTACCAGTAGGATGTATAGCTAAATCATTAATCGCACCTTGGTGACCTTTCAAAGTTCCAAATAATTCCCAATCTTTAGTTCTCCATATTATAATTTTCCCATCTTCAGATCCAGATAATAACCATTTCCCTGATTTATCAGAAGCTTCAGATAACTTTGGTGAAATTTCTTGATGTTTACCTTTAGAACTAATTCCTTCATTCGAGAAACGTAAAGTAGTAATAGTACCTTGATGACTTAATAAGGTACCTAATTCTTTTCTTTTCTGTAAATCGTAAATTCTAATATGCTCATCGTTTGATCCGGTGACCAAGTATCTTTTGGCTAAATCTATAGACTTAATCGAAAGTGAGTGTGCTTGGAAATGGAATATTGGTTGGAAAATTGGTTGACTAGTTCCAGTCATCATTAATGACAAACACAATAAATTATGCTCATATGATCCAACCATTATACGAAATTGAACATTTTTAGCCGGTTTTCCGACTTTCCCAGTGACCTGCTTATCAGATCCCTTAGTGCTTCCCATTTCTATCCTTTGTGATAACTAAAATATAAGATTAATCCTTAATAATATAAAGCTTTACAGATTTATCATCGCGATGAGAAGAAGTTTCATCGAGGATGTCGTTTTTTTCTTCCTTTCAATGTCGCACGAAGCTTGAGTCGAGGGCACGACATTTTTCCTGCTCAAATCGAAAACCATAACAATACTATTTGCGGCCTTCACAGATCAAGCGATTACAAGAATCAGTGAAGCACATGATAGCAAGATGGTGGTGAATCAGAAGACTCCGTCACAGCATAATTCCACGCTATACATATCACCGCTTATAAACAATCGAAGACAAGATGTGTTTATAACCCCTCCTAATCCGGCACCAAATTTATTTCATACACCAGGATCAGATACTTCATCATTCTATAATTTAGATAGAACAAGTGCTAATAACCAGTCAACACATAATGCGAGTAACTATCCAAGCGAACCATTGACTAGAGCAGAGAAATTGAGACTATGGAGACACGATGCGTTGATGCAGCATCATTATAAGAATGCAGAATATATTGGGGATAAAGTACTTTCATTAACGAATGATCCAAATGATGCGTTTTGGTTAGGGCAAGTTTACTTTAATAGCGGGAACTATTTGAGGGCCAAGCAGTTACTAACCAGTAAACCTGAATATGAAAAATCCGTTAGTTGTAGATATTTAGCTGCTTATTCATTAATTAAATTAGAATTATGGGATGATGCGCTTGATTTGATTGGAGAAACAAATCCATTTCATAAAGATGACAATTACCAAGTTAGAAATGCAGATGGTGGAATAAAGTTAGAAGCATCAATGTGTTATTTAAGAGGTTTAATTTATGCTAATCAAAATAACTTTGAAAAGGCCAAAGAATCATATAAAGAAGCAGTTTTAGTTGATGTTAAATGTTTTGAGGCATTTAATGAGTTAATTTCCAATGATTTTATGACACCAAGTGAAGAATGGGAATTCATAACTACTTTGAATTATAGAGATGCTGATGATAATGATGAGTTAATTAAATTACTTTATACCTCTCGATTAAGTAAGTATTTGAATATTCTGAAATTTGAAGAAGCAGAGAGTATATTAAAGGAAGAATATAGATTGGGAGAGAATAGTGATATACTCCTTAGTCGAGCTGATTTTCTTTATATTCAATGTAATTTTGATGAATGCTTAACGATCTGTGAAAAGATATTAAGTAAAGATCAATATAATTTTAATTTGATGCCCAATTACCTAAGTTGTCTTTATGAATTAGGAGGTAAAAATAAATTGTTTTTGAAAGCACACCAATTAGCAGAAAATCATCCAACAAATCCAATGACATGGTTGGCAATTGGAATCTATTATTTATCAATTAATAAAGTAATTGAAGCAAGAAAATTTTTCAGTAAAGCAACATTATTAAATCCAAATTTTGGACAAGCATGGATTGGCTTTGCTCATACATTTGCAGCAGAGGGAGAACACGAACAAGCTATCAGTGCCTATGCATTTGCAACTAGATTATTCCCCGGAACTCATTTGCCAAATTTATTTTTAGGAATGCAACATTTACAAATGAATAATTTAAATTTGGCAGAAGAATATTTATTAGCATCCTACCAAATATGTAATTCCGATCCTTTGTTACTAAATGAATTGGGAGTGATTTATTTCCATAAGGAATCATTAATGAAGGCAGAAATGTTCTTCCAAGAAGCATTAGGAGCAGCCAAATATTTAAATTCCGATCTGAAAACTTGGATATCAATCCACGCAAACTTGGGACATGTTTATAGAAGAGGTAATCAATTATACCGAGCATTAGAATGCTTTAATCAAGTTTTAAAAATAAGTCATAAAAATGATTCAAACATTTTATCAGCAACTGGGTTAATTTACCTTAAATTAGGTAATTTTTTCAAAGCCATTGATATTTTACATGATGCTCTTGCAATAAGTCCAAACGATTCCGTGGCATCGGATCTCTTGAAAAGAGCACTCGAAGCAAATAAAGACAAGAATGAAATATTCATGAAATCAATCGAATCCCAAGAATTAAACTTACCTACTCTACAATACAGAAAACATAAATCCAATAATATACTGGAACCCTTGGAGCAGGAAGAACAACCAATCCTCAATTCCTCCTTCATTGCAAACTCCGACGAAGTGTCCACCTTAGCAAACGAACTAAAACGCGGTGAAGAAACAAGCGATGACGACGATGGCGAAATCATGGATATCGAAAGCGATTAGCAGTATTCGCGTATATATCTATATATTTATCTTTTTTTTTTCTTCTCTGTATTGATGCATAACCTTAAATAACCGTAAATGTTCGAATTGAAAACAAACATCCCGTTTCCTGTTGATGTTAAACGGTGAATGTTGGTTTCGATTGCAGCGTGATTTAGTTTTGTTTTAGTCTTACAGATCCTATTTTGGATTTTAACCAGGTACCGTCACCGAAAGAGAAAAATCTATTTGTTGATACTATTCAATAATGGTCGTTATGTGGTGCGATTTTCCACGCTGTTCGGTGCCCCTGTTTGGTTATCGACCAATTCAGTCATTGTATTATTACATTCTGTCTCCTCGTCAAAATATTTAAGCTATTTCAAGTATAAATAATATACGGTTCCTTCTTCTCTATACTCAATTTTTTTTTGCCAGCTTTGTTTTTTTTTTTTTTTGCCCTTTCCCTTCCTTTCGTTGTGTTCTGCTTGTATTTTTTCCTCTTCACTGAACCACCCCTCCTTTTAGACGTATTTGTGTGTTATCACCATCGATCTTTCTCTGTCTGATTATCTTCATTATAGTCGATTGCACCAGTCTTTGTTAGTAGGACGTATTCCCCGGTGTTATTGGAGTTGTGAGAGTGATAATATAGCTGAGATATTTGATTCTTGATTTCTCTAAACGAGTTTCACTCCGCATTAACAAGATTGTTTCCCTAAAGTTTACGGGAAGATTGTACGTAATAAAGAAGCAAAAAGAACATCAATGAATACCCATACGCCACTACTGAATGGTGGTGAAAAGGGATCTAAAATCTTGAGCGTTAATTTTAACCAGGATCAAGGTTGTTTTGCCGTTGGTCATGAAAATGGATTTTTGGTTTATAATACTAATCCAATTGATTTGAGAGTTAAGAGAAATTTTAGTAACTCTAATCGTCATCATCTGCATTCAACATCGTCATCATCTGCAGCAACCAGCTCTTCGTCGGTCTCGTCCAATGGACAGGGATCAGGAATTGGTCATGTAACTATGCTTCATCGAACTAATTATTTGGCTCTTGTGGGAGGTGGGAAAAATCCTAAATTTGCTAACAATAAAGTGATTATATGGGATGATTTGAAAAGGAAAAATAGTTTAAATCTAGAATTTATGAGTCCAGTTTTAAATGTTTTTTTATCAAGAATTCGTATAATTGTGGTTTTGAAAAATCAAGTTTTAGTTTATGGATTTCTGGCTCCTCCCAAAAAATTCGCCACTTATGAAACTATTGATAATGAGTATGGTTTGGCTGATTTATCGGTCAACTCAAGTCATTTATCATCTTCGTCATCTTCAATTCCGAATACTTCTTCTTCATCCACGTCACTATCAAATGCATTTTTATCCAAGTCCAATACTTCACTTAATTCGAAAGAACCAATTCATAAAGATCATACTAAATATCAAACGCTCGCATTCCCAGGTAGATCAATTGGCCAAATTCAATTAGTTGACGTTTCTCCTGCTGGTCAAGAAAAAAACTTGGTTAGTATAATAAAAGCTCATAAATCAAAAATTAGATGCCTTGCTCTAAATAGATCAGGTACTTTGATTGCTTCTGCTTCGGAAACCGGTACGATAATCAGAATCCACTCCACCTATAACACGGCTTTACTCTATGAATTTAGAAGAGGGTTAGATAGAGCAGTGATCACTTCAATGAAATTTAGTCATAACGATACTAAATTGGCTGTCTTGTCCGATAAAAATACTTTACATGTATATAATGTTAGTCCGATTAATGACTCTTCAAATAAAGATAGTGATTCAATTATAAATAATAGTCATTCAAACGATAAAAAAACCCCAACCAATCGTCATCATTTATTGAACAAACTTTCAATTCCAATCCCCATTCCTAATTACTTCATGTCCACTTGGTCATTTTGCTCAGTAAATACAAGTAAATACCACACCAACAAAATTGACGATGGGAACAATAACGAGCATCTTAATGATGTGGGCACCATTGGTTGGGCTGGTAACGACAGTATAATTATTATTTGGAAAAATAAAAGAATATGGGAAAAATACGTCATTGTTGACAAACAATCTTCGAACAACACCCATCATGAAGCTTCCAACAGCAACGGGAATTGGGAAATCATACGGTATAGCTGGAAAAGTCTCGATAGTTTAAATGAGTAAATGAGTAAACCTTTTTTTTTTTTTTTTTTTTTACCAAACTTTTTTTTTGCAGCATTTTCCTTACACCATTTTTTTTTCATCTTAAGGAACCCTTATAATTTGACCGTGTATGCATTAAATACTATATAGGTAATATAGATATAGACAAGGACTATTTACAGAAGAAACACTTCCAACATTATTCGAGTAGTTCACATAAAATGGGATCGTAAACTTTTCTTTCCTTCTTTTCGGCAAATTGAATGTTATCCCATTTTCTTCCATGGAAGTTTCTAACAAACCTTCTGGCATTCAAAGAGTCGGCAAACCTTATTAAGGTCAATCTTGTTTGGACCAAGGGATCATTTATTATGGTGGTGAAACAAAGCGATTGGTTGGATAAGGGTTCGAGATCGTAATTCCATAATAATTTGGATAAGGTATATTTGGATAAATTGAAGGGTAAATTTTTAACTAGCACCAATTTTTGACGCAGCTTTGGTAGTACGAATTTGTTGAGCTGATGGAAGATTGGATCAATTGATTTTTCTGTATATTTTACTGGATCGTAGTTATGTTTGCGTAATTTAAAAATCTCTTCTAAGACTTTTGAATGGTAATCCGACTCTTTGAATATTTTGTGAATCGGGGTAATGTTCGGATTCAAAGTATCACTAGCAAAGCTTGAAGAAATATAGCTAGGTTTTAAAAACGGCGAGGATAGATTTTTCAAACTTGATTCTGTAATATCAACAAATTCAAAATTCACGTTGAAGCCATTAATATATTTTAGCTTGGTTTCCAACCAGTATATGCAAGCCTGATTATAGTTTGGGAAAATCAAATAATACGAGCCATTAAACATCAAAGTAGTAGGGTTTCTTCCCTTCACCACTGAAAATGTCAATCCTTGATGTAGTGAACCATTCAATAAGTATTGTCGTTCTCGATTGATCGGGTATATATAGTAGAAATCATTGGGAGTAAGTAAAGAGCTCGGACACCGGAATCGAAGCACAGTCGACTTGATCGAACGGCTGTCAATCTGAGCCATATCTTCCATGGCCTGGATCATTGGTTTATGATTATATGGATTCTGTAATAAAGTTTCAAATTCGGACTTGTTGCCAGCGGCTTCGCCAGACTCCGGTCTGTCTTGATTCGCATACAAATGCTTGGTCACTATCGGCACCTTATTCGAAACCTCCTTGGCCGTGGCCGTATAGAGAAGATTCAAGAGCCGATCACTCGAGGCCTTGGGTAGTTTTGACATATTTCGTGATGTACTTATTCACCAGACAAAATCAGCTATTGCAAATAAGTGTATATTGCGCTGCCCTTCTATTTCCCGCTCTCTGTACCTGCTTCAGCTCGTGCCCTTCACACCCTGCGGTCCATACGGTGTCAACTGATAATCTCCAGTATGCTTCTTCTCTTCTCTTAGTGCAAGCACATGGTTTTTCGAGGGTCAAAGGCGAAAGACCCCAACACCACCACTCATTTGGTGATTTCTGGTTTTTTGTATGGCAGTAATTAAACCCACAAAAATAAAAGGCAAAAACACTAACAAAACAAAAAAAAACCTGAAAAAAAAAATATAATAAAACCAAAACTGAGGAAAAACCTCGATTTTCTTTTAGGCTGGCGGTTAATTTTATATCATTATAGTGGTAGCAGAGCGTTTCTTCCCAGTTTCAACACCAACACCCTAGAAACAACAGCCGTATCACCTTCATCCCTATCTATTCCCCTGAAGCTACACTCAGCAGATCTTAGTGTTCAAATTTGCTGGTTCCCTACTTGTTTTCGTTTGATTTGTTTCCATACGGTTCCAGTTCGGATTCAATTGAGTTGATAAGTAATTTTTTGTAAATAACTTCCTACTCAGACCTGGCTTCTATAGGCTGCCAATCTTGTTCATAGGTTACTTTCAGTGCGGTCTAGCAGCTCCCCAAATATCGTGGAGAATAGGTATCCTTTTAGTCGAATCACATCCAAGGGTTCTTTGAGTTTGATTTGTATATAACAATCTCCATCGGTATATTTTAGTTGAAGAGACCCAAATTGACAATGCTGTCTGATACTATATGGTCTAACGGCAACGGGGTCGCATCCCCCCATCACCAGCCTTCTAACTACCGTTCAGTTTTAGATCAAGTTGATCCTGATGTTGCCAAAATGTTAGCTAACTCGGCTGCTGCTTCTTCTTTAGCTTCAACCACTTCTCCTTCTGCTCATACCCATACTATTGGAGAGTCTAGACGGTTTTCTTTTAATGATGGTGAAAATAACATCTTTGGGTTTAAAAAGGAATCTTTACCCGCCATCGGAGGTTATGCCGCTAGTACTGGTGGTGTACACCACCACCCTCAAGCTGCTGCCTCTGTAGCTGGTCCGACCCCAAATCCACCTCATCCACATTTGGGGTTTGGTACTGCCTCTATTAGTGGTGGTATTGCTAGTAGACACCCTCCTCAAGATAGTTTTTTACAAAAGTTTTCTTCTGTTGCTGATGCAACAAGAGATATTGAATTATCCAATAATTTGGGTAAATTAACTATGGATAGTTCTTCAAATCCTATCCAATCAAATGGTTTACCTAGCTCCAGAAGAACTAGCTTTAATCAAACTGATAATCAAGTTGGTGGTGCCTCTCTTTTAACTTCCCCTCGTGGTTCTTTAAATGAAAATTTAAATATGCCTGCCGCTCGTACTTCAAGACATCAATCTATTAGTGAAAAAATTGATCATTATAACAGTACCTCTCCAATTCAAGCAAGTGCTGCATTATCTGTTTCTTCGGATTTGAATTCAAATATTGGCCTAAACCCTAATCAACAATTATCTAATAATAATTCCGACCAAAAAAATAATTCTAATCGTTTTTGGAGCCCAGCTACCGCTACTGCTTTCACTCCTAATAATTCATATAATTACTTTATTGATAATTCTGGATTCCCTCATGCTGGTCCTCCTCCTCCTCCTCCAGGACAAGGATTTAATCCTTATGTCAGAGCGGGCCCTCCTCCCCAATTCATGGTTCCTTCGCCTCCTCCTCAATTCATGGATCCAAATTTTTACCAAATCATGAATTATAATAACTTGAATAACCCAAATTCTGTCACTCCTCCTGAAATGGATAATTTTGGCTCTGGTTCTTCTCCTGAAAATGCTAAACCTGGTGACAATGGCGAATCTGCCGTATCCTCCGATGATTCAGAAAATCACAAAGAGTTTCTGAAAAGAGCAAATACTCCTGGTATTGGTTTGATTAATCGTCAAATGGCAGGCCCCGGCGCTGGATTTATGTTTGCAGCCTTTAATCCTTATTCTGTATATCAACAATCCCCTCCTTTGCCTAATAATGTGACTAGCGGTGAAACTTCTCCTACTGGTGATACAGCTTCTCCAACCGGGAATGCCCCAAACCCTCCATTGTCACAACCTGGCCCTATTCCAACCGCAGGGTTACCCTCTGGAGGTCCGCCTCCAATGTTTATGGATCCAAATATGATGCCACCAATCATGTCATCGAGATCAATTCCACCTGTCAATCCAAGTCCTAATAATTCTAAACCTTCTCGTAAAGAAAGAAATGGATCTAAAAATCCTAACTCCAACAATGGGAAAAATGGTGCTAATCATATTTATAGATCGCCATTACTTGAGGAAGTTCGTTCCAATTCTAAAGGTAAAGAATATTATTTGAGAGATATCTACGGCCACGCCGTTGAATTTACTAAAGACCAACATGGTTCTAGATTTATCCAACAAAAATTACCTGATGCTACTGAAGAAGAAAAAGAGGTTATCTTCAATGAAATTAGAGATATTTCTTATGAATTAATGACTGATGTGTTTGGTAATTATGTAATTCAAAAGTATTTTGAGCATGGTTCAACCACTCAACAAAAAATTTTGTTAGAATACATGGATGGCCATATATATGAATTATCATTACAAATGTATGGTTGTCGTGTTATTCAAAGAGCCTTAGAAGCTATTGAATTGGATGCACAAATAAAAATCATTAATGAGTTGAAGGATTATGTATTAATTTGTGCAAAAGACCAAAATGGGAATCACGTTATTCAAAAATCGATTGAAAAAATACCTTTTGGAGAGATTAAATTTATTTTGGATAGTTTAGATAATCAAATTTATCATTTATCCACTCATCCATATGGATGTAGAGTCATTCAGAGATTATTAGAACATTCAAGTGTTAAAGACCAGAAAAAAATCTTGGATGAATTAAATCGCTTCATATTTTATTTAATCCAAGATCAATATGGTAATTATGTGATGCAACATATATTAGAAAGAGGTAACCCTGAAGATCGTGAAGAGATTTTGAAAGTTGTTTTAGGATCGGTTGTAAATTTTTCTAAGCATAAATTTGCTTCCAATGTTATTGAAAAATGTATAAAGTATGGATCATTAAGTCAAAGAAAAAGAATATTACATGAAGTTATGGTTGGTAATGAAGATATCAACGAAGAAATGGTTAATGATGATTCAGCGTTAGCATTAATGGTTAAAGATCAATATGCTAATTATGTTATTCAAAAATTAGTTGAAGGTTTTGATGCTAAAAGTGATGAAAAGAAGAGATTAGTTGCGAAATTAAGACAGTATTTAAAACAAATTTCTTCTAAAAATACTTATGGAAAACATTTAGCATCCGTTGAAAAAATGATAATTGTTGCTGAAAATGCTTTAATTGAAGCGGAAAAGGCTACTTGATTTTATTTCTTTTCTAATATTTTGTTTGTTTATTTGTTGGCTTGTTTTCCCCATTTATGGTCGAGGTGTTGGAGATGTATCATCGTCCCCTTATTTATTTCTGACTTGTAAAAAGTACTTGTAAAAAGATTTTGATTATTTTGTTTAATATTTTTTATACTTTCCTTGTTATCTTATAGTTTATGTTATTGCGTTTCTTAATATATAGTTTCTTCTTACAAAATTTGAAAAAAAAAAATACTTTAATGTACATATATTAGTATGTATTATAGCGTACGTTGCCTGGTACTTCGAATCATCTCGTTCATAAGTAATATGTGATTAAACAGAGCATTTAAAACATAAAAAGAAAAGTATAAAAAGAATATAATTAATTAAAGTGAATTGAAGTGAAATAAATCTAAGTGAGTTTAACCTTTTTGAAATCCTTCATTAACTCGGTAACAAATTTTTCCGGAATGTATTCTTGGAGTATTTGCAGTTTGAATTTTTGGCGAATAGAAGAAGACTTAATGGCCAAAACATAATTATCATCAGCATTACTAGTCTTTGTGACTTCGGGATTTTCTAAAATGATGAATTCATACAAGGTTATTAGTTTGAGAAGGCCAATTTCTGATATTTTTGAAAATTCATCGACATTTATTTGGTACGACTGAGACTTCTGGATTTCATTTGATAAGTTTGAATCAATACTAACGCGTTTTTCGGAGTATTCATCATCAGACGACGCCAAGGAAGATCCATTGGAGTCTGGGTTATATGAGGTATCAGATGACTTGGTTGCTAACGCTTGCTTGAGGTTGTTTAAGGAAAATAATGAATTAGAGCTTGCTTGAGAGCTGCAGGAAGCCTTTTGATTAGAAACCTCGTCCTCTCCTCGATTGGAAGCCTTGAGCAACAAGTTATCATTGAGATGACTCAAATCGGAGCCTATAGAGCCACCAGGGTGTTTCATTGAAAACATCTTCTTACGTTTCAAAACATCAGCCTCCAACATTTCCGATAAGGCCAATACGGTGGCATCAGCCAAGGCCAACGATAAAGTGGTTGATATTGTAGGAGCAGGAACACCATGAATAGTGTCCTCCTTCAAATGAGTAGGTAGCTCAGCGTATAATAACGATTTGACTTGGGGATGATTACTTAATTTTGAATCTTTAGAACAAGTTAATAAGATAACCGGAATTTCTGAGGAAATATGAGGCAATAATTGAATCAACTCGGGAGTGTTACCACTTGCACTTAGCAACATCAAGCAATCCTGATCTTTCAATACTCCCAAATCTCCATGTAAAGCTTCGGAAGGATGTAGTACGTGAGAATGAAGTGAAAGCGAATTTAGCGTAGACAGAATCTTCGTGGCAATCTTATACGATTTCCCAATACCCAGCACGACAATCTTACCATTATTACCTGGAGAAACCGTCTTATAAAGTATATCTAGCGACTGTAGTAGTTGTTTTTGAGAAAACTCGCTAGTCTGATATTGCTGATCTAATTTGTCTAAGGCCTCTGCTTGATTAGTCAACGTTTGATTCACCGACCCCAAGGCTAGCTGCCTTATAAGCTCGTAGCTCATCTTCTCTTTTGGTTTCTAACAACAAACACTGGTATTAAGCAAAAGCACCCAAGCGTATACCAAAGAATCAAGTTATAAACTCAATGATCAACCAGATAAAGAATCGTATAAAGAGATTGGCTTTGCGAAGAGGCGTAGGAAGAATACCGAAAAAAAGAAAAAAAAGCGAAAAACGTCCTAACAAAACAAAAAAAAAGAGTCAAAAAAAAAAAAACTGTGGATTTTATTAACAATCTTATTGTAGTTTTATTAGCATCTGCTGGTTACATGACTGACTAATGTTAGTAATGCAGTCCTTGTGAGTTCAGGAAGCCGGTTTGTGCTGCAGCAGCGGGCTTATCTAAGCTTCTATCGACATCTAATAGTCTTCGGGCTTCTCTCAGAAGGGTGCGATTGCTACATGCGGAACTAACTACCGGCAGTCTTTTCATATGAACAACCGGGGCCTCTAGACGGTAGAGTCTCCACCTAGCAAGAGACCTGGTCCGCAGTCGGAAAATAGAGTAGTATGAAGCGTCAAGACGTAATACAGACTGGCCTTGGATAATCATGGCACTCAAGAAGGATGCGAAAAATTAGTAATTAATTGGACAATGTGCGACAAAATTAGTGATAATCACCTAACGGCCTACTCCAGCAGCGGAACAGAGAACAGAAAGAGACATTAGGATGCGGATAAGGTTACAATCGATGCTAGTTCTGGCGGACTGAGTCGATTCCTATGGGATTTGCTTATCGAGTGTCGGGTTTGAAGGGGCCGGGGTGCTCGGCCGGAGGTTTCGCCCGAGAGCTTTGATTGCTTTGTCGGCTGCAAAATAAGGCATCAACAGACAAACATATATATTGAGGTATGGAAGGTTAAGTCTATTGTTGAGTATACAATGTTAAGTATATTGGTTAAGTGTCGGTTAAGTGTAAGAGTTGAATTCGAGCAATGTATATAGTTCGTTCTCGTTATTGGAAACGTATTCGTACTTACCAGTTGACTCTCCGCTCGCAAGATTAGTGGTTGCGGGAGACGACTGGGTATTTTCATATTGTAGCTGTTCCATGAAGGAGAAGGTAGCATCTTTTGTGGGGTTGGATTTGGCATCACCACCGATTGCTGAACTTAGGGATGACGGATGGTGATGATGGTTAGATGCAGCTTGGGTCAGTTGTTGTAATTGCTGCTGTTGTTGTTCTTCTTCTAGAACTTGGTGATTTTTCAATGTCTTGTCTTTCAAAAGTCGAATTTGTTTCACCCGATGACTCCAATTAGATACATATGAACTTTGACCACTGGAATGCCATACGTTAGCAAAGTCGTCCAGAATAAGAACCAAGTTTCTTATGAAGATTGCTAATTGACTCTCCAGGATTAACTTGAAATGACATGTAGAGAATACCCCGGGGACCCCTTCCCTTCTGTAAGTTTTAACTTTGAAAAACTTTTCTTTATTGTTTGGTTTTTCACTTAATAAAAATTCACTAGTTATTGTATGAGGCGAAATAACTACATTCAAAAAATTGAATTGTGATTTAATCAAGTTGAAGTTAAATGGTAGTCCACTTTCATCAAAATAAATATTAACATAATTGTTCCCAATATGTCTCTTCTTCAAATCAAAATATTTGTCATTGGGGTTGTTAGGCATCATACTAGTGGTGTGAAATATTAAATGAGTTACCTCATCACTCCAAAAAATAGCATGTTCTCCATCTAAATTGTTTTCTGTATCTAATCCTCCAACGTATGCGTCTTTGCAATTTTTCAACTTGATTATTCTACCAATTCCTTCGATAAAGTTTTGATAATTTCTCGATCCAACGTCGTTTCCTAATACTTCAACCTCACTACTTTGCCCGGGTGCAATATACATGATTCCAACCTTGTGGAATTCAACAATCGGAATACGATCTAATGACGATATTGCTCTTAATGTAGCAGCATCTTCAATTATTGGTATGGGTTTCGAATTATTCCCCTTATCCACATTATTAAATAGTTGCAAAAGTAGATAATTTGAATTTATGAGTGCTTTATTACGATCTCCTCTAAAATTTTTAGAAAGTTTATTCCCGTCATTTATTTCTGTCCACTCTGGTATCATTGATGGATCTAACGATAATTTCAAAATTGAAACCCCGGTAGGCCGACGAATAGTTAATACTGAATCTCCATTAAGAATGTTTGTGTCAATTCCAATAATACTATTCCCTAATATCCATCTATTCGTACTTATATTATTTTCGGTGGACAATAAACTTGTATTTGATATTTTGGACGGAATAATATTTTTAACTGGTAAATTACTATAGGTGAATCTTATTATTAAGTCCAAGAATGCAATTGTATGATCATCGAGTTCTTTTTCGTCCGAATTGGATAAAATTAAATTTTTAACTAAATATCCACTTACTTGTCTTCTCTCGTTCATATCAATTTTGAGAAACCAGGCCAGAATCGCAGAATACGATAATTGTAACAAATATTGATTCATCATAGGACTGTTTTCTCCCAGTTGAGTAGACACCATATTATCAACCTTAGTCTCAGCACCATACTGTTGATGTGCTATGCTGGGTTGTGACTGGGGTTCATATTGGGTTCTCAATCTTAAATCGTTTGAATATTGAATATATTTGAACGCAATTGCAAAAACCCGTTTGAATTCATCAGTTGTGAAATTGGAAGTCAATGTTGGTAAATGAATTAATGATACTAAAAATTCTAATGTATGGGCACTTGCTCTCAGACTTGTAACTCTAGTCTGTAATTTTGTTAAAATTGCAGTCAAGTACTTTTTGATAGATATTGGGATCTCATAACAGCAGACTGTTAGAATATGAATACATGGAATCGCAGTTTTATCCCATGATCCTAATCCAAAGATTAATGAGCCGATTATCTGATCCTCTTCATACTTGCTGAACATTTCATGATAACCTAATAATCCAGATAGGGTCCTTACATATGCAACTTGCAAGTCAGCCTTAGTTATAGTAACTGATGCTTTGGGTATAGACAATTTTTTCGGTAAGTTCAAAGATAATTGATCACAAATGATTTGTTGCAAATTAACAATTAGTTCTTGATAGTCAGCAAACAACTCCATGTTGGATAATTGCGAGCAGAAATGTGCCCATATAAAAGTATATAACTCCCAATGGTAAACATTTTCCATTACATCAAGCACAATCCTGAGCCATTGGGACATTTCAATTGTGCATTCATCATTCGACTCATCATATTGAGTCCCATTTAAATACGAATTGATAGACTTCAGGTCAGCTAGCTTTAACTTTTTACTTGGCTTATTAAAAAACTCTTCTGGTAAATAATCGGGGCTTTCTGGATAAATCCACTTAAAATCTTCATTTAGAAAATCAGATGCCATTGTATTTCTTCCCAAGGCTGTTGCCAATCCTTCCATGTCGGTTGGTTGGATGAAGTACACATATTTTTCCAGAGTTGCTCTTATCCTAACTAAGCACCTCATCATAGTCAATGATAATTCAATATTATCAGTTGAGAGCGAATATTGTAACATTTGGATAATAGCTTTATATAATAAATGAGACTTACGTGGATATTTATTCGAGCAACTGACAAATAACCCAACCAATGATTCACCAACTGTGACCAACATTAAAGGGTGAATTTTAGATTTTCTAAAATTTGAATCTTCATTGATGAATAAATTATCATCAGGAATACTTCGTTCACTGTTAATCGTCGTTTCATTATGTGCTAGTGCACCGTTTGTCCTGCTGTACTGAGACCCTGAGCCAATTGAACCAATCGAAATAAAACTCTTTAGCCTATCCTGGTTACCAGAACGTGCCTGAAATAGTGGGAAGAAAATATTCAATAGCTTTTCAAAGAAAGAAAATGAGGATCTGGATCCAATATCCAGGAGAAAGTCATTAACCAAAAATCTTATTACTAGAGGATCTTTTTCATTTAACGACCTTCTGAAAATATTATAAATTATATCTTCAATTTTTGGGAAGCCATTGAAAAGTTTCATCGAAAGTATATATGAATCCTTAATTATTTTTAATGTCTCGATCCTTATGCTAGCATCGTAATGTGAAATTTCTGAATTTGAATTTACCCCATAATAAAAACAATTAAGTAATTCATTACAGTTCTCCGCCGCAAAAGGGCTAACTGAGGTACATAACCTTTCTTCATGGTAGAAGTTGAGAATAAAATTAACGTTATTTGAATCTAGCATGTTATAATGTTGAAAAAATAGTCCAACAAGCTTATCTTTAGGAGTTTGTAGTTTATGATTTTCGAAAAGGCCCTGTAATGAGAGACAAATCGACTTCCAATAGCTTATATCCAGATCAGAGTTTAGCTTCAAGCTATCCAAAACGTCATAAATGCTGAATGTTGGCGAATACCATAGATGGAAGGGGAATAGCTTTTCAAAAGTTAAATTCACAGAATAAACATCATTTGTTCCATCAATTGAAAAAAGTCTATCGAAACTTCGAAGAATAGAAGTGTTTATTAAAGGTATGTTGAATGATAAGGCTATTTTGTATGCTTTGAAAATAGGTATTAAAAAGCAGCTAAAGTTGGGTTTATCCTCTAAAGCACTTTCAATTTGAATTTTTTCCATCAATTGGATTGCTCCGATACATGTATTTATTGGGTTTCTGACGTCAATTAACCCAGCTGTTGCATTATTGGTAGATGATTTTGCAACAAGCTGTTCAGAACTCATTGAGCGTTTTGATTGGGATAAGATACTTGAACTTATACTACGGCTTAAGGTGTGGGTTCCGTTTGTATGGCCATTAGTAGAAGTTTGAACCTGTAAATCTGGATTTGTCATTACATCACATAAGCTTGTTAAAACAAGATGAAATGTAGCATCAATAGAAAGATTGTGTATTATTTCCCAGGTGATTTTTGTAAGCAATTCATTGCTCAGAGTACCATAAGTGTAACAACATAAACTCATGACTTGATTGAAGTTTTTGAAAGGGATTGCACCGAACACAACAACAGTATTGATTACCTCTAAGCAACTGTTCATAATTATTGAATTTTTAGTGGTATATACAAGCTCTGATATTCCCGAGATAAGAGATGTAATTGAAGATTCATCAAGAATACTAAAGCTAAACTTGAAACAATTCTTTATAAGATTGTTCAACTCGATCAAGTTCCTGAAGTTTTTGTCACTTCTCCAACTGTCAGAATCGTTAAACTTCTTTTGAGTGTTACTCAAGGCAATTAAAGCAGATAGTAAGAACTGTGATAAGTTCTTACCTTGGTCGTATACGCAAAAGTCATGTATTATCTTACCGTCGTTTGTTAAATTTTTCAAGGCCCTAATAAACAAATCGAATTCATCATCCACTTTCGAGCCACTTATTTGGCAAAAGTATGTTATATCCTTGAAAAAAGTGAGTCTATCACTTATGGAGTTTTCATCTTGTTTAATACATTGAATCAATAATGTTATAGCTATCCTCCTTATGTAAGATTGTATTTTAGGGTTACACATATCTCTTGCTGCATACCACACTTCAGGAAATGAAGACAATGAAACACTCTCCAAGGTCTCGGTCATTTTGGCAGCAGCAGATGCTCTGGCTGGTAATGGGCCCGATCGTAGATGTTGAAGTAGTTGATCGGTGCTTCCACCAACGACCATGGGGTTTATTCTAACTGAAACATTTGATGGATGGGATGATGAGGAAGAACCTGAAGTCTTTAGTGATTTAGTGATCGACTTAAACACGTTTCCTATCCCTGACGTTCGGCCAAACGTAGGATGATGAGTTGACATTTTGACATGCGAATACTATAAGATGCAAAAATTGTGAACCGGAATCTTTATCCTCTTGAAGAAGTGCAATACGTCTTAGTTTTTAGCCTTGTAAATTTGATTATAAGTTTATAAAATATTTATAGTAGTTGTGAATTATCTTTAACAGGTTTATTATAAAGCTGATTTTTAGCATTTTAATTATAACTAGCGGAATTAATTAATGAGAAAAAAATTGGAGAGCACCAACTAGTCCAAAAGGAAAAATACAAAAAATACAATAAAATTTAAATTGCAAAAATCTAACTTTAATGTATAAAAGTAAGTCTAGAAATGGCATGAGCCTATAACGAGGCTATATATAAAAGATTGACTAGCAATCTTAAAGAAATAAATTTTAAAAACGAAAATCAAAAAAAAAGAAAAACCATAGAAAAACATTAAAAACATCAAAAAAATTATAAAACTAAATCTATCCATAAATCAAATCAACAATGAAGCAAAACCCGCCACCCCAAGTCAGTTTTTGAAGTAACAGTCTTAACCAGTGAGGCTTAACTTTTATGAAAACATTACCACAATTATAGCCTTCACTTTCAACACCGATCCCCCATTTGATATTTTCCCTTATATTGCAACCATTCCAAAAATTCCACCATTTATGTCTTTCACAAGGGTTGAGTCTAACCAAGTTCTTCATTAAAGGTCCGTGAGGGCCATCGATATACTTGTAACCACCAATTAACAGGTGACGTTGACGATCATCATTATCTTCAAGTTGTTTATCACCCCAATGACCGGTGAAAGAAAGCCAATCACCATACTCGAGTTCTCTGCCTGTATGTTTTGCATTTGCATTTGGTGTTTTTGCAGGATAAACAAACTCACCATCATAAGTATAAGCCAAATAATTCTTTGTAGGATTCCACAAAGGACCTCTATCGGTGAAATCAGATAATATTCCATAAGGCAAGTCATGGGGATGTTGGCCAACACTGACATAATTAGCATGAGTACCACGAGCAGAGAAGATGATTGGATGTTTTGGATCTAACTCGAATTTTTCCAAATTATGATAATAATAAGCACCACCACCACCATGAGCAGACATCCAAACAATGATTGGTTTGCCGTTATAGAAACGAACCAAAGAGTGTTCCCAGTCACCAACATGGTTACCATAGGGACCAGACCCCATGACAAAGGGTCCCAAATTAAAAGAGTAAAAATAAAACCAGAATGCATCTACCCATCCGTTTCCCTTATCAACCACAATCAAGGTTGCAGGAGCATCTTTAATTTCACCATTTATCAAGGATGGTTTGTTTTTAATTCCTGTAATCCAATCAGGATCGGTATCAAAATCGGTATCAGAAGTCATATAAAGATCAGGTAATTTAGGTAATTCAGATAATTTGGATAGATTCATATCTTCATCTGTGCCTGGAATAACAGTACCATTATCATATTCGACATGGAAATGCTTAACGTAATCAGCAATATCGTAAGGAAGATAGCGTTCTTCAGTATATAAATGTACCAAAGGAGCAAAATCAATAACGTAATGGGGAACTTCGCCGGGCTTCAAAGTACGTTGCAGAAGCGAAGGGGCGCTTATTATCGGAGGCAAGTTCTTAAAGTTAGTTGGAGATCTGAAAATGTTGTCAATAGTTATCTGTTTATCTGGGGAGTCAATAGCGCTTAGTATCAGGCTCTCTCTATCGGCCTTCCATTTGACTTCATCTGTCACTGCCGCCACTGTAGCAACTAGCGCCGTTAGTGGTATGAGAAATAGAACCATGACAATATTATTTGGGATAGGGAATACAAGAGGACGCCGTTGTATCCAACCGAAGTATCATCAGCTCTAGTTTTGTTAGGGATATCCGAAACTGGCAATCATGCAGGAAGGTGGGCGGTTTCACGTGATTATCGTATCCGGTGTACGGAGGCCCAAATGAGGATATCTACATTAATTTAGTTGTTACTGCAAATGTTCGATATAAATTACTTATTGAAGAACATTAGAAGACAAAGACTTGGTCACCTAATTTGGAGACTGGTTTGGCCTTTGGGTAGTTCAAGGTGACGGCGGCCTTTTTGATGGCACTGACCATTGGAGGAGGCCCACAAATCAACAAGTTAGTATCATCGGTTGATTTTGGTAAGTGAGTATCCATAATTTCCGGGGTGATGAAACCAACACTTCCGTTCCAGTTGGCAGGAGGGGTATTCAAAACGTAGTGAATTTTGAATTGATCCGAATGTTTAGCTTGGTAATTTTCTAATTCTTTTTTTAATAAGATATCATCTTCGGTGACGTTAGCATAAAGTAAATGGATTTTAGTAGAATCCTTTGGATTGTTCAAGATAGAAGTAATGATTTGATACATTGGAGCAATACCGGTACCACCAGCAACCATACCAAACGATTTAACCATATTCGGAGTATAAGTGAAAAAACCTTTTGGACCTCTAACTTCGATAGTGTCACCAATTTTCTTCAGTTCAACGTGTCTAGAAATATTACCTTGTTCATAAGTTTTGATCAATAAATCAAAGTATCCCAATTCGTCATCGGTGGAAATTGGAGTATAAGATCTAACAATTTCTTTCCCGTCAATAACAGCACCAATTGAAATGTGTTGACCAATTGGTAATCCCAATCTGTCGGTGCTCTTTGGTAATCCAAAACGGTAAATACAAGAATTGTGACTGACTCTAGTTTTTTCAATCAATGGGAATTTTTTAAATTCATTTGGTAATAAAACTGGCACATTCTTACGACTTTGTTGAATTAAGTAGTAAACAACCGCACTGGCAATGATAGTAGCAACAGTGGCGAAAATGACAAGCGGATTAGGTTCTGATTCAACTGACGACATCCTCTAAAGATATTTTATAGAAAATTATATACCCTGATAAAGAAAACGAGATTTTTAGTACTTTTTATACATCCAACGTGAAAAAAAGGCTCCCAGTGAATGAACAGTAAAAATTTACCGCGTCCGGAAGTTTTTTTTGGGTCTTCGCTTTGATTTCGGTGCCGGGACGACTCTTCAGTTTTAAGTAAAAAGATCCCTTCATATGATTTTTTGCAATCAAAACTCTACAAGCATATCAATTTCATATTGAAAGTGTTCATTATTTATATACTAGGAAGAAAAGAAGCATGGAATCAGTTGTCATTGTTTTCATCTTCATCGACTTCATCGTCAAAGCTCTTTACGTTCCACTGGGCACTGACGTCCCATCTTGAGCCTTTTGCATTGATACTGACGTATTTAACAAACTTCAACACCAGAGGGTCTCTCAACATCAAACATAAACTATTCCATTTACATTGACTAGTATACAAGACACTGTCGTCGTCAGCACTGCTGGCTTTGTAGACTGCAGGATCATCGTCTTCGAAATCATCATCGTCTTCGTCTTTATTTAAAGCCATGCATAATTCGTATCCACCAAATTCGCCCGATTCCCAGTTTTTAGGATCTTGAGCAGTGGGAGTTAAATTAAGAGTGGCTTCTAATAAAACGTTTAACTCATCTTTACCATCTCTTGCTAAATTTTTATCAGTGGTGGTAGCCAAGATGAAATCATGGCCTGGTCTAAAACGACGAGTTATGATTTGATCACTGGTTGGTATCAAACTGGTTATTAAAATCAACCATTTCTTGAATGAGATTGATTTCATGAAAGAGTTTAACTCCAAGAGTAATTGGTCGGTGGTTTCATTAGTTGTATTTTTCAATAAATTGAAATTTGGTAATTCTTGAGTTCCAACATGATTGATATGTTTAATCATTGATTCGGTTGGTTCAAATGATGATTTCCCATCCATATAAAGATATCTTTGTTTATGTGGTGGGATGGCTGTTTTCCAAGGGGCTTTAACTTCTTTTGAATTTGAAGGAACTTTCTCCTCTAATTCATGCTTTATAATTGATTCTTTTAATAAATTGGCATATTCGGGTTTAATAATGTCATTTATTTCAACAACTGATTCATTCATAAACATTTCATTCAATTGCTTCAAATTAGCCCCATTCAAATATAATGGATTGATATATTTTGATAAATATTCGATATCGTATTTACTAAAAGTACTATCATTTTTAAAGTCTTGTTCATAGATTTTCAATTCTTCAACAGGGAAGTCAATACGGGTTGGTTTAGGGAAATCAAATTCTTGTAATTCTTTACTCTGTAATTGTTGCAACGTTGATCTAGATTCTGTTTCCTCTTGTTCTCCTGGAATATAACCATTTTCTCCCGGTTGCGGAATATGAAACCATCCCTGGATAGATAATCTTTGTTTATCAACCCTCACCTCTTCAACATCATGGAAGGATAACCCTGGTTGGACAGTGAAAAATGCAATCTGATTGAATTGAGGTACTAACTTAACATCAAAATCAGTCTTGGGGACATTTGGAACAATTGCCGGGAATAATCTTAATCCTCCCCCATAATGTGATTTCCATTTCTTGTTTGGATCAGGTAAATACAAGATGAAACTCACTCTTCTTGATCCAATAACATCGTCGTGGGTTAATAAATGGCATCCTTTTGTGTATGTATTAATTGACATATCCGTCTTAACACCACTTAATTTCCCACATCCAGTGATTTTGGAAATAACATCTCTGAATTCTTCCGAATAAATCGCAGCCCTCAACTTATATAATGAGGGCAATCTGGATAAATCATCCCAATTCAATCCTGATAAATTCGCCAAATCTCCTGATTGATATACCTTATAAATATCCGTTTCCTTTTTCGTGAATGCAATTTCATTCAAAACTTCTTTACGTACTTGTCTTAACAAAGTATCGTCCATTAACTCCGTTATGGTCCCCCAACGGTATGGTTGACTATCGGCAACCTCCCCTTGTATACGGTTTTGAAAATTATCATCCCAAATCTGTTGATTGAAAAATCTTTTGATGTCCTCGTGCTTATATTGGGTATCGAGCTTCTTTGGCTCCTCAGGCCCGCTCTCTTCTGTGGATCTCTTACTGGTAGGCATCCTTGCTTTTATCTTACTACTCAACCGATTCTGATCAATTTTTTCAACCTGGATTACCTTTAAATATATCTCCCCATATTAGTTGCAACCCTCACACCACTCAAACGCTAATTTTTTGTGATGAGATGAGTTACAAACTTGATTGGTGTATGGATGTTTTTTGTGCTCCGTGAGTCACGTGAAATCACCCGTTACCGGGATTCGAAAAGGTGTTCTGTATACAGAATCCGCTTTTTTGACTCATAAATTTTTCAAAATTTTCCAAATATAATATATATAATGAATCATTCCATGATTTAGAAAGATACATTCGATCTTATTTACTTAAAACACGTTCACTGTTGCAGGGATTTCATTACTTAAATTGAATAATTGAAAATTTTATTCCTTAAATCACATTTTATGTTTTACGTTATATAACTTCCCGATATTACAATAATTTCATAATGTCAGTTCAACCTCCTTTATCAGCTTCTTCATATAACTCTGTACTTGATTTAAAGTCTGTTAGCTCTTCCAGTAATGGATGGGTTATTCAAAAATTCGGTGGTACCTCCGTTGGGAAATTTCCAGAAGATATTGTTGATAATATTGTGAAAGTATATTCTAAGAATTACAGAGTTGCAGTTGTTTGTTCTGCAAGATCATCCAATACTAAAAGTGAAGGGACTACCTCTAGATTGTTGAAAGCTGCAGATTTAGCTTCTGAAAATGGTGATTTCAGATCCTTATTAAATGTTATAAAGCAAGATCATGTTGAAAATGCTGAACAACGTATTTCTAATAAAGACTTTCAAAATGAATTGATTAAGGCTACTGAAAAAGAGATAAGTAGGGCCGATGAATTATTGAACGCATCTCAAATCATTGGTGAGATTAGTAGTAGAACTTTGGATTCAATCATGTCAATTGGTGAAAAATTATCTTGTTTATTCATGTCCTCGTTGATGAAAGATCATGGTTTACAATCTGTTTATATTGATTTATCTGATATCATTCCTTTAGATTATGATTTTTCAAATGGGTTTAATGATGATTTTTATAGATTTTTAGCTGTTCAATTAGGTCTTAAGATTAGTTCATTACCTGAAGATGTTGTACCTGTTTTAACTGGTTATTTCGGGACTGTACCAGGTGGTTTACTTAATGGTGTTGGTCGTGGTTATACTGACTTATGTGCAGCCTTGATTGCAGTTGGTGTTCAAGCGGAAGAATTACATGTTTGGAAAGAAGTTGATGGTATATTCACTGCTGATCCAAGAAAAGTTCCAAATGCTAGATTATTAGATAGTGTTACACCTGAAGAAGCTGCAGAATTAACCTATTATGGTTCTGAAGTTATCCATCCCTTCACTATGGAACAAGTCATAAAAGCTAAAATTCCAATCAGAATTAAAAATGTTGTCAATCCAAGAGGTAATGGGACTGTTATATATCCTGATAATTTGGGTAGAAGAGGTGAAGCTACTCCTCCTCATCCTCCAGCTGCTTATGAAACTTTACCTCCTAATTATCTCGCTCATTTAAAGCAAAGATCAGCTACTGCTATTACTGCTAAGCAAGACATTGTTGTATTAAATGTTCACTCTAATAAAAAGACTTTATCCCATGGGTTTTTGGCTCATATCTTTACCACTTTAGATAAATATAAATTGGTTGTTGATTTAATTTCAACTTCAGAAGTTCATGTTTCTATGGCTTCTCAAATTCAACCTGACCAAGAAACTAACTTGAAAAATGCAGTCAAAGAATTAAGAAAAATGGGTACGGTGGATATTACAAGAAATTTGACTATTGTTTCATTAGTTGGCAAACAAATGGTAAACCTTATTGGAATTGCTGGTAATATGTTCAAAGTTTTAGCTGATGAAAAGATAAATATTGAAATGATTTCTCAAGGTGCTAATGAAATAAACATATCAGCAGTTATTAACGCTAAAGATACTATAAGGGCTTTAGTATCCATTCATGCCAGATTATTGGAAGGAAAATATACTGATGATAGTCAAGATAATTCCAAGTCTGCAGTTGATACAAGATTAGAATCTTTAAAGTTACAAAATTAATTCATGCCCGTATAGATAATTCATATTCGATAACTTGATTTAGGTTATAGATGCTCTTTTTAATTTTTCTTTCTTTTTATTGTATTTATCATAATTCCGTCATCTCTTATTTATTGCATTTCGTATAAAAATATCAATTATTGTAGTATAATACTTATTAAATACCATTAAAGTAAAAAAAGAAAAGGCATTGACAAAAAAAGTCTAATGAAATGAGTGAATTGAAAAAACAAAAAAAAAAAAAAAAGAGAGAATAGAGGGAATAAATGAAGGGAATAAATACAAAATTAAATATCAAAATCACCGGATTCTCTACTTCCACTATTATTCCCACTTGATAATTTTGAATTTTCATCGATTAAATTCTCAAAATCTCCAACCATTCCACCTAATAGTTCGGTAGCTAATTTATGATAAGCCAATTGAGCTTTAATTAATTCCAAGAATTCTTCTAATGGTTGAGCGTGTTCCAAAACATTTTGCATGATATTAATAGCATCTTCAACACTATTAGCAAATTCATCTTCGGCATTCTCCATTGCAACCCTCAATTGAGGTTCTTTTGAAGGATTAGAACAACCAGTTAAGTTAATACGAGCTAAATCGTAATCAATTCTTTTATCTTCCACTTTCTTTTGGATATTATTACTTTGAGAAATTAATTGACGTAAAGTGGTCGTTAAAGGTTTATTGAATTTTGATTTAATCAATTGATCTTGACCTAATCTAGCATTAGCAATCTTATTCAAGTTGGATGAGTATAAATCTAATCCTTTAACTAAAGGATCTTGATCTTTGGAAGTCGAGGAAGTTAAAATTGATCCATCAGTAGCTCTAGCCAAAGCATGGTATAAAGTTTTTGGTGGTTTGAACTCACCAGTGGTTGGATTGATTAAAGCTGCTTGTGCTTCAGCTGGAGTTGTAGCTTTAGATAAATTAGACACTCTATTAGTAAAGTTTCTACCAAATTCACTAAAAGATTCTTGTAAATTGGTTGGATAATCATAAGATTCATTTTCATAATTATTAGTGATTTTTAAAACATTCTTGTATAATTTTTCAATATTATTACATTTATCGGCCAATTCTAAGTACTCACTTGGTAAATGGCTAATATCGTCAACATTGACCTTACCTATTCTTTCTTGAACTAGTCTAGAAGTTCTTTGGGCCATTGGTAAAAATTCGTTATTGAATTCATTGGAAAATTTGTCCCCCAAATTCTTCAAATCTTTGGTAAAATTAGCAAAGTTAAATGACATGATGCTTGGATCGACTTTGTATAGTACTATTGTTCGTTATTACAAGAAGAATATCTAATTGACTTCGTAAACCTCTTGAAAATGGTCGGTATCCTTTCAAGGGGCGCAAGAATCAGTGTTTTTTTTTTCGGTCTTTTTTTTTTTGGTTTGTTAGCGCTGTTCTTTTTTTTTCCGTAGTATGGTGTTTTCTAATGGAAAAAATCTAGAAAGGTTGTTGTAATATGCAACCATATCGTAAAATTACCGTGAACGGAGTATTTATTGTAGGATGTGCTACTGGGGGTATACTCAGAAGTTGGATTGAGTTCATTATTCAAGCATCACTTTGGGTCAGTTTTGTTGAAAGTTTGCAAAAATCTGGAGAATACTTTGGAAATTTGGGGGAAGTTCAAGGTATTTGGTAGAATTTAATCGAGAGTTAACCAAAGGCTTACCCACCCAGATGTTAGAGTTGGGATTTCTTTATTGGGCTTGGACTCCTTGGTCAAGCTTGTTTCATGACAAAGCTGGGTAACTTGGCAACGGATCCTGGCAGAGTAGAATCAATACTACCAATTATAAAACTAAGGGCTCATTCAGCTTGATTTTCATGATATACAGCTTGATTTTCATGATATACAGATCTCTATCCTATATAACATTTTCTTCACAATAATGAATATCCAACGTAAAGATTTGCAGTCACTGCAGTCTTCCGTTTTTACAGCATCCACTTGATCTGTTAGATGGCTTTAATAACTGCCGTGTCTTGCTGGGTAATCACACAGATTTTAACGCACGCTACAACTGTTCTGGTAAGATAATTAACTACCAAGATCATCCTAAGTTTTACGAGACTTATATTCCGTACGATTCAATAGCTAACAATGATACTAACAAGTTGTCCTCAAACCTAAACTCTGATTATGTTATGTTTGATAATAGTACGAGTAGCTTGGTATACAATAAAGTCATAGACTTTAACCAAAGCTTAGCTAATTTTACAATTGAGAAGAGGAATAATATTGGCCAGCAGATATTAACTAACGTTTGTTCTAACTTCACAAGTTTCATAGAATGGTTCGCTGACAAAGTAGTAACCTTCTTTAAAGAAGCAGGTGACGAATTTGAAACTTCCGAAACATGGCCTAGACATATTGGTTCTGGGCATTTAGTAGCTTTTGAGGTTTATGATAATAAGAGAAACGGTCATACTTGAGATACTAATGCAAAGATAAAAAGTGGATGTCAGACCATGAGCATTTCTGCGGCACGTTCTGCTTCAGGTTAAACTACGGATCAGGAAATTGGGAAGGATTTATCAACATAGGAGTCGAGCGGAAGATAGAAGGTGTGACACAGTGCACGGGCGGTGCATTTACTTACTCCGATGAATTATGTGAATCGTGACGAACTTTGATCGTAGATAGCGTATATGAGAAGTGTAAAGAAGAGAAGGTAAAAAAAATGTTCTTTAATAGTAATATCATTCGATTGTCTATAGTCCACGCATAATCTTTTAGAACCATCTTTCTTTTTAACAAAAATAACTGGGGCACCATAGGGTGAGGCTTTGGGTTCAATATAGCCTTTACTAAGTAATTCTTGAATTTGTTAATTAAGTTCTTGTTTATCATCATAACTAAGACGATATTTAATAATTAATAAATGATTTTCTGCAGAAGTAGTTTTTAAAGCTCTCTTTGTTTTAATGGAACCAGCCATTAATATCTCTCTTGGATCGTCACCTTTAAAAGTAGAGGAACTTTTGTTCGAATATTCGGTTTCAGTAGAAATTTTTTTGACTTAAGTCTTTATCAGCATCAGAATCAGTAGAAACAACAGATTCCAGTAGGTCAATAACTGGGTTGTCTACATTATATGGCAGTTCAATATCACGAACTGTATTAGTTTCAAGGTCAATATAGTCGTTATATTTTTTATAAAAATCGATTTCAGATACACATCTTGGGAGGAATCGTCATTCACGAAAAAGGATCTAGTATCCAAAAAGAATCCAAAATTAAGAGAAAGTTTAACACATTGTTTGATGGCTTTCAAGCCAGTATCCCAAGCAGCACGAACTTCAAAAGGATGTTCGGTTTCATAAGTTGGTAAATTTAATTTATTAAAATTGGAAGAGCAACCAGTATCAATAAGACATTTAATAGTTAATTTATCATTTAAAATAGCAGTAATTTCACAAAACAGAGTAACAACAGGTAACAGTTTATCAGTTTCGAAGTCCAGAGCATCAAAGTTTTTTTTTCGACGTATAAGAATATATATTTAATAACTATTTACTAATATATACCTAGAGTAGGAAAGACTGTGTTTAGTCAAGAAAACCCATGTTGAATTAAGTGATGTGATAGAAATGGTTGGTGCTGGTTGAGTAAAAAAAAAATTCATAAAAAAGTGATTTTAAACATAAAATTGCAAATAAAAGCTCTTAGCAACCTATAAACAAGAATCGTCATACAATTCGGGCGTCTGGCGTAGTTGGTAGCGCGTCTGCCTTGCAAGCAGAAGGTCACCGGTTCGACTCCGGTGTCGTCCATTCTTTTTGCTGATTTTTTCCATGTCGCGACATTTTTGTCACTACTAAACAAGAATGTCGCCCTCTGAAGCGCGTCTCAAATTGTTTTTCGTTTTGTTTTCTTTTTTACCTTGTTGTTTTGAATGTAAATCTCTGATATATCTTGATTTGAAAAACACCTCGATAGACGTATCAGAATTAGCCATGCCTGGGTATGTAAGATTTTTATTGGTATTACTGTGGTTATTTGGGAACTTTACTAACTTATTTAGGGAAATAATAACGTTACAGGCTGGACAATGTGGGAATCAAGTTGGTATTCAATATTGGAATCAATTGGCAAATGAACACGAAATACTCTCTGATGGGACCCCATTATCCTATTCCAATGAAGACTTACAGTTTGAGACTAGGGAAAATCAGTCACAGAAGTCTAATATTAGATCAGATAGGCCAGACTTGTTCTTCACATTATCAGATGATAATAAATATACACCCAGACTGATAATGATAGATTTAGAGCCTTCTGTCATAACAAAAGCCACTAGTGCCCTACCAATGCTAAACCCTAGGAACATACATCTAAGTGAGAACGGAGGAGGGGCTGCAAATAATTGGCAACATGGATACCTGTATGGATTGAATCACCAAGAAGATTTGACAAATCTAATTGACCGAGAATTGGATAAGTGTGAGAACCTATCAACTTTCCAGCTATTTCACAGTGTTGCTGGTGGTACTGGGTCAGGGGTTGGAAGTTTATTATTGGAATTATTAAATGATCGATACGGATCTAAAAAAATCATTAACACATTTCTGATATTTCCATCAAATGAAAAAACTTCTGATGTCGTTGTGCAACCTTATAATACCATGTTAACTTTGAAAAGGCTCATTGATTTCAGTGATTGTACTTTTGTTTTTGAAAATGATTCTTTAAACTCAATTGAAAATTCAATATTTGGCAGTAGTAATAAACTTAGCCGAAATAGTGCATTTGAAGGAACCAATAAACTTATTTCACATATAGCAACATCAATATCAAACCCTTTCCGATTCCCGAGCTATATGTATAGTTCCAATGAATCAATTATATCGACATTAGTACCAACACCTGAATTAAAATTTTTATCCACTTCCGTTGCACCAATAACAAATATTCTTCAAAAACAAAACACTTCATTTACAAGTGGTATAGGAAACGCCAATTTAAATGAATATGATATAATTTTAGAATTATTAAATGATAAGTGTAAAATGAATAGAGTGAATGATCCAGTATCATATATTTCAATGATGAATTATTTAATAGGTAATAATCTAAATCAATCAGAAATTAGAAAAGGTTTAATTCGGGCATCATCAAGAGTTAATTTTGTTCCCTGGACTTCTGCATCAATTCATTTAGTTAATGGTAGGCCTCCTCATATATCTACTACAAACAATAAGAAAAATCTACACGGAATTCAAATATCAAATAACACTTCCATAGTTCATGTCTTCAGTAAGATCGTTAAACAATATGATTTATTGGCTAAAAGAGCTGCGTATATTAATTACTACACTGAAAGTAATGATCATGAAGAAAGACTGAGAGTTATGGAAATGTTTAATGAATGTCGTGAAAGTGTTGTTAATGTCATCGAGGAATATAAATCTTGTACCTCCTTAAATTACCTAGAAGATGGCTTATTAGAAGACGAAGATGAAGATATTGTATAATTTATAATGATTAATTTACCAAATTTTATACCAATTTCGCAACAACAATCGTAAAAATAGCTCTTTTGATTACTTAAGTTATATATCTGACTCATCACTAATCAAGTATTTGGCAGTCTATTCACGCATCTGACACGGGATGATTGAATCTAAGATAAGGAGTGTCTTGTGGCTCTGATTGTATAGATTCGGTGCGGAAATAAAACCCCAAATTGCGCACAATGGATGCAATAGTAGTATATAAATGCCCTATCGTCTTCTTCTTTTTGATAACTTACAAGGTTAGAACTCAATCATATCATGTCTCATTTGTTATCCGAAAGGGCAGCCAAAAGAACAGTTAGCAGTTTCATCAGCGGTGACAGTGTTCCTCCTCCTGAAGGTTATAAACCCCACCCCAATACCCTTCCGCTCCACTGGGGTATGCCTAATGAAGGGTTCTTCCCGGTTGATTCAATTGAACTCAACATTATTGATTATCCTTTTCAAAAATCTTTAGCTTTGCCTGTGACTAATGCTTCATTAGAATCACTTCAGCCAACACTGTCTGCCAGCCTAAATGAATCTCGGCTTACAAATGGACATTCTGCTACAACTCTGTCCGTGGATGATTCTTTGAGAAAGCTTAAGATCAATAAGGAAAATTCAAAAGTTGTAATTTCTAAGTATTCCGATAACAAGTATATTGATCTTGCTCATGGGTTACAATATAGTGAAAATGCAGGACTTCCCCAGCTTCTTAAATTCACCGAAGACTTTATCCATCGCGTTCACAAGCCGGCTTATGAAGAGTGGAGTACTATTATTACTTCTGGGGCAGGTGACGGTTTGAACAAAGCTGCCGAAGTCTTATTAGATGATGGAGATATTATCTTGGTTGAGGAATTTACATTTACTCCATTTTTGAAAAATATTGAACAAGCTGGTGGAATAGCTGTTCCAATTAAGATGGACCTCTCTACAGAACCCGATAAGAGCCAAGGTATTGATTTAGGATACCTCACCGATTTATTAGAGAACTGGGACGAGAGAATACCTGAATATAAAGGTAAAAAACCAAAAGCTTTGTATACAATTCCTACAGGACAAAATCCAACTGGTTTAACCCAAACTTTAGAATTCCGTAAAAAGATTTATGCATTAGCAGAGAAATATGATTTTGCAATCATTGAAGATGATCCTTATGGATATTTAACTTTACCCCCATACCAAAAGCCACAAGGTTTTGTTAAATTAGACGAGTTATTGACCATTGATGAATACCTCAAAAATCATTTAACTCCCTCCTACGTGACTATAGACACTAGTGGTCGTGTGATTAGAGTTGAAACTTTCTCCAAACTATTTGCACCTGGTTTAAGACTTGGATTCGTAGTGGCCCATAAAAAGTTCATCAAAGCAATTGATAACTATGCGGCTGTGGTCACTCGTCAACCTTCTGGTCTTGCCCAGATAGTTCTTCAAAATACCATTGAGCAAAAATTTGGAGGAGTTGACGGTTTCATCAATTGGTTTTTGAAATTAAGAGTTAGCTATATCCATAGAAGAAATGTCTTACTTAACCAAATTTACGAATCCAAAGCTTATAAAGACAAATTAATTGAGGTTATAGATCCAAGAGCGGGAATGTTTGCTAGTCTTGTTATTAACTTTCCCCCAGGTACAAATGTCTACGAAAAAATCTTCTTGCTAAACTGGAAATTTTCCCATTATGGTGTTGGTGTTGTTCCTGGGTTCAACTTAGCAGTAGATAAGGGAAACAAGAACGTAAACTTTTTTAGATTAACTTATGCCCCCTCGCCCAACGACGACTTGATCATTGAAGCGGCAAATAGATTAACCAATGCGGTATCTGATTTTTTTGCCAAAAATTTAGAATTCTAAGTATTTTGAATATACAAAAAGGCAATCTCTACTCTCCTTGTAAACCAGTATGAATATCTTTATAGAGTAAAAGAGTAACTTGGCAGTAAAAAAATTTCCAAATTAGGTAAAGCACCCAAAATAGAAATTCGCAACTTTTCACAACTACATTTGGTGATAATTCGAGACATAAAATATATTTAGAGCGTTAACGTAAAGCCATTTTTTGTAAAGTAAATAAAATTAATAAAATAATATAAGTAAAGAGAAACTTAAACCGAATATCAAGCCATTAACTCGAGCAGAAAGAAAATCCTTATTTTTTTTTAAAAAAAGATACTCAGTTAAATAGAGGTATTAATAAACATGAGTATTGGTATTGTTTGATGAATTGAAGTTTAATAATAATAAGACCTAGAGAAGGATGAGAGCCAAAGTCGTAGTTTAGAAATAAATAAATAAACGATTTAAAGCATCAGCCCATTTAATGGTAGTTTCTCTTTCTTCTCTTTTTACATTTACCACCACCCGAAGTTGAAGTACTGGTAGAAGTAGTATTGGTTCTAGTTGCAGTAGTGTTAGTGGCAGTGTTAGTAGAACCTTTAGTGGTGGAAGTAGCAGTTTTGGAGGTAGTTCCATTAGGGTTAAGAGAGGTAGCATTAGTATCACAAGTACCAGAGGCAGCAGCCAAGGCATTAGTAATAACAGTCTTCAAAGTGTTAACAGTAAAGAATTCTCTGAATAAATCTGGAATCAAAGAAGATTGAGTCAAAGCGTCAATAACATCACCAATGGTGAGACTACCTGATTTGAATAAATCAACAATTAAAGAAGCACCATAGGATAAGAACTCTTTATCAACAAGTAAACGCTTAACCAAATCAGAAGCAAGACCAGATTTAGCCAAAGAGTTTAATAATTCATTGATGAAAGAGTCAGAAGTAGGATCACTGGAAGCAGCAGCATCAGTAACAGCACTACCAGAACCAGAGCTATCAGCTCTAATTACCAAGTCAGCAGTAACCAATTCTCTCTTAGTAGCAGCAGCAGAAGAAGAAGAAGAATCATCACCAGTAATTAAAGATTCAATAAGTTTATAAATTTGAGTATAGTAATCACAATCATTAATGATATCTCTAATAACGGTAGCAGCTAAATCAGATTCATCCAAAGCAGTGAATAAAGTAGTTAAATTAATAATATTATTTTTAATCAACCATTCAATAGTATCAGTAAGAATTGGTTGTAAGTTTTGATCATCAACCAATTTTTGAATAAATTTAGCAGCAAAACTGTTAGTATTAAGAAGCTCTAAAATTTGAGTAACGATAGTATAATCTCTTTGAGCCAATTCAAGTTGTTCACGTTCAGTAAGTAAACTTCTCTTTGATTTCAAAGCAGCAATTTCATTCAATTCAGCAATTAAGTCAACTTCTTGTTCTCTTCTAGTAAGCTGAACATTGGTTTCAATATTAGTTGGAGCAGCAAGAACTGAAGTGGCAAGAGCCAAAGCGAGTGTAGTAGTAGTAACTGATAATTTCATGGTGAACCTATATCGAAAACCTCAAATCAGAATGAAATTTTAATGACAATATCTTAAGCCTATAATTATTTTATTTCCTGGGCTACTTTCGATGGATATATATACAAATTCCCAACTAAAGGGTTTTTTCATTCCTATTACTTCCCTTATTATTCCAACTATAGTAACAATAAGTTGCGAAAAATCTCTAACAAAAAACCGCTAAAAAAAAAAAAAAAAAAATCATTACATGCCCCAAATAGGAAATTTCATTGGATGCTTAACTTAAGAATAAGACAGGCAACCAAAACAACTTACCAAACAAAGTAAAGAACTATTCTCCTCAGTGTGAAATCCTTCGAAGTAACATAAGTGAGTGAATTGGGGTACTTGTTACCTGTTTGAAGGAATTCGGCTTGTGTTTTACGCAGTTGACAATTAAGCATCCTCTCAAAATACTACTTGATTTAGTTAACAAGTTGTAGCCCAAGCAATATCATCGTAAATTTACTTACTGGAAGGAAATGGACTTGCAAAATATGGGTGGAGTCCTGATTTTCTACTTTTGGATAACAACTCATATTACTTATATGATGGAACATGGCACCTCTCCAACTACAAGCACTTCGAGGATGGACGCAACATGATAATGCTTTTGGGTACATATACTTGTTTATTTCTACATCCTCCAGTTCTAGAATACCAGGAGTTACTTCATTCGTCTTCCCTACACACTCACGTAACCTCCTACCCTCTTCATATGTATCCTCTTCACACTCACGTAACCTCCTACCCTCTTCATATGTATCCTCTTCCTCCCACACATCCGTGCCTTTTCTTCCGGCCGGTTGAACAAGGGCCAAAACCAATTCAGCCATATCTGCCGGCATCGTTTACAATGAACGGGCTGTTTACCACTAGATCAATGCGCCGAATATTCCTTCACTTCTGTTCCTCAATTACAATTGACGATATCTTGTAAGAAAACAAAAAGAGAAAAAAAAAAAAAAGAAAACGTCAAGCTACTCAAAGACGTCTCGTGTGAACTCAACACGTCGACTCATTGGTTGCCGTAAGGCAGGCAATGAAGCTGGCTCCAATCAGCTTGTTCACACGAACACCTCAAAATTTGAAGTAGTCTTTATCTTTGAAACAAGGTCTCGGGCAAGACGGGAATTGAAAAAAAAAAAAAAAACTGTTTGTTTGGGTCTTTTTTCTCTCGAAACTTTCCTTGCGCAATCTCTGTGTAGTTTCTTATACTCCAAAACACGTACAGACTAAGCTGATTGTTTTAAACTTACATACACTGAGGCAGCTAGTTGTTATATAAGTTGTTCTTTGCTATGTTTAAGAGGATATAGAGTGGAGGCTAGTAGAATTTAAAAGGTCAATTGAAGCTCACGGAAATCTAGATACGTATCTTCCGTAGTAATTTTCCTCGCTGAGGTATATCAATAGATCAAGCCCCCAGATTTTTCATTTTTAATTTTTTTTATTTATTTATTTACTTTGCTCTTGTTAAGAAGGTCATCATCATAGTCTGGGCGTTGAAACAGGAAGAAGATGTTCCTATACTTACTAATAGGTTCAGCTGTTGCTGCCTATCTCGGAGTGCTATTTATGTTGAACAGGGTCCCCTGGATCTCTGTTAAGTCTTTAGGATGGTTTTGCTTGAAACACGTTGAAATTAATGCCGGTAACAGTCACGTATACATCCATCAAATTAAGGTTCGTTTTAATCTATCAAAATCCAGAGATTCTCCCTATAAGTTATTGAACTTGGAGTTTCACGATGCCACTGTATCGATTGAGAAGGCGACTCAAACTTCAACCGAAGCGGCATCGATTGATGAAGTGGCCAAAAATTTTCGAAACAAGTTGAGTGTTAGCATTCCCAAGAAAGTTTATGAGTGGCTTATACAAAATAAGATTATAAATCAATTTAGTATTGATCTTTTCCGATTGACCGTTGTTCATCAGGTATTGAGTAAGAAAAATTCGGTTTACTTTGAATATATTAGGCTAGAAAATCATTTCGATTCCGACGGTTCAAATAAGTTAATTGCAAACATTTTCAATGGTGTTCTTCATAATGAATCTTCAGAAAAAACCGGTGGTGAAATTCGTTTATGTAGAAACGTTGGGATAAGCGTCTCCTGGGATACCGTCTTTGCCTGTGATAATTTGGATAAGAACACTATATTGGTGAATCCTCAAAATTTTGCTATGAATTTGGCCATAGCTCAATTGACCATCCCGTTGAATACTTTGAATTTACTTTTTGATAAAGAGGAGTCGAAAACCAATACAAAAAGTGATTCTACTAAAATAAAATATTTACCTTATGATGACTTGAACGAATTTTATCAACTATTCAAACAATTGGAAATAAGATTATCTGATTTAACCGTATACGATGATAATTACAAATTACTCCTTTCAACATTCGTGATTGCTTTAGATCATTCAATCAATCCAAATATCTCTAAAGATTCAAAACTATCATCCAGCTTGACTTCTTTGAGTCTATACCATTTGGAATCCAAATTTTTTGAACTTCCTTCTGCGAATTTAAATCTACAATTAGATCCTTTGAAATTGCCCTCAATGCTTTATCGCATGCAAAATGATTCAAATTCAACTTTCAATGATTATCCATCTCCATTAAACATGTCCAATACCATATCATTTACAAATCCAAATATTGATATATATTATGATCAATTAGATTTAATTCTATCTATTCTAAGTAATAAAAAGACTAAAAATGATACTTCCCAGCCTTCAGCTTTTAACCCAAAAGCTTTTTTGAAATCATTACTTTCAATGTTTGAACTTCTCTCTATAAAGTTGATTATGGGTGATTCTGATTTAAGAATACACCTTCCAATTCCTGGAAATCATGAATTTCATCGTGATTCTTTGAAAAATCTTCAAGTAAAATGTACTCTACTGGCTTTTATTTTCAAAATTTTAGCTAAAGAAACAAATAAATTACTTGATCCAAAAGACTCTTCCCCGTCAATTGCTAACTTTAGAACTTTCCTCAAATTATCAAATTTAAAAATTGATGCTGCTGATAACTTTTTACACATATCAAAATTTAATATGCATTGTATTTATTCTTTGATAACAGAAAAACTCTCAATTAAGTCCTTAATTAGATACGTTAAATTGAAATCTGTTAATGAACTGGTTTTCCATATATTCAGACAACTTAGAAATTGGAAGATTTCTCATTTCAATGAAGCTTGTTCGAATTTAGATAAACAAGATAATTTAAGCTTTGACAAAAATGATGGTCCGCAAAATATCGAGTATCTTGAAATTTTCGAAGCCCTTCCTGATACTCTTGCCAGTGTGAAAGTAGATATCACAGATATCCACGCTGACGTGATTTGTAAAGATCGGTTACCTAATTATTCCCTTTATGACGAGGAATTGGATGAAAACGTCAACCTTGGTGATTTTAAAAGAGGTGTTGCTTATAAACTTGAAGATATAAGTTTCATTTATAAAAAGCCACAAGAAGAAATAATGGCCAACATTAAATCTGTCCAGTGTTTTACGTTAAGTGAATATGTCACAGAATACATCCCTGGATTTGATCAAGTCGCTGATTCTAACACACTTTATGATAATGAAGAAGATGATTTTGGTGATTTATCAAGTTTAGGATCGAGTAATTCAAAGATTGAAGATAAATCAGACTTGAAAAAAATAAAAAAAGTTATGACAATTAAAGATATATCTGTGAGTAATAGGGAAAAAGATAAAAACAAATTAATTGTAACAATTCCTGAAGTTAATGGACGCTTCGACATATTTCTTCTTTGGTGTACTGTTTATGCTAAAACATTATTTAGCTCGGCTCCATCAGTTGAAAAGAAATTTTCAAATGAAGAAGCTAGTGCTTTAGGCAAATCAAGGACTAAAGTGAAAATTGATCTTTTGGTTGAATCAGTTGCTATTGTAACGAGACTTCCTAATAGTGTTGATTGTTTACTCGAGCTTGATTCCGTTTCAGTAAGTGATATGATGATGTTTAAATCCGCAAACTTTAGATATATACGGCTTTACGTCATTCATCCTTCTACAAAGTTGTGGTCAAGATTGTTGACAATTACAAACCCCAATGTTGCATTTGGCTTCAATGATGCTGGTGAGCTTTTTGTAAATGTTCACTCTACAACCATGAAATTAACTATTCCACATCAATTTCTATTCTATACAATCATAGATAATATAATCACTTTTGCTAAGGCTGTTCGTCAAATCTTATTTAATTTCAAAAACCTTTCAGATGGAAATAATAACTTTTCAAGAATATTGCCCGAGGCTAAAAGCTCTTTGAATATACCAAATGTTAATATAAAGTCTGGTGTCATCGGTCTAGTAATGGAAAATGATGCCTTTGAAACCGAACTTTCTTATATCATTGAATTAGGCCTCGTTGAACAAAAGAATAGGTTGGAAAAGATGAAAGCCTTCGAAAAACACTCATCCACAATCCGAGAACGTATTAAGAAGGCACCGGAAGACTTGACTTTCGTGAAGCTGGATAATAAAAATCTTAGGCATAGCAATTCTACTAGCTCGTCCACCCCAAAAGTGAATAGTCCTCTAAGAAAAGAGTTTAATGATTCAAGTGATAATAATCACTCTTCGACTTTCAAAGAAAAACTTTTCAAACATAAAAAACATAGAGCACCTGTTAAGGCTGATGAAGAGATTGATGCTCAAGAAGACCTTCTTACAGAAGAAGAAGCAAGTAAGAAGATTGAAGACAAATTGAATTTATTATTGAAAGAAATGTCATCAAGTTGGATCACTAAATTCAAGAAATTCCGCTCGGTTAAAATAGCTTCATGGAATCATCGTGCCGACAGAGTTTGGGGTGAAGATATAATTAACCCATTGGTTATCGATTCTTTTGAGATCCAGGACTATTCATCAGGACCCGAATTATTTGGTGCAGTTGTTCATGGCCTAGACTTAAACATTACAAAGGCCCATTTGGATGACGTTCACGAATTTTTATTCAAATATGCTAAAGGTCAACCGAAGGTTGACTATTCCATATTGATACCGCTATATGTTAATCTAAGAGCTGTTTCATTGTATATGTTTCTTCGAGACTACCCTTTGCCGTTAATTTCATTCCCTAGAGGACTGAATCCCAATGAACCGACTATGACTTTAAGTGGTAATTTTGTTATTAATGAAAAATTGGTTACGCATAAAGAAGAAATGAGATACATATTCGTTCCGTTTTCACCTGCTGCTCCAACAAGTGATATAGACCATGATTGTTTTTATTCAGTTTTTATACCACGTACTTTAACTCCTGTTAAGGTTGCCATGGATATGAAGTGGGACATTAAGACTAATCGACCTTGTATCTTGAGTTGGTCGAAATCCTATCAGGCATCCTTACTGGCAACAATGTCTTCTTTTGATAACTTCACGAAGCCGGAAATCGATGATAGCCCCCTTGGTTGGTGGGACAAAGCTTCCTTGATACTACATGGAAAAATGGTTTTTAATATTTCGAATGAGTTGTATCTTCATATCAAAAGTTCCGGAAGTCCTTATGACATGGTGGGTAAAGCTGCTGGATTCGTGTTTTGCTGGAAGAATAATATTAGCTTGATGATTAATGAAGGCGGTAAGCATGACGAGCTCATAAAATTAGATTCGGAGGATTTTCTACTTGCAATCCCAGACTATTCATTAGCTGAAAAGGGGACGTGGTCTTCTTTCTATGAGGAGCTTGAAGCGGACCATGCTGGCCCTTATTCAATTTTAAATAGGTTCAAGAAGAGAGTTATGAAGCTTGCGAGTGACGAGAGAGTACGCTGGAAATTGGGTTTCCTTTTTGAAAGAAATAAGTATGATACAACCGAGTTATCAGATAGCCAGAAAAGAATCAACACATTCAAGCCTCATTACGAAGTGATGGTGACTAACCCAGCCTTCGATTGGCACCCCGACTCTTTTGAAGACTTTCGTTCTGACTACTTACATCTAGCCATATCTGTTACTTCTACATCAAGTAAAGGCAATTGCTATAATGCTGCTTATTTATCTCCAATGACATTTCACTACTTCTTTTACTGGTGGCAATTTCTTACCAATTATATTTCTTTGCCAATCAAACAGGGCCCTTTGTTTAATAATTCTAAGCTTGATAAATCCCACATAAAAATGGGTCCTCATTTGTTCACTGTGAAGTATCAGTTGAATCTAGAACCTCTTTCTATCTCCCACATGTATATGCACTCAACAGCAGAAGAAATTGACTCAAGTTATAGAGTCGCTTTCACGGGTCTCAAGGGTCATTTTGCTAAATGCATTATTGATTTGCATCAAAGAAAAGAACTAGTCAGATATGTGAATGAGAAATTGGATATCAATAGCTGCATGTATCACCTCAAACTAAACGAAGGAGAAGTTGCTGTTGATGAAGCAGATCTAAGGTTTATAAACGCAACATTTAAAGAGCAGTCCTTAAGAGGAAATTTGGCTAGCTATTTGTCTGGAAAACCACCTTCAACTGGCCATATCCTGAAATCAAAACCTTTGATGGATCACATAGAATCTTTTGCCGATTGGAGAACAAATATTGACAGACTTGATGAGTCATTTTCTTGGTTCGACCCAGATGATTTTATCGAATTAGAGGTTAGGGAGGTTCTTTCTCCTGAACCACATGTTGAGATAACTCCTTTCTTCTTTTCTCCTAAGATTACTTATTTTAGAGAGTTTTCTCTCCAAGAGGATGGACCTTATCCTTTCGGACATGAAAGTGCTCACGATTGTTTCCTTGGTATCGGAAAACCTGATGAAGCTCAGGCTAAATTATTAAACGAGAGAATTTCGAATATTCGCCATACCCTTAACGAAAACAGAGAATTCCTACACAAATTAGAGTACTCCAATGATCCAGAATTCAAGCACGACATCGAGAAACTTAAATTAGATATTGAAATCGGAGAAGAAAAAATCGATGCCGTTCGAAGAATTTGGGAAGGCTTTTCCGGAAGGTTTTATGATGAAGACTCAGAGGAAAACATTAGTAAGGTCGAATCACGACCTATTTCAGTTTACTCAAATGAGACGTCAATTGAGCAAGTGAGAGACATTTCAAATATGAATTCTACTGTAAGTGAATTTCATAATAGATTTATTTTCCATAACTTGCAATTGAAGTGGAATAATAAGTTAAGGGATCTTCTTTTGGAATATATGCAAAAGGTTAGTGATAGAAAAACTCAAGTATATTTTATGAGTAAAAAAGCTGTCGATTTAGTTGAAAGTGTGATCAGAGATTCTGATGATTATCATCACGATAAACCTAAAGAGGAAATAAACGAATCACAAGATTACGTTTGCAGTCAGGATGTTATTGAATCATTCGATGAAACACTTGGTGACATTGATTCCGAAGAGCAGGATAAAGAGAATAGATACCTTTTCAAACTTATTCATCCTCAAATACAATTAGTCAGTGAACAGGATCCTGATTCTTGTGTTCTTGTTACCTCTAGAGATTTGGAAGTTAGGATCATAGGTGTCAATGTAAAGGGAATGGGCAACGTTATAAGTGAATCAACAAAAGTTTCATCACTCATTGAGACAAGATATGGTGTTCTCTTTAAGGATACGCATGTTTTCGTGTTCAAAAAGGATGAAAGTACTGTAATGGATCCAGAAATTGAGTATGGCATCAAATATAATAATTCTGATGTGAACTGGCCACCTTGGTTGGAATGTGAAGTTTGCTATGATAGCTCTTGGGTGAAAAATCAATTGGTAATTGAGAAAAACTCTTTAGCACTTATTTTAAAGAAACCAAATTACTTATTCTCTCAAAATCAAAGCGTGGATCAAGGAAATGAAATTACAGTGCATTTGGCTAAAGTTGTTATAAATGCCACATCTTTACAGTATTCAGCAATTTACTATGTTATTACTGATTTATTGGTCCATGGCAAAACAGCTAGAGATGAACTCGTTAATCGTTTAGATAAGGTAATCGCCTTATCTGATACAAGCGACTTTTATGGTGTTGACGTCAGAGTCAGAGAGCTTCAAGAATCCATAAGAAACTGTCAAAATATTTTGCTTAAACTTGATTTTGAACTCATGGAGTTTAATGATGAAGACAAATCACAAATATCTAGCTTAGAGCTCGAAGTTGAGAGAATGAGAATGGAATTGGTTATTTTAATGAGGGGCCTTAGTTTGAGAAGCTCCAAGCATAGTAGTGAAAAGCATGAGAGTAGAAAGTGGAATATATTATCTGATCAAATTATTTGGCATTTCTTAGATGATGATAGAGAACCATTTATTGATTTTGCATTAGCTTATTCTCAGTTTTCAAGGGTCGATTCATATGATGGATCAAATGTGAACAACATTTCTATAAAAATGATTCAAGGTTTCAATTTACAGAGTAATTCGATTTATCCGGAGTTACTCCGGCCATGTTTAGAGCTTAAAGAAGCAGAATCGTCGGGAACTACCTCGGAACAACCAATATTACAATTTTCATGGACATTATTAGAGCCAGTTGGTGGTATTCAAGTTTTACAACATGCTAAGCTTCAAGTGGACCCACTCAAAGTCCAACTTGATTATGATACATGCAAGTCATTATTTGGTTACCTCTTCCCTACTGGAAATGAAGAAGAAGTTGAAGATGCTGAAGATTATGTCGAAAGCGGAGAAAGTGGATATGCAGATGATGACGAAGGAACCACCTTTCATGACATTTTAACGAAAAACCCATTGAGAAGTATACTAGGTAAGAATAAAACTTCAGGTGATTCCGCAATTAGCGAAGGTAGCATGGATGCATTGAGTGATCCTCCATCATTTAGATCCGATTCGTTATCAGGGAAATTTTCATTTTCAGAGGAAGCTTCAAGCGGATCAGAAAGATACTCCCTGCCCAAGAGACACACTAAATCTTCCAAAACTCTCGATAATGATGAAATCAAAGATGATATATCAGTAATCATGAACCGATCTTCCAGGTACATGTCTATTGTTGAAATTGAGATTGTTCCTGTAAATATAGCAATAAGCTTCAAGGCTCCAAAACATTTAAATATTCTTGATGTTCATAATTTGAACATAGCTATCCCAAACCTAAAATATCGAAACAAAATGTGGTCTACTGAAGACATTCTTCTCAAACTTCGAAAGGATATCATTAAAGTTATTATCAACCATTCTGGTAAGATTTTAGGGAATAAATTCAAATACAAGAAAAGGAATATGATTAGCGAACCTTTGAAACAGATTTCCAATTATGCATCTTATATGACTATTCAAGACCTTCAACAAGAAGGGAGATCCCGGGATGCATCTAAACTCGATAGCTTGGACAAGCATTTGCATCCTCGTCACCGTCGGACCCACCATCACCATAGCTTAAAGCGTAAGCCATCCACTCAATCTAGTAATTTCAACTATGGTAACTATTTGAGTGATGTTCCATCTGAAGACACTCCCGATATTTCAGATGAAGAATAGATAAAATGGTTTCTTCTAAAGCTTGTTATGTACTATTGTATCAATACTATTTTGTTTTTTTGTAACAACTATTCATTTCTTGTTCTGATTTATTATTCTTTTCTTTTAGATTTTTTATTTATTGATGAATTATACATATATATATACATTTATCTAGTTGTAATATCAACAATTGTTGTGTTTTGCAGTTTTATTGGTTGGTTGTTAAAAATTGATGGGTGTGTTGTACGGGTGTTACTACCAGGATCAAAACTGTAACCGTCAATCGGTTGTTTCTTGGGATAAAACGGGTTTTCTCAAAAATCTTTAAAACTTGGTGAATTGTACAAGACAACTGTTAATTTGAACTATTCACTCCAGCATCGTCCCATTTTATAGACAATTTGCTTCCATACTTAGAGAATGGCGTTTTTTGATAGCATACGAGAAAGGGCTATCAATACGATTAATCAAGTTTTAGACAAGAAGGAAAATGATGGTCTCACTAAGGCACAATTGTTCTGTAGAGAATATAACCTTCCTGATGACGAAACAGTTCTTGATGAATCAGCTGTAGAAGTTGGAATCAAATCCGATCACAATAAAGATGCTTATAAGAATATGGCATATCCTCAGGGCAGAATATTCTTAACTCAACATTTTTTGATTTTCCGTGATGCATTTGATAAGAGAAATTGTTCATTCACCATTCAATTGTCGACGATAAAGAAGGTTGAAAGATTACCTACTAGCTCATATGGATTTGCATTATCAATAAGTACCCATAGTAAGGTATATATTACTCTTTATCTTGTTGGTATTCGTTCAGATAGTGAAAAGTTTTCTTATAACTTAAAATTGGCATTAAAGAATAATTTACGAAATGTTCAGAAATTACAGCCGTTTATTCAATCTTGTTATTCAGAATATTTATTAGCTAAGAATAAAATATCTGCAGAAAAAGTGGAAGAAATGCCGGATGGCGGTTTGGGTATTATATTCAAATTTCCTGGAAATGCCAGAGAATTGAAAGATAAGTCGAAAATGAAACTTTGGTTTGATTTGTTTAGAGGTGAAGGTAGAAATTTATCCCTCATCAAGACTCCAATGTTTTACAAATTGATAAGAGTGGGTTTACCAAATCGTTTAAGAGGTGAAATTTGGGAATTGTGTTGTGGCTCTATGTACTTAAGGGCAGATCAACCAGATATCTATTCAAAATTATTGGAAGAAAATAAAGACAAGAAATCTTTTGCTATTGAGGAGATTGAAAAAGATCTTAATAGGTCCTTACCGGAATACGCTGCTTATCAAAATCCTGAAGGGATCGAAAGATTACGTAGGGTTCTTACTGCCTACTCATGGAAAAATCCAGAAGTTGGTTACTGTCAAGCTATGAATATTGTAGTTGCTGCTTTGTTGATTTATATGTCTGAGGAACAGGCGTTTTGGTGCTTAAATGTTTTATGCGATCGTTTGGTACCTGGTTATTATTCAAAAACCATGTATGGAACCTTATTAGATCAAAGAGTATTTGAATCGTTAGTTCAAAATACAATGCCTCTTTTGTGGGACCATATTTCAAAAAACGATATCCAACTTTCTGTTGTTTCTTTGCCTTGGTTTTTATCTTTATATCTCAGTTCTATGCCATTGGTGTTTGCGTTTAGAATTCTTGATGTATTTTTTTTACAAGGTGCTAAAACTTTATTTCAAGTCGCCTTGGCCATATTGAAGTTGAACGGGGAAGAATTACTCAAAACGGAAGATGATGGTACATTTATTTCAATATTGAAAAACTATTTTCAAACTTTAGACCAATCTGCTCATCCTGATTCTCCAAATCTTAAATATAGATCTATAACCAAATTTCAAGAATTACTAGTAACAGCATTTAAAGAGTTTTCGGTTGTTGATCAAGAAATGATAGCTAAACATCGTGCTAAGCATAGAGGGACAATTTTGCAAAACATAACTAGTTTCGTTAAAAGAACAGAATTGAGAAATTTACCAAAATCAACTAATATTGATCAAGACGTCTTAGGCAAAATTTATGATAGATTTTATTCGATTGTGCAAACTCAAAATGTTACAATAGGAAGTGGTTCAAGTACAATGGATTTTGTTGCTTTTAAAAAATTTATGGCTCAAATATGTGATTGGGTTGAACTTGAGCATGATGATCGAGAAACACAAGGTGAAGATTTTTTGCAAAGATTATTCACCCATTGGGATTCTGAAGGCAAGGGTAACCTCAAATTATCGGATTTAGTTTTTGGATTAAACAAGTTAGTTGACTCAGATTTAATGACTTCCATGTCTAACTTTTTCGAATTATATGATGTCGATAACAAGGGAAGGATTGATAGAGAAGGTATTTTGAAAATTTCAGAAGACTTGCTATATATTACAACTCCATGGAAGGATGGGGTGCTTCTTGATTCAATCACTCAAACTGCAATCGAGAATGACATTGCTGATATAGTGTATAAAAGACAGCAAGACCAAGGTTCTAATTCCGCTAAGGATGAAATAGATCTTCCCACTGAAGTTGACCTTGATAAGCAAAAACTTGAGAACCAACAAATCGAGAGATATTTATCTGCGGCTAGTACGTTTATTCAAAGGGCATTTGAATATGCTCAACCTGAAGATGAAGAAGTTCTCATTAAAGAATTGGCAATTGATAACAAGATCTCTCATAATGCTGCTCTTAATCCAAACACTCCGGTATTTGTAAATTTACCTACTTTTAGGATGGTTATACTAGCGGACGAGACCTATGAATTGTTATTCAGTAAAACTTTGAGACACTCAATACATCTTGACAAACCACTTGATTCCGATTTTAGTACCATTCGTAATCTTAGAGACATGTTTGATGGTATGTTTGCCGATGGTAGAGACATCGCTAAGAGAGTACGTCGTCGTATGGATTCAGCAGCCACTACTTTGAATAACAATAGTGTCGGTAGTGATAACGCTTCTTTAAAATCATCTAAATCCAAGGCTCAAGAAGCTGAAGAAGAAGAAAGGGATGATGATTTTGGTGTGATCGATATTGACCAGAATGATAAAGATCTTATCCTTGGTGCTGAAGCACAAGTTTTGACGGACCCTGTGAATAATTCGCCTGCTGGTCAAAAAGAATTACGAAGATTCCATAATGCAGAAAGCAAGATCAAGTCAGATCAAGATGCTGATAGTTCACATGTTGAACAGAACTTAATAGAATTCGAGACATGATTTTTTTTTTTTTTTTTAGTTTGGTAAATTATATAGTCGTTTTTACAGAGATTTATTTTTTGTGTACATGTAGAATTGAACGGAATTATAGATAATCAAAATACAATTTTAGAAAAAGTCAAATAAAATGAAAAATATTAAAATAAAACAGAAATGAATCAAATGGTTGATGGACTAAATTGATAAGAACAAAAAAAAAGGTTTTTACTGCAAAAGCGTAAATCAATCTCTACCAAAGATTTTTTTCAAGAACTTCTTCTTTCTTGGTTTCTTTTGACTACTTTTGAACTCTGCTGCATCAATGTTCTTACCAGTTTTCGATCCAAAATTATTTTCAGGTCCATCTTGTTGACGTAATGTGGTTATATGATTCGAAGGTGAATCCTGAGCCTGTGTAGAAACAGGATGAGAATCATCAGCTTCATTATCTGAATCGGCAAATCTTGAAACGAATCCTTTACCTGAATCTCCTCTGCTGTGATCAGCTTCGTCATCTGAATCAGCAATTCGAGATTGGAACTTCTGTTGCGGAAGTTGCTTAAGATGAGCACGCTGCTGTTGAGGTGCTGGTGGTGTTTGAGCTTGAAATTGTGCTTGTGCGAGAAATTGTGCTTGTGCATGTAATTGCGCTTGTGCCTGGACTTGTGCTTGATTTTGAGCAGGTAACTGGGTTGAAGGTTGAGCATGAGTCTGAGTTTGATATTGACTTTGTGGATTGTGTGCTGGTACGCTATCACGTAAGGTAGTCCTATGTTGTCTTGGTTGTTGTGGAGCTGGGTAGTGGTGACTATGGCGGTTCTGCTTAGGCGATTTTGGATTTTCTTGATTAGTATCATTACCTTTATCGAAAGATGATTTTCTAGTTAATTGAGGGTTAAACACAGAAATCGGCCTAGCATTAGCTTTTGCGTATAATTCAGCGGCTTTAGTTTTGGATGGTGATTGATAATTTGGGTTTGAGGCAGGGTGGGCCGCAATAGGCTGGACATACACGGATGAACGATCTCTCAATGTGCGATTACTCATTGATCCACCACCAAGGCCAGATTGTCGATTTTGATGATTATCATGATCGAAGTTGGCACCATGAACAGAATGTGGACGCAATGATCTGCCTGACATATTACCATTTCCTGCTACAACTGGAGTTTGTGGAGTTTGGTTTTGAGGTGATTGGGGTTGATTGTTCTGTTTTGTCGGAGTGGCTTGAACAGAGCGACGGTTTGGACTGGTAGATGGATATTGTTGGGATCCTTTAGCAAGATTGATATCGGCTAATTGTGAAGAGGATAATTTTGAATTTAATCTAGTATTTTCTGCAGTTGTTAATGAGATATAAGCTTGTTTAGCTGGATTATAGGTACCATTATTTGAAGAATTACTGGTTGAACTGTAAAAAGAGCTTGAGTTCTTCATAGCTGACTTGACTGGTCTTTTATTTTTAGATTGAGAGCTAGAATCAACACTACTGATAGAAGAACCAGAACTAAGTCCATTTTCAGTAATTGAAGCAGGGAGTTGTAAAGTATCACTGCTTTGTTTTTCATCAATCAAGCGATTAGAAGCATTAGAATGCGAATCATCGATTATTTCCGGAACGTTATCAAATTTCGGTCTCAATTGTTTCGCTATGGATGAGGAAGATTTGGAAGCCAATTCGTCGGCTGATTCCTCACTGTAATCTGAAGAAGTTACATCAGATTTGAAAGGTTTTTGAGAGATTAATTCGTTTGATTCCATATGACCGTAACGGTTGATAATGCCAATTTCAGTGTTCGAGCCAGAAACTTGATTTGGATGTTTATTATCGACAAAACCATTAGTTAACTTTTCGTCGGCGGTGGTTGGTTGAGTTGATGTTAAACCTGATTCTTCCTCAACTGCTGAATTACGACGAATTTGTTCTTTCTCAAATTCATCAACCACAACAGCTGATGGATCAATAGCTGCATCGGGAACAGATTCATCTTCAGCATTCTTGGTTAAAGGACTTTTCTTGGTTTCTTCTTCTTGGATTGTAGAGATATCTCCAACTGTTGTCTCGGCGTTATTTAAGCTGCTAGTGTCAACAGTTTCTAATTCTGGTTTATTAATAGGAACATTAATTGTTGCTTGTTGGACAGGATGTTTTTGGTCGAGTTCATCAACACCTTTAGGAACAGATGCGATAGGAACTTCAACATCGTCTTCTTCTTTAACTGCTTTCTCGATTTCTTGATCGGTTTCCTCTGGGATAGATTCTTTTTGGGGGCTTTTTTCGGCAGCCTTCATTAATTCTAATAAATTTTTTTCATTTTTCAATCTATTTAATCTTAGTTCTTCATATTCCAAACGTTTTGATTCGTAATCTTTAGCTAATTGTTTTTCATGATTGATTTGAGCTTCTAATTCACGCATTTTTTGATCGTAGTCATTAAAATTATTAGGTTCTGGATCTTCTTGTATTATGAAAGATTGGTCCAAACTAGATAAACGAGAAGAAGGTCTACTAGTTTTGTTTTGAACGGGAGATTTATTTTTCAGTAATGAAGTTGATCTTGAAATTTTATTTTTGTTTAATGAATTGGTTCTAGTAGGAATATTAACCCCGGATCTAATGGAATTGTGTCTATCAATTTCTTTTTGTAAAGTAACTTCGGGAACCTCTATGATCTTAATACCATTAGGAGTTGGGATATATTTTTTAACAGTTTTAACGGAGGTGTTACTATTTTGTAATGGTTTTTTAGATAAAGAAAAAGTGTGATTGGAACCGGTGGGGACCGGGTGAGATAATTTTAAATCTTGCATTTTGACATAATTATTATCGAAAGACCCTTGGCTAAAAGTATCATAATGAGAATCATCAAAAGTATCATCTATATCATATATATGGCTACTGTTAGCACTATCTGGAGTATGTTGGCGGTATTTAACCGGCTGAGATAACCTAGCACTATTGGGAGAGCTAGTTAGGGAAGGATTACGTTTAAGAAGACTCCCGCTCGAGCCATTATTAGTATGATTATTATTACTTCGAATTGGAGGAGGATTGTTACGGATATATTGTAAAGATTTGGAGCGGGAGATGTTGGTATTTTGTTTTTCGGGCTTTATAGAATGGCCAATGGTCAAAGCAGCAGCCAATGCATTGGAATTGGGCTGACTTGAAGATGGAGCAACATGGTTTACTCCAGTGTAAGAAATGTTCTGGCCACTTCGAGACTTGCGGTGTCTAAACATTGTTTATGGGCAACTTGAAAGGAACCAGAAGGAACTAAGAGTTATTGGGAGTTCTAAAAATTGGAATCCTCTGACTGATGACCCTGAAAATAGTACAAGGGCGGCTAAAAACACTCTTCACAAAAACTAGCAATTTCAAACACCACCAGCTATCAAACACGAGTCTCCAAATGAACAACTACACCGGACACTCACTTAAAGTCGACTCAGCTTTAATTCGGCAATAAAAGTAAACTAACCTGGGAAAAACAGAAGAAAGTAAACGAACAGACTATTTTTCACAAAATTCCCACAATTCTAAACGGAAAAAAGCAGCTGCAACACTCAATGTCAAACCAATTGATTCAACCAGTAATACGGCTTGACTATACTATCGATAAACGATGGATTCAACTGGAAGTAACTGAAAGAAACAGTAGGTTAAAACGGACTCCAGCGCTTAAAAGCAGCAAACTATTTTAGGAACTAGGCAAAAGTGCAACGAAAACGAAAAAAAAACCAGGAAAAAAGAAAAAAAAAAAAACACAGGGTTAAGCGCACTCAGTAGGTTAGGCTAATTTCATTTCAAATGGCAGAGCTGGAAAGGCTGGCTGTACTACGTTGGAAGACTCGGTTGGCGTTATGGTCTGCTCATCGATCCGGAAAGCAGTGTCAGAAGAGCAATTGTTGAAGCTGCAACAAACGTCAAGTGCATACGAGATTTGGAGAACGCCGGGGACGTCTGGTCTACAGTCACGTGAAGGGCAAACATGACATAGTAGAGGTAGTATTGGTAGAGGTAGTATTGGTAGAGGTAGTATTGGTAGAGGTAGCATTGGTAGAGGTAGCATTGGGAGTGCTAGTAGAGGTAGTTTGGGAGTGCTAGTAGAGGTAGTTTGGGAGTGCTAGTAATAATAAAGATGTTAATCGTATACAGACTCGTCTATTTAGCGGAGGAGGTTCGTGTGACTATATAGGAGTAAATGGGTTTCTATTGAGACGATTCAACCCTAAGCCGTTGGCCAACCATATTCCACAGCGTTGGCCCTGGGCAGTGATGGTATTCAAGAATGGTTTTATTGCTATTAGCACCCCGGTCAAAAAAAAACCTTGGATAAATGGCATCAAGATTTGATCTTTTATTATGGCATATATCACAATGCCAGGGGTAATGGGACCAATGGGCTGAACCCCGTGTGCTCCGCTGGTTTGCAATTCCTGTTGTTCTGCTTCGTCAAGTTTAGCATTCAATTCTTCCAAGTTGACATCAGCGGCTTCGTGGCGGCGAATCTTCGATTCCTGTTGCTGGATGGCATAGCTATTCAAACTGCGGGTGAAGGACTGTTCAAAACGTAAGTCTGGAATGGCAATAGTATTCATTGTGGTTCGGTCAGTAGTCGTAATCAGCAATCAGGCTACTTTCAATTCTTTTGATTTATGATATCCCAAGCTGTAAATACTGGTGGTCAACCTGTAAGCGTCGAGGGTGTTGAAAAAAAAAAACAGACAAAAAAAAAAAAATAACGGAGACGGATTATTAACTGAAGACTATTCAATAAGTTTGCTTTGTTAGAAGTCGTTAGAAGGATATAATATCATAGGAATCATTGGAACACATTCCGTGGCGTTCTGTTTTTGTTTATTTTGTGGTTAAAGAGATAGTAAAGTCGAATAGTAATGGAAATAGACAGGGCCTACGACGGTCAACCCAGAGTTACCATCAGACAAACAGAAAGAGACCATGTTGATTTTATGTTGAAGGATGTGGATTTATCCATGGCAAACTCTATAAGAAGGACCATGTTAGCCGAGGTTCCAACCTTGGCAATTGATTTGGTTGAAATCGAAGTAAATACTTCAGTTTTAGCAGATGAATTTATTTCTCACCGGTTAGGTATGATACCATTGAATAGTGAAGGGATTGATGATTTATCTTATTCAAGAGATTGCACTTGTGATCAATACTGCCCAAACTGTTCTGTTAAGTTAGAGTTAACTGCCAAATGTGATACTGATTCAACCATGAATGTCTATGCATCAGATCTAGCAAAATTTCATAATGGTTCTAATTTAGGAGATCCGGTGATCAGAGATTTCGAACGTAAAGGTCCCTTAATTTGTAAATTAAGAAAACATCAAGAATTAAGAATTACTTGTATTGCTAAAAAGGGTATTGCCAAAGAACACGCAAAATGGTCTCCTTGTGCTGCAGTTGGATTTGAATACGATCCTTGGAATAAATTAAAACATACTGATTACTGGCACGAAGAAGATGCCGAGAAAGAATGGCCCAAGTCCGCTAATTGTGAATGGGAAGAAGCTCCAGATCCTGAAGCCCCCTTTGATTATAAAGCAAAACCTTCGAATTATTATATAGACGTTGAAACCGTTGGTAATTTACCTCCAAATGAAGTGGTGCTAAAAAGTATCGAAACCTTACAATTTAAATTGGCTGGTATTGCCATGGAATTGAAAAAGGATACCGTTGAAGCAAATAATACCGCTTCGGGTGCTTTCACCAGTTATGGTAGATCCCCTGGTGGCGTTGATTCTCCTGTTAATGATTATTCTTACGGTGGTGCTGGATGGTAGTCAGTCTTCCATAAATCTATATATATATATACTTTATATCTTGTATAATTAATTTTCTTTTTAATGACTTTGATTCCACTGTATTAAATCGTTGAATTTAACTAATTTTCCTCCAAATATGTCTAATGCACTTCCATAAGTTAAATCAACTTTTCCATTACTCAACTTGGCAACCGTCTCTAAATCATTAACCAGTTTGGCTCCACCAGCGTAAACGATTTTCCCTTCAAACCCTGGAGGACACCATTCGCCTAATTTCTTAACTAATTTTTCATCAATCCCATTACATAATCCTTCAACATCAGCAGCATGAATTAAAAATTCATCACAGTATTTACTCACTTGCTCTAAAAACTCAAAACTTAAACTATTATCTGTCAAGGTTTGCCATTTATTCATTGCAACAACCCATTCACTATCACCATTGTCATTATGCACTTCTCGGCAGCTCAAATCAACTATTAGTTTATCTTTCCCGATTAATTCACTCACTTTTGCCAACTTCTCCCAGTCAAAACATTTCTTCAGTTTACCTTTCAAATCACTAAATAACCAACTCGTTAATATAACGTGAGATGCTTTATGAGTGTTAATCCATTCTGGTGCATTATCGTAATTGATTCCCCCTCCCACTTGTAAACTATTAGGCCACGACTGACAGGCAAGCTTAGCTGCTGCATCGTTCTCTGGGTTAGTTCCCAACTTTATCACATGGCATCCTCTCAACTTATTTTCTTTGTATAATTGGGCATAATATGAAGAGGGTTTGGTCGAAACAAAATTCTCCGTTGTTGTTGAATTGGACTTGTCGGTGTCGTCTCCTTTCAAAGTGCCCCCCACAATTTGTTTCACTTGGCCTGAATGAATGTCTATACAACCCCTGAATTTGGTCATTGCTGAGTTAATACCGAAAGATCAATGATTCAGAGTCTTTGATAAATATTTACAGTTGAAGTAATCGCATTTTGAAAAAAAAAAAAAAAAAAAAAAAAAAAAGAAGAGAAGCAAAAAAACTACTGGTGTAATAGATCTATAGTCCTAGAACAGTATCTAACCATGAGTGACGATGATTATCTAAAGACATTAGAGATTCAGAGAAGAAATTTCGAGGCTCAGTTCGGGTCTATAGAAGACATGGGGTACAAGGATAAGTCTAAGGCCGAACAAACATCTTGCGATGAGCATCAAAGTGAAAGCGATGAGGGCAGTGATAGCGAAGAAACAAGTCAGTTCAAAGGGTTTGAATCGAGTGAAGAAAGTCTGTCGGACCCTGAAGAGGATGTTTCCGAAGAAGAAGAAGAAGAAGAAATTCAAAAACCAAAAGTAGTCAAGTTAAACTCATCGTCCAATAATCCACCACCCACCGTTTCCAAATCAGATAGGAAATTATTAAGATCAGGAAGAGCACCTACAATGGCAGAGATCGAGAAGAAAGAACGAGAACTATCTAAACTTACAAAGAAACAACAGGCCAAAGCAGTCCAAGAAGATAATGAAAACTTGGAAAATGATATCAAATTACAAAGATTATTAAAGGAATCACACATTCTCTCCCACCAATTGGAACACTCCGGTGCTGATCTCACCCTACAAACCATTGACTACGAAGATCCCACCGGTAAGGCCAGAAGAAAGATTCTAACGTCTCGTATGAGAGAGTTGGCTGCTACCAACTCTTCCACCGGTGGATTACCTAAAACTTTAGAGAAAATGCCCATGGCCATGAGAAAGGGGATGATCAGAAGCCAAAAGGAAAAGATTGCCCACTACGAAGAAGAAGCTCGTAATGCAGGAATTGTCTTATCAAAGACTAAAAAGGGTCAATTTAGAGACTTAAGCAGCGGGAGTGGATCCACTTTTGCCAGTGACCGTATTGGTACAGGAGACAAGATCAACAAAAAACACAGACAAAGAGGATTGAAGATCAACTCTGTTGGTAAGTCTACAAGAAACGGTTTGATCATCTCCAAAGATGAAATTGAGCGTATCAATAATAAGGGGAAAAGTTTTGGTAAGAAAAAGAGAAGATAGTCTTATATAGCATTTTGTACATTAGTAACCCGCTATACTCTATTAATAAAAGTATATATAATAGTCTAATACATGTAGATATATACGTTTGTATTATCGGTGCCTGGTCCATGCTGCAATTTTTTAGTGCAAAAAAAACAAAAGGTAAACAAGGAAATCAAAAAAACAAAAAAAAAACAAATCAAGTCATACTTTGATCCCATCGACTGCTTGATTCATTGCAATAGCGAGGGCTTACGTCGTTGGAAAGTAACTTAATTGATAGAGTAAGTGAAACGAACTCGTTTCCCGAAACAAGCATACGGATAAAGTGCAAGAACCATATAAACACGCCGACCGCTTACGAAATAAATCACGGTGATGAATTCCCAGATATTGCCTAAGAAGAGAGGACAGAATCCGCCCAATGGTGGAAGCAGCAGGGTAAGCTCGCTTCACGACTTGTCCAATAAGGGAAGAGCTATATCGGGGAGGTCGCTTTCCAAGTCCAAAAGAGTTGCTTCTGGCAATCGTCACGTAAGTAGGGGTGATCTTTTCACCAGACCTGATGAAGATGCGATTCACTTTGATGAAAATAAACATACAATCTTATCGAACTTTGAAGAATGGATTAAGTTGTCTACCGATAACAAGATCACATCGAAGAACTCGTGGCAGTTCGCTCTTATTGACTATTTCCATGATTTGAATGTGATTAAAGATGGTGAGAATATCAATTTTCAAAGAGCGTCTGCCACTTTGGATGGTTGCGTTAAGATTTATTCCAGTAGGGTGGAGTCAGTTGCGTCGGAGACCGGGAAGTTACTTAGTGGGCTAGCCACCAAAAAAAATCAAAATGCCGATGGAGAGGATGATGAGGAGGAGGATGATGAAAATAACGAAGCCAATGATGAAGCCAATGATTCGACTGGTGGTGAAAACGATGGCAGAAAGAAAAGGAAAATCAACAGGATACTAGAGTCTACTTTGGTTGATTTTGATACTATACGAATCAAGAAATTGGACCAGGAGCTTGCCATTGATCCATTATTCAAGAAGGCGTTGGCGGAATTTGATGAAGGGGGTGCTAAGAGTTTATTGCTCAATACTTTAAACATAGATAATTCTGGTAGAGTTGTTTTTGATGCTACCACCAATAAGGTGAAAGAAGGTGATGACGAACTTTCAGATGATAATGGCGAAGTAGAAGAGAAAAATGCCGAAGACAATGAAGACGAAGGTGTCAGCTTACAGCCAAATGGACACGGTGATGCAGACATAGACTTTGATGGGCTTCAATCATTTCTTTATAAAGATTCTGCTGAGGAACTCGACTCGGTTACGATCTGTCCTTCTTTGAAAGAATTGAAGGTAGTTTTAAAAGATGTTAATAAGGCCAAAAGTTTACTAAGTGATGTTAATAATAAGTTTATACAAGATGATGATAGACTTAGTAATGCAGCAGACACTCCTTCGAACCTTGGGGATTATGATCAATTTGGTTTTGATAATTATGATGATGGTAATTTTGGTGAAGATAATGAATTGGATGAGAATGCTGAAGCAGGCTCTGCATTTAATTCCACGATATATGATGGTATTGCACGCTTATTTCAAGGTGCTGATGAATATGGAGAAGAGGTTATGCAAACAAAGGTATTGGATCAAGATCTTATGGCATATTTCGATGACAGAATGAAGACTAATTGGAGGGGTCCTGAACACTGGAAAGTTACTAATTTGAAAAAGACAAAAAATCATATTGAAAATAACACAACCAAAGCGAGTGATGAACCGATTAAAAATGACGAAATGGCTGACCCAATGGCCAACGTTGCAACTAAGAAGAAGAAGAAAGAAGATGTTATTGTTAATTTCATTGATTTTGAAATTGAAGACGATAATGAAGATGAGATTTTCCAAAAACCGAAAAATATGTCGATGCTTCTTATCAAAAGCCTGGACCGTGCTAACGAATCGAAAAACATGTTACCTGAGGATATTCAATTCAATTCTAAGAAATTAACTAACTTATTTGGTAAGAAACATAAATCAATTTCCCATTTCACTAGAAAAACCAAAGACGATTATAAAGCAGAAAATAACGAAAATGAACCCCAGCTTACTGACGAAAACTATTTCTCCAAACAATACCAAAAGGAAGAAGAAGAAAGACGCCAGCAAGAACAACTTGCGGCTTCGTTCCAACAAGCAGAGTACGAAGATTACGATAATGATGATTTCGGCGATATCAATTTCAACGACGCACTTGAAAGTAACCCAAACGAAGTCAATGGCGAGGTCAAATCAGAAGAAGAGCCCGGTACCCAGCTTCTTACCGGAGGCCGTAAAGCAAGACCCGAATACGTAAACTTCTCCAGAGTTGCCAAAAGAGTTGATGTCCGGTTGTTGAAAGATAACCTATGGAAGAGTATCTCCAAAGTGGAAGACGACGAATGGAAGAAGCACAACCAAGAGGAGAAAGAGGAAGAAGCGGCCATTGAAGACCAACCAGTCAAGACCGAAAAGAAGTTTGCTGATGTCATAACCTCGATTGGTAAGATGTACAAACCCGAAGAAAGAAAAGACCTTTCCACCAGTTTCTGCTTCATCTGCTTGCTACATTTGGCCAACGAACACAGCTTGGATATCACCAGCACCGCTGCCCATGACGACTTGAGAATCACCGGCTTCTAATCTCTTTACATAGAATAATCTTCGATTTGCAGTAATTTTTGTAAGTATAACCTTCCCTGGTGTATGGGTGTCGTGCTGTTCCTTTCAGCCACTCACCAAAAACAAAAAAAAAATCACCAAAAAAAAAAATGGGTGGCACACCGAAACAAAAAAAAAACAGAGGCAAACATAGACAGGAAAAATTCTCATTCAAAAGGTGTGATATACAATTTTGCCCTTTGTCATAATCACAAGTTATCAACTTGGATATTTGCTTTAATTTCACAGCTTTCCGCTTTCCACTTACAAGCGTGTGTGTGTGTTTTAACTATACCAGACTTTTAGAATCTAGCGCTTGATAGCGAAAGTTCTTTTTGCAATGAATAGCTTATCAAGAATATTACCGAGGGCGCTTGCATCCAGTCAATTACCACTGTCGGTGATTATGGCCAATAGAGCCGCTTATATTGGATTTAGAAGACCTATATTGAATAAGAGGATTGGAATTAGGTCGGTTTCTAATTCAACCATCAACTTATTACAATCACAAGAACAACTTGCCAATCTTGATGTTAATAATGCCAATGCCCAAAGTGAGTTTTACAAGTCTTTGTTGGCAAATAATTATCCTCATATTGTTGTTCAACGTTATGAAACACCGGGAATTGCTGCTTCCCCTGAATGTACTCAACTTTATATCGATGCTTTGAATAAAGTTGGGAAAAAGGGTAAAGCTGAACAAGTTTCTAGAACTTTGGCTACTACTGCCACCAGTGGATTTCAACAAGGATCTCCATTGCCTCAAGGTTTTGGTTCTAGATATGAACCAGTTCATGTTATTGTTTCTGAATCTATTCTCACGATTATTTCTAAATGGCTTAAATGGTTAATTCCAGTAGCCTTACTTACTTATGGAGCAACTAATGCTTTTAATTATATGGTTGAAAATGGTACCATTTTCAGAAATTCCGAAGTTGTTGATAAATCCGTTGATGTTTCACAGTCTACCGTTAAGTTTAAAGATGTTTGTGGATGTGATGAAGCTAGAGCTGAATTAGAAGAAATTGCTGATTTCTTGAAGAACCCTTCTCGTTTCACTGGTTTAGGTGGTAAATTACCTAAAGGTGTTTTATTAACTGGGCCTCCTGGTACTGGTAAAACTTTATTGGCAAGAGCCACTGCTGGTGAAGCTGGGGTTCCATTCTTTTTCATGTCTGGTTCTGAATTTGATGAATTATACGTTGGTGTTGGTGCTAAAAGAATTAGAGAATTATTTAGTCAAGCTCGTGAAAAATCTCCTGCAATCATTTTCATTGATGAATTAGATGCTATTGGAGGTAAACGTAATCCAAAAGATCAAGCTTATGCTAAACAAACTTTAAATCAATTATTAGTTGAATTAGATGGTTTTTCTCAAACTCAAGGTATTATTATCATTGGTGCCACTAATTTCCCTGAATCTTTAGATAAAGCTTTAACTAGACCTGGAAGATTCGATAAAGAAGTCAATGTTGAATTACCTGATGTTAGAGGTCGTATTGATATCTTGAAACATCATATGTTAAACGTGGAAACTTCCGATGATGTTGATCCTAGTATCATTGCTAGAGGTACTCCAGGCCTTTCTGGGGCTGAATTAATGAATTTAGTTAACCAAGCTGCTGTTCATGCTTCTCAAATGTCTGCCCCAGCTGTTGATATGATTCATTTTGAATGGGCTAAAGATAAAATTTTGATGGGTGCCGCTAAAAAGAAGATGGTTATCACAGAAGAAGCAAGAAAAAATACTGCTTATCATGAAGCTGGACATGCCATTATGGCAATGTACTCTCCTGCCGCCACTCCATTATATAAAGCAACCATTTTGCCAAGAGGAAGAGCCTTGGGGGTTACTTTCCAATTACCAGAGATGGACAAGGTTGATATGACCAAAAAGGAATGTTTTGCAAGATTGGATGTTTCGATGGGTGGTAAAATTGCTGAAGAAATGATTCATGGTGCTGAAAACGTTACTAGTGGTTGTTCTTCTGATTTGGCTAATGCTACTAGTGTTGCAAGAGCAATGGTGACTTCTTTCGGTATGAGTGATAAAATTGGACCCCTTAAATTAAGTGATAATTGGGAATCTTGGTCTCCAAAAATTAGAGATATGGCTGATAATGAGGTCAGAGATTATTTAATAGAATCAGAATCTAGAACTAGGCAGATATTAACTGAAAAGAAATTGGAATTACAAAGATTGGCTGAAGGTTTATTAGAATATGAAACTTTGACAAAAGACGAAATGGAAAAAATTGTCAAAGGCGAAACAATAAATAAAGAAAAAGTCATCTCCAATACTGTTATAAAGAATGCTTCTACGGATAGAAAGGAAGTCATTAATGACTCCCCTCCAGTTCCTGCTGAAGTCTAGAAAATGATTTTCATTAAAAGTTTAAAAGAAAAAAAAAATTGAAAAAGAAAAAAAAGAGTTAGAAAAGTTTTTGACCAAAATAAAACACCAATGAGAATTAGTATTCTCATCTTGCATAATTTGTATATATCTACGTAAATAATAAAATTAAGTATTTTTGATTAGTAGTTTTTCCAGAGCTTTAAATTGTATTTTGTGTATTTTGATCAATTTACTTGAAAATTTGCTCAATATTGGTGACAATTGAAGTTGCTGCGAAAAGCTTAAAATTACATTTCGAATTTGCAAAAAATGATTAATATATATATTAATGAGCTATAAAATGAAACTTGGTATTTGAGATTATCTAATGTACAAATGAAAAAACAAACAAACAAATTGAAAACTGAAAAGTAATATTTTGTTACTTTACTTATGTTAATTATTGTTGACCACCATTTTGGAAAAAGCTAGCCAATTGGGCACTCAAGTTTGGATTTCCTGGAGCACCATTTGGAGGAAATCCAGCTGGTGGAGATTGTGCACTTTGTTGAAATTGATTGAAAGCAGCGGCAGGACTATCATTCGAGTTTGAGAATAATCCACTTAATGGATTAACTGAAGATTGACTGAAAACTGCAAAATCTGGTTGAGCACCATGAGACATGGTTGATTGTTGAGGAATTAATGTAGTTTTAACATATTCTTCATCAGGTTCACCAGGTCTATTTGATTTTGGACCATTTCTAGCAGAGTTAGTTGGCATTTTCTTAGACATAGCTTTTGAAGAAATACCAGCACCAATTTCGATATCCGGTTCATCAATAACCATACCACTTGATAATGGTTGACCACCAGTACCACCCCATTGAGCTTGAACCACCCAGGTTCTGTCAGCATCAGTTAATCTGGAGATTGGAATAATAGAAATACCATGTTGATAATTACAACAATCTCTTGGACCAAAACCAACCCCCCAACGAGTTCTTAAAGGTAAAGAATTATCTTTGTTAAAAGAAGTGATAACTTGTTCGGCTTCTCTTCTTGAATAAACTTTAACAAAAGCATGTTTTCTTTCACTATTCAAAATAACTGATTGAACTTCAGCATAAGGTCTTAAAACCGAAGCCAATTCTTTTTCATCCATACCTCTTGGAACACCACCAATGAATAAGGTTCTTGATAAAACTTTAAAAGAACCTTGAGGTAAAGATTGGTCAAAACCAACATTACGTGGACGGTAATGAGGGGTACCAGGGATATTCATTTCACCACCCATAGCAGTTGGAGGAACAAAACCTTGAGGTTGTTGTTGTTGAAGTGGTTGTTGTTGTCTAGGAGGAGATCTTGGTCTTCTACCATTAGCATTACCACCAAGGGACATATTATTAGGATTGTTGGCTTGACCAAAACGAGAAGGAGATCTAGATCTGTTTCTTCTTGAGTAAGCACCACCAGTATTATCACGTCCGCGTTTATCATTTTGGAAACCATTGGAACCAAATTGTCTTTGAGGAGGAAACTGTTGTTGTTGATTAAAACCTGGTTGGTTTTGAGGAGGCATACCACCATTTTGCATTTGTTGTAACATGTTAAAAATATATTGTTCATTTGGTTGTTGGGCTGGAGCAGGAGCCGAAGCAGAAGGAGGTTGTTGCTGAATTGGAGGCAGTTGATTTGATTGTGCTACATTATTACTACCAGCTAAAGCTGATAATTGAGATAAGATATTATTAGCAGCATTATCTTGTTCGACAGGTTTAGCAGGAGCTGGTTGAGGAGTGTTACTGTTTGAGTTTGATTGTTTAGCCAATGAAGCAAGAGCCAGTAAAATACTACCAGAGTCATTATTACTACCATTTGAATTAGATGGTGGAGATAACGGTTTAGAATTATCATTACTAGATACTGGTTGATTTAATTCAGCCAGGGATTTTGGAGGAGTACCAGGAGGAGTAGTTGAAACAAAATGTTTTGATCTAATTGATTTAAGGATTTCTGGTTTAAAAGTGTCGGCTCTTTCCCAGATATCAACTAATTTACCAATTTTGATATTAGAAGACTTACTAATCAGTAATTCTAAAGCATCATCAACTAAAGATTCTATCAATTCACTAATTTTATAAACTCCAGCGGCAAAAGTACCATCAGGAGATTGTGAACTAATTTCTTGACCTTGTTTTCTAGCTTCATCCATATAAATTCTAACAATGGAATCCACAACATACAAAGTACCTAATTTATTTGAAGATGGTGTTGCTTTACAATTAGAGTATAATATAGTAATCAACTGAGATTCTTCGCTAACATTTTTTACCGCAAGATCAGTCAATTTTTTAATACGAGAACCTGAAACCCCTGGTGCTTTAAGAGTAGCCAATTCTTTCAAAATGGAACCAAATTCTTCAACAGCTGACATTTTACTTTGTTAGTTGAATTATTATGATTATTATTAGTTTTTTTTTTTTTTTGCAGCCTAATACCCACGATACGATGGATTCAGTTACGATTTTGTTTACGAAAAACTTAATGAATACTTAAAAAAGAGTGCTAAAAAACGATTCCCACAATTATATTCCACAATTCTCTATACTCACCGATTTCCTAATACTTATTCCTTGATTTGCTTATTCTCTTGTGCTTCGTTATATTACGATCGGACACAAGTTTTAAAGAATTAGTCAAGTATATAAGAATTTTAAAGGTAAAATACAAATGTCCTAGTACTGTTTACTATTTGTTTACCCGTTTACAATTGATAGGATTTGTAATTATACTATATGAGCAATAAGATTTGGTTACTAGTTCTTAAGTTAAATACTACTTGCTATGAGTTTGGAATACCAAAGAGGTAATTGGATTGATTGTGATGGATAAAAGAAGCAGCAGTGATACAACTAGCAAATTCCAGGAATTCAAACAGCGAACTCGCTCCTTTTTATAGTTGGCTCTTTTTTCTTTCTTTTCTGCTGGCAAGAGGAAGAAACGGCGAAAGGCGAAGGGGGGAAATGTAAAAAGGGTTACCCGGATGTAAGTGTCCTGGTGCACGGGTTCATGGAATCGGGTCTTTTCTCGATCAGTTTTTTTTCGGGCGAATTGAGTCCTGCATAGACGAAGGTACGGGTCTTTGAAACTGGACTGAGATATTCTTAGCGGTGGGACTGAAATATACACAGCGAGTGAAAAATTAAGTATTTTTTGAATATTGGAAAGACATCGAGGTTCAGTAAAGTTGTCTTGATCTACGTAGATACGGCATACGCACACCTTAAGTATATTGCAGGGATGTTGTCCAGGTCATTAGTTAGAGGGTATTCGACTCAAGCGGCAGCCAATAGCAGCTCACCGATAATTTCGTCGACGTTACTATTATCCAGAAACCCAATTGTAACTGCTGAATTACCAAGATTCGAAACACAATACTATAAATATCAAAATGAATTATGGAGAAGATTAATGTGGACTTTCCCAAGTTGGTACTATTATAGACCAGGTACTTTAGCTGATCAACGTTATAAAGAATTGAATAAACATCCAATTTATAATAATCCAAATCTTGAATTTCCAAGAGGTAGACCAGATTTGAAACAACAAAGAGACAGAAGATTTAAACAAGTAGTTAAATTACCAAAGACTTATAAAGAAGGAGGAGAAAAGGGATCAGAAGAAGATTCTATTGATCAATTATCCCGTAAAATTGTTCCAAATTCAAGAATTACTGAAGCTGATCAAAATGGAGATTTAACTAGTTTAGAAAGAAAATTAAGTCGTACATTATATTTGATTATAAATAATGGTAAAGAATGGATATTACCTAATTTCCCAGAAGAATCAAGCGAAACTTTAAAACCTTTGCATAAATTAGCTGAAGATGGTTTAACTAGAATTGGTGGTAATTTAATCAATTATTTCAATGTTTCTAAAACTCCATGTCATTTATTTTCAAATAATAATTCCAAAGAATTTTTCATTAAATCACATATTTTATCCGGGGAATTTAAACCTCAATCAGAAGGTTTAAAATTTATGTGGTTAACCAAAGAAGAATTAAGTGAATACTTAAATAAAGAATACTATCAAGATATTGCTCATTTATTAAATGATCAATAGTCAAACTTCTTTACATGTATATAGTAAGAGCAAATAAAGAAAAAATTATATATATATATTTACTTATATAATATTACACTTGAATAAAGTCAAACTTTAATTAAAGATCTTTTTTACCTTTAATAACTTTTTCTGCAGCCCAAACTGATCTATCTAACAAAGCACCAACAATTAAAACACCTGCAATTGAACTTATAACCCCTAAAACAAATCCCGACCAAGTTTTAGCGTATTGTTCTTTATTAATAATTTTCAATGGAGAAATTTCAAAATGGAAAAAAACTCCCGGTAACCCACCTCTAGCATGTAAAGTATGTTGATGATCTTCATCTTTACCACCAACCAATGGTCTGTGATGACTTATAACCGAAAATTGATTGGTTTCTAAAGGTTCTAATTTGTTTTCCAAATATTCAAATCTAGTAGCAACAACTTTCAAATAATAAGAGAAAACATGTTGTTTTTCACCAATGGTCATTAAATGTTGATCTAAAGGATGGGTTGATTGTTCTTGTTGAATTAAACGATGTAACAGTTTAGGATCAGCACCAAACGATAAATGATTAATGACATGATCAAAATTAAACTTCTCAGGATACTTATCATATAATGATAAATCATGAACGTGTCTACCAGGAGCAGTGAAAGAAGCCCCTGGAGCAAAATGTAAATTCCCACTAATTCTATTAATTTGAGCAGTACCTTTAATTCTACAACCTTCATTGTTATTAATTCGTTCCGTTAAACGAGACACATAACCTTCTTTTTCACATTGATCGATATTTTCACCATCGTAAAAACCCCATAGTCTTTCTGCATAGGCCAAACGAACAGTTTCACAATCATTACAACAATATTGATTATTTTCTTGCGGTAATGATCCATAACAAGAACCACATTCTCCGGTTTCTCCTTCAGCTAAACCTTTTGCCTTTTCATGTAAAGAGATATCATTTGACAAGATTGGAGCATCATCAAGAATTTCTTGATTTGAATTTGGTATTAATCTATATTTCTGAAATCCAGATTTTAAAATATCTAATTGTAAATCTCCACTTTCATCCAAAATATCTAATGATAAAACATCACATGGAATATTGGGGAATGATACATCTAGGTTGATATCCAATTTCTTATTAACGTCACGATCAACAACCAATTCTGGTCTTGTTATAATCGAAGTATAATCATTATATTCATTTCGAATCAAAATAAATACTATAAGAGCACAGACTAAAGTAATGATACCTCCCGAGGTGGTTTTCACTTTTGCATCCTCGACCGTCTTGGAAAACGCATCAATTGAGATCAATCTGGGTCTCGATGACATGGTGGATCCTTGGTATTGGTGGAATGAAATAGGTTAATCTTAACGTGTCGTCTTGAGAAAAAAAAATTAACTGAAAAATGTACTGAAAAATGAAAAATGTACTGAAAAATGTACTGAAAAATGTACTGAAAATAATGGAAGTTACCGAGTGAAAGGATAAACAGAATGTCGACTAACAAGTTATTTTTCCAGAAATTCAAGTCTTCCACGTATACCGACGAGCCGATTCCGGGCAAAGGCAGTTCTGAAATCATTCATTTGACCATCAATGCCAGTGGGACTCGATTAATCAATACCAGAACTGATCGACTGATAAGAATCTGGAAATGTCTTCATGATAAGTTGAGTGACGCTATAACGATATCACAACCACACTTAAAGGCTGTCGAACGAATTGCCTGGAACCCCAAGACCGAACACACTTTTGCATCCGTTGGACGGGATGATTTGGTTAAGATCTGGAATGGGAACGGGATACTAGAAAAAGAAATCAAGGTGGTTAAAACCCAAGGTAAAGAGGAAGCGGTGATATCGCAAATTGTCAAATATTCCAGTGACGGGGATTTCTTGAGTGTAGTTGATCGAGATTCAACCGTTAGTATCTATGACGTGAAGAACAATTACACCAAAGTGGAAGAAGTAGTAATTGGAGAACATATCTATGATATGGAATGGTTTAATTACGACCATGAGTTTTTAATATTTGCATTACACGATGGAACCATTCCAATATATAGAATGGATGAAAATATCAAGCTTGAACCGAGTCATTTATTAAAGGGACACCGATCTCTGGCTACATGTTTATCGATGGACCCCAGAGGGAGATACTTTGCGGTGGGATCCAATGAAGGAGTGGTTTCCATCTGGAGTACTGCCAGCATGATGAACACCAAAATCCTAAGTGAAGTTGACGAAGCCATTGCTCAAATCGACATCAGTAGAGATGGAACTTATCTAGCCGTTGGTTTTGATAGTGGTTCCAATATCAAAATATATGAATACGACACTACAGAAGAGATGTTCGAAGTCCCCAATAGTACTAGTGGTACCCTAGCACTAACCCAAGTTAAATGGTTTCCTACCAAAACCGCTTTTGTTTATAGTAGTGATAACGGTCGAACGCTCACCTTAATGAGACGACCTGATTTAAAGTAACTTACTCTCTTGATTACTTAGTAAACATTCCTCCTCTTACGCAGACCTCGCTTTATGTAATTCTCGACTGTACCAGTGCACTTTAACCGCCATATTCTTTTCTGCAACAAATACCTGTGCCGTGGCTCCAATAAGGCATTTAGCCCTTCTCTGCCCACAAACCTTACTCCAACCCAAGAGCATCCGCTCAGCATCCGCTCAGCAGCCACCCATCTTTGCTCCCAGCGCTTTCTCCCAGTGCAGAGCACCAGCACATCAACAGTTACAAACACTTGACCAAAGAATCCAAACAATAAAACGAACTTACACAGAAATCACTGGAAACTGGAAACAGGAGAAAAACACACAACGGGAAAAAAAAACAGTGAAGGAAAAAAAATCATAAAAACCTCAACACCTTAACAATCTCAAAAACTAATCACACTCTGTACTTCTTTCCATCCACCGACCCTTGAGTTTGATAGTTTATTGAGTTATTCTCGCGAGTCCTCAAGAAGATACGTTCTTTTATGCCAGTGTTTGAATTGTGCTTATCTGTTTATTGGTTAGAATTCTGCTGCTACTTAATTTTCTTTTCTTTTTTTGTTGATTTACCCCTTGAACCAATTGGCGCTTAATTAATAAGTTGATTTTATTTCTATTAATGAATATTAGGTTGTTTAGTCATTAGTTAAAATGGATAGTCTGCAGCCCCATCCACCCTTTCGTTCATTCAGCACTGCGTCTAGCGGGTCGCTAAATTCCAGTTCGACCAATATTACTAGAATTGCTTCTGGTCCCTTACAAGCCATGAATATGAATTTCAATAAGGCCAGTTCGCCCGAAGATCATATGTTTTTCCAATGTGTTTCGATTTTGCGGGATATATCAAAGATTGAAGGAATGGAGGAGTATTTGAGTTTGGCATTAGCCGCCGCAGAAGATTTGGTTGAACAACAGTCGTTATCATCATCACAACAATTCAATCCAGATGAACTATTGAATAATGAACATCGAGGTTCGATTAGTTCGAATGGATTTTCCATGCATTCTGATTTATCATCAAATTCTCAATTACTCCTGTCTTCATCTTCAACAACAATCAATAATAATAATAGTAATAACAATAATGGTGCGATAAACCTAAGGAATAATAATAAATTAATACCAACATTCAGTGTTGGACAATTACCTTCCACCATGAAGGTTGATCCAGTAACTCAATTATCAGAATTATTCAAATTAGGAGCTCCCCTCTGTCTAATATTTAACTCGATTAATAGTGAAAATCAAATTCCAATTCACTATGAAGATATTGATCGAGCTAAGAAAAAATTGATTTTTGATTTTCTTTGTGGTATTAAAATTCATTTAAACTTTGATGATGATTTATTATTCCCAGTAACGGATGTTACTTCAGATGATACTCATGGGTTATTAAGAGTAATTAAAGTTGTTAAGAAATTATTAAATATGAAAAAGGAGTCGAAATCATTAAGTCCTTTGGATCCTGGTTCTACCATTGGTCTGGCTGAATTTGAGCTTGATCCAATTCCTGGATTAAGTGAATTAACTATAACTGATGATCGCTCAAAAGTTTTTAAAGAAATTATTGAAACTGAACGTAAATACGTTCAAGATTTAGAATTATTATTTCAGTATAAAGAAGAAGTCAAAGAAGCTGAATTAATTTCAAGTGAACAAATTCATGTTCTTTTCCCCAATTTAAATGATATTATCGATTTCCAAAGAAGATTTTTAAATGGTCTTGAATGTAATATAAACGTTCCAACGAAATTTCAAAGAATTGGTTCAGTTTTCATTCATGCTGCAAATGGTCCTTTCAAAGCTTATGAACCTTGGACTATTGGTCAATTATCGGCAATTGATTTAATTAATAAAGAATCTTCAAATTTGAAAAAATCTTCCACTCTTCTAGATCCGGGATTTGAATTACAATCTTATATTATCAAACCAATTCAAAGATTATGTAAATATCCTTTATTATTAAAAGAATTAATCAAAAATTCTTCGGATAATGGTTCAAATAGTTTTGAACCCGCTACTTATTATAATGAATTATTAATGGCTCATCAAGCAATGAAAGAAGTAGCTAATCAAGTTAATGAAGCTCAAAGAAGAGCAGAAAATGTGGGTTATTTACAAAGTTTAGTCGAAAGAGTTAGTAATTGGAGAGGCTTTAGTTTACGTGATCAAGGTGAATTATTATATCATGGAGTTGTTGGAGTTAAAGATGCTGAATATGAAAAAGAATACGCTGCTTATCTTTTTGAACGAATTATTTTTTTCTTTATTGAAAATAATGTAAATGATTCAAAAGATAAATCAAAAGATAAAAAGAAACGAGAATTATTAACAACTCGTAAAAAATCATCTAGTTCAGTTAGTTCCTCAACTGCAAATTTATTAGAATCATTAAATTCTGCCAAAGATAAATCTTCTTTAGATTTAAAAGGTAGAGTTTATATTAGTGAAATTTATAATATTTTCCCATCAAATTCTCAAGGTTATACCTTATTAATATCTTGGTCTGGTAAAAAGGAAAGTGGTACTTTTACTTTACGTTATAGAACCGAAGAAAGTAGAAATCAATGGGAAAATTGTTTGAGAAATTTGAAAACAAATGAAATGAATACTCAAATTCATAGAAAATTGAGAGATTCTCATGCTTCAATGGCAACTACAGATTCCTATGATGTAACTGATGCTTATGGTAATGTTTCTCCTCATTCTATTCCTCAAGGTACTCCAATAAATTACCCCAATGGTATTCAAAATGGTTCTAGCAGTGGCGGTAATAGTAATTCTAATATAAATGATAATATTTCTTTTAGATCTTCAAACGGCCTGTTTCATCGTCATCATTCTCTGTCTTCTACCTTAAGTATGATGAGACAAACTAGATCAAAATCAACTTCTGAACATCCTTCTTCTTCTGGTTCTAGAATATCAACCAACTCAAATAGTGGTTCTTTCACTACTAATAACACTTACATCGGTGCTGGCAATGATAGTTCTTTCCTGTCTCAAGGTTCTGGTTCAAGCTCGGGTATTTCAATCGAACTAAAATTGATTTATAATAAAATTGAAATTGCTAATGAAATCTCAGTGCCTTCCACTATTCAATTTTCCGATTTACATCTGAAGATTTCTTCCACTATTGCTTCTAGTGACGAAATTAATGATGATATTTTAGTCAGTAAGCTAAAATATAAAGATGAAGATGGTGATTTTGTTATGATGGATTCTAATGACGATTGGAATTTAGCAGTCGATATGTTGGAAGAATTGAATGATTTACGTGATAACAATTCTAATGAACGTCATTTGACGATATGGGTATCATGATTTTGTTTTTTGTTTTTGGTTTTTGTATCTTTTCCTTGTCACTCTTAATTACCTATTCCTTTCCTTACCATGCCCGCTCACCCTGCTATCCCTTGCCTTCCTTGTCCCCTTCATCTTTTTCTTCTATGTTTTGTTATGGCTTCTTTGCAATTTTTCAATTCATTCCCCTGTACTATTTTCCGTTTCCTTTTACTGCTCCTGCTTTAGATTGCATCGTATATACTATCTAGAAAATTTACCCTACTACCAGCTGCTAATCGCCACTGTTCCTTCCCTATCCTAGGCGTAACTATCAATATACATATACTTGGTGTTCAGGTGTCTTTAGTCGACTGCAAAATGAACAAATTGACTCCGGCTAATTCTTTATCGTTTCCAGAGTCAGACCTCGTAGCCGTTTTCTTTCTATTTTTTTTTTTTTGTTTTTTTTCATTTTTTGGCAGCCATTTTTCATTCATCTTTTAACGGGCCAGAGATTTGTCTTTTCAAGCCAATTGTCGGTGGTCGCCAGATGAATACTCCTCCGTGATCACGCTATTTTGTAGATCAGTGAATGTCTTGTGTGTACCAGCTGACGCTTAACAATTAGTCCAATCTGATTCGTTGATTGGCTTATGTCGCGCCAGTAGACTCTTAGTTTAATGAATCATCTCAAAGAAAAAAAAAAAAAAAATAAAAAATTGAAAACGGAAGGTGAAAAATTCGAATGGTGCAAACAGATTATCCAAAACTATATAATATCCTTTGTTGAAGCTTGACTCCTTGTAATTGGGTTTTGTATATCATATCAGGAATAAACTTTGGTTCGATCTCGGATACATGTACATATAGAGTAAAATCGGAAAAATGATAAAAGTTAACCCATCGAGGACTTTAAGTCGAGTAATAACTAATTATAGCCGATTACAAGGTATTAGGTCATTTAATAAGAATAAGTATATCATACCACAGGCTGGAGGATGGAAACTTTCACCCGGTCTTTCATTTAGTCGTCATTTTAGCGTTAAGTCAAGAATAAGGAACGAAGTTCCGTTTCGAAATCTTTCAGAAGAAGATCAAGCAACGTTAACTGAAGAACGAGCTGCTGATAACGTGGATGTTTGTATAGTGGGTGGAGGACCTGCAGGATTGGCTACTGCTATCAGGTTGAAGCAACTCGACGAAGAACATGGAGAAGGTATGCTTAGAGTTGTTGTGTTGGAAAAAGCTGGTGATTTTGGATCTCATATAGTAAGTGGTGCAGTTATTGAACCAAAAGCTATTAATGAATTATTTCCAGAGAGTGAATATTTGAATGAAGATGGTTCGGGAATTGCATTACCTCCAGATATTGTCACCTTAGTTGAACGGGATGCAATGAAGTATTTAACTGACGAGTATGCATTCCCATTGCCTGAACCTCCTCAAATGACAAATCATCATAAAAATTACATTGTTTCTTTGAATAACGTGGTTAAATACCTCAGTGAGAAAGCAGAAGAATTGGGTGTGGAGTTATACCCCGGAATTTCTGTTAGTGAATTAATATATAATGAAACTGGCGATGCAATTAAAGGTGTTGCAACTAAAGATATGGGAATCTCTAAAAATGGTGAACCAAAATCTTCTTTTGAAAGAGGTATGGAATTCCATTCTCGCTTAACCATATTAGCTGAAGGTTGTCATGGCTCATTAACTAAAAAAGCTATTGCAAAATTCAATTTACGTGAAAATAGTGATCCTCAAACTTATGGTTTAGGTATTAAAGAAGTTTGGGAAGTCAAACCTGAAAACTTCGAAAAAGGTTTCGTAACTCATAGTTTGGGTTTCCCATTATCTATGGCCGAATACGGTGGTGGCTTCATGTATCATTTTGGTGATGGTTTGGTTGCTGTTGGTTTGGTTATTGGTTTAGATTACGCAAATCCTTATATTTCTCCTTATCAAGAATTCCAAAAAATGAAGACTCATCCTTATTATGCTAATGTATTAGAAGGCGGTAAATGTTTATCATATGCTGCAAGAGCTCTTAATGAAGGTGGGTTTCAATCTATTCCTCAATTATACTTTCCAGGTGGTTTGTTAGTAGGTTGTTCAGCGGGATTTTTGAATGTACCCAAAATCAAAGGAACTCATACCGCTATGAAATCAGGTATGTTAGCCGCTGAATCGGCCTATGATTTCTTAAAAGAATTAGACCCGGTTGACGAAGAAACAGATATGAATTCGAATCCAATCACTTTGAAATCGTACGAAAAGGCATTTGAAAGTTCATGGGCTTATGACGAACTTTATGAAGTTAGAAATGTTCGTCCTTCCTTTAATGGTCCTTTGGGATTTTTCACTGGTTTGGCTCATTCAGGTTTCACCACAATGTTATCCAAAGGTAGTGAATTTTGGACTTTACATCATAAACATAATGATTCTGCTGTTACAAAAGATGCTTCTAATTTCAAACCAATTGATTATCCAAAACCTGATGGTAAATTAACTTTTGACATATTAACCTCTGTTTCAAGAACTGGTACTTATCATGACGAAGATGAACAATGTCATTTAAGAGTCCCTGATCAAAATATGAGAAAACATACAGAAATTTCCTATCCAAAATTCAAAGGAATCGAACAAAGGTTTTGTCCAGCTGGTGTTTACGAATATGTCGAAGACGAAAACGAACCTTTGGGAGTTAAATTTCAAATCAATAGTCAAAATTGTATCCATTGTAAAACTTGTGATATCAAAGTACCTACCCAAGACATTAACTGGACTGTGCCTGAAGGTGGAGGTGGTCCAAAGTATTACATGACTTAAGGAAATAATTAAACAATTAACAAATTACAAATTACATACTTACTTTTCATTTATAGAAATGTAAACTTATTTATTTTTAAAATACCAATAATACACTTTTAATAACAGAATACTAAATAAAAAGAATGTAAAAAGAAAAAGTGAAGTTTTTTTGTTAAGACCCAATATAAAACGTTTAATAAAAAGAAGAAATTTATACACAAGAAGATATTGATTAAGGTAATGACACCTATGCAAGGGTAAGGGTTTCATTGATCAAAGACTATCATACACGGAAGACTTGGAAGAACAAGCAGATTCTAACAACAGATTGAAAAATTGTTTAAAAAATAAATACTAGCTATTGAATAATTTAACGGCTATGCACAATGCTTAAACACAAATGGTCGTTAACCAATCTTTCTCAAATCTCAATTATTAAACAATCAACTAATCTTAGTCCTGGAATAATTCAGCATAACATATAACTTAAGACCTTGCTTTTCTTGAAGACGATGATGTATATAAAAACAATTGATTTTCTTTATATATAATTCATTTTTTAACTTTAAATCTAGCATCGTCAATTTATTCGAACCTCAGTTTGGAAAAGAATAATTTATAAGTCAGAAGAACAGGAGCGTACCGAGTCTTATAGATAATTAAAGAAAATTGAAACCCATTTAAAATCTTCTAACAATAATAATAATAAAAAAAAAAAAATACAGTAAGAAATACAAGATAAATTAGAGAAAAGAGAAAGAAAGAATATAGATATGTATATAAAAGAAGGAAAGAAAGAGCAAAAATAGAGAATAGAAATCACAACTCAAAAACTAAATTCAGTTGAAGAACTTGTCTAAATCGGATAATTTGAGATCTTCAGGAGCTCCAATATCTTGGGTTAAGAAGCCTGATCTAACGACGTTCAACCATTTCCCATTTTTAGTTTGAGGGATGGAGTCGGAAGAAGAGATGGAATCCGAAGGAGAGCCTTTTGAAGAGCTTTCATTTGAAGATGAAGCTGAATTTGAAGATGAATCAGAAGATTCTGAAGATTTTGAGATAGCCTTTAAAGCTGCAGCATGTAAGGCTGCAGCGGCAGCAGCAGCATTAGGACTGTGAGAACATGGAGTTCTTGGAGCTCTTGGAGCAGCAGCAGCAGCAGTTAAGATTTTATTTTTCTTATTAGATAAATAAGACATTGATTTAGATCTTTTATTATTTTTTTTCAAATGTTCGATATAAAAATCGCTATCATCTTCATCATCATTAAAAACTTCAAAATCTTCAAAATCTAAATCAGAATCAACTTGATTTTTTTTGTTCGAGTGTGATAATGTAGAATTAAAATTGTCATTGAAATCATTATTATCATCAGTTAAAGAATCTTTGGATGAATCATTCAAAGAAGCTGTAACTGGTGCTGAAGAATATGGTACAAATAAATTAGATTTATCCAATGGATTTTCTAAAAAAGTATGTTTAGTAACTCCTAAATCAAACATAGTTTGTCTTCTTGGTTTTGATAAACTAGCTTGTTTAGTAGCTTCTAAATAATCATTTGATTGTAAACGGGAATTTTTTAAATTTTGAGATTTAATTTGTTGATTTTTATTCAACTTTTTATTATTTGGATCATTTGATTGAATTGGTTCAAGATTTAAAGAATCTTTAGAATTATTCAAAGGTTTTGAAAATGGTGAAGATTCATCATTTGAAATAAATTCTTGATTTTTTTTGGAATCCTGATCAAAAGAATCTAAATTATCTTGATAATCTAAATTTTGATCCTTATTTTGTTCTTGTAATTTTTCACGTTCTTCTTTTTCTTTCTTTTGTTTTTCCATAATAATTTTTACATGAAGATGGAAATCTGGAGCTAAAAGACCACGATAAACATAAACCATTCTTTTTGGAGAAGCATCGGCCCAATCTCTTGATAAAGCATATTTTAAATTAGAATCACCTTTTTCAACTCTTTTAACATAAGCATTTAATTTAGCACTGACCAAATTTGAAGTTTTAGTTGATAAATTAGCCATTTGAGGATGTTGTTCAATTAAAACATCACAAATTTGTTTAACAGTCATACCAAGTCCATCAGGATCCTTTTCATATAAAATAACAAAAATTGCGTACAATACATCATCTTCTAAAGAAGGATCACCAGTAGCATCCGGTTTTGGTTTTTCACCAGTGACCGGAATTGTAGTTGATATACCAGTGGCAATTGGGGCTCTTGAAGTATTTTTTTGCTTTTTTTCTTTTGATTTAATTGGAGAAATATCTAAAGGAGTTGAACTTTTTGAAGTGACACTGCTTAAATTTTTTTTAGGACTAAATTCATGATCTTGATTAACTAAAGAATCAGGAGAAATACTTCTTGAAGTTGTTGGAGATAATTCAATTGGACTTAAACTTTTTTCAGGAGTTAATGGTTTGATATCATTCTCGGAATTTTTACCCTTTAAATTATTAATGGTTGACTTAATACTCGAGGAATCATTTTGAGAATAATCTTGATCAATTGAATCTGATTCTAAATCTTTGGACGATTCATTTCTTGGAATTGAATTCAATTGAGTAGGATTAAATGAAGGTGAAGCCGGAGTTGAAGTAACTGGGAAACCAAGAGGTCTTCTATCTGCCAATGCCATTTTAAGGTTAATATTACTTTTTTCTTTTTAACCTTTAATATTAATTAGCAATTAATGAGATAGTGCATAAAAAAATTTTATGATTATTTCTTATAATGGATTAATAAATCCTTTCTTTCTTTGTTCAAATTGATTTAACCTTGTTTACTTTAAATATAATGATAATTAAATATTATATTTCAAAAGTAAAAAGAATAAAAAAATTATTGATTTCTTCTTTTTTAAAACTCTTTTGTTGTAGGAGCTTTCAATTAACCAAATAATTAAAAGTTCTTTAATTAATCAACCAAAACGAAGGAGTCGACTAAAATTAAAAAATAAATAAATAATACAGAAAGTAAATTTAATCAAAAAGTTACTTTCAACAAGAAAAGATTAAAAAAAAAAAAAGAAAACTAAAAAGGAATAAAACGAAAACGACAAAAAAAAAAGATGGAGCTAAATCTTGTATTAATATCTGATCTTGTAAATTGGTTTCTATTTGGCAATGCTTCGATGCATTGGTATCCGCTTCATGCATAGTTCTCTTGCAGCCATTCCCCGATACTTCACCCGTACACCGACTATGTCGTGCGACCCCAGCCACGACATTTGTCTCCGGCTGATTCATTCTGCTGGCATGGCGTGCGTCCACCGAAAAAGTGCAAAAAAAAATCTCCTGGAAAAAGCCCTAACCCTAACCGAAAACAGCAAGGATGCTAATTAAGCCGATGTTGCTAAAAAACCTGGAACATTATCCCATCACCTTTCATTACCAGTATCCGAGTATAGTCTGGAAACAAATCAACCGGATCCATTGCACGAGCATGTAGTAAATATCCTAAGGGCCATCACACAAAGAGAATTGGAATCTCATATAATCGGAGTAAGTTGAAAAAAAAAACATAAACCAAATAAAAGAATTTAAACAAGCATTACGTACATTATTCTTCTTCTTCCCAGGAACGATATATATGTATATATCAAGTCAAATACAATATATATCCTGGAGAAAGTTAGATCAAAACTATTTGAAAGTTAAGGAAGTTTTTAAATGAAAAAAAAAAAGGAAGAGAAGAGAAGTTTAAAATGATGTAGTTTTCTTTTTTTTTTTTTTTTTGTTTTCCCTTTCCTTGTACGATCTTACAAAATCAAAAAAAAAAATCAATTTGATGGAAACAAGAGAGACAAAACAAAAAAAAAAAAAGGAGTTCTTTATTAGTGTAAGTTTAATTTTGTGAGTGTTTTAGTTAATTAATTGATGAGAAGAGATAATCAGATATGGTGCCAGCACTACCACCAAGACCTACTAAGTCCACAAAGGTGTATATACGTCTGGTGATCGAGAGTGCTGGTGTGGTCTGCTTCCATGACCTGAGAGCCATCAGAATGGCATCGTAGTGCCATCAGAGTATGAATGATGGACCCATAACGACAACCAGAAAGTTGCAACTGGAGAACGAAAACTCCGGTTTCGCAGTTTTTCAGCCGGTCAATCTCAACTACATTCCGTCATGGGGTTTTACATTGGCCCAATACTCCCCTATCATCAATTTATCGATTGCTATCTAATCAAATATCCACGTTGATTTCACAAATTGTTTTTGAGTAAGAATGTAAGTCTACCCTACAAGCAACTTGCCGTATATCTGTTTTTACGATGTGTCATTGGTCAATAGGATTAATTGATGTGGCACAGGCTTACACAATGCAGTAATTAAATATGCTTATCTATGAAGAATTAGTGAAAAATTATTGTGAAAAAAAAAAAACTTCAAGAGGAAAAGATAGTCGTGCGCGTTGCTGCAAAATTAAATCGAACAATTGACCCTTCGCGGGGAAAGTTTCTTGACCTTTTTTTTTTTTTTTTTCACAGCCATTTTTCTAGTAGCGATCACGTGCAAGTGTTCCAGTCACGTGCGGGGTGTTAGGGCTTTGTAATTTTCGGTTCGCGAGTATGGGGAACAACCCCGAGGAACACCCTGCGTCGGCACCTCCGTATATTAGCTAATTGGCTTGTATAGTATTGATTGGCTTGTATAGTATTGATTGGCTTGTATAGTATTGATTGGCTTGTACTGAATGGCTTTGATCTAATACTAGTAGTTGGGTAGCGGTCTAGAAGACCCTTAGGCACTAGCGGGATACGAGTTGAAATGGGCAGAGAATAGGAGAATGCAAAAGGAAAAATGTCGTGCTTATAAAATTAGCAGCTAACTTCTGCCTTTAACTAAATTTCAAAATGGTAATTGTCCTGATACAGAACCCTCTATTATCTGTATTTAGGGTGATTCGAGGTGATTGTGAGTTTAAGTATTAAGTCTTGCGTATCAATTGTACCTTAATTGGTGGGTTGATGATTCATCTTTTCAGGGATTGCTACTACGGGCCTTGCACGTTAACCGTTAACCGTTATTTGCTTTAATATATCATTCTTTGGGTTTCGTAGAATGGTCAACTTGGTGGGGGTTCGACTCGAGGCAGGTATTTGCATCAACGTTCGAGCTTACCCATGCAGCATGGAATGTGAGTTAGTCCGCGTTAGTCTTCGTGCTTTAAAAGAGAATTAAATTGAAGCCATTCAATTATTCGTTTTTACGGGTTATTTCAGTCGTTTCTTTTGGTGTATATATCTACTCTTTGGGTATGAGGTTGTAATGCATTCAGTCTGGAATAATATATAAATAATTTTTTTTTTGCTATTTTAGGTCCAACTAAAGTTGTACAATACCCTTCTTGAGGTGTTCAATTGATGCCTTATTTGCATCAAAGTCTTCTTGCCAATACGTATCCTTATAAGGAGTGTGGAAGAAAAATTCGGTTGGTGGGATAAACCAGTAATTAATGGCAATATGCGTGGGGTTTAACTCGTCTTGAGCAAAACTGCTAACTTCGTGAAACCAGCCAGTTGGTAAATAAAGTTGTTCACCAGGTTTCAACCAAACTTGTAATTTATTCAAATCTAGAAAACCAGGAAAATACTCATTAGCAAAATTAGTTAATTTTTCAATATGACTTGAATCTTTTAATTCATCTAAATGTAATAATAATGGAGGTATTTTAGAAAAACTTGGAGGATCACCCTTGGTTGGTTTGGACAAGCATTGTGCTTTATCCTTTTCAATAATCTCTAATATTTGGTCTTCGGTCCAGGTACTAAAATCACTATTTGCAATTTTCCATTCAGCAATATTAATCAACATTGCACCATCATCTCTAATATGTTTCCAATTTTTGGAGAATTCACTAATTTCATAATCAATTAATCCATTTTGGAAAATTTTGTAAATTTCCCCCACTGTAAATAACTTTAAAGTGTCATTGGGTGAATATAACGTAAATCTTTTAGTACCTTGAATCAAAATATATAAATTATCAGCGTGATCATGATGTAAACCTGAAGAAGTACCATTACCAGGAATTCTTTTACCGATCTCGTCTAAACTCAAGTTATCAAAATCCATGTCTTCGATTGAACCCCCTGTGTTCTTACCATTACCCATCCATAAATTAATTTGTTGAGGGATTAAACTAGATAAAAATTGGGGGACTAACGGGAAGTTTTCGTCTTTGTATAAGTTTGTTAATGGTGGTTGTAGTAGTTCCTTAACTCTTGATTGGATATCGGCATAAGAAAGTTGATGTTTTTCATCAATTAGTGAATCATCGCAATCATCAAAGTCATCTCGGAGGTTATTCATATCAATTGAACCAATGGATGAAGTATCCGAAAATGCAGTTCCTTCTTCCTCCTCCTCTTCTTCATCTTCATCTTCATCATCTTCATCATCTTCTTCTTCTTCTTCTTCTTCATCATCTTCTTCTTCTCCTTCTTCATCTTCTTCTTCTCCTTCTTGATCTTCTTCTTCCTCAGGCTCCTCCTGGTTATACTGAGTAGTCAAGTAATAAGAATCGTCACCATTTTCAAAAATGCTCAAAATTTCATCAAAAGTTTTCAACTCCCTTTGTAAACCCGAACCAAACCCATTATTGAATTTTTTCTCGATTTGCAACTTATCTTGATACTGCAATTTCTCCTTTAACTTATCAAACTTAAATTCGTCAATATTAATTGGACATTGACTTTTAATTTTAGCTGGTTTTCGCAATTTAATAAAATTATTGAAAAACCATTCATCATGATTTTCAGGAAATTTTTCAATTACATCAATGTCTGTATGGTTATTCGGCACCGTATAACCTTTGTACTCATTGACTAAATGTTTTTGCCTTTTTGCATTGGTCATTTTATCAAGTTTAGTCGAAAATTAATGCATTGTAAGTCTGTTTAGTTAGCCAGTAAAAATTTTCATGAACTAATTTTCTCACCCCAGCACGAGCCGTTTTGATAAAACCCCAGCAAACCACCATCATAATGTAATCAGCATAGCAATTTTAAATTAATACATTGAACAGACCATTGATGGTTGAATAACTTGAGATTATCGTTACTAAACAATTATCTACCACTAATTAATAAACAAAACAATCATTTAAACTTTCAGACTAAAATAACTTAATTGGAACAGAATTTGCCATTATGAAATGGACAAGAATAAAATTGTAAATAAAAACATCAATATCATAAGACATCCAACATTGTCAATACTTTAAATTGGAGACTATTCGGTAAATAACTGTGTTTATTTATTGGCATATATTCAAATTAATAATTTCATAAATATAACTATATATGGAGATACTTAACGGTGCAACATATTTGGACTCAAAACTAACCCATCGTACAGATATAGATGCACTTATGTTTATAAATGGGGTATTGTTAGATGCTGTAGTCAACACGACATTGTTATATCATTGGGAAGAACCCCCTTTCCATGGTGTGCGGAATAAGACATCGTATCAGTACAACTGGTCTGGATTCACCTTATTATAACTATAACCGATAACGTTGATTCTCATTTCTTCCCTGCTTATTCTCTCTATCCTTTTCCCAAGGGTAGCGGGACCCCGTATTCCTAAGGGTATAAAGGTGTTGCAACACCTTTTTTTTTTGTGCGGGTGCACGTCGTTGCAATTATTCCGAATTGGTAAATTGCAAAGTTAGTCCAATGGGACTCCACTGAGCCTTGAGGCTTTATGGTCTGCCATTGAGCTTCTGCTAGGCTTTACCTGTGGTCCAGCACGCCAAATGTGCTTACAGTCAGCTAACTGGATTTTCTTGCTTCGGCCAATTTACTGTTAGTACCACTAATTTAGTAGTAGCTAGTAAATTACAAACTGGCCAATGTAAGTGAATTGTAAACTACAAATGAAAAATGATACTATAATGCAGGTATGAATATACAACCATGTCAGAGACGTAGAACTAAAGCACGGGAGAGGTAATTACTTATCTATAATGCAAAATATTGACCAAGAATCAATATAAGAAAATTGAATCCGAAGGATTATTATTTTTCACTCTTTTATTTGAATGTAAATCATCAAAGGATCTTTTTCTTGAAGTAAAATAAGTTTTATCAGAATCATCCGGAGGAGATAATTTCGGAGAAGGTAAAATTTGATTTGAATAAGGAGTAAAATTATGAATAGGTAAAATTTTATGATCAGTAGAAGATAAAGGACTAATATTATTGGAGGTTGGAGTAGTTGGATAAAATTTAGGAGTAGTAGTACCAGAAGAAGTATAATTTTTAGTTGAGCAAACAAGTTTTGAATTTAAATTATCATTAGTGAATAAAATTAATTTTTTCATCAAGTTAATATATTTACCATCATCATTAAAATATTTTAACTTAAGAGAAGGAGGAGGACATTTTAATATTTTTATTAATAAGTTGAAACACTGACTAAAAGAATTAGTATTCAATATTTCTTGATTTAAAATTTTGTCAAACTTGGAAAATAAATTTGATAAATTAGGTTTAATATTTAAAATTTTTAAACTTGTAATGAAACTTGTTAATGCAATTTGAGAAGAATTATAATTAAAATAGATATTTGGATAAAATTGGATTAATTCACAAATATAAATTGAAATTCTATTAATATCATCAATTTGAGAGTTTAAAAGACCAGCTAAAACTCCATTATATTCATAATTAATGAAAAATTCAATAAAAGAATCAAATGTAGGACAAGTAATTAACCAATTTAATGATTTTAAAACATGATTTTCCATTTCTAAAAATAATTTTTTATCATAACAATTACAACACATTTTACATAAATCATTTAATGATGGTATTTTAAATTTTGAATCCAAATTTTTACAACTAATCCATAAACTAGTTAACCCTAATAATTGATAATGTTGTTTCTTAACTATTCTTATTGAACAATATCTATCAATTAAATTAACTGTTAATGGGAATGTTGATTTAGATAAATTTAATTTATTAATAACATCCATTAAAAAATCTAATAGTAATGGTCTCATTCTTAAATTAATTTCTGGTTGTTGTTGGATTAATGATAAGTTTGGTTGGGTACTAGGTTCCATACCTAATAAATGTTCAATCATTTCTTCTTTATATTCGTCAATTGATTGTTCATGAGATTTCCTTTCCATTTGAATCAATTCTTTCTTAATCGACCTAATTGTCGATTGATTCATTCTTGTTTGGTGAAATTGATCAGGCGAATTAATCATCATGCAATTAAGTATATATATCTACCTATATATACTCTGGATTATATTTCAATATATGAAATAAATGCAAAAAAAAAAAAAAAAAAAAAAAAAGAACGATGTCTATACTAAATGTATAAAATGCAAAAGATTCAACCAAATCAAAAGAACACAGTTAATAAAATAACGTGAACCAACGATAATTCAACTAAGTAACTACAAATCCCAATTCAAATTGGAAGAAATCTTGATATATTTATAAAACAACTTTTTCCTGTTTGTTCATTTTCCAGTTTTAACCCAAAAGTGAAAATGATGAAAAAGTTTTGTTAGGATAAAAAAGAAAGCGCTTAACCTGCAAAACTCCAAAGTAACAAACAAATGAACAGAAAAAAGAAACCAGGACAATGCACCTTGTTGAGTACCTGTCCTATCCGCAGATGTACACCCCATGCATATACTTCATGCACTTCAAACAGGAAAAACTCAAACCTTCAATCTCGAGACCTTTGCAAAATCAGGAACGCGACATTTACTCCTGGTTTGAGGTTCAGGGATTGGTCCTTTGTGTTTGATTGCTCAATCACCTTCTTTTGATGGTGAATTTTTGGCTGGGTTGGCGCACGACCAAAGTGCTGAAAATTTTTTTATATCGTTTCATCTTGTATGAACAGCGACCCTTTTGAGTTGTGATAGTATAAGACAGGTATGAGTGATACAATCGAGGCTAGACATAGGAAGGAGCAGAAGGATTTACAGTCAACCATCACTTCGTTGAAAAAACAGGCTACTAAGAAAACTAGAAAAAATGTTAATAATAAATGTCTTGATTTACAACGAGATTTGGATGAAAAACATAAAAAGGAATTAAATGAATTGAATGGGGTTAGCACTCAAGATGATTTTTCTCCCGAAAAGCTTTTGGCCCAATTAGAACTTGAAAAAACTGAACAACCGGAACAACCTGAACAGCCTGAAAAAACCGAACAAGCTAAAGAGGCTAAACCAAAACGTAACCGGGCTAAGGAAAAACTTGCTAAAAGAAAAGCAGAAATTGAAGCCATTCAAGCTCAAGCTAGGCTTGAGCTGGAAAATTCAATTGATTATAAAAAAATCGAACAAGACTCAATGAATCAAATTTTATCTTTACAAAACTTAAAAGTCTTTGATATTAGACCCGATGGTCATTGTTTATTTGCTTCAATCAAAGATCAACTCCATGAAAGACATCAACTTGATGTTTCAATCGATCAATTAAGATTAGATGCCGCCAAATATATGGAAGGTCATAAAGACGATTTCGAACCCTTTCTTTTTGACCCGGACACCATGCAACAACACAACCTAACCGAATATCTACAAGAATTAACCACTACCGCCATGTGGGGGTCTGATTTGGAGATAAAAGCTTTGGCCCACGTCTTTGACTGTCCCATTAAAGTGTTTGTTGCCGGTGCCTCTCCCATCCATTTCAATTCTGAAGCTTCTCTTCCGGAATTAAAATTAGGTTTCTACAAATACTCCTACGGCTTGGGTGAACATTATAATTCGTTGAGGGATATCTGATTTGCCCCATTGGGGTAAAACAACCAAAAGAAAAAATATCTATAGAAACACCTGGTTTACGGGTGTTATTTTCGGCGGATTTATCAAGGGTTTCTTCTCGCGTCAGATTTAGTGCCTTCTCAACGGCTACTGCGTGGTCGCTTAATTCTTGACACGCCGCTATTGTTGTTGTTCCTCGTAAATCCGCGCGGGTTTCTCAGACATGCGTTGTGATCTACAATAAAACCGACCGCGGGCTCGCAACCGATGCATTGACCCTGTCCTCACCACAGCCCTTGGTTCGGCTTATCTAATCGATCATATATTTATTCTTATATACTTATACTTATAGAATTGTATTAATAGATTTTTATTTTTCACTGAAGTGTTTTCACTTGTGTACTTTTCAATTGTGTGCTTTCCATGTAGTAGAATTCAGGTGGCGAGATTTCAGGTGGTGAGATTTCAAGGCGAAAACCCATTAGCGAGGCCCTTATTTTTCAGTTTCCCAGATAGCTCAACATGCCTTTATTGAAGGCGTATTGGTGGGGCCTCCTCGATTACCTGATCCAAACGGCCATGGTTGCCCATGGCTACTGGGTCGTTGGTCGTATTCCTCATTACAATGATTTCTTCATTGCTTGTGCAGAGTTACCGTATGGTTGTACAAATCCCAAATGGTAGCATAACCAACACCCGACTACAAAAACCAGACCACCAGAATAACACCATACCAGAAGCTGGTACCTTTCCATGCAAGAACACCCGTAGGTTCTCCGGTTTTCCAAGGGGTAGCACAAAAAAAAAGGCTCCCTGAAATGTCGCTCTTCGAGGCAGCCAGTTTTTCCTCGTAATATTCTTTGGTTGCTTCCTAAGCTATTGATAAAGAGCTTTGATACCGCCCCATGGATGATCGGTAAATCTGCTCGGTAAAACTGTAGAGAATCACCTACTTTCATAATTCCTTGAAATCATCTGTAGGGCATTGCCCTAAGCACCATAAAATCATTTTTTCTCCTATTTTGACCCATTTGAGAATTGTGAGAAGGTTTGAGGCAAGATTATCTAAGTAAATGAAAATTTCTGACGATTTCTACAGTTTTCAAGGTCTCCTTAAACACAAAAAGTAACCTCCTATTTGATTCTGCTCCAACCAGTATTTGAAATTTTCTAACCTCAAGACAAAAATAACATAATAGAATAAATGTTAGAGCCTTGAACAATGTAGGTGCATAGTTTAAAAGGTTCAATTTTATAAGGAATAAAACCCCCCATTACAACATCGTATGAGACTCGGTTTATATGGGAAAATATTCTTGATAGCCCTTGATGTTTCACAGTTATTTTTTTTGATGTTGGTCAATAGTACAAAACCAAATCTTTTATTAGGCTCCCAAGTTATACTGGAGTAATACATGAAACGGATTGTCAAACATAACACAAGTATTCGCTTAACAATAAAGGATTTTCCTTCTATCTGTTTATTTGGTTAGATAATTTTCGCCAACAACAACCGAATGTTTTACTACAAAAAAAGCACAATTCTCACTACAACATCTTTAGTGTTCTCCTATTCAGTAAGTTCAACGTATCATGTATCTGTGGGTGTACTGAGCTATAATCCTGGTGCATTAATTCAATTCAATTAAAAAGTGTAAAATTAGACGAATTTTTCACAAGTAAGGAAGCTTATTTTTTATTCCGTAGTTGTTAACCGATACTTCTACCTGATCATATCCCTTTGACGATATATATTGGCTAAAAGTCAGACATTTGATAAACAAGTTGGAAATTTCAGGAATCCTGAAAAGAAAGCTGGTGGGAAATGTCGCACCAAGACTTCTGGACTCAGTAAAATGTCAATTATCATAACTATATTCAAATTTAGGTTCAAGTTACGTCTAAAGCTCGGAGGTGCACCAATGCTTTGTAGAATTGGTTGTACTTGGTGAGTAGTCAAGTAGCTTAAATAAACTTGAATCGGAGATTCTTCACTGTTTGGGAAAAGAGCCTCGCCGTATCTCAATCACTGACGAACTGAGAACAACCCTTCACCAGATTTTTGTTTTGTCCTTTTGCCTTTTTCCAGTAATCTTCTGTTGCGCCTCCTTACTTACTAGCACCAGTAATCAATGCTAAACTATTCGGTTGAAAATGATTACATTAGTATATTTGATTCCGAAGTTTTTAATTGTACAAAATGTTGCTCCACTCAACCTTTGATTGTTGCATACAATTCATGTACTGTTCATTCCTTCGGTACAGTTATGGTTGATAATTAATGTAATTACATTGTAGTGTTGTATTGCTATTTTCCAGGTTTTATCTACAATTGTTTCCTCTTTTGTTTCCGTTGTTTTATATCCCGTATTACTTGACGATGATTGTAACATAAAAGACTAAAAGGTGTATTTCTTTACTGTTTTAATTCAAATCACAAAAATCACCCAATTCTTTACCTACAGTGAACAACTCCGTCATATACCTACGCTGGGTAAAGCTTTGTCTATCAATAGGGTTCCATTGACTCATTGATATAATGATTCACGATTTTCATTATATAAATTTGTTTTTTGTTTTGTTTTGTATTACCAAAAATTTGCGAGATAGTTGCTAGCACGTATGAAACACAGACCTTTTACATGTCTCAGTCCAATACTTCAGCAGTCCTAAAACGATTCTGTAAAATAAAAGTGCAATAGGCACTCACCATATTCACCATATTGCAACATTTGATCAATCTTGATCAAACGCTCATCGCTCAACGCTTAACAATCGAGAGAGGGGTCAATTTTTTTTTTTTCACTCCGAGGGGTTGATTCTCAATGGGAAACTCTATTTAGTATAATTATAACTCAATAAGTATTACTATGGCCCATTATCTGGTATTCCGTTTCCCAAAATAGCGGTTTCTTCACTTTAAGAAGGAGGATGGTGCACTAAATCAATTGTTTGAACTGAAACCAGCCTCATTGGAAGGAGTGCTTCTATGAGCATGAGCTCCTTCGCTTTACATTATCTTCCCATCGTCTAATTTTGCACCTGGTACGACTCTCTATATTCCGCTTTTACGTTTCAAAGGTTTGAAACGTTTCAACCTTTTGTGGTGAACGACATTTGTCTGTTTGGTGTCCAGTCCTTTGCGGGTTTGGTTTACAGTTTAAATTTGTGGTTCCAGAAAAGGTTTCCCTTTCCAGGTTTTTTGCACTTTTGATGTTTTGTTTTTTTTTGCAGTTTTTTTTTTGTTTGTCAGTCTACAACTACCACTACAATTTTTTGTGTTGGTTCGGCTAGAATAATCCTCAAGCTACAATGAGAGGGTCGGGGGACGAGAACGGGAGGACGGAGTGTAGAAGGAGATAGCTGGATCGATGATTCGTCGGGGATACTATTAGCGCATTTAAAACCAGGACTACTTGCTAGCAGGAAGTCAAGGTAACCTAGTGAACTTATAACTAGTATATGTAAAGATATTTATGTAGGAAAGATATATCAGCTCATCTCGCTAACATCCAATCAATTTGATCCGAATTGGCAAAGGTAATGCTCAATTATTACACAACTACTGATTTTGTTCTTCGTAGTTGCTTAGTGTTTGGCTAAATATGTAGATATAATTAACCTGGCCTATTCCAACGGTTACCGGATTGTACTACCCCAGGATTCTTGATACTCGCAATTCACACATTTACTGATCTGAACCTCATCTCCTTTGCAATGGAGTAACAAAACGTTGAAAATTTTTAGCTCTTCTAACAAAAAAGAAAAAAAAAACATATAACAAAAAAAGCGGTTGCTCACAAAAAAAAAAATTCTCCGTAGTAACTTGATCAACACAATATTTGAGAGGTTTGTAGTTAGCGTATTCACATATAACAAGTTGTCAATGCCAAATTATTCGGATTTGAGAAAGTTGGCTATATAAATGCAACCACATACCCATTTGTATCGATTCCTTTCTTTTTTGTTTGCCTTTACTTTTCTAAAAATATTGAAAACTAGGAATATTTGATCTCATGATCCTTCATTTTTTGTTACTGATGCCGTGATAGTTAGCTTTGTATTTAGTCCGTATATTACTTCCGTATATTACTTATATTACTTACATACTACTAGCTGTTACTTTTTGTAACTTGCCATCTCATCGGGTCATCCGATCACTTAATGTATAAGCTGGTCATGTTGTGCTATATAAAGTATTGTTTGTCGTCATGGTATGAAAATTTTTTTTTCAGTTGGTCGTCTCTGAAAAGAAACCTGATAACAATTGAATGGTACTCGACTGGTTGAATAAGCGAAATATTACAATGCTCTTATATGTAAGAAGATACCAGTTTTTGGTTGGATTGAAGACGGCAAATTAATACGTTATAAGCTGTAAGAAATAATTATCAAGAATTCAAATCCTCACATCCAAGAGGTGTTTCCTTAAAGCCATAGTCTCTTTACGGTATTTGGTGATTACCTCATAAAAATATCTTCATGTTATATTTTACTACTTTTATACCATTAGTATAAGCATTAACTAACAACTACACCCGCCTCTTTACTATCACATGGAAAGAAAGTATTATTGGTCCACAGGAGGAGAATCACCTGGTAAAGACTCGTTGATAAGGCTTTTATTCTCCATCATCGAATAAAACTTGACTGGGAACACATGGTAACTGTCATTATTTTCAACGATTGGTTTGATAATTCAATTGTCTTTGTAATTACGATATTACTTACCTCTTTCGACATGTACACCCCCGGTTCAATTTGAATAAAATAACTAAAAAAAAAATATCACCGTCCAAAAGATAATTCTTTTCTGATGAAATTTGAATATTTTTTCTCTTCAACTACTTCATTCTAGTAATAAAATTAAACCGAAATGTAATGGCCATCCTCAAATATAAAGGCGAAACCATATTGATAAGACTGGATCGTACTTAAATGCCTGAATGTACGGTTGGGGCAAGCTTGTACCGTAAACTCTAGAACAAACCTGGGATTATACCACTCTGGCTCCTCGGAATGTATTTGACTGAATAGGTTGTCCTCATTACTTTTTAAGCTTGGTTATACCCCCAAACCAGGTCAACCTGTAGACTCTTGTTGCAAGCTGCAAAAAGGGAAATAGAAACCCCTGAAATTAATAGAAAATGGTGTCGTCCACCTTTAATTTCAAATTCGGCAGGCGTCGACCGGGTGAATGTCGGTGAATGTCGTGATACCTTCGTTTTCAAGAACGACATTCGATAATGATAAACTAAGCTTTAAACAAACCATACTCCATTCATGCTGGCGGCTCGAGCTTCAAGGGGCTGACATGCAATCCCGTAAGCTTCCTTCTATTCTTCGTTTTCTTTAAGGATGGGGCAAGTTTAACCAGGATTCTAAGTCTGGTCCTCATCGTCGTTAACTGATGTAGTAATCCCACCTGCTGTATATTATATTCATTGACAGGGAGCTCTATGACTTCCTTCTTTTGTTATCCAAACAATAGGGCAAGCTTATATTCAATTGAACAATAAGCTCATTTGTGCCCTTGAGATTATTGTCCTTTTAACAAAAATTAACTAATTCAAGTCAAATCTCTTCATTTTTTTTTTCGCTTAACAATACAAGGTACTTGAGCCCATACTGATTGGATCGAAAATTAATCCTATTTTCGAGTTTTCACTTAGTCAAAGCTTAATTTCAGGTTCCTGTTAGTTCTATATAGGTAAGATTGTTTCTTTCTAATCTTTGCTTATGCTTGCTATGTTTATCGCTTTATTCGATCTCACCACCTCTGTAATAATTAGATTCTCTCCTGTTTAGATTCTTCATATTTTGCTTGGTCTTGATTGTAAGTTGATTTCTTCTAGATCGACGCTCGATCAATTATCACACGATAACTGTTACGCAGTTCTTGGAGATTTTGGTCCTTGTTGCCAAAAGCTTATCTTTAACTATTCAAATTTTCAAATTTTTCACAACTTGTTTATTTTGTTGCAAACTCTTCTTAAAACAGGAAAATCAAACCAGTCAACTTATATCGACTTCAACACGGACTTATCCTAGCTCAACCATCGTTATGTAATGAGGCCACATTCTTCTAGAAATATTATTTCACCCAATTTCCATGGGGGTCATTGCTCCTGCTTTGTTGTTCCTTCGTAACAAGACTTAATGCTTTTGATGCAAAATTAGGCCCAAATAATTATTTAATGCAACATTAGGCAAAATTTCTGATCGTCCCTATTGGTACATTGGCTTCCTTATTGATGAGTTTTCTCTCTTCTCTTATTTCGCTTCGGGTATCGTTCTCTTTGGCAGGCTTCGCTGGGCTTTCTTCCTCCTCTACTCGGCTGAACCCCTGGCCTACTGGGCTTTATCTTTTCCTGGGTGTGCGGGTTTGAAGGCTGACGGTGTACGGGTTCGTCGGTGGGGATTCAAATTTTTTTGCTCCATCGCAGGGAACTCTACCACTCTTATCTATTTGCTATTTGTCTATCCATTCTTAGCAGAGGTATAGAAGAGATTCCAAGGTTCAAAATGGGTTGGTTTTGGGCTGAACAACATACTAGCAAACCCTTAAGAGGTTCTTCGGCTGCAGCATGTCCTATCGATCACACAAAATTATCCAAATCAAATTCAAATCAAGAGTCGTTGTGTCCGGTTAAACCAAACGTAGCTTCAGGTTCAGCTTCAGAATGTCCAGTTAAAGATGATATTGAAGTGTTGAACCCCTTGAATAATATGCCCATGGCCATATCATCAGAGAGAGCTCCAGGACAAAAAGTCGTTCTTTCAACTGAAAGAACCATTAGTTCAATTCCAAGAGGTGAGTCAGATGATCAAGGTTTATGGGAATATCCTTCACCTCAACAAATGTTAAATGCCATGTTAAGAAAGGGTAAAGGTGATGGTATTCCTGAAGATGCAGTTGAATCAATGGTTGAAGTTCATAATTTCTTAAATGAAGGTGCTTGGCAACAAATTTTAGAATGGGAAGATAAACATAGTCAATCAACGAGAGTTGAACCAAGATTATTACAGTTTACTGGTAAGCCTCATGAATTATCTCCAAGAGCAAGAATGTATCTTTGGTTAGGTAAATATTTCCCAGAAACTTTTAATACTCAACCTCCTTTTGATAGACATGATTGGACTGTTTTAAGATCTTTAGGTAAAAATAAAGGATGGAAACAAGTCAGATATATCATTGATTATTATGGTGCTCCAGATGATGAAGAAACAGGAATGCCTTCGTTCATGTTAGATACCAGACCGGCTTTGGACAATTTTGATAATGCTTTTGATAGATTTGAACATTGGTCTGTTCCATTATGGAAAAAGGCAATGGGTGAAGTTAGTTCATCTGAAAACTAATTCATTTCTTTGCTCCATTTTCTTGTTTGATTTTCATTACGATTCCCCATTTTTGCATTTGTTCTTCTTATATATATATGTATGTAATCAAATTCTTTAGTTAATTATTCTTCTCTTCTTTAACCTGTCTTTTTGTTTGTATATAGTATTTATTTATTCATTAAAATTTAATTTTGTTGTAAGTTTACAAGAATATGTATTTGTATTATGTACAAGTCAAATTTTTTATTTACTATTAAAAGGCTTATTCTCTTCTGTTTAATAAACTTTCGTCAATCTTATAATCTCCTTTTAGTCTTGATAATAATTTTGGTAAATCTTTACCCAAATCATTTAATCCAACTGCAGAAATTTCATCAATAAAATGTTGAATCATTGTTGAATCATTTTTTTGCATGTAGTGCCAAAGTAAGTAATATAAAGTGAACTTATTTGGTTTGATATTTGGGTTAATTTGAGTTTGTTCTTTGAGTCTTTGGTAATATTGCAAAGCTAAAGTATCATCTCTATTTAATAAACCAACAATAATATTATTCCAGGTTCTCGTAGTGTTATGAGATTTAATTAATCTGTCAAATAAAATTTCACCTTTACCAATTATACCATGGGTAATTTCGGCTCTAACTAAAGAAGTTAAGATATGAGGATTTTCACGAAGACGTTTTGATTTTTCACTGGCAAATGCATAAACTTGTCTGGCAGTTTCCAATTTAAGACCATCTCTTGATAATCCATCGACTAATGCTGCTAATGAAATTTCATTGTCAAGGAAATCAGAATCAATTCCAATTTCTTTGAATAAAACATCAATATCAGGAACTAATCCTCTTTTACGGTAAGATTTGAAGTAATAATCAAGTAAAGTAGTATAGGTAGCAATATCTTGAGCGACATCGTTCGTTCTCATATATGACATGATATTTTCAACCGCTTTGAGATCATCTTTCTTAGCATAGACGCTTATAAACGAATTCATAACAGTACTTGAAGGTTTATAATTAGATCCATCTCTATCAAATTCTAAGAATTTTTCTTCGGCTAAATTAAGTTTACCATTTAAGATTAATGCATTAATAATACCATTTTTAGCTGCTTGGATAACGGGAACATCTTTATATTGTTCCAAGAGTTCATCAACTTTATCAAACTTATTGAAGTTGGCATAACCATTTATAATAGTACATAAACCTTTTGCATCAACTCGGTATCCTTTTTTCAAAGCAGTGTTCAAAGTTGATTCGAAATTATTATAAATGTCCTTTCTTTTAGCATCGTTAAATCTGCTTAAATTATTCATATGACTCATTGATCTTAAAACAACATCCCAGGTAGCTTGACTTGGGTTTTCAACACCATTTGAGATTAAATCTTGGAAAAGTCTAAAAACATCGTCAAATGAATAATTAGTATAGAAACCATTCATAATATTACTGATGGTTAATTCAGTTATTGGGATATTATTCGATACTGATGCATTTTTAACTTGAGAATAAAGATTTCTCAAATTAGTATTGTCTTTTCTATAAACAAAAGTTTTCAATTGGCTTAAAACATAAGGACCATTTGGATCAAGAGATTTTAAATTTAAATCATCCAAGTTTTTCTTAAAGACTTGAATATCTGCTTCTAATGAATCAGTTAATTTATACTTGGATAAAGCAGCTTGAACATCATAAATACTTGATAATTCCTCAGTTTGTAAAAGTTTTTTAGCAACTTGAGAATCATATTCAGCGTTTGCTTTCAAACACGACATGATATATGAGAAATAAACCAAATGTTTAATGTTATCCTTAAAATAACGTTCTAAAAACATAAAATGATAAACTTTTTCATTTAATTGATGACCTAATTCCGAAGAATATTCGATATATTTAACCCATATTCTTAAAACATCACCATATGCTTGAACCATTAATTCTGGCGATTCAACATTTTTCAAAGTGTAAGCAATGATTTCGGTGAAATGTTTTCCATGAGCCACTTTATACTGAATTAAGGTATCTAAAAGGTCTTCTAAAGATTTATTTGAATCATTTGGTGAAATTTCTGAAGCTTTAACGAAAAGTTTGGAAATAACTGGTTGGAAACTAGAATAAAGAGAACCCTCTTCAATACCTTCCACTGCTTGGATTTCTCTTAAATAACTAAGACCTTCTTCCAATATTTCAATAGCAGGAATAACATCATTTGAAGTTGAAATTGAATCAACAGTTGCAAAGATTTGAGAAACAATCTCTCTTAATTTTCGATTACTTGGCTTATAAGGTCCTCTGTTGTTTTTAGAATTCTTACTTCTATCACCTTTAATCTTTGAAGGAACTACTTTTGGCGCTTCAGTAGTGCTTTTAGTTTCCGTATCAATACTAGTTGATTGAAAACGAGTTGCAGTTCTCAAAACCGGAACAGCCAGGATCCTGGCCAACTGGGATGTTCTGGCCAATCCCTTGACTGCTTGAGACTGTCTTAAAGGAATCATAATGTTTACCCTATTCTTAATCTTTGAAACCTATATAAAAGAAATCACTTAACGTCGAAGCTGAAAATTTTTGAATTGAGATTCCTCAGCGAAAAAGTGAAAATTTTATCCAACGACTCACAAGTCTTAAGACCGTTGATTCTAAGACTACAGGTAATCCCTAGGACCTTGTAATATTGGTTCTGCTTTGAATCTTAGTCATACGACCTTGTAACTACAATACTTTACTACAATTAATAAGTTCAAGAAAATGCATGTATTAATAACTACTCAATCGAAAACAAGTTTGAATTCTAAATTCGGTTAGTAAAAATCCTTAACAAATAGTTCAACCACCAATGCGATATAGTTCAGATATCTTAAACCTTCTTATCATGAAACAAAAATTATCAATTGAGCTGGGTTTATTACGGAGTCCTCTTGGACTCATTATCATCATTATAATCTATAGCTGAATGAACATAAACAAGTACATACTGTAAACATATTGGCATAGTCAGAATTACACCATCTCCTGTGATCTTCCTCCAAGTTACGAAAGCACCTCCAAACCGTTAGAAGCTTCTCTTTTGAAGTAATTGATGAAGAGAAGAAGTGAAAATTTTGAAAAAGTGAAAAAAAAAAATTATAAGCTCATTAAAAGCGACAAAAAAAATATGTGTGCGTACCGGATTTGTTTGTGGGTTTTTCGATTAGGGCTTTATCAAAGCAAGACTTCGTGAAGTTAGCACCAGTTGTTAGTGTTGCTTATTATCTAAAACCAGGGAAGAGCTGCCAGTGTTGCAGCCTGTATTGTATACTTTAACAAGATAAGAGAGTCAGTGGACGGGTGTGTGTGCAGGACGGGTACCATTCCATTCACTCGTGACGAATATAAAGATAAGCAAAAACCAGCAAGAGGTGTATAAAGCCAGAAAGGAATAGATATTTAAGACATGGAGCTAGATCCGGTGAACGTGAACGATCCGGTGAATGTGAACGATCCGAACTCCAAGTACGGGATCGGCCAGGAACGAAGCACGGTCGATACAAGTGCTGTCAAGTCCAATTTGAATACCGTTGCGTCTTCTTCCAGTAGAGATGCACTTTCGTTTTTCAATTACCACGAGTTCTTGGTGAACGACTATAATCTGATTCTGGGGTCCCGCTCGTCGCTCTTGTCGTCGTCGACGTCCCCTGTCGATGCTCAGACCACCAAACATCGAACAAAAGCCATAGTGATCAACCATTTCCCCAATAACCATGTTGCTACGTCTTCTGCCACTTATAAGTCTACGAGAGTGATACGAATCCCACGGGAGTTCCACAGCCACGAGCTCGGATACATGATCCCCCAATTCTCCACCTATTGGCCCGGTCAGGAACCGGCTGCACTATTAGACCAAAGTCAAGACCCATACGAATTCCACCCCGTAGGAGAATTCGATGACCATAGTCTCTTCGGGGCTACATCGATAACCCCATTGGAGGCCGGGCTAATCACTCCTCAAGAGTTTAATACCATTATCACAAAGATTAATCATTTGTTATTACAAGCATTCAACCCTTTCAGTCTTGCCAATCTCTTGGAAAATTTTCTCGACCTTATAACCGGCACATTTTACTCCAGGATATTCAGCAGATATGTCCTACGAAACTACTCCCAGAGAAAGCTCTTGGAGTTGGAAACTTACTTGGACGTAGACGTGAATCAAAACTTATTCAACGCATCTGATCGAGATATCAAATTCATTTCTCCCAGAAGATGCGGTTACCTCTCGGTATGTATACCCCCATTTTTTTGCGTAATCTAGAATTCTTACTAACTGCGTTAGCTCGATATCCAAATCCCAAAGCCGTCCATCAGCAGAAAGAGCTGATGATCAAGCTTATCTGTCTGGAGATGCCATTAGTACCCGTACTGCACATACGAGAATTTTTTTATTTTCAATTTTTTTTTTTTTTTTTTAGTGTTTTTCATTTTTTTGTATGGATGTATATATCAAATTGAAAAGTTTTTCTCTTCCCTTATATCGTCGTATCTCCATTTAATAGTGTATGTCAAGGTTGTTCAGATACATTTCAAAGAGTATGAACGGGGTATTTGCATTTGAAAAACCTAGTGGTGTCACATCCAATAATTGTATATTGGATCTTCAAAGACTTTTCACAGAATCCGATGTTTTTGCTGAAGATCTACGCAAGGCTAAAGAAACTACTTATGCCAATTATGCTACCGATAAGAGGAATTCTGAGAAATTTATTCAGAAAAAAGTTAGTAAAGTTAAGATTAAAGTTGGACACGGTGGGACTTTAGACCCTCTTGCTAAAGGAGTTATAGTGGTTGGAATTGGATCCGGGACTAAAAAATTACAACATTATTTAACAGAATGTCGTAAGACTTACGAAACCAAGGCATTACTTGGAATTTCAACAACAACTGGTGATCAAGAGGGTGAGGTGCTAACCCAGAATCCAATTGAACATATTACCAAGGATCAAGTTACGGCCACTGCGCCTAAATTCATCGGAGATATCAAACAGACTCCTCCAATTTTTAGTGCATTGAAAATGAATGGTAAGCCTTTATATGACTATGCCAGAGAAGGGAAACCATTACCTAAGCCAATCAAGGCAAGAGAAGTGAAGGTCTTTGATATCAAAGTATTCGAAGAAGATTCTCTTAGTACCGATCATGCTTTTGCCAAGCTTGAAAGTAAAGTGGATGAAAATGGAGAACCAATAGAACACTTGTTGGCAAATAATCCTACTTTGAATGATAGTCCATTATATTACTCCGAGCAATATTTGTCTGATCCAAATATTCCTGAAGATGCAAAAAAAACTATTAAACCCCAGCCATTACCTACAGATACAAAACTTCCAGATCAATTACCAATGATCCATCTTAGCTGTGATGTCTCTTCGGGTACTTACATCAGAAGTCTTTTGAATGATTATGGAAGAGCAATGGGCTCATCGGCTTACATGGTGGAATTGATCAGAACCAAACAAGCAGAATGGGAATTGGGTAAAAACGTTTTCAAAACCTCTGATTTTTTTGAAAAAGACGAAAGAATATGGGGGCCGGTCTTGAAAAAAGTTCTTGATGGAGGTTCTGACATTGATTTAGACCATGAATTCGCCGTTCTTTCTGAACAAGTATTACCATTGATTGAAAAGGAAAAGCTTCTCAATGAACAAAGTGAACTGCCTGACCATAATGAACAGGAGAAACCGGATTCAAAGAAAAGATCTAAACACGATGAAGACTCCGATGTTCCTACTAAAAAGTAATGCTCTATAGATTTTTGTATAGTAAATAGATAAAGTCCTGCATACCTTTTTTTTCAGTATAAAGATTTTTTTTTTTTTTTTCGTCTTTTTCATCAATTCAACTTCCAGTCTTAAATCCCCCAACAATGATTAGAAGCAGCTGGTTGGGTATTGGTAGACGGTTGAGTACTCTGGCACGAGCAAATGCGTTCTACACCAAAACCACATTAAACCCACAGCAAGTGAGTCTAACACCCCCATCGCAATTAAGTCCCAAATCATTGATTGTATTATCGACCCCAACTCAGCTAAATGAAGTGATTGGAAGAAGCATTGATTTGCATCAAGAACATGATCTCCAAGTAGTGGTGGCAGGTGTAGACAGTGTTGTGCCTCACAGTCATCGAAATGGGATATCAGAGTTATGGTTGGACGAACCAATTAAAATTGAAGAGTCAACTCAATTAGAAGAAAAGGACAGAAAACATGAACATCCAAAACAAAGTGACGGAATACATATAGTGACGGCTAAGGAAAATTGGAAAACCATTGACTCCAACTTTGATATAACCCTCAATCTGAAAAATAAGGTCAGACTATCTTTGGCAAACACTGTTTTCCAAACCCATCATTTGGTTACGCTATTTTATTTCCAACCTTCGTACATACAAGAATCTCATAACAATTCCGGACAAACATTGAGCGATTTGGCCATTTCATTACCTGAATCCACTATAAACTTTGGCAAAGCTCAATCATTTGATAAATGGACCCCGTTGTACGACTCCGAAAGCGAACCATTACTAATTCTGAAATGTACCGGGAACTTAGTGAAAGAGATTAACAGGAAACCTGCAGCCAAGTTTCTTGAAAACAACGATAAACTTATGAACATTGGGTCTAAAGACACTCAGGTTTTCGTTAAATTATACAAACCTAATCAAGAGTTACCACAGAAGTTCGAAGTCATTGCCGGCGGTGGTGGTTGGGGTGCTAAGGCTAACATGCTTGCTATTTCCCCAGAAGCAAAACTCAGTATTGGAGATCGGATTGAGTTCTTCATGCTAACTCCTGAGGATCGTTTCAATCCCAATCCAGAACTCGATACAACGCTTCAAAATGGCTTCGTGTTTGAATGTAGCTACGAAAATGTCACCTACAATGAGACTTTTGGCAATGATGGTGAAACCATTGAGATGCAAAATCTCTTTGGATGCGGCAGTGAAAAGGGATTCAAGTTGAACAACATCAACTTTGCCTCTGCTGGAGAAAGATTGCTTATAGATACCTAGCTTATATAATCTTGTAAATATCAATTACTATTTATTAGCGAACGATTTTCTGATATTTTTGCAATTTGGAACCAAAATCTTGTAAAATCTCACAACAATAGAAAAACCAATCCTTGCAATTTACTTCCTCTTCTTCTTATACTATAATCTTTGATTATGATTAAGTACATCAAGGGAGACCTATTCAGTCACACTCCAATTGACAAGTCCGTATCGATTTTGGCCCACGCATGCAATTGTCGTGGTAGCTGGGGTGCTGGGGTTGCAAGAGTGTTCCAAAGCAAGTTCCCATCTGCTTATGAAAAATACGTTGACCATTGTTCCCAGCACTCGTCTGATCCGTCCAAGCTTCTAGGAACATCCTACTTAATTCCCACATCGTCTTCGGACCCTGGAAATAGAAATGGCCATCAATTCTACGTTGCTTGCTTATTCACCAGTGATTTTGCCGGTAGAAAGAAGCTAACCCCTAAAGACATTGTTGCAAACACCAATCTCTCAATGCAACATCTATTGTCACAGGTGGAAGAATTACAAACCCACGGTACCAAGTTTGAGAGCAACGACTCGTCAGACCTAATAGTGGTCAATATGCCCAAAATCAACGCTGGCTTGTTCAATGTGCCTTGGGAAGACACCGAGCAGGAGTTGCAGCAGTTCGACGTGGACATCAACGTCTATGTCATTGACTAAAGCACCGTCCATGCCATCGGGCAAAGCACCGTCCCCATGGGTCATAATGATGCCCTTTCTTTGTATGCTCGACAAAATAAACCAAAAAAAAAAAAAAATTTAAGCCTATAAGAATTCATATATAAGTAATAGTCTTCTTTCTCTACGAATGACATAAAATGAATATATAACGACGTTCGGATTATAGATATTGACAGGTAGTAACAGAAGAAACGAATTTTTAATTTAAATTTCCCTAAGAAAATGCCTTTATCTAGTGTTTTTTCATTCGATGAGGATGCATTTGCAGCTGATTTCCAAGCATCAGTTACTGCCAGCGATACGGCTAATGATACGACGAATGACCCGGCCAATGACGCTTCAGCAGAAGAGGTAAGGGGGCCATCCAAGTACATGGCTGCGCGTAGACGGAAGTCGTCTGTTTATAGAAGATTATCAATTAAATCAATCTCATCACTTCATTCCCATACTCTGGAATTAGTGATCCCTTCTGATTTTGGCCGGGAAGACTTAGAAGAAGAAGCAGCCTATAAGGAACCGAACAATCGGGTATTGAAAGATTTTATTCCCATCAAGGTGTTGGGACAAGGGGCTTACGGGAAAGTCTATTTGGTTCAAGATAAGTATACCGGGAAATTATTTGCTCAAAAACAATTGCAAAAACCAACGATTGAAATACACCAAAAGGATGAAAACCATACCAAATACGTTAAACGAACGATTCTGGAACGCCAGATCTTGACCAATATAACCCATCATCCGAATATTGTTAAGATTTTTTACGCATTACAAGATGATGATAAATTTTACCTTATTCTTGAATATATCCCTGGAGGAGAACTATTCCATCATTTAACTGCTGCCAGTAATACTTTGGGCAATGTGTTTAAAGAAGACGATGTCGCATTCTACTCTGCACAAATGGCAATGGGATTAAGACACTTACATAAATTGGGTATTGTTTATAGAGATTTAAAACCAGAAAATTGTTTACTCAACAGTGCTGGACACTTGGTATTAACCGATTTTGGATTATCCAAATCAATCGGTAATAGTCATGACGATAGTTGCACTTCCATCATTGGAACTCCCGAATATATGGCACCCGAGATTTTAAAAGGTGAAGAATACGATTATTTGGTCGATTGGTGGTCATTAGGCTGTGTTATCTTTGATATGATGAGTGGTAAACCTCCTTTCACTGGAAATAGCCATAAAGCTATTCAAGATAAAATCATTAAAAATAAAATTAACTTCCCATTCTACTTCTCCTTGGATGCAAAAGATTTATTAAATAAATTACTAAATAAAAATATCAATAAGAGGTTTCAGGTTGACTCTAATTGGGAAAGGTTCAAAACCCACCGGTTCTTCCGCAAAGTCAATTGGAATGCCCTCGAATCCCAAAACTATTCATTACTTACTCCCCCGATCGTCCCAGTGATCACCGACCCCATATTGGCTGAAAACTTCAGTGAAGAATTCACCAGTTTACCCATTGACGGCGGGGTCAGTATCAACAGCAACCAAAACACCTCGCCTGACCCCTTCAAAGGCTTCAGCTACACTGCCAGCAATAGCTACATAGAGAAGTTTTGTTAATATAGATGTATATAAGTAATATATCAATGTATCTAATGATCGTGAAATGTACGGGTGTAATGAATTTTAGAGAAAACTGGGTCGTGTCTCGGGGCTCAAAAAACCACGCTAATAAAAAAGTTATCATTCATTTTTGGAGAACAACAAGTCAAATAAACGCCCAAATCAGTTGAAATAGACGTGAAGAAAGGATAATACATTGGAAGCAAAGATGGATGAGACATTGATAGCCACCATTAACAAGTTGCAAGATGCATTGGCACCATTGGGGGGAGGATCGGCTTCTCCAGTTGATTTACCACAAATTACGGTTGTTGGATCACAATCTAGTGGGAAATCATCAGTTTTAGAGAATATTGTTGGACGTGATTTTTTACCTAGAGGTACTGGTATTGTTACTAGAAGACCATTAATTTTACAATTGATTAATAAAAGATCAACTCCAAAATCAAATGGAGATTTAGCAGGTATAAATACTAAAAATGATAAAGGAGAAGAATCTGAAAATAATGCTGATGAATGGGGGGAGTTTTTACACTTACCAAATAAAAGAATTTATAATTTTGAAGAAATTAGAGAAGAAATTGTTAGAGAAACCGATGCTAAAACTGGTAAAAATTTAGGAATTAGTGCAAGTCCAATTAATTTAAGAATTTATTCACCTCATGTTTTAACTTTAACATTAGTTGATTTACCAGGTTTAACAAAAGTTCCAGTGGGAGATCAACCAAAGGATATTGAAAGACAAATTAGAGAAATGATTATGAAATTTATTTCAAAACCAAATGCAATTATTTTATCAGTTAATGCATCGAATACTGATTTAGCTAATTCAGATGGATTAAAATTGGCAAGAGAAGTTGATCCTGAAGGTTCAAGAACAATTGGTGTTTTGACAAAAGTTGATTTAATGGATCATGGTACTGATGTTATTGATATTTTGGCTGGTAGAGTTATTCCATTAAGATTTGGTTATGTTCCAGTTATAAATAGAGGTCAAAAAGATATTGAACAGAAAAAAACTATTAGAGAAGCTTTGAAAGATGAAAGTAATTATTTTGAAAACCATCCATCTTATAAAGCAAAAGCTCATTTTTGTGGTACACCATATTTAGCTAAAAAATTAAATGGTATTTTATTACATCATATCAAAGGTACTTTACCAGATATCAAGATGAGAATTGAACATTCTTTGAAAAAATATCAAAATGAATTAAGTTTATTAGGACCCGAAATGAGTGAATCTCCAACTTCAATTGCTCTTAATATGATTACTAATTTTTCAAAAGATTATAATGGAATTTTAAATGGTGAAGCAAGAGAATTAACTTCTCAAGAATTAAGTGGTGGTGCTCGTATTTCTTTTGTTTTCCACGAAATTTTTAAAAATGGTATTAATGCTTTAGATCCTTATGATCAAATTAAAGATGCTGATATTAGAACAATTATGCATAATACTTCAGGTTCTGCTCCTTCATTATTTGTTGGTACTCAAGCTTTCGAAGTTTTAGTCAAACAACAAATTCATAGAATGGAAGAACCTTCTACTCGTTGTATTAATTTAATTTTTGATGAATTGGTAAGAATATTATCTCAAATTATTAGTCAAACTCAATATTCTCGTTATCCTCAATTAAAAGAACAATTATCTAATCATTTCATTCAATTTTTAAGAGATGCTTTAATTCCTTGTAATACATTTGTTACTGATATTATCAAATCAGAAGAAACTTATGTCAATACTGCTCATCCAGATTTATTAAAAGGTAGTCAAGCAATGGCTATTGTTGAAGAAAAATTCCATCCAAAACCTCAAGTTGCTGTTGATCCAAAAACTGGTAAACCATTACCTCCAAGTCAACAACCAGTTCAACAACAATCTCCAAAAGATGACAATTCAAACGGTTTCTTTGGTGGATTCTTCTCTTCTAAAAATAAAAAGAGATTACAAAGTATGGAAGCCCCTCCTCCAGTCTTGAGAGCTACTGGTACCATGACTGAGAGAGAAACAATGGAAACTGAAGTTATTAAATTATTGATTTCTTCTTATTTTAATATAGTTAAAAGAACCGTTGCTGATGTTGTTCCAAAAGCTATCATGTTGAAATTAATTGTTAAATCAAAAGAAGATATTCAAAAAGAATTATTAGAAAAATTATATAATTCTCCTGATTTAGGTGACTTGGTTAAAGAAAATGAATTAACTGTTCAAAAGAGAAAAGAATGTTTGAAGATGGTTGAAGTCTTGAGAAACGCAAGTGAAATCGTTTCAAGTGTTTAGTTTAAATCACCTTTTCAAGTGTTTAGTTTACATTATCTCCTCTATAATTCTCTTGATCTCTAGATCTTTATTTCATATTAATAAATTATTGTTTAATTTTTTGTTTGTTCAACTTTTTTTTTTCTAACAATTTTTTCCCGTAGAACTTTACCCCAGACATGCAAAAAAGCCTAAACTTCATTCTCACCTAAACCTCTTGTGACTTAGTCGTATCCAACACCTCAGCATTCTCTTTTCCATAGTTCAGTATCTCTTACTTGGCCATTAAACAATAGGAAAATGTCTCAGAAATTAAAAGTTGCTAACAAAACAAAAAAAAAAAGGATCTGAAAAATGCGGGAAATTTAGAATGACTGATTTAATCAAACGACAATTGAAAAATTTTCATGTTTATTACTCCTTTTTCTTTACTGCTTACTGCAATTCACTATAAGTTGATTGAAAGCTTGGTGTTTGGTAAAGTATTTTTCAGCTAGTTCACTTTATTGTTGCTCGACAAGGTTTGTTCGAAATTATTAAACAAACATAAAAAACTCGTTATTAAGCTCAATTTTTATATTTGCTGTTATTAGATCAATAACTGCTTTAAGACTTCCTTTGATTGTTTCTTTCTTGTTATAGTTTCAAGAAAGATTAGTTTAAAGGATCTGGTTTCAAGTTATACACGTACAACTCTTTAAGGTTTATGCCTAAGAAAGAATCACGACGTTTGAATTTCACAACTGAACTTTTAGAACCTGGATAACATTATATATCCATTTTACTGGGTCTTAGATAAATACGAAACAAGTGCCGTTGTTTTCTGAGATCATTTATTGAATTCATTAGAAATCTGTCGTTTTGACTTCCGTAACCTCTTGCTGACATATTTTCCCTTTTTTTTTAGAAACTCCACTTGGTTGTTGACCCTCCCCCTTCCGCCAGTGTGAATTCAATACTTTTTTTTGGTTAGCTAAATAAAAAGTATTGTTGATAATCAAAGACTGCTAAAAAACTTAAAAAAAAAAAAAAAAAACCTACTTTGCTGCTCAAAAAGGTTTGATTCTGCCTTTTACATTGAAACGTTTCTTGCTACTTCTCTCTTCGTTTCAATTTAACTTGTTTAAGAGTAAGTTTCAATCCACCTTAGATAATTAAAAAAAAGAAAAAAAAAATAAAACACTGAAAGCTTTTTGAATTTACAGATTATGGTTGCTCCTGCTTACATTGAAGATAACTATATTGATCATGAACTTCTGGCAAATTTAGATTCTACATTTGCATTTGAAGGACCAGAAAAATTATTAGAAATATGGTTTTGGTCAAATGAAACAAGAATTCCGGATGGTATTACCAAGGAAGGATTAAGAAGTATTAAATTAGAAGATTGGGTTAAGATTTTGGATTTAGTTAATTGCAAAATCTTGTCGATGAAATCATCTAAATATATGGATTCTTATCTTTTATCAGAATCTTCTTTATTTGTTTTCCCACATAAATTGATTTTGAAGACTTGTGGTACTACCACAACTTTAGCTTGTTTAGAAGATTTATTTAAGATTATTTGTAACTACTTGGGTGAAAGTATTGATAGTTTTAAAATTTTCAAAATTTTTTATTCAAGAAGATCATTTATGTTTCCTGATAAACAAAAACACGTTCATCGTGATTGGAAAAATGAAGTGAAGTTATTGAATGAATTTTTCATTAACGGGAAATCTTACGTTGTTGGGGACTTCACTAGTGACGATCATTGGTACCTTTATATGGGAGGTGAACAAGTTGTTTCTGATAATGATTGTTGTAATGATCAAACTTTTGAAGTATTGATGACTGAATTGAATCCAAATAAAGCTATTAATTTCATCACTGATCGTAAACCAGGAATTGATAGTTTAGGTGAAGATGATGATAAAGGACACGAAAATGGATATAAAACAATGAAATTTACTGGCTTGGATTCAATTTTCAAATCTTCCGAAGTCCAATTACCATCGCCATCCTTAAGTGATAATATGGAATTCAATGACGATGAAGATGCAGAAGTTGTTCCATTGAACAAGTTTGACTTTATCCACGATGCTTTTTCATTTAGTCCATGTGGATATTCTTCAAATTCGATTGATTTAGAAAATGGTGGTTACTATTATACCTTGCATATCACTCCGGAATCAGGTTGGTCATATGCATCGTTTGAAACCAATTATCCATTTAGTGAATCGAATCAGGTATCAATTTCTCAAGTTTTGATCAAAATATTATCAATTTTTGAACCGGGCAATTTCAGTGTTACTTTAATCAATGAAATGAAACAGACTTCTAATAATGATTTAAACGATTTGATCAATTGTGATGAAATCTTAAATAAAATTGGTTATACCAAACAAGAAAAGATTCTTTATGATTTGAAAAACGAATACAATTTATTGTACTTAAATTTTAAGAAAAGTACCAATTAAAACTTTGGGGGATAGGTTAGTTAAAGCATTCCTATTATATTTCTTGTAAATATTCTACAGGTGGTGGAATGTAATGAATGTTTTGGCTGATCTACATTCGTTTGTTGGTTATATAGTAATAAATTGTTTTCACTTAAATTTAATGTAGTTGCAAAATCCTTCACATGTAATTTCGGTAAACTGTAATATTACCTAATCAGACATTTATTCCGTGTCTGAAAGTTTTCTTTTCATTTTTTTTTTTTTTTTTTTTTTTTTCAGACACTTGTCCCGGGAGCAAAAAGGAATTACAGCGAAAAACTGAAAAAAAAAAAAAATTTTTTTTTTTTTGAATAAACTAACTTAAATATATACAAAAATTTATACAATTAATAACATTATACTAAACGAAAAGAGAGTAAAATATAAAAAGGATAAAAACTTAATTTAATGTATAGAATTAATTAGTTTATTTGAATTTTTTACCGAATAAGATAACTTGTAATTGATCGTACAAGGAGATAACACCGGCACCGGCAACACCTCTTAAGATGTTAGCACCACAACCCTTGAATAAGGATTTGACACCTTCGGCGGCAACAACTTGTTTGAAACAGTCGAAAGCACCGTTATATTTAACGGCTTGACCAGAAGTCATCATCATTCTTCTTCTAACGGTATCTAATGGGTAAGAAGCGGTAGAAGCACCAGTGGTAACAGTCCAACCTAATAAGAAAGAAGCCAAGAAAGAACCTTCTAATGGACCAACCAAAACAACTGGTTTCAAAGAATCATATAAACCGAAGTATAAACCTCTGTAAACAATAATACCAACAACAGATGGACCGAAACCTCTGTATAAACCAGCAATACCATCAGAAGCTAAAGTCTTCTTGTAAACATCGAATAAACCATTGAATTGTCTTTGACCATCACCTTTAGCGGATTTAGCATCATTAGCTAATCTAGTTCTAGCATAATCTAAAGAGTAAACAAAAGCTAAAGAAGTGGCACCAGCTAAACCACCAGAAGCCAAGTTACCGGCAAACCATGGCCAGTAACCTTCTTCCTTTTTGAAACCGAATAAAGCCTTAAATTTATCTTTGAAAGCAAAGTTTAAAGCTTGGGTTGGGAAATATCTAATAACATTAGCAGTGTTACCTCTCCAGAATGAAGTAACACCTTCTTCAGCAGCAGTTCTTTTGAAACATTCACCAATACCATCGTATTTTTTACCTAAACGACCTTGTTTGATCATTTCATCTTGATTTTGAATCAATAATTTGACTCTTTCAATTGGAGCAGCGGCAGTCTTGGAGACGGCGGCGGAAACACCACCCATCATGAAATCAATAAAGAAAGAAGAATCAGAAGCACCCATTGTTGTGTATTAATTGAATAGATAGATTGTATATACTTAACAATATTAAGTTATATATGGATGTAACTATAGAGAAAAGGAAAAGGAAAAAGGAAAAAATTTTTTTTGAAAGAAAGAAGAAGAATGAATCCCTTTAAATCATTGGAAAATTCAAATCACCACCAAATCGTAGTAAAAAAAAAAAAAAAAATTCTTCTTTTTCCACTCTAATTTTTACCAAGGGGGTTTTTCTAACTCGGATTGGGCAATTAAAGTGCAGGTTGCGCCATGCGAAACTGCAGGTTGCGCCGTTTTCTACAGGTTGGGTCCGGACGGTTTGCAGGTTGGACCGGTAACTTTGCGATCTTTTCTAAATACAAAGCACAAACGGGCATTTTCGGACAAATTGTTAGAAAATGACGCGCTCTGATTGGCCAATGGCGCCAGCGCTGATTTGGCCAGCGCCGGTGTTGAGGTGGTTCTTGGGGCCGGCACCAGGCCAAAGCCAGAGAGCGAAGGTCTGCTGTGCTTGCGAAGGCTCTCGCCAAAGCTTAAAGTTGGGTGTCGGCACACTTCACGCCCTCGGTACAAGGTCCACCGGCGGTTGTTTCGTGTAGACGAAAAATTCACCGGATG